AACATAGAAGTTTTTACTTTCCAAATCAGTTGTTAATGAATCAAGTTTGGAAGTAATGAATCAAGTTTTAGGGTTCGTTCCAAATCAGTTGTTACGATTGGATTCTGCGGCATGTATATGGAGTTGTGGACCCAAATCTACCAAACACTATACATAAACCTTATCTCTCTAAACTTAATTGTTACTAACTTATCGGCTGGCTTCGCCGATGTTGTGAGAAGAATTTCACTGAAATCCACAATGAGCTTCCTGCTTCGGCCCTCAATTAAGTTGCTTTCGAAACGTCAAGTCATGGCCGTCGTCAATTCAACGGCAGCATTTATTAGTCCATTCTGGATTACAACCTGTCAAAATGGTTTATAGTTCTTCACTTGACAATGTCATGCCCGATCTTCGCCAACAATAATGAAACCCGCTTCACTACTCCTCATCATTCTTCTGTTACCCTTTTGCACAATCGCGCAGCCGGCGGAATTCCGGTTGATCAGCTGCTCCAACGACGCCGGAAACTACACCGCCGGCAGCACGTACCGGCGAAACCTCGACGCCCTCTTCGCCTCACTCGCCGACGACAGTCGAACCACCACCGGGTTCTACAACCTCTCCTCCGGTCCGCCCGGACCGGACCGGGTCAACGCCATCGCTCTCTGCCGAGGCGACGTGTCACTCAACGACTGCCGCGGCTGCATCGCCGACGCCACGCGTCGGATCCTCGTCGATTGCCCGGTCCAGAAGCAGGCGTTCGGGCACAACGAGTCCTGCCTGATCCGCTACTCGAACCGGTCCATCTACGGTTCGCTCGACCCGAACCCGAAGACCGCTTCCGGGTTTCGGTTCGACCTCGCGCCCGACCCGCTCCGGTTCGATGACGCCGTGGGCAGGTTGTTGATCCGCCTCCGAGATTCCGCGGCGGGAGGGAGCTCCGTGAGGAAATTCGCGACGGGAACGGAGATTTGCGGTTTCCTCACCATCTACGGCCTCGTGCAGTGCTCTCCCGATCTTTCGCGGCGGCTCTGCGACGACTGTCTCACCGGACTCACCAACGGGATCTCCAGCGGGAGGCTCGGAGGGCAGAGCTGGCATCCTAATTGCCAGGTCGGGTACGAGATTTATCGATTTTACGCCGAGACGGAATCGCCGCCGACGCCTCCACCGCCGCCGGCACCGGCAGGTAGGCTTGGGGATGAATTCAGACTTGAGAATCGACATCGAATTTTTGATTTTTTTTTTTAATTGGTACAGCTATTGGGATTCCGATCGTCGTCGCCGCCGTGCTCTGCTCTGTTTCCTTCTTCCTCTGCTGCCGCTTTAGATTGAAGAGGTCGACAATCTCTAACCAGGAGAGTAAGCAATAAAATTCCTATAAAAACTATTTTCGTAATTTGATGGTTGCTATATAATCAATTGTGAATTCTGAAGCCACTGATGAGATCAACGGGGAGGGATTCTCGCAATTCGATTTAAGAACGATCAGACTAATCACAAATGATTTCGCGGGTGAAAGCAAGCTCGGAGAAGGAGGATTTGGAGTTGTTTACAAGGTTTGAATCTCACAAAATGACTCGATCGATAATGTGTTCTCTTGAATTCATGAATTTTGAGTCCACCTCATTCCTTTTTATAGGGTATTTTGCTAAATGGGCAAGAAGTAGCGGTGAAGAGACTCGGAAGAAATTCAAGACAAGGAGATATGGAATTCAAGAACGAAGTGAAGTTGGTGGCTAGGCTTCAACACAGGAATCTAGTTAGACTTTTGGGCTTCTGTTTAGAAAGGGAAGAGAGGCTTCTTGTCTACGAATTCGTCCCTAATGCCAGTCTCGACCATTTTCTCATGGGTATATGAAGTGAAACAATATTTATTAAACTTATTTTCAATTCAATATATGGTTTGTCTTTTTTATGGTTGGACTTTGTTATGAAATGAAATACAGATGCCGACAAACGAATGCATTTGAACTGGGAGACAAGATACAAGATTATCATAGGTATTGCTCGAGGGATGGTCTACCTTCACGAAGACTCTCGACTAAGGATCATCCATCGCGATCTGAAAGCCAGCAACATTTTGTTGGACGCCCAGATGAGCCCCAAGATTTCAGATTTCGGGATAGCCAGATTGTTTGATTTGGACGAGACTCGAGGGAATACCAGCAGAATCATGGGGACTCAGTGAGTATGAAAAGTATTCATATATACAATGATTTATATCCCCCCTAATCCGTGCAGTGCAGGTATATAACGAAATTCGATTGTGGCATCCGTTTCCTTTGACTTTTTCACAGCGGATATATGGCTCCAGAATATACAATTCATGGACAATTTTCAGTAAAGTCCGACGTGTTCAGCTTCGGAGTGCTAGTTTTGGAGATGGTTAGCGGTCATCATAACAGTTATGTTCATGATGGCTCGAGCATGGAGAGCCTCTTAAGTTATGTAAGTGTGTTAAGATTCTATGTTATTACATGTGTGACACATATTAGACAATTTTCTCACACTTTCGCTCAATATAATTTGACTTTTCCTAATCTTATTGGTAATTTCCCCCATAGGCATGGAAGAACTATAGGAACGGGACTTACATCAGCCTCGTTGACCCGTATCTGAGGAACGACGTCGTTTCAGGCGCCGAGATCGCGAGATGCATCAACATCGGGCTGCTGTGCGTGCAGGCGAACGCCGACGACAGGCCGACGATAGCCGCCGTTGCTCTGATGCTGACTAGCCATTACATGACCCTGCCATTGCCTTCCGAGCCGGGTTTCTTCACCGGAGGTGGTTCTTCTTCGTGGGGTTACAGTAGCAGAACTTCGAGGGCGAGATCAGTTACCGACGGTGGCTCCTTTCCTTCTGCTGAGGCTCTTCCTTTGTTGAGCAATGACGTCCCTATATCCGACCTTCCTCGTTGAAACGCGATAGTCATACACTCTGTTCTTAATTTTACTATCATTCATAAATAAATAAACACAAACGTGTTTTGCCTTGTGGTTGATCGTCTCATTTAGGGTGTGCAATATTGTGCAATAGTCCTGTCAGCTCAGGAGAACCGCGGTCCAACAGTAAGAGACTTCTATGGATTAATGATCGAATTAACAGTACATTCGATTTACTTTGATCCGATTCAAATGTCACTTCGGTCCTTTTTTTAGTATTAATAAAATTTGTGAAAATAAGGACCGACCTAGATTATACCCGATTCGATACGATGAGATCCGGTACGAATCGAATCGTTGCACATCCCTAAACTCATCCATGAATTTACTAATATTATGAGAGTCATAACTCATAATAGCTCAATAGTCTTGCCACTAAGCAAAAACTAGATAATGATTATAGCCTTGTGGCCTTCCAAAATGTGGCTCAATTCAAGGAACTAGAAGAAATAATAACAGCTACAAAATATTTTTTTTTTACAAAAGGTAATCATATATTGATTGAACTAGACATAGAATACATTACACCCTGATATGAACCCATGATAAAAAAAATCAAAGGAACGACACGAGGTCGGTTACAGATAAAGGGCTTTTCTAGCCACCAAATGAACTACCCTGTTGCTATTCAGACATACAAATTGTACAACAAAACCATTACGACGCACCAATAGACATAGGACTTCGATGCCCCCATAGTAACTATCATGCTTGTCTACTTGGGTTATCTTATCAATGACCACATTTGCATCCCCTTCAAAACGAATATGCGAGAAACCAAGATCCATACACCACTGGATGGCTCCCGAAGGACCAAAAGCTCTACCAAGGTTAGATCATCAATATCCTCAACGTACACACCCTCTAACCAATACCACAAATCTACTGAGGTCCTTCAATATTATCCTTCGGCGTGGACCCATTCCTTGTCGCCCCAACCCACATGCAAGTGAACGGTGCAGGATCATCTAGACTCAGTCCATTTGGGGGGGGGGGGGGGAGTGGGATCATTCTGTCTGCTGGCAACCTAATCAATTCCTGGAGTTGTTGAAGATACTGTCGTATCAAGGTAGTAATTCAGAATTGCTTACCTTCAAAAGCAACCCAATTCATGGATCTCCAAATCTGCCAGGGACGGCTACAACAAGTATAATTTGGTGGGGTTGAGTGACCAATACTAACAACTTCTTTAGTAACAATGGAAAAGTATGGTGTGGGAGCCCCTGGCCTAGATACTCTAAACCAGAGTAATCCCATAGTGCTCTTGCCATTGGACAACCCAGAAACAAATGTTTCATTGTCTCCAACTCTGCCCAGTAGATCGGACAATGAGGCATTACTTCGACCTTCTTCTCAATGAGAGCCTCTGTAGTCGGAAGGATGCGATGGAATATCTGTTAGAGGAAAATTTTCAGTTTGGGCGGAATTGGTAACCACTACATCTGAATCCAACCGACCATTTGACGCCAACCACCACGCTATCTATCAGTCAAATTTACTAGATGGTAAGTAAACTTCACGGTGAACACCCCATCCCGCGTATCATGCCTGATCAGAGAGTCATTTATATCCATATACGAGGCAGCGAAATCACTTTAATGGCCCGAACCACATCTGGTGGGAACATCTATATGAGTCGCTCGAACTCCACTGACCACCTTGATCAATTTAGATACCGTATCATAAACCAACTAATCATAATAACTCAAATTATTGGAAGAGATCCATGTATAATACTTATCCACTTCCTTACCATTCCAAACCTAATGCGATTCTCAAATGCATCATCCACCATTCCGCTCCTTGGAAACTCGTACTCTTTGAATATTCTACAAGAGAAGAGAAATTTTGTTTCATATAAGGCCAAAAGTTGACTGACTAAAAAACACCTTTGAGGATTTGTGGATGAGAAATTTCAACCACAAACACAAAGGCGGCCCAAACTATCCTCATTGAGTCATTGTTAAAAAGGACAGACACAAGAGTTGGACACACGAACCAGGCCGTCAAATAGTTACAGTCCTTCACTTTGGCAACTTGATGCACATGGCTTCTCTACTAGCACTAATAATGAATCCTCTTCTTCCGGTCATCCTTCTTCTCCTACCTTGCTACACAATCTCGCAGCTCCCGCCGGAGTTCTTCCTCGAATCCTGCCCCAACGACGCCGGAAACTACACCGACGGGAGCACGTACCAGCGAAACCTCAACACCCTCCTCTCCTCACTCACCGCCGCCAACCAAACCACAACCGGGTTCTACAACCTCTCCGCGGGTCATCCGGCCGGACCGGACCGGGTCAACCTCATCGGCCTCTGCCGAGGCGACGTGTCGCTCGACGACTGCCGCGGCTGCTTCGCCAACACGACGGACCGGCTCCTCGAGGACTGCCCGGTCCAGAAGCAGGCATTCGGTCGCTACCACTACAACTGCCAGATCCGCTACTCGAACCGGCCCGTGTACGGTTCGCTCGAGCCGGACCCGCCCAGCCTGTACTTGAGGAACATCAACAACGCGTCCGACCCGGCCCGGTTCGACGACGCCTTGGGCACCTTGCTGACCCGACTCCGAGATTCCGCGGCCGGAGGAAGCTCCGTGAGGAAATTCGCAACGGGAACGCAGCGGCAAGGTTTCGTCACCATCTACGGCCTCGTGCAGTGCTCTCCCGATCTCTCGCGGCAGCTCTGCGACGACTGCCTCATCGATCTCACCAACCGGCTCATCAGCGGCAGAATCGGAGGGCAGATCTGGCAGCCTAGTTGCCACGTGGGGTACGAGATTTTCCGATTTTACGCCGAGGCGGAATCGCCGCAGCCATCGCCGCCGCTGCCAGATCCGGGAGGTAATTAAGATTTGGCTTGTGGAATTAATTTTAATTTGAGAATCGGCATCGAGGTATTGAATCTTTTTATTTCTTGTTAGGCGGAGGAAGAAAGAATACGAGTAGGAGTAGGATTATTGCAGCTATTGTGATCCCGATCGTCATCGGCGCCGCCGTGTTCGGTGGCTTCATTTTCATAATCTTCTGCCGCCGCTGGAGATTGAAGAGGTCGCGAATCCCTAATCAGAGTCAAAGAGACGCGAGTAAGGCTAAGCAATTCCTATCACACAAAAGTTTCAACCAAAAAAACTACTTCCGCAATCGACAAACGTACGGGTACAAAAAGACAAAAAAACATATTCCCAAATCCCAAACATGAAACAACTCAGTATTTACAACTTTCGTGCTGGTAGAATTATCGGTTCAAATGCTGCTCAAAGCTCGAAATGCAATTCGAAATGAATCGAACAAATTAATTAAGAGAAATTATTGCTTAATTCTTTCCTCGATTATCTATTCTCAAATAGATATTTATTCTCAAATATATAAAAAAAAAACAATGCTGAGAGGTGCTCTCTCCTCTCTCCTCATGTTCTGCGTTTGGGTGGGGCGATGGCTGTGGAAGGTTCTCCGGCTCCTCGGTGATACATACCTAAAGCCGGAAGAGGATATTAGCCGGCGGTACTGGGACTGGGACCGACACCCGAAGACAAAACGGACAGAGCCTCCGGCCAGGAGCCACCTCGGGGAACACCGGGAGGGTGTGAATTTGGCGGCTCAGATGAGTTGTCTTCGCGAGATTCACCGACCGGCGCCGGAAAGGGCTAACTGCAAAAGAAAAGAAACAGAGCCCCCGGAATCTGCATCGGCTCAATCGAAGAAAAGAAGGCTTCGGCCGATCCGGGGATGGCGCCTTTGGCTGCCGCCCCCCTCCGCCTTCATGGAACTAGCTCCGGGGCAGGACATATCCAAGAATAAGAAATCGGAACCTCAAGTAAACTGTAAAATTGAAGAACCCCTCGGGGTACAAAGAGATTGTTCGGCGATCCCTTTTGTGGATCAGCACCGGACTGCTTGCGATACGAAAGATCCCTGTGGGGATTCTATGACACCTCCGGCGCCGGGGGAAGGACCGCTTCCTGTGCGAGGCGGCTTCCCACCCCAGAATAGAACCGAGCCTCCGCGGGTTCCTGGACCGGCGGCCGAAAGCGCCCACGATGGGCCAAAAATTTGGAGGAATTCAAAAAATAAAAAAATGAAAACCAACCCTGATCTCTTGGGATTTCTCCATGATTTTTGGGGTGGGAGGATACGGGGTTATAACCGAACGTCCAAATCCAACCGGGAAATAAAGAGTTCTAATCCAACTCTACTTGGACAGATGGGTGGGAGATTGACACGGCTGGGTATATATTCCGTGATGCCCCCAGTTTGCAGAGCCAATTCCCTCTCCACCTTCGTTTCCCGTTGTGAGGACCGTGCTTGTTTTGGGCAGGAGCGGCCTAGGCTACAAATCCAGAATCCCAAGCAAGACACCAATCGTGTTCCAGGTATGAGAATTAACCCCTGTATATCCTGGTCATCCCTCTCTACGGAAGGCGATACTTCAGTGTCACCGCTTCCATTAAGCAACGAGATTCCTTCTGTTGCGTCTTCAAACTTGCGTGTTTTTCAGTACGGGGCTAATTCGTTGCCCCCCCTCCCTTTACAGGATCCTAAGATGACTCGCATTGCTAATGATCAAGTGGTGCAGTTCTCTCTTGAGGAGGTGCAGTCGATGAAGTTTCGAGCCTCTCGTACCCTGCTGGGACGCTTGTTCACTAATTCCAACACCAATCCTGCGGATTTGAAGGAGGCGTTGCTCGTCGCTTGGCAGATCAAGGGACAGCTTCGGGTCTCTATCACGAAGCATGGGCTATTTGAGATAGTGTTGCCAAATACTGAAGCTAGGGGATGGATTCTTAAGCAAACCCCTTGGGTGGTACTAGATGCCATTCTCCATTTGCGGCCGTGGACATCAACAATTACCTTGAATACTTTTGCGGAGCTGGCTATTGCCCCTTTTAGGGTGCAGCTTTGGAATGTGCGAGAGGATTGTTGCACCAAACAATTTGGCCAAAAAGTGGCGCAAGGTACCATTGGGCAGGTCCTTGAATCTGGGGTTTTTGCCTCGAATGATACCAATGAACAGTTTGTGAAGGTTCGAGCGCTGATTGACTTCACTAAACCCTTGCGGTCCCAGATCGTGGCAGCCAGTGAAGAAATTGGTAATTTCTGGGTGAATTTGAAATATGAGTACCTTCCGACTCTATGCTTCCATTGTGGTCGTGTTGGGCATTCGAAACGTGCTTGCTCGTTCGACCCTCCGGCTGGGCAAGAGAGGTTCGGGCCGCACATGTCAACACGGAAGATTGGCAGACGGATCTATGAGCAAGATGATGGGCATGATAACTTCAGGAAGAACCCTCCCTCGGTGTGGGTCAATCGGAATGTCCAAACCCGTCGGGAAGGAGATTGGCCGAGACCTCAGGCGGAAGACACAAAGGCTGATCGCGGGATGGGCAGGCGCGGGAAGCAGAATCCGAACAGGGAGATGGACCAGGCCCAAAACGTGCCCTTTGTGGCTGGAGAGCAGCGGGCCCGTGTGGTGGGCTCCCTTGATATTAAATGCCCAGCTCAGCCTTTGGGCCGAACTAAAAGCCCCAAGCAATTCTCTGTCAAAGCTTCTCCTCGGGTGAAAATTGGAGGGCGCCAGTTAAGGGGTTCCAAGTCACCAAGGGTGTCTGGCCGGCCTCTTCGAGGTAAAATGAATGCGCGTTCTCGGGCTAAAACCTCCGGCCGGAATACAGAAAAGGAGCTCCGGGGAATTTTTGAGGAGACTCGCCGCCGGAGATTGATTCTCCAGAAGGATTCGGAGGATGAAGCGGCTGAGCAGGGGCTGATTGGGAGCCGGGATCCCGTTCCAATCTCCCAGTCCGGTTCTATCGAGCCACTGCCGCCTGTGAAAGATGGGGAACTGGATGCAAAGGCTGGGGAGCGGATGGCGCGGCCCACTACTGAACAGCAGGAGAAGCTCGACCGTTCCAAAATGCATCTTCGGCATCTGGCCGCGGGGGGTGATCTGGGAAAGACGGAGACGGTTCGCCGTCGGTTGCGAAGGAAATCCCAGCAGCAGCGACAGGCGGATTCTGAGAAAATTCTGCCCCCTTCTAAGCTGTTGGAGAAAGAGGAAGTGGAGCTTCAGGAGGATGCTGACCAGGATGGATGACAATCCTCTGGTGAAGAGCAGCTGTTCGAAATCCGCCGGCGATCACCGATGGTGGATGCTGATAAAGCGGATCTCCCACCAAGAGGGCGGGTTACTCAAGTTGTTGAGGCCTTTGAGAATGCTTTGAGCTTATCTAAGGAGATGGATGGTTCGAAAAAATCCCCTAATGGGGTGCAGCGGAGGAAAGAAAATGGAGAGAGCTGGCCGGTAGGGGACGATGTTCCTCGTGTGCAGTTGGATGAGTATGGGTCAAACCTCCAAGACCCAGTGGTGGGGGGTCGGAAGCGGGGGTTGGACGAGATGGTGGGGGAGGTGGGTGATCCTCCTACACCTAAAAAACAATTTGTTGAAGCATCTGATCAGGTGGAGGAAGCCAGCCTAGAGTGGCCCCAATCGCCCAGATGAGGATTTTGGCCTGGAATGTGAGGGGAATTGGGCCATCACTCACATTCCAAACTGCAGTCGGCTTAGTTCGTTCTAATAAACCGGATCTCTTGTTTCTGTCTGAAACTCGTTCGAGCCGGAGAGTAGTTACCCGTCGTGTTCGGGGGTTAGGTTTTGATTTTTCTCGTTGTTTCTTTGTTGATGCTATTGATGCCTCTGGTGGCTTAGTAGCGGCTTGGGCCCCCGGGGTTAACGCCTCGGTGTTTTTTCATTCCACCTTCTGTATTTGTGTTCAAATTAATGAAGTGGATTTTTCTTATATTGTGGTGTGTGTTTATATTAGTTGCGATTTGGCTCTAAGAGCTTCTCAATTAATTCAGCTTCGTGGGATTTGCGAGACCTTCCACCTTCCCTTCACGGTTATTGGGGATTTTAATTCGACCCTTCATGCGGGCGAAAAGGATGGTGGTCGTGTTTGGAATGCTGCTCAGTCAGCGAGTCTTTGTGGGTTTGTTCAAGAGTTGGGTCTTCATGATCCAGGATTTCAGGGTGACCAATTTACGTGGACGAATAAGCGGATGGGCGCTGCCTGTATTCGCGAACGCCTTGATAGAGCCCTTTGCTCTCAGGCCTGGATGGACCAGTTTCCTGAAACTCTGGTGAAACACTTTACGGATCAGGGTTCAGATCACCGAGCCATTCTCCTCTCTGATAAAGCTTATGCTCGGAATGGTAGACCCCTTTTCCGGTTTGATGCTCGATGGGCTGATAACCCGGAGGTCAGGGCGATGGTCCGTTATGTTTGGGCAGAAGAGATTCATGGGTCCCCTATGTTTCGACTTTGGGAACGGCTTAAGAAGCTTCGGCATCTCCTTTATGATTGGAGCCGGGCAGGGACTACGAACTCTCTCCGGAACATTAATACTCTCCAAGCTGAGATTGATCAAGTGAAACGTAGTCATCCCATTAATTGGGATACGATTAGAGATTTGGAGGCTGAGCTGTCTCGCCAGTGGGAGGCGGAGGAGATTTACTGGCAGCAGAAATCTCGAGTCCATTGGCTTAAGAAAGGTGATAAAAACAGTTCGGATTTTCACACGGTGACGCGCGCTCGTCGGAAGCGCAATTTTGTGGCCGGGCTTCATAATGACAATGGGGATTGGGTTACTGAGGAGAAGGGGAAAGCGGATATTGCTACAGAGTTTTACACAAACCTTTTTACCTCTGAATCCCACGTCCCTAATATGCTGGATAGAGTGTCCTCTCTACCTATTGAGCGGAAGGTCACTGATGAGATGAACGCAAGTTTAACGGCTGAGGTCCTCCCTGAGGAAGTTCGGAGAACGGTTTTCTCAATGGGTTCGAAACAGGCTCCGGGTTCGGATGGATTCACGGGGAAATTTTTTAAATCCTTCTGGGATATTGTGGGGGAGTCGGTTTGTGAGGCGGTTTGTTCTTTCTTCTCGACCAGTCGGATGCTACGGAGTTTTAACCATACTTGGTTAACTTTGATTCCTAAGGTTGACTCGGTGGAGAATATGAAGCAATTACGGCCTATTAGCCTTTGCCAGTTTGTGTATAAGGTCATAACTAAAGTCATGACGGAAAGGCTGGCTGGCTTCCTTCCCCGGATCATCTCGGAGGGACAAAATGCGTTCATCAGGGAAAGGCAAATAATTGATAATGTCCTCCTCGGGCATGAGTTAATGCACTATCTCAAACTCAAAAAGCAAGGCAAGAAAGGATACATGGCTCTGAAGGTTGACATGGAAAAGGCCTATGATAGAGTCGAATGGTCTTTTCTTCTTGCTGTGATGAAGAAGATGGGGTTTAATTCTGTCTGGAGAGGGTGGATCCATGAATGTCTGCGATCGTCGTCTTTCTCTGTCCTCATGAATGGTACTCCGGCAGGGTACTTCACTTCGTCCCGTGGGCTGCGACAGGGTGATCCACTGTCCCCTCTTTTGTTTGTGCTCTGCACTGAGGGGTTTGCGGCTCTCCTGCGCAAAGCAATTTCGGAGAAGAAGCTTGAGGGGGTTAAAGTAGCACCCCGTGCACCTAGAATTTCTCATCTTTTCTTTGCTGATGATTCCTATTTATTCCTCCGAGGAACTCTAAGGGAATGTGAAAACCTGATCGTGGTTTTGAACGAGTATGAGGAACTCAGTGGCCAGCGGGTCAACTTGGCCAAATCAGCGGTTTGCTTCAGCAAGAACGTTGAGGTGCCAGATCAAGAGTTTCTGGCGGCCATTCTAGGGGTGGGTGCGGTGGGGGTCCATGATAAATATCTGGGACTACCTACATTGATTGCCCGCTCCAAGATGGCTACCTTTCGTTATTTGGAGGAAAAGCTGAGAGAACGACTGCAGGGATGGAAGCAAAGGACTCTCTCATGGGCTGCTAAAGAAACATTGATCAAGTCGGTGGCCTTGGCCCTGCCTTTGCATGTGATGTCCTGTTTCAAACTTCCCTTGTCCCTCTGTCGTCTGTTGGACAAGCTTGTAGCCCGGTTCTGGTGGGGGGCGGATGATAACCATTCTAAGATACGATGGATGTCCTGGCGTAATATGTGTCGAAGTAAGCACGAGGGGGGGATGGGGTTTCGGAGATTCGAACATTTTAATCAAGCCCTCCTGGCGAAGATTGGGTGGCGAATCTTGATGGAACCTCAATCCCTCCTGGCCCAGGTGTATAAGGCTAAATATTTTCCTTCGGGTTCCTTCATCCAAGCCAAGGCTCGCTCTCGTCCTTCCTGGGGTTGGCAGAGTATTTTGTTTGGGCGACAGCTGTTGGAAATGGGGTTGCGTTGGCAAATTGGTGACGGTCGCGCTGCGTCCATGCTTCATTCACCCTGGATACCGCAATGCCAGTTGGATCCCCCTCGCTGGAATCCTCTGATCTTACCAGAAGGGGGTGATCCTCTGGTGGCTGAGCTCATTATTCAAGGAGAGGGGAGGTGGTGTGATCGGAAACTTAGCCAATGGTTTGACCCGGTTACATGTCAAGCCATCAGGAAAATCCCACTACCTCGCCAAGTGATGGAGGATAAGCTGATCTGGCATGAAACTGTGGATGGGGTTTTTTCGGTTAAGTCGGCTTACCACTTGGCGGTGACTTTGGATAGGAGAAAAGGTGGTTGGAAACCAACGGTGTGCTGGATGGATAAGGCTAGCTGGATTCGGCTTTGGGAAGCGAATATTCCTCCTAAACTTAAGGTGTTTGTTTGGCAAATCCTTAATCGAGCCCTTCCCACGATGGAAGCACTGATTGAGAAAAAAGTTCAGGTTCAGCCCCGGTGCCCGGTTTGTTGGGGTGCTAAGGAATCCTTGGAGCATCTGTTCCTTTATTGCCCGGTGGCTCGAGCTCTTTGGGATTATGCGGGTTTGGAGTATATTGGGGAGGGGTTACCCCGGGATCATTTTCCGCTCTTCCTTAAGAAGGTGCTGGCTCTGATTGATCAGCCGAGGTTGTTCATGGCAGTTGTGGCCGTCCTTTGGAGGATTTGGCGATCTCGTAACTGGGTGGTTTTTGAGGGTAAGCAGTTCAGTTTCCTTGCGTTGATGAGACAGCTTAGCCAGCAGGTTGAGGAGTGGGTTGGGTTGCCTCCTGATCCAGGTCCACAGGGGTTGGGGAGGACTAGGGGGCTGATGGATGCGGGGGATGCGGCGGGTATGAGATGTATGTGGGATGGTGCCACCAGGAGAGGGTCCCATTCGGCAGGTGGTCTGGTTATTCTAACCCCTGGTAGGGAGGTCCTCTTGGCTAAAGGGGTCCAGTTTCAGGGTATTGATGATCCTATGATTGTGGAGTTGTTGGTCCTCCGAGAGGCGGTTCTATGGTGTCTGCATTTGGGATTTTCAGAGATCACCTTTGAAGGCGACGCTAAAGTTATTATTGATAAAATTAATCTTGCGGACGCGGGGGATAGCCGGATGGGTGCAGTGCTTCAGGAAGTTATTTCTTATTTTGGTTCCCTTCCTGGTTTTAGTGTTCGGTTTGTAGGTCGTGAGTGCAATAGGGTAGCCCATTTGGTGGCTCGAAAGGCCCTGTCTTTGTATCCGACAAGATATCGTTCCTTTGATTATCAGACCTGGCTGAATTCCAGGATGTAACTTCTTTTGTCTTGATCAATATATGATTATCTTTTGCAAAAAAAAAAGATTATCTATTCTCAAATTTTTTTTTTTATTTGAAGGAGGCTGAAAAGCCAGCAGCGTTAACAAACATACACTAGTGATTCTTTACTTGTTTATGCATCCAATGTAAGTACTATGGGTGTATTTGTTTCGATTTTTCCTAGGAATGGTAATGGGCAGGTCCGGGGCGGGTATCTCGATACCCATACCCGCCCATGGCAGGTCGGGTCCAGGTCGGGTAATTTATCACGGGGCGTGGGTCGGGGCAGGTCGACCCATTGGGTATGTAATTTAGGTGAAAAACATTAGAAATATTCGTTCTTCTCATTGAAAGACCAAGAAAGAAACCATAATATGATAAATGTAGTTAAATTATTGAAGAAATTGAGGTTTTCACTTATTTACAATTTTATTATAGCTAAAATATAATGTAATAAGAGGAAAATCTTAAGTAATTTGACTAAGATTATATGTAATTTAGGCAAGAACGGGTCGAGAATGGGGTGGGTCAGGGCAGGTCGGGTCATTGAGAGGTACCCATGCTCGCCCCGCCCCAAAACAGGTCAAACAGGTCGGGTAAATCGGGTCAGGTCGAAATTGCCATCCCTAATTTTTCCTGAAATTTGGAGAAAAGTATGTTTGAAATTAAAATTAAAGTTGATGAATGTAATTTACTTTTAAATTTATATAAGGGTACGTAGTTGATAAGATTGTGAATAGTGCATTAAACAATAAAGTCATTTGGGAATATTGCAGAATGACTATTATAAGTATAACTTTATAAATTTATTTGTTTTTTTTAAATGCATAATAGTAAATGAAGTTCTTTTAGTGAAATAAATTTCAGATTAAAATAACTTGTGGTCGGGATGGCAATTTTGCCCATACCCATGGGTATTTTACTATCCAACCCAATTGGGTTGGGTATGGATTCCAAATAAATGGTAGATGGGTAGAGTTTGATGGATTTGTACCCATACCCATTTACATGGGTTGGGTTGGGTTTTTAACACATGGATTTGGATTTGTACCCATGCCCAAAGGAAAATTACAGTTTGGTACCTAAACTAAATAGATATGAAGATTTAGTACCTAAATTTAATTTTTTTTGCATATAAGTCCTCAAAATATCGATGGAAAAATACGTTTTGGTACCTAAAATTTTTTGGTCTTACATTTTGGTACCTAAACTTTTCAAGTTTTACAAATAGGTCCAATTTTTGTGTGTGTAGTTAAAACACCCTCAAGTAAATGGATATCCATATCCAACCCATACCCATTTACATTATGAAAGCAATATCCATACCTAACCCAAACCCATTTACAAACCCCCAAACCCATATACACTTCATCCAAATCCTACCCATACTAAATGGATCTATTTGGATTTGGATAAAATTACCCATGGGTGGGTAATTGCCATCCCTGCTTGTGGATTTTAGAGTTAATAGAAGTTATGACTTAAATTTGACCTAAATATGAGAAAAATATGTTTTGTTTTAGCAAAATCCTAACTTTCAAGAAACAAGAAGGGAAAAACATATTCTGTATACTGATCAATTATGAATTCTGAAGCTGCCGATGAAATCAACAATGAGGGATTCCTGCAATTCGATTTCGAAACGATCAGAGCCGCCACAAATGATTTTGGTCATGATAGCAAGCTTGGAGAAGGCGGATTTGGAGTTGTTTACAAGGTTCAAATCCACCATAAAATTTTATGAAGTTTTTTATCTTGAATTTGCATATTTTGAAATCCACTTTTTTTTTTTTTTAGGGAATTCTGCCAAATGAGCAAGAAGTAGCTGTGAAGAGATTGGGAAGAAATTCAAGACAAGGGGACATAGAATTCAAAAATGAAGCAAATCTAGTGGCCAAACTCCAACATAGGAATTTGGTTAGACTTTTGGGCTTTTGCTTAGAAGGCGGAGAGAGGCTTCTCATCTACGAGTTCATCCCGAATGCCAGCCTCGACCATTTCCTCTTTGGTATATAAGATGATATAGTATTCATTTAGCTCATTTATAATTTGACATAGGGCTTTTTTTCCTTATGTCACCACTTCATTACGAATTGAAATACAGACGTGGAAAAACGGAAGGATTTGACCTGGGAAAGACGGTACAAGATTATTAGAGGCATCACACGAGGGATGCTTTATCTCCACGAGGACTCTCGACTAAGGATCATCCATCGCGATCTGAAAGCCAGCAACATTTTGTTAGACACTGAGATGGACCCCAAGATTTCAGATTTTGGGATGGCTCGGTTGTTTGATATGGATGAGACCGAGGGAAATACTAGCAGAATCGTTGGGACTTAGTGAGTATGAAGTGTGGAAGTATATATTCACGAAAGGATTTTATATGCCATATCAATGCGATTAATAAATATCGGGTTGTGTTTCTTTTTATTTGTTTTTGCAGCGGATATATGGCTCCGGAATATGCAATGCACGGACAGTTTTCTGTGAAGTCGGACGTGTTCAGTTTCGGAGTGCTCGTTTTGGAGATTGTGAGTGGCCATAAAAGCAGTTATGTCCATCGCGACTCCATGGAGAACCTTTTAAGTTATGTGAGTGTCCAGATTCTCTGTGTAACATTTATTTTGTTGCTCGTATTAGTCACAAAATAAGTTGTGTACTTTTTCAGTATAATTTGGCAGTCAATCAATCAGATCAGACTATTCCACTCAATTTGGTTATCATCGATCATTAGGGATGGCAATTACCCACCCATGGGTAATTTTACCCAAATCCAAATAAATCCATTTAGTATGGGTAGGGTTTGGATAAAGTGTATATGGGTTTGGGGGTTTGTAGATGGGTTTAGGTTAGGTATGGATATTGCTTTCATAATGTAAATGGGTATGGGTTGGATATGGATATCCATTTACTTGAGGGTGTTTTAACTACACACACAAAAATTGGACCTATTTGTAAAACTTGAAAAGTTTAGGTACCACAATGTAAGATCAAAAAATTTTAGTACCAAAACATAATTTTCCATCGATATTTTGAGGACTTATATGCAAAAAAAAATTAAATTTAGGTACTAAATCTGCATATCTATTAAGTTTAGGTACCAAATTGTAATTTGCCTTTGGGCATGGGTACAAATCCATGTGTTAAAAACCCAACCCAACCCAAGTAAATGGGTATGTGTACAAATCCATCAAACTCTACCCATCTACCATTTATTTGGAATCCATACCCAACCCAATTAGTTGGATAGTAAAATACCCATGGGTATGGACAAAATTGTCATCCCTATTGATCATGTTGGTCTTTTCATAGGCATGGAAGAATTGGAGGAACGAGACTTGCACCAACCTCGTGGATTCGTCCCTGGGGACGAACGACGACGTTTCAGGCGCCGAGATCGCGAGATGCATCCACATCGGGTTGTTGTGCGTGCAGGAGAACGTCAACGACCGGCCGACCATGGCCTCCGTTGCTCTGATGCTCAGCAGCCACGCCGTGACTCTGCCGCTGCCTTCCAAGCCGGCCTTCTTCATCCCCACCGCCGGAGCGGGTTCTAGTTCATGGAGTTACAGCAACAGCACTTCGAGGGATGGAATTACTAATAGTGGCTCTTCCCTTTCTGTTGAAGCTCTTCCTTTCTCGAGAAGTGACGCTTCTATGACCGAGCTTTATCCTCGTTGACAACGCTACCTGGTGGCTAGCTATCTGCAGGTATCAGTCCAATAATAATATGGTAGATAGCAACCTTTGAAAACAAGAGTGATTGATTATTGGGATGGCTTCTGGGTGTGAGTGAAACACGAGAAGCTTGATGAGATGTATCATTACTGTGAAACGAGTGAGCTGTACGTGTTGGGTGCATGAGTGAGAACATTTAACTTTGCTCAAATTTGTATCCCCAACTTTGGGTTGGACATAGCGGAAATATGGTGAGATTCGGCTTAAGTGAGGCTCTCTATTTATTCATCACTTCAAGTGCACCACCCCTACACATACAAATATCTTGGTAGTAGGTTTAGTTCGTAGCACTACGAAAGCAAAACCACCAGGAGAGATAAACCCAAAAAAGACATATCTTGATCTAAAAAAATTCAACATGTTACCGTTATAAAGTTGCATAAATTTGAAAAAAATAAATTTCAGTAGATGAAACTATAAAAATTTATCACCTTCCCAAACCAATTATTTAATCAAAACCCCACATTCTACCAAAGTGTATTAAAATCTCTTATTACAATCTCTCATCCAAACCACTCACATATTCAGTATTTTACATTGGTGTGCTGGACTTGGGCCTAACCCGAATCTTAGGTAGGAATGATTTTTTTTTTTTTGGAGGTGGAACTTGGAAGGAATTTCTTTGGCGATACGAAACCCCACAACGTGGCGCCCATGCCGTTTGACCAAGTCTGATTAAACTATTAACTATGCCTATCCTCTACCACTCCCATCATTATCCACCTAATTATATTTCTAACTCTCAATTAGACGGCGACAATCATAATCCCCAACCTTTTCTTTATTCATTTTTTTTCATCTCTTCCACACCACTACTCATCATTTGACTATCGCGGTTTGATTTTTCTCAGTTTTCCACAAACATTTTGCATAAGAAAAACTGCAGAACACTATGTGAATACTTGCATAATTTTCCACTTGATAGATTTATACCAGTCAAACACTTAGCTAGGGTGCGTTTGGATAAGTGTATTTTAAATGTAAGATATTTGAAATACTAACATTTGAAATGGATGTATTTGAAGTATTAGCATTTGAAATATATGTAATTCAAATTCATTGTTTGGATACTCATTTGTAATTTGTTTGTATTTTTGTATTTATGATTTTCAATTTCAATTTTTAATTTTCTGGTCACTTACTACAAATTTTGGTAAATTACAGTTTGGTACCCAAAATTATTTTTTCTTACAATTTAGTACCTAAACTTCTAAAATTTTACAAAAAGGTCCTGAAATTTTGATGGTAAAATTACATTTTGGTACCTTTATATGTTTTGCCTCACACTATAGTACCTAAACTTTTCATATTTTACAAATAGGTCCATTCTTTTGTTAGGAGGTATTTCAAATCACTAGTTGTTGAAATGTATTTGAAGTTGACAAAAAATACACTAGACATGTATTTGGAAATCACCCCATGAATTTGACACTAATCCAAATACCAAATGTAATTAATATCCAAACACATGATTTGGTATTTGAAAATCCAAATCACAAATACCAAATCCAAATCCTAGTATCCAAACGCACCCTAAATGAATTCACCCAAAAATGGCGAAACAGTGAAGAACACGTAGCTGATTGATTATCAAGAAGAACTACTCCAGCCCACAGCGGGGCCACAGCTGGCCCGGCGACTCTCTCTGTTGGTCCATTCCCATATTCAATTTTTCTGCCGTAGACTTTGTGACATCAATCACACCTTTATTGTTCGTCCCAAGAAGACACTTAATAATTCGTCGTCGTCGATTTGTGGCAAACGGACACTCAATCGTTGGTCCCGCCATGAATTCTTGCTCACCTCCTCTTCTCTTCCTCCTGCTTCTACCAGTAATACTTTCACCTCTCGCGACCGCTCAGCAGCCCGAGTTCATCGTCAAAGTCTGCTCCGACGCCGGGAACTACACCGCCGGCAGTGCCTACCGGCGGAACCTGAACACCGTCCTCTCCTCGCTCGCCTCCGACGACCGAACCACCACAGGGTTCTACAACGCCTCGTCGGGCCAACCCCCGGACCGGGCCGACGCTATCGGGCTCTGCCGCGGCGACGTCGGGCTGGGCGACTGCCGGAGCTGCATCGCCAACGCCACGGGCCGGATCCTCCTGGACTGCCCGGCCCAAAAGGAGGCGGTCGGGTACTACGACTTCTGCATACTCCGGTTCGCGAACCGGTCCATCTACGGCGTCCGGGCCCAGAACGCGGTTACCTATTTCTTGAGCAACAACAACAACGCGTCCGACCCGGCCCAGTTCAACACCGCCTTGGAGAGGCTGCTGAGGCGGCTCCGCGGCCAGGCGGCGGCGGGGACCTCCGTGAAGAAATTCGCCACGGGGACGGAGCGGGAGGGGTTCGTCACCATCTACGGGCTCGCGCAGTGCAGCCCCGATTTATCGGGGACGCTCTGCGACGACTGCCTCGTCGAGGCCATCGGGCAGGTCCCGAATTGCTGCGGCGGGAGAGTCGGAGGACAGATCTTGAAACCTGATTGCCAGGTGAGGTTCGAGACTTCTCGATTTTATACCGAATCGCCGCCGCCACCGCCACCGCCGCCACCGCCACAGTCTCTGTCTCCACCGCCGAGACCACCGGCTACTTCCCCGCTGCCACCTCCGGATGGTAAGATCCTTAATCCTCCGGTTCCTTCCCCCTAGCGAGAACTTGACTTCCAGCTAGATCTGAGAATTCGACTTGAGATCTGAGATTGAATTTTTTTCTTTTTGGTGAAGGAGGCGGAGGAAGTAAGAATTGGGGTAGGATTATAGCTATTGTGATTCCGATCGTTGGCGCCGCCGTGATCGGCTTCATCTTCATCTTGTGCTGCCGCCGGAGACTGAAGAAGTCGAGACTCCCGAACCAGAGGTCAAGCCATCTCGACGCAAGTAAGTCATGAAATCCCGATTACATAATTTCAACCACACATTTACTTCCATTAGCGACAAAAAAAAGGTCAAAGATATTCCCCAAACAACGACACTAGTAATTGTTTATCCATCCTCCATGGGAATGGGATCTTGCTCTGTTTTTTACGCTACTTAAACATCAATTTTTGGATTCTGTAGCTGCCGACGAAATCAGCAGTGAAGGATGGTTGCAATACGATTTCGAAACGATTCAAGCCGTGACAAACGATTTCGCCTACCAAAACAAGCTCGGAGAAGGTGGATTCGGAGTCGTCTACAAGGTTCGAATTCATGGCATTGTTGAACAATGTTTTCTCTTGAATTCATGAGTTTGAAATCCACATGATTTCTTTGTCATAGGGGGTGTTGTCGAGTGGTGAAGAAGTAGCTGTGAAGAGACTGGGAAAAGATTCAGGACAAGGTGATTTAGAGTTCAAGAATGAAGTCAAGCTGGTGGCAAAGCTTCAACACAGGAATCTCGTCAGGCTTCTTGGATTCTGCTTGGAAGGGAGAGAGAGGCTACTTGTCTACGAGTTCGTTCCCAATGCTAGTCTCGACCAATTCCTCTTTGGTATATCTCAACATAAAAGAAAATATTTATTAAGCTCATTCCGAGTTTTTATATGACTATTAAAAGGTTGTATTTTGTTTATACAGATCCGGATAAACGAGCGCGTTTGAACTGGGAGAGACGATATAAGATAATCGCTGGCATAGCACGAGGAATGGTCTACCTTCATGAGGATTCTCGGTTAAGGATCGTCCACCGAGACCTCAAAGCCAGCAATATTTTGTTGGATGCCGAGATGAACCCGAAAATCGCAGATTTCGGGATGGCGAGGTTGTTTGATATGGACGAGACTCAGGCAAATACGAACAGAATTGTCGGGACCTAGTAAGTAATGGAGTATGCAAGTGTGTGCTCATGGTTTATATATGTCGTTGATCAATGTGATTTGATGAAAATTTTCTGTCTGTGTTTTCAGTGGATACATGGCTCCGGAGTATGCAATGCATGGGCAATTCTCGATGAAGTCGGACGTGTTTAGTTTTGGAGTGCTCGTTTTGGAGATTGTGAGCGGGCAGAAGAATAGTTACCTCCAAGGTGGCTCGAGCATGGAGGATCTCTTGAGTTATGTGAGTATCCTACGCATTTTTACGATTTATTTGGCTGCTTGTTGGAGTAGTTGGCTTAGTAGCCAGTGATTCTGTGAACGGAGAACCCCATATTGAGCCCATTGACTTGGCCAAACTAGACTAGCAACATATTAGACGATTTTGAGTATGGTATCATGATGTGGCTGAGTGTTCATCATAGGCATGGAAGAACTGGAGGAACGGGACATACACGAGCCTGGTAGATCCGTCTCTGGGGAACAATGTCTCGGGCACAGAGATCGCGAGGTGCATCCACATCGGGCTGCTGTGCGTGCAGGAGAACGTGAACGACAGGCCGACAATGGCCACCGTGGCTCTGATGCTGACGAGCCATTCGATGACTCTGCCTCTGCCTTCCAAGCCGGCGTTCTTCATGAACACCGGCACCGGCGGGGATTCTTCATCGTGGGGATACAGCAGCACTTCCAGGGAGGCAATGGGTTCTTCTCCTTCTGTTGAAGCGCTTCCTTTGTCGAGAAATGACGCTTCCATAACTGAGCCGTATCCTCGTTGAGATGAAAATGTGTAATATATTGTTGGCTATTGTTTTTGTAAAATGTTATATAGTGCTTAACTCGCGGATCAGTTGAGGATTAGGGGGTTGATTAACTTTTTTTTTTTTTGTTTGTTGATAAGAAGGCGTTTGATCAATTTAAGTATTGGCAAAACGATGCCCTAATAATGGTAGATTGGTAGTTCATTTGTTTTAAATAAATAATCAGGATTCATTGAATTCTATCATTAAATTTGTTTATTGGTTCATATCGGGACGGGATACGGTGACAACCCATTAAGGGGTTGTCAGATTCACAACCTACTTCATAGTTCTTGGATACGCTCTTTTTCCTGTCTCTTTTTTTTTAAATTAACGGTTAATATTAAAAGAAGGGTATTTTTGGAAGGGTAAAAATTTACCACACCCAATCATTCACCCTACCATATAAAAAGAAAAAAAAATCCTAACTCCTCCATCCTTCCTCTCTCCCGTAGCCATCACCGTCTCTCCTCCCTCTCTCTCGCAGAGCCCTCCGCCGCCACAGCTCTCCACCGCCGGCTCCCCTGTCTCCTGCAGCCGCCTGTCGAGCCTTCCACCGTCGTCGTCTCCGCCATCCTCAGCCTCCCTCCACACCTTGTTGCAAATCTCTCCCGCCGGCCCGTCGCAACGTCCGCCTCCCACCACCGCGACACAATCATCCTCTCCCCGTCAGAGCCCTCTCGCCGCCCTTCGTCCCCCCACCACTGCCGCCGTCGCGAGGTCACCCTCTTCCCCTACCTCTCTCTCTTGTCACCGACTCCCCTTTTCTATATCTGGTTTTTTAGTGGTACCATTTTTCTTCTGATAGCGAACCAGTGATAGTGGTACCTACCACTACCATAAGGTAGCTGGTAGTGGTAGCGTACAACTATCATCATCTTTTTTGTGTTATTCTCTACTGGTACTGCTACCAATGATAGTGCTAGCGGTACGATACAATAGGGTAGTGGTAGCGTTGTACTCATAGCGTACCACTAGTACTGTGTTAGAATATGACTTGAATTTGATTTGGGTTTGTTTTGTGTTTGGGCCTATTTTGTTTGGGTTTGGGATTGGGCTTTGTTTGACCTTTTCCTTGTATGTTTGGGAAAAGGTGTTTGGTTTTCTGTTTGGGATTAGGAGAAGAGTTCTAAAAATAGTCTTCACCATCCTATTCTGTAGTAAGGTTAGTCAGGTTAGTTTGTTTGGTTTGTTCGTCCGGAATTTGGTTTGTAACCTGTACTTTCCTCAAATCAGTGAAATTTGTTCTCCTTTGCCCGTGGATTAGCTAGCACACATTGTGTTAGTGAACCACGTTAAATTTGTGTTCGTTCGTGTTGGTTTGGATTATCGATTGCACGCTTCTGTTCTGACAAGTGGTATCAGAGCCTTTGGTTGCGGTTTTGGGAATTTGGCGTTGGACTGAAGTTTTGCTTTGTGGAGGTAGCTTTCAATTCTTCAGCTTGGTTCGGTGGAGGAATCGCTTTGAAGTTGACTTTGGTAGTTGTGTTTTGGTCTCGATTTTTTGGTGAGAAGTTTGGTTGGAGTTTGTTTGATAGTAAGAATGGCTGCTATCAGTATGAAGATTGAGAAGTTTACCGGAAGAAACAGTTTCAGTTTGTGGCAGATTAAGATGCAAGCACTGTTGAAACAATAGGGTTTGTGGGCTCCGTTGTCTGGAAAATCGAAGAAGGAAAGCATAGATGAAAAAGAGTGGATTACTTTGGAGGAGAAAGCTCACTCTACAATCTTGCTTTGTTTGGCTGATGACATCATCACTGAGGTTGCTGCTGAGAAGACTGCTGCGGGCTTGTGGTTGAAGCTTGAAAGTCTATACATGACAAAGTCTTTAACTAACAAGTTGCATATGAAGCAACGTTTGTTCAGTTTGCGTATGGAGGAAGGTACTTCTCTCAGGAATCATCTAGATCAACTCAATACCATCTTGTTAGATCTGCGGAATATTGATGTTAAAGTAGATGATGAGGATGCTGCCTTAATTCTGTTAGTATCTTTGCCACAGTCATATGAGAATTTTGTGGATTCTTTTATTGCTGGGAAAGATAGTTTGTCTTTGGAAGATGTCAGATCTGCTCTACATACTAGAGAGGTTCGACATAAGGCATCTGGTTCAGGTTCGGAAAATCAGGCATCTGGGTTGGCTGCTACGAGTAGTAGGAGACAACAATCTGGTAATAGGAAGACGAATACAAATTCGAATTCTGCTGGTTTGAAAGATGATATCTGTCATTACTGTAAGGAGAAAGGGCATTGGAAATTCGATTGTCCTAAACTGAAGAAATATCAGGAGAAGAAGGAATCATCTGCTGCTGTGGCAGAAGAAACTAACTCTGATTCTGAAGATGGTTTAGACTTAGCAGTGAATGAACAGGTACATCATCAGGATGTGTGGTATTTGGATACTGCAGCTGATTATCATATGTGTCCAAGCAGGGAGAGTTTTTCAACTTATGAGCAGATAGATGGAGGGCATGTTTCTATGGCCAATGGTGCTATCTGTAAGATTGTTGGAAGAGGCTCCGTCAGGATGAGGACACATGATGGTTCTGTTCGCACCTTGAACAATGTTAGGCATATTCCAGAGATGACTAAGAATCTGATATCTTTGAGTCTACTCGACAGCAAGGGTTTCAGTTTCAAAGGTGAAGGTGGAGTGTTGTCTGTCTACAAGGGTTCTAAGGTGGTTTTGAAAGGTGTCAAGCGGGGTGCCTTGTATAATCTACAAGGTTCTGTCTTGACATGTTCTGTTGGTGATAAGTGCACCAAGCTGGTTCTGAATGGCAAGTCTCAACATGAGTTGGACTTGCCGAATGGTTTGAGTTGTTGATCGCCCTTAGGGGCATTTGGAGGCCGAGGAGATTCTGGTACAACTGATTTGGAGGAGTTTGGTACATCTAGCAACTTTGGTTGCGTCTGGTACATCTGGTATTTGAGAGAGAATTCAAGTCAAGGTGGAGATTGTTAGAATATGACTTGAATTTGATTTGGGTTTGTTTTGTGTTTGGGCCTATTTTGTTTGGGTTTGGGATCGGGCTTTGTTTGACCTTTTCCTTGTATGTTTGGGAAAAGGTGTTTGGTTTTCTGTTTGGGATTAGGAGAAGAGTTCTATAAATAGTCTTCACCATCCTATTCTGTAGTAAGGTTAGTCAGGTTAGTTTGTTTGGTTTGTTCGTCCGGAATTTGGTTTGTAACCTGTACTCTCCTCAAATCAGTGAAATTTGTTCTCCTTTGCCCGTGGATTAGCTAGCACACATTGTGTTAGTGAACCACGTTAAATTTGTGTTCGTTCGTGTTGGTTTGGATTATCGATTGCACGCTTCTGTTCTGACATACTGGTACATTTTTTAATGCACTAGTAGCGTAGCACTAGCACTAGTATATTAATTACCTATATACTAATGGAGTGGTACACTTTTTAACGCACTGGTACATTTTTTCAAGTTGCCGGAGAGAATTCGCCGGATAAAACGTATGTCCGTCGATGCGGAGTGACCGCTGAAGAAAGGAAGAGAGAGATATAGATAGATAGATATATTAATGTATAGAATTTAAATTTCAAAAAAAAAATTGTATTTAATATGAGTTTTAAATTCCCAATATATTAACACAAAAAAGGTAATTACTATATTCTTTTTTCATACCCAAAATACCTTTGGTTGTGAATCTGACAACCCCACTAAGAATTGTCATCGTATCCCGTCCCGTTCATATCAACTCAAAAAGAAAAAGAAAAAAAAACTAATCCAAATCTATGAACAAGTGTTATTTTGGAAACTTATAGTGCCAATTAGCTAATCACAAAGAGTAAGGGGTAAATGTAGGAAAACAGGCAGGTAATCCTTACAAACATGGTAACATATACTAAGTAGATGGCGGCAAAAGTGTAGCGGTCCGACCCCGCTATGGTACTTCCGCTATGGTACTTCCGCTATGGTACAAGTTGAAGTTGTGCTCTTAACATTATGGTACAACTTTAAATTGTACATATACTTTCTGTACAAATTCTGTTAAGGTACAACTTGAACTTGTACCTTAATGTGATGTGATGGTACAACTTGGAGTTGTACAATAACTGAATAACATAAGGGTACTAATTCATTTATAGTACAAGTTAAACTTATACATTTAACATTATGGCACAATTTCAAATTGTACATTAAAACACTAATATTTTATAGCATAATAAAAATACTCTTTGCGAAAAAGTACTTATAAACACTCGATACTGTTGGTTCAGTTCCAACAATCGACAATCTCTCACATCCGATGCATGGACACTAAACTCTTGTGAGCACGTTCTCAATCCGTACATGTTAGCACAATAGCAAGTTAGCAACTCATTTTGTTAGGGTGGCTAGTGGCTACCACCAAGTTGAGCTTTGATGAATGAACCATGGACCGTGGTCAAAAGTTAATAGGCCTGAGACCAAAAATTGAAAAAAGTGGCCCGAAGAACGCGTCAGCAAAATCAGAGAGTAAATAGGAAGGCATGTATTTCAAGGTACGTAAACCATGTCCGTTTGTCTTGCTAGTTGCTAGTGCTACGCCCCGCGTCGTCGTTGGTCTTCCACCACTCACGTCACTATCACCAATCAATAATCCATAACAATCTCAAATTCACAATCCCCACTTTTCTTTTTCTCTATAAACAATTTCTACCTACGCTTTGATTTTCTGTTCGACTATTACACAACAGAAGAATCTGCAAGATAATGATATGGACCAAGAAAGTACTGTATGAGTTCGTATCAAAATACCAAACATCATCTTCGATACTGATAAATGATAGAAAAAAGTACCATCAATGGTAAACCCGTCTAAAAATCGATCTTGTATTGCCAAATACTCGAGAGAGAAAGAAAAGTATCACAAGGCGATTTATAATTCAATAACTGTCCGAACTAGTTCGAGGGGAGAAAGTATATATGTTACAACGATCAAGTGTTGCATCTTGAACGACTCACTGAGTATATATGTCCGAACTAGCATTCAAGCAAATATACTATTCCACGCAGGTTAATAGCATTCAAGCAAATATACTATTCCACGCAGGTTGATTAGTACAGCTATTGCCCAAATTCATGGCTCTCGAAATTTGGGAAGACTTTGGCGGTCTGAGTCGTCAATGCAATGGCATTTATTCCATCCCATATTAGGAAGCAGAGTTGCTTCTGTCAGAAACAGAGCAGACAAAAAATGAACAGAAAGACTCCAAATTCCATGGCTTCTTCTTCTTCTCAACCAATGAGTTCTCCATCCTCAATCCATCCTCCCCTTCCTCACCTCCTCGTCGTTCTGCTACTACTACTGTTCCTACCCTCTTGCACAATCGCCCAGCCGCCGCCATTCGCTCTCTCAAACTGCGCCGACCAGGTCGGCAACTACACCGCCGGCAGCGCGTACGGGAGAAACCTTAACGCCCTCCTCTCCACCCTCGCCGCCGACAACCAGACCACCACCGGGTTCTACAACCGCTCCTCGGGTCGGGGCGCGGACCGGGTCAACGCGATCGGGCTCTGCCGGGGCGACGTCGGGCCGCCCGACTGCAGGGGATGCATCGCCAACGCCACGGGCCGGATCCTCATGGACTGCCCGGCCCAGAAGGAGGCGTTCGGGTACTACGAGTTCTGTATGATCCGATACTCGAACTGGCCCATCCAAGGGACACTCGACTTGGGCCCGCCCGTCACGTTCTTCATGTGGAACGTCAACAACGCATCCGGCCCGGCCCAGTTCGACGCGGCCTTGGGTTCCTTGTTGGCCCGGCTGCGGGCCGAGGCGGCGGGCGGAAGCTCCGTGAGGAAGTTCGCCACGGGAACGGCGCGGCAAGGTTTCGTGACGATCTTCGCTCTCGTTCAGTGCTCGCCGGATCTGTCAGAGCAGCAATGCGACGACTGCCTCGTCGGAGCCATCGGCCGGATTCCGGATTGCTGCGACGGGAAAATCGGCGGACGAGTCATACAACGGACTTGCAATTTGAGATTCGAGACTTCTCGATTTTATTCTAAGACGGCGGCGCCGCCTACAGAAGGTGAGGCTGTAGAATGTAGATCCATTAGAGCTTGATTCCATCTGGATCGGAGAATCCGAATTGAGCTCCGGGATTGATTTTTTGTTTTGTTTTTTGTTTTTGTGTGTGCAGGAGGCAGAGGAAGCGAGAATTCGAGCAGAATTGTAGCTATTGTAGTTCCTATCGTCGGCACCGCCGTGCTCGGCTTCATTTTCATTTTCTTCTTCTGCAGCCGCCGGAAACGGAAGAGGTCAACAATCCCTAATCAGAGGTCAAGCCAGCAAGAAGATGCAAGTAAGCCCATTATAATACATTTGTTTTGCAGAAAGCCATTAAAATACATTACATAAGCGTCAAAAAGGTCAAAAAAGAATCAAAGACATTCCCCTAAACAACGAAACTAGTAATTTTTTTATGGATCCTCCATGGAATCAGCTCTGGATTCTTAAAATGAGTCATTTCATTTCTGAATTCTGAAGCTGTGGACGAGATCATCAACAACGAAGGATGGTTGCAATACGATTTCGAAACGATTCAAGCAGCGACCAACGATTTTGCCGATGAAAGCAAGCTCGGAGAAGGCGGATTCGGGGCTGTTTACAAGGTTCGGATCCATAACATGTTTGATCAATGTTATCTCTTACATTTACATGTTCTGAAATTCACAAAATTTGTGTAGGGAGTTTTGTCAAACGGAGAACAAGTGGCGGTGAAGAGATTGGGAATAGATTCAAGGCAAGGAGATTTAGAATTCAAGAACGAAGTCAAATTAGTGGCTAGGCTTCAACACAGGAATCTAGCTAGACTTTTGGGATTCTGCTTGGAAGGGAGAGAAAAGCTTCTCATCTATGAGTTCATCCCCAATGCCAGTCTCGATCATTTCCTCTTCGGTGAGTGAAGATGAAAGAAAACACATTCAGCTTGTTTAAATCTTCGATAAAATTTTGAAAAGCTTGTATTTGTGATGCAGACGAATTTAAACGAGTGCATTTGAATTGGGAGAGAAGATACAACATAATTGGAGGAATTGCGCGAGGGATGGTTTACCTTCACGAGGATTCTAGGTTGAGGATCATTCACCGTGACCTAAAAGCCAGCAATATCTTGTTGGATGCGGAGATGAACGCAAAGATCTCGGATTTTGGAATGGCGAGGTTGTTCGATATAGATGAGACTCAGGGGAATACTAGCCGGATCGTTGGAACTTAGTAAGTACGAGCTACGAATAGTAGCGTTGATGAATGCAATCTTCTTGAACCTGAAAGAAAATAACTTGGGGTGTGGGGGTTTGTTTTTGCAGTGGCTATATGGCTCCCGAATATGTTATGCACGGGCAGTTCTCGGTGAAGTCTGACGTGTTCAGTTTTGGAGTGCTTATTTTGGAGATTGTGAGCGGTCAAAGGAACAATTGTGCACGCGGAGGCTCGAGCATGGAGGACCTATTAAGCTATGTGAGTATGATCTTAACAAAGGTGCTTGCTCAATAGGTTTGCATTAACAGTGACCTAACTAAAAATCTTGACAAAGGTGCTAACTAAATCATGCATCACTAGTTAGTTCAATCATCATTTCATTAAGACTTGGTAGTTCAGTGACTAGGTCTGTTGCAAATGTCATTATGAGTGTCTGGCCATTTCTTTCCTTCTGATGATGTCCGATACCTTCGAGAACAAAAATTGCAATGCCGCACAACCGTCATCAATGTTGCTGGTTTTTCATCGTAGGCGTGGAAGAACTGGAGGAATGGGACGTACACGAGCCTCATAGATCCATCTCTGGGGAACAATGTCTCGGGCTCAGAGGTCGCGAGGTGCATTCACATCGGGCTGCTGTGTGTGCAGGAGTACGTGAACGACAGGCCGACCATGGCCACCGTTGCTCTGATGCTGACGAGCCAGTCGATGACTCTGCCGCTACCTTCCAAGCCGGCCTTCTTCATGCACTCCGGCACCGGCGATGGGGTGTCGTCGTCGTGGGGATACAGCAGCACTTCCAGGGAGGGAACTGGTTCCTCTCCGTCAGCTGAAGCGCTGTCTTTGTCGAGGAATGACGTTTCCATAACCGAGCTTTATCCTCGCTGAAACGCAGAAGACTTGAACTCGAGTCATTCAGATTAATAGTCAATATTCCTAACTAACTGGACTACAACAATGGTTATGTATTTTTTGAATTAAACAAAGAAAATATTGAAATATCTCAAAATCATAGGACTATCCACCGCAATAATCAATCATCAAATTAATTAATAACTGTAATTATTTACAAAGAAAATTATCATGATATACCTAGCTTTATGTATCAACTAAGTGAGTTACTCTAATCACACAATTCTTCACCAAGAATCAAATAGTACATTTTGAGTTTATGTATGTCTTACAACTTTTACATTTATTAGATTACATGACTTTATAGTTTGTAGGAATATAAGGATTGTTTGCAAAAGTGCTATACAAAATTTTATTTCAAAACATATAATTTGACATTTGTGATCTATGGTTTTATAACGAGACATTTTCAATGCTATAAGTGAATGACCAAAAATCATTGGCCAAAAATTTCTCTAATGGTTGACAATTATAAGCATAGAATTGAAAGACTAAATACCATTGACAAATGAGCCAATTATCATTGGCTAAATTTAACAAACAATGGTATGTGTATATACATTGGAAATTCTATGGTACGCTCGATGGATTTAGGCTTATTGCATATCCTTAGTTAAATAGCATTATCTAGACCATAGATTAATCATGTAACTAAACCCTATATCATAATTCTCTAAATACTAATATAGTGCATATGATATGTTGTATACATCTTGGAGAATCAGAATCATTGATTATGTTATTAGTATATGTGATATTAGGGTTTAAGTTCTATAGATTTAGGGTATATGATTTATTTATTTGAAACTTAATCTCCCTTTTCAAATTTTCTGCAATGAGGACATTAGGAAGGACATTTTTGTCTTCACAATTATCTGTATTTTTTTATTTATTTACAGAAAAAGATAGACATATTGAGATTTGAACCATGGTCACTTCAAATAAAGTGAAGGTTTAAAATCAATCAGACTATGTAGATTTGTTGTATTTTTTTAAATTAAAAATATATACGAAGCTAAAATATGAAATCACATAACTTTTCAACAGTTAGCTAGCCCAATAAATATTCTGTAAGTACTTATTTGGTGTTTTGATACTTCGATTTTGATATTTTTTATTTCAATTATAGTTTAATACTTAATTTAAAATTTATCTATCTTATAAATAGACGATAATCATAAATTTGCAACCAAAATATTGTTGGTTTGAATATTTCATATCGAATTATAGTATTGAATATGTAGAAGCGATATATAATTCTTAAATTACCATTAATTTCCAGAACTATAGTGAAGCAATCATATCTTTGTGCAAACTATAGAGTACTGGTTCTCTAAACATTTTCGTCTGGTTAAATACTAAGTTTTGAAACTCTTCTTAGGGGTGTACGTGGTTCGGTTCATTTGGGTTTAGATATTTTAATCACCTAACTCGTATACCACAATTTTGAAAACATTAAATACAAACTCACCCAAATAATTTAGAATTTTAACGGTTTGTGTCCTCCATACCAAATGAACCAATTTATATGTCGCTTAACTAAGGACGATCTCATTGTCCAATCCCATCATTCTAATGTCAATACATAAAAGTAACCCATATTCGCGTTGGTTAACCATGTTTCACATTGTCATTACTGTGACCAATAACTTCGCTGCAACTGATTCGGTATTGCTCATCATATGGCCTCCAAACTGATAAACATATCGAGCCAACAGTTTTATGACAAAACTCAAAGTGAAGCGACATATAAATTGCAAGCATAATGATTGCTAAAATTAAGCTTTCACGCAACACATTGGGAGTTGGGGGATGTGAACTTGGAGTAAAAGTTGATATTGGGTTTGGGAAGGGAAGTGGTGAGAGGAAGAAATTGTGTTTGAATTTGGTAGCAGGTAAAGTTCATGGTTCGGTTTCTTTTCTTAAAATGCTTTGATTTATTTTAGTTAGAGGTATAATATCATGGTTATGTGGGATCAAATGAACCAAAAATGAGCTTGGGGGATGGGAATTCCAACTTAGAAGGAGTGGATTAGATTTTGATAAACTCAAGTTCATGATTAACTGAAAGAATATTTAGATTTAGACTTTGTGGTATTGAGATGTTCATAGAGAGTTTAAAACTGATCCAAGGCCATGGATCGATATTGGTTAGTTGATTGTGATTTTGAGGAACGAGTATAAAAAGTCATGGAAGTAGTTTTCAACAAGTGAAGGCAGTGAAGAGACAGTTGGTCGGGCTAGTGATTGAACCAATGAGGGTCTTGAGTTGAAAGACATAGAAGCAAAATCAGAGCAGTTGAAGAGAGAGAAGTGGTAGATGATCAGGATATTAATGAAAATGGAGAGGGTATTGAAGGGTATGAAAGTGAACTGGATCAGGTGAAGGGCTGAAGGCAGAGAAGGAGGAGAAGAGCATATTGATGGATTTGAAGATAAGTGTTGGTTTTACGAGATTATTAAAACTGTCCCGAGGAAGATGAGTTGGCCTAATACAAGAAAGAGGATTGAGAAGTTGGAGATCACGCTGACAAGAAACTCAATTGAAAGAGAAGTTCAGGTTCATGGAGAGACGGTCCATCAAAGTAGTATAAATGGAGTTGCAGAAGGAGGATTAGAAATAGAATTTTTGTTTAAAACACATACGTCGAGAGATTGAAGATGGAGGGGATAAAAGTTGGTTGTACAACGGAGAGTGGAAACTATTGGATCTTTAGGTGTTATGGTTATTGCAATTATCACAACCTATGTTTATGTTAAAACGAGGAATCATTGATTGATTTATAACATCTTGGCAGTGACGTGGCGCGTTGACCGTTAGTCAACGCGTTTGACCGTCCAAGTTAACGGTCAAATATCGGGTTTGGCCAAATTGTTTATTTTGGTGTATAGTTCGGGCCAGGATGTTATAGATCGAAAAGATTGACCAGGATATTTATTTTGATCAAAGTTCAGGTCATACGAAAATATTAACCCTAAAAGAAATGTAAATATTAAAGAAGAGAGAGATAGCTCAATAAACACATTAATAATTAAGTTTTTTGTTTATAAAAAAGGTGCCCAACTTGGCAACTTGTGGGTCATTCAAGTGCTTATGTGACAAGAGATTGTTTTTGAATTGCCATAATATATAGTCTAGTATAGATAGATAGATATAGATTGGATGTAACTCTAATTTTGTCATTTGCTCTCAAGTTTTGATAGTCTCCTTTTAGTTGAGTTGTTAGCATATGATTTAATTGAAACAATAAATCTTCATTTCTGTTTTTTTTATATATCCTTTTCTCTTTTATTAGTGGCATGTTATTCATAGAGGAGAGTTTTGAACCATTTATGTGGTATTATGAGGTTTCATTTCAGTTTTAAACTATATATGGATCGTGTGGAATTCCAATGAGCTTTTATATTATATATTTCTGGACAATCTATTAACCAATATCATTTTAATGGGGGCTCAATTATTATTATGAAAATGGGATTAATGATACAGTTTTATATTCTTAAATGATGAGGGTATTTTCCAGAACGTTCGACCTATATATTCATTCTTTATGTAGCATCTCGATTGAATGATTTTCAATAAACTTAAACTAATTAATAGACTTAATTATAAAAATATAAATATTAAAATATGAACATTCCGGCCAACGGGGCCGGTTATAAGCTAGTAGCGAGTACAGTGCTTTGTCGGGATTGATTTGGATTCAGGGTTTGATTAATTTGATTATTTGAGCAATGACACACTGATACCAATACCATCATAATACATAATGGTCGCCCAGTGCGGATACATGGTGCTTTTGGAAAAACGATTATCCAACCTCCGGTAGTAGTATCGTGCAGATAAAATGAAACATAATTGAGCTTTTCGGAATTGGAGCGAAATTAGTTTTTAGATCTTTGAAAGATTTGATGAATTTTGCCTATTAATTTCAATATATAGAAGTTGGGATTTCACCCTTTGATTGGTTTTGAACTTCTGAAATAATTTGAATACATATTTGTCTTTTAGTAAAGATTATATTTTAATCATCTTATTGAGAGTACCCTAAGGCCGAATCTGCGATCCAACGCCTTCAAAATTCAAGGAAATGACCATTCCAAAAATCGCCTGAAATCGGTGATGATACCCCTTTGGAAACTGGCAAAAATTGCCCCAGGAGTTTTCCGACCGAATCGCTGTTTAATAGACTTATTCATCACTAAAAAATAGCATCAGACCGATCCCGTGATCTGCACCCTTCAAAATATAAGGAAAATGGCATTCCGAAAAATCGCCCAAAATTACGAAAATGCCCTCCGGAAAAATTCGTCCAAATTTCTGCCCAATTCGGCCATTGCTAGACTTCATCTTTGGTGTAGAGTACCCTAAGGCTGAATATGTGATCCATCGCCTTCAAAATCCAAGAAAAATGATCATTCCAAAAAATCTACCGAAATCGGTGATGATACCCCTTTGGAAACTGGCAAAAATTGCCCCGAGAGTTTTCCGACCGAATCACTGTTTAATAGACTTATTCATCCCTAAAGAATAGCCCCAGTCCGAATCCATTATCTGCACCCTCCAAAATCGAAAGAAAACGGCCTTCCGAAAACATCGCCTAAAAATTACGAAAATGCCCTCCGAAAAAATTCGTCCAAATTTCAGCCCAATTCGGCCATTGCTAGACTTCATCTTTGGTGTAGAGTACCCTAAGGCCAAATATGTGATCCATCGCCTTCAAAATCCAAGAAAAAAGATCATTCCAAAAAATCGACCAAAATCGGTGATGGTACCCATTTGGAAACTGGCAAAAATTGCCCGGGGAGTTTTCCGGCCGAATCGCTGTTTAATAGACTTATTCATCTCTAAATAATAGCCCCAGGCCGAATCCGTTATCTGCACCCTCCAAAATCGAAGGAAAATGGCCTTCCGAAAACATCGCCTAAAAATTACGAAAATGCTCTACGAAAAAATTCGTCCAAATTTCCGCCCAAATCGGCCATTGCTAGACTTCATCGTTGGTGGAGAGTACCCTAAGGCCGAATCCGTGATCCATCGCCTTCTAAATCCAAGGAAAATGATCATTCCAAAAAATCGCCCAAAATCGGTGATGGTACCCATTTGGAAACTGGCAAAAATTGCCCCGGGAGTTTTCCGACCGAATCGCTGTCTAATAGAATTATTCATCCCTAAATAATAGCCACAGGCCGAATCCGTGATTTGTACCATCCAAAATCAACGGAAAATGGCCTTCCGAAAAAATCGCCTAAAAATTACGAAAATGCCCTCCGGAAAAATTCGTCCAAATTTCCTCCCAAATCGGCCATTGCTAGACTTTATCGTTGGTGGAGAGTGCCCTAAGGCCGAATCTGTGATCCATTGCCTTCAAAATCCAAGGAAAATGACCATTCCAAAAAATCGCCTGAAATCGGTGATAGTACCCCTTTGGAAAATGGCAAAAATTGCCCCAGGAGTTTTCCTACCGAACCGCTGTTTAATAGACTTATTCATCCCTAAAGAATAGCCTCTGGCCGAATTCGTGATCTGCACCCTTCAAAATCGAAGGAAAATGGCCTTCCGAAAAAATCGCCTAAAAATTACGAAAATGCCCTCCGTAAAAATTCGTCCAAATTTCCTTCCAAATCGGCCAATGCTAGACTTCATCGTTGGTAGAGAGTGCCCTAAGGCCGAATCTGTGATCCATCGCCTTCAAAATCCAAGGGAAACGACCATTCCAAAAAATTGCCAGAAATCGGTGATGGTACCCCTTTGGAAAATGACAAAAATTGCCCCGGGAGTTTTCCGACCGAACCGCTGTTTAATAGACTTATTCATCCCTAAAGAATAGCCTCAGGCCGAATTCGTGATCTGCACCCTTCAAAATCGAAGCAAAATGGCCTTCCGAAAAAAATCGCCTAAAAATTACGAAAATGCCCTCCGGAAAAATCCGTCCAAATTTCCTCCCAAATCGGCCATTGCTAGACTTCATCGTTGGTGGAGAGTGCCCTAAGGCCGAATATGTGATCCATCGCCTTCAAAATCCAAGGAAAACGACCATTCCAAAAAATCTCCCGAAATCGGTGATGGTACCCCTTTGGAAACTGGCAAAAATTGCCCCGGGAGTTTTCCGACCGAACCGCTGTTTAATAGACTTATTCATCCCTAAAGAATAGCCTCAGGCCGAATTCGTGATCTGCACCCTTCAAAATCGAAGGAAAATGGCCTTCCGAAAAAAATCGCCTAAAAATTACGAAATTGCCCTCCGGAAAAATTCGTCCAAATTTCCTCCCAAATCGGCCATTGCTAGACTTCTTCGTTGGTGGAGAGTGCCCTAAGGCCGAATCTGTGATCCATCGCCTTCAAAATCCAAGGAAAACGACCATTCCAAAAAATCGCCCGAAATCGGTGATGGTACCCCTTTGGAAACTGGCAAAAATTGCCCCGGGAGTTTTCCGACCGAACTGTTGTTTAATAGACTTATTCATCCCTAAAGAATAGCCTCAGGCCTAATTCTTGATCTGCACCCTTCAAAATCGAGGGAAAATGGCCTACCGAAAAAATCGCCTAAAAATTACGAAAATGCCCTCCGGAAAAATTCGTCCAAATTTCCGCCCAAATCGTCCATTGCTAGACTTCATCGTTGGTGGAGAGTGCCCTAAGGCCGAATCTGTGATCCATCGCCTTCAAAATCCAAGGAAAACGACCATTCCAAAAAATCGCCCGAAATCGGTGATGGTACCCCTTTGGAAACTGGCAAAAATTGCCCCGGGAGTTTTCCGGCCGAACCGCTGTTTAATAGACTTATTCATCCCTAAAGAATAGCCTCAGGCCGAATTCGTGATCTGCACCCTTCAAAATCGAAGGAAAATGGCCTTCCGAAAAAAATCGCCTAATAATTACGAAATTGCCCTCCGGAAAAATTCGTCCAAATTTCCTCCCAAATCGGCCATTGCTAGACTTCATCGTTGGTGGAGAGTGCCCTAAGGCCGAATCTGTGATCCATCGCCTTCAAAATCCAAGAAAAACGACCATTCCAAAAAATCGCCCGAAATCGGTGATGGTACCCCTTTGGAAACTGGCAAAAATTGCCCCGGGAGTTTTCCGACCGAACCGCTGTTTAATAGACTTATTCATCCCTAAAGAATAGCCTCAGGTCGAATTCGTGATCTGAACGCTTCAAAATCGAAGGAAAATGGCCTTCCGAAAAAATCGCCAAAAAATTATGAAAATGCCCTCTTGAAAAATTCGTCCAAATTTCCACCCAAATCGTCCATTTCAAGAATTCATCATTGGTGGAGAGTGCCCTAAGGCCGAATCTGTGATCCATCGCCTTCAAAATCCAAGGAAAATGACCATTCCAAAAAATCGCCCGAAATCGGTGATAGTACCCTAACTGGCAAAAATTGCCCCCGGAGTTTTCCGACCGAACTGCTGTTTAATAGACTTATTCATCCCTAAAGAATAGCCTCAAGCCGAATTCGTGATCTGCACCCTTCAAAATCGAAGGAAAATGGCCTTTCGAAAAAATCGCCTAAAAATTACGAAAATGCCCTCCGGAAAAATTCGTCCAAATTTCTGCCCAAATCGTCCATTGCTAGACTTCATCGTTGGTGGAGAGTGCCCTAAGGCCGAATCTGTGATCCATCGCCTTCAAAATCCAAGGAAAACGACCATTCCAAAAAATCGCCCGAAATCGGTGATGGTAACCCTTTGGAAACTGGCAAAAATTGCCCCGGGAGTTTTCCGACCGAACCGCTGTTTAATAGACTTATTCATCCCTAAAGAATAGCCTCAGACCGAATTCGTGATCTGCACCCTTCAAAATCGAAGGAAAATGGCCTTCCGAAAAAAATCGCCTAATAATTACGAAATTGCCCTCCGGAAAAATTCGTCCAAATTTCCTCCCAAATCGGCCATTGCTAGACTTCATCGTTGGTGGAGAGTGCCCTAAGGCCGAATCTGTGATCCATCGCCTTCAAAATCCAAGGAAAACGACCATTCCAAAAAATCGCCCGAAATCGGTGATGGTACCCCTTTGGAAACTGGCAAAAATTGCCCCGGGAGTTTTCCGACCGAACCGCTGTTTAATAGACTTATTCATCCCTAAAGAATAGCCTCAGGTCGAATTCGTGATCTGAACCCTTCAAAATCGAAGGAAAATGGCCTTCCGAAAAAATCGCCAAAAAATTATGAAAATGCCCTCTTGAAAAATTCGTCCAAATTTCCACCCAAATCGTCCATTTCAAGAATTCATCGTTGGTGGAGAGTGCCCTAAGGCCGAATCTGTGATCCATCGCCTTCAAAATCCAAGGAAAATGACCATTCCAAAAAATCGCCCGAAATCGGTGATAGTACCCTAACTGGCAAAAATTGCCCCCGGAGTTTTCCAACCGAACTGCTGTTTAATAGACTTATTCATCCCTAAAGAATAGCCTCAAGCCGAATTCGTGATCTGCACCCTTCAAAATCGAAGGAAAATGGCCTTTCGAAAAAATCGCCTAAAAATTACGAAAATGCCCTCCGGAAAAATTCGTCCAAATTTCCGCCCAAATCGTCCATTGCTAGACTTCATCGTTGGTGGAGAGTGCCCTAAGGCCGAATCTGTGATCCATCGCCTTCAAAATCCAAGGAAAACGACCATTCCAAAAAATCGCCCGAAATCGGTGATGGTACCCCTTTGGAAACTAGCAAAAATTGCCCCGGGAGTTTTCCGACCGAACCGCTGTTTAATAGACTTATTCATCCTTAAAGAATAGCCTCAGGCCGAATTCGTGATCTGCACCCTTCAAAATCGAAGGAAAATGGTCTTCCGAAAAAAATCGCCTAAAAATTATGAAAATGCCCTCCGGAAAAATTGGCCCAAATTTCCGCCCAAATCGGCCATTGCTAGACTTCATCGTTGGTGGAGAGTGCCCGAAGGCCGAATCTGTGATCCATCGCCTTCAAAATCCAAGGAAAACGACCATTCCAAAAAATCGCCCGAAATCGGTGATGGTACCCCTTTGGAAATTGGCAAAAATTGCCCCGGGAGTTTTCCGACCGAACCGCTGTTTAATAGACTTATTCATCCCTAAAGAATAGCCTCAGGCCGAATTCGTGATCTGCACCCTTCAAAATCGAAGGAAAATGGCCTTCCGAAAAAATCGCCTAAAAATTATGAAAATGCCCTCCGGATAAAGTCGTCCAAATTTCCTCCCAAATCGGCCATTGCTAGACTTCATCGTTGGTGGAGAGTGCCCTAAGGCCGAATCTGTGATCCATCGCCTTCAAAATCCATGGAAAACGACCATTCCAAAAATGAAGTCTCCCTCACCGAGCTTTGTCCTCGCTAAAATGCCAGTCGATGAGTTTCAATCGAGTAATTATTCTTTCCATTTGTTTTGGTTTTAAATGCTCTGTGGAATTACAAAGTCAGTGCCCGCCCGTCGGCCAGATGAATTTCCTTAATAGTATAAATAACCTTAGTAATTGTCCGAAGCAAGACATATTTTATTTTATATCATAAAAGTTTAGAAATCATTTAGTTACTGCAGATATCATATACATAATTTTTAACATGCTATACCGGAACCAGCTCTTACACAGTTACCCATCCTCTACTGCTCTTGAGAGTACTGTATTCATAACTAACGTCCACTGGAACTAGCTTTCCGAATGTTCTTACGTTCACCGTAGAGTGATAGACTTGGGTTAGCTTGGACGAGGAAATTTTAACGTATTAATTTGGATTAAATGTTTTGTTTAGAGACAATTAGACCAAATTAATTTGTTTATCAACCTAAAATTTGGATGAAACAATTAATTTGGAGAATTCCAAATTGATCCATTTTGAGTTAATTTTAATTGTGCAGGAATAAAACAGGTAACTCGAATCAGCTCGTTCTATTTGACTCATTTTATAAAATAAGATAATATCTCATTTATGAATTGATCCATGCCTTTTAAATTTTCATGACCGACTCTACCAAAAGAAACCTGTCTTGGTTTACAACTTTCTACTAACCTCGATTGTCAAAGTAAGTGACCATCCGGTTCCACGAATGCAAATGAGGGAATGGAGCACAGCCCCCTTTGAATATTTGCAAATAGAAAAGTCTACAAAGTGGAAGACAATCTATTTCACGTGGGCCACAGGTTGACTGACTCGGCGTCCCTCGCATACTATATGCGTGTGTAGGACACTCACATAGTCACATACTCGCATACACAATTTCCTCGCCTACCTCTTTTGAGACCTATCCTCTCTAGTGATCTCTTCTCCCCCTTTCATCAAATTCGACCAAACTTCTGCATTGATTTGTTCAATACCCACAGTCTGTTTTTTTTTTTTTAAAAAAAACCCTAATTAATGGTATCCCCTTACCACTCTTCATCCTTCCGCTCCCTCCTCCTAACACTCTGTACCCTCATAATCACGATCAGCACCTCCTCCGTTTCGTCACAAGACGATGATGATCAAGGCCAGAGATTCCAAGACTGCGCCCGCCTGTTCGAGTGCGGCGACATCCAAGCCGCCTACCCTTTCTGGGGCGGCGGCCGCCCTAGCTACTGCGGCCTCTCCGACCTCAACCTCACTTGCAACGCGACCACCCAGATCACCACCATCACCATCCTAGACCTCACTTATCAGGTCCTCCGAGTCGACGATTTCTCCCGTATCCTAACCCTGGTCCGGGCCGACAACCGGGCCGATCTCTGCCCCGCGGAGCCCCTCATCAACACCACCACCATTGAATCCTCTCTGCTCTCTCTCGCGCCGGACACTCAGTTAGTCACGCTTTACTACGGGTGCTCGCCGCTGGGGAACGGGGTCCAAGCCCCGGCGAGTTTGGGGCGGTTCAATTGCGGCCGCGACAACAGTTCCCAGGACTACTTTGTGACGAGCGAGGGCCTGGCGGGGTCCTACGACGCGGCGGTCAGGACCTTGTTGGGTTCCTGCGGGGCTCGAGTTACGGTTCCGGCGAATCGGACGGCGGTGGCGGGATTGGAATCGTCGCCCACGGCGGAGAGGTTGGAGGCGGCCATTGGCCAGGGGTTTGGGGCGAGGTGGGCCGCGAATGACACTTTGTGCGCCACGTGTCGGGATTCCGGTGGCCAGTGTGGGTCAGTCGGGGGGTCGTTTACTTGCTGGCCGCCGGTGGATCAAACTGGTACCCATTCTTCTTTATTCAATCTCGTTTCGTCCTCCGTTATAGAGGGGTTAATTGCAAGGATGGTCACTGGGTTTACTAAAACCGTTCATGTTTGGTCACTGCAAATATTTAATTCCATTCATGGTCACTAAGATTACTTCAATAGTTCAAGTTTGGTCACTCTCCGTTAGTCTCCGTTAGTTTTTGCTGATGTGGCAGTCAACTATTATAGTTGACCGTTAAATGAGTGACGTGGCCAATAAAAAAATAATAAAATAATAAAATTTAAATATTTATAATTTCCACCTCATTTTACAACTATTAAAAATAATAATAAAAATAAAACTTACATCCTCCAAAAAAAATTCATTAATCGCTCCTCTTTCCAGCTTATTAGTTCGTTGGCAAACCACTCTGAATAACCATTTTTGGCTGCCCCTGTTTTTCCTGACTCTACATGTTTGTCTCTATTTTCCAGGTCGAGTTTTGGTTCGCCCATGTCGTATGGCAATTCAGCCCTCCTCTGTAGTTAGATAACCCATGAGACAATTGTAAGGCTAGGAAGAGAGGAAAAGAACACACGGGAAAGAATGTTGGAATACATCTCCTTCACCTTCATCTCCACCTCCATCCTCTTCTTCTTCCTCCTCAAATCCCGTCCGGCAAACAAAAACCCATATCCAGGATCCTACCCTGTAATCGGAAACATCAACAGCTTCCTCCGGAACTTCCACCGGTTCCACGACTGGGTCACGGAGATGCTCCACCGCACGCCGTCGGCGTCGGTTCAAGTCAACTCCTTACTCAACATCTCCACCGGTGTCTGCACTTCGAATCCAGACAACATCCAGCACATGCTGACTTCCCCAAACGTCTTCAGCTACATCAAGGGCTCCCGCTTCCACGCTGTCCTCCACGACCTCCTCGGCGACGGCATCTTCAACGCCGACGGCCAGATCTGGGCCGTCCAGCGCAAAATCGCCAGCAACGAGTTCTCCACCAGGTCGCTAAAACTGTTTGTGTCGGAAGTGGTGGACTCGGAGATCTCCGAAAACTTGCTTCCCTTTCTGTCCGAAGCAGAGGAGGAAAACAGGGGTTTCGATCTTCAGCAGGTGTTGAATAAATTCGCTTTCAGAAGCATTTGCAGAGTTGGGTTCGGTGTGGATCCTGAATTGTTTGTCCAGGATCTCGATTTCATGAAAGCATTCGACTACGCGGTGGAGACTTGCTTCTCGAGGTTCACCTCCCCTGTTCCTCTGTTTTGGAAGCTCAAGAGGTTTCTCAATCTCGGGTCGGAGAGGCGGTTCAAAGAGTCGGTCAACACGATCAACGATTTTTCTCAGTCATTGAATTGAATCAAAAGAAATCGAAAGCCAGAACCATCAAGATCTGCTGGCGAGATTCATGGTTTGGAGCTCGTCAATGGAGTTCGAAGGCGAAAAACAGAGGCACAACGAACTAATAAGCTGGAAAGAGGAGCGATTAATGAATTTTTTTGGGGAGGATGTAAGTTTATTTTTATTATTATTTTTAATAGTTGTAAAATGAGGTGGAAATTGTAAATATTTAAATTTAATTTTTTTATTATTTTTTTATTGGCCACGTCACTCATTTAACGGTCAACTATAATAGTTGACTGCCACATCAGCGAAAACTAACGGAGACTAACGGAGAGTGACCAAACTTGAACTATTGAACTAATCTTAGTGACCATGAATGGAATTAAATATTTTCAGTGACCAAACATGAACTGTTTTAGTAAACCCAGTGACCATCCTTGCAATTAACCCTAGAATAAAGTTACTGATAATAAACTAATAAAAAGTTCATTTAACTCGTGTCTCGCAGTCTCGGGGGATGTTTGGTTAAAAAGTTATACCGAAAATGTTAAAGAACTAATAGGGATGTTTTGAATTAAGACTTTGTATAAATTATGGTTTCGACCGGTTCGTATTCTTTAAGATTCGGTATTCGTTGTTTCCGATTCGATCGGCCGATAGAGTTTTTAAAATATTACTTTGCTTGCGTGCCATTTGGCCGGCCAAAATATATTTGAATAGGGAAACTTTCTGTAATCTATATTTGTGGTTCTAGAAAAGGAAAAGTCTATCAAAGTAGCAAAATAGTTATTTGAGTTGATTTTTCCCACTAAGACGGAAAAAATACTCTTTTTTTTTTTTTTGTAGAAAAAACAACAACACTCATTGTATGGCTGGAAAGGTAATGCGCCGTGGCGGGTGGATACTTTAATAATTAATAGACTTAGTCATTTTGTATTAAGTATGGGTTAGGTGGGGTAGTATTCATGCATATGCATATATGAGGTAGAATGTTTGTAAGTCAATTGATAAGATTAACAGGGATTTCATCTGGGGGGAGGGTGAGCAGCAGCAAGGAAGGTGCATTTGGTGGCTTGGGAGAAACTTACTGAGCCAAGGAGCCAAGGCGGAGCCGGGCTGCGACCCCTGAGGCAAGCTAACTTGGCCCTTTTGGCCAAAGGGGGTTGGAGATTACTGCAGGAAAAGGACTCTCTCTGGACGCAGCTTATTCGGGCTAAGTACGGTAGACAGCGAGAAGGGCTTGACCTTCTACGCCCAAGTCAGGGAAGTTCCTTTGCCTGGAGAAGCTTCACTAAAGCTTCTAGCATTCTGCAACAAGGCTGTGCTTGGAATATCCACAACGGGAAGGACACTAAATTTTGGAATGATGTTTGGTTGATGCAGGTCCCGCTGGTGGAGGTGGCTCTGCAACCGGTGCCAGAAGGAATGTTGTTGGAGTCTGTAGCTGACTACATCGCGGAAGATGGAAGCTGGGAGGTGGAGCGCCTGACCCCCTGGCTCCCGACGGAGATCCTGCAGAAGATGACAGCGGTGGCGGTCGATCCCCTTTCCACCGAGAAGGACAGGTTGTTCTGGAGCGGTACATCCAATGGTCGTTTTTCCACGAAGTCAGCCTACCTTCTGGCGAATCCTCCTCGAGATGATCCGCGACAAAGACTTTGGAAGCAGATTTGGAGACTCCCAGTTTCAGAGCGGATTCGGTGCTTCGCTTGGCTGGTCTCCTTGGGCAAGATTGCGACTAATCAACTGCGGTGCTCAAGAAAGTGTGCTGCCTCTCCTAATTGCTATCGATGTGATGGTGTGATCGAGTCTATTGGGCATGTTCTTCGAGATTGCCCACCGGCAGCTTATTTCTGGAGCAGGCACGTCCCATATGCTGAGCAGCAGGTGTTCTTTTCATTGCCTACAGGGACATGGTTACATAGGAATCTTCTCAAAGAAGAGGCCACTGCTTCAGGGGTTAACTGGAATGCCTTTTTCAGCACGGCTATCTGGCTTTTGTGGAAAAATCGATGCATGGGCTGTTTTAAAGGTATTTCTGCCACTTTCTCGGCTCCATCCCTGAGCCACGCTATTGATCACAAAGTTGGCTTGTGGAACAAGGCGTGGAACGCTCCCTCCCTCTCCCTAGGCAGGCCTAAGCACGTCCTTGATAGAAGGGTAGAAAGCATTCAATGGAGAGCCCCTACTAGCGGTTGCTTTAAACTCAATGTGGATGGGTCCTCGGCAGGGAATTCGGGTATTGCAGGTGCCGGTGGACTGATACGTGATGATCAGGGAGGATGGGTCACTGGTTTTGTGGCCAAGATTGGGGAAGCTCCGGCGATCTCGGCAGAGCTATGGGCCATCTTCCATGGGCTGGGTATTGCTTGGCGGCACAGATGTGCTAGTTTGATTGTGGAGACAGACTCCCAGGTGGCTATACAGCTGATTAAGGATCGACAGGACCCTATCCATCCTTATGCTTCTTTGCTGACATCGATTCGTCGTCGCTTATCTCAGGATTGGTTGGTCAATGTGGTTCATACATACAGGGAAGGGAATAGAGCCGCGGACTGGCTCTCGAAGCACAGTCTCGTCTATCCCTACGGTATGCAAGAACTTGTTGAACCACCCAGTGAGCTGAGTCGAGTTCTTCAGGAGGATATGCAGGGGGTCTCTTTCGAGCGACAGATTGTAGTGCATCACGATAGATAGTTCGTTCTCTTTCTCTCTCCTCTAGCCTTGTATTCTCTTTCTTGGCTTCGGCCTCCAAGCAATGCAAAAAAATATATGAGGTAGAATGTAAACATAAATGATTGAAAAACCGTATTGGAGGTTTCACTTAAAAAGTGAGCGAGCTGGTGTTTATGTAGAAATCGTTGTTTAATTATGGTTCAATCGTTTCATACCGCAAAATACCATCTATAGGTTCCGCTTTCGATAAGAAGTTTCATCTGATCGAACCGTCGATACTGTAAGTTTTTTAATCCTTGGCACGAATGACAAAAATAGCCATAATTTCGTATATCCACCTGAATCCTATCCAAATGGGTAGAGTTAAACCCGATCAACATCTCATAAAAGTATTCATTTTTTATTATCATGTCTTAGCATTGGTGGTTTTTATTTATTCTTTTTCACCTTGATAATGTTAATATATTTGTAATTAGCAACAAAATAGTTGAGAAGATAAAGGAAAAATAGTATCCATTAATAGTAACCAAGGTTGTTAACCTGTGGGTCGATTCGTCGGTTGATCTGTTTCCTGATTCGATGAGGATAATGGGCCAAATACACTCGCAGGGTTACCCGCTGCAAGTTTACTGGGTTGGAGGTTACATGCCGTCGTTTTTTCTTTTGTGTTGCGAAATGCGGATCGTTTCGGTTTTCGTTTTCGCCTAACACTATCTTTGGAATTCTTAGTTGAACATTTGAATATTTATGTAATATAAAAGTGTGTGAAATTTCTCTATATGTTAGATACAAGTACGATATGTTATTTTGGTGTGATATTATATATTATTACTCATATGTTAGATGAGATTTGATATAATTTATAAATGAATAAACAATATAATGATTTTCTTCATTATCCAGGCTAGACCGGTCAAACCAATAATCCTCGACCCGCTTGCTCAACCGGGCCAATGATATAAACCGGATTGACAACCTTGATAATAACAAAATAGTTAAGAAGATAAAGAAAAAATATTATAGTTACAATTTTCTTTCCTGTTTGTTTAATTTGTTGTTGCCTACATTCTTTCTTTCAGCCTTTGTTTTGGCTGTCTTGTTTTGTTTTCAATAAGATGATGTAAGTCGTATTGAAAAAATTTACAATCCACACGATCCACTTTAATATGTTTTAATTATGGATGGAAAAACGGTATCGTACTCGGTGGTTTGACAACGGATGTTAAAAAAATAGTTTGTATTTAGTCGTATGAAATGGTTGAACCACTATAAAATTACGGCTCCAACATAAAATATCATACCACTTATTTTTTCGATATGATTTTACAATCCTTAGCTTTTTATTACACTTAAATTGGCCATATAAAAATGTTTAATCTCTTGTATTCCACTGAGTGATACAAGGTTTTAATATAAACACATATATCCACACCACCTGTAGTTATTCCATCTAAATTTAGTTAAACCATGTAATGCTAGTTAGAGAGTAGATGTCGTTGGAATTTACTTATTTATTTAGGGGTAACTACTTCCATCAGTGCATGTAATTTGGCTCGGGAGTTGTCTCTAAGTTATATAAGATTTATCATTAAACTTCTTCTAATAACTCGAGTTACTGACACTAATTAGTATTTTTTACACTCTTACAGGAGGATACGCAAAGAGTAAGACAACTCGTAAGTTTATCGCCATTCTCCTTCCCGTCTTCGGCGGAGCCACCATACTCGGGGTTTTCTTCTTCGTACTATGCAGCCGCGCGAGGAGACGGAAGAAGAGATCGATAATTCCACTACTTCATCAGCAGAGTAAGCAATAATAGCAATCATTAATGTTGGTGAAATCATCCTTCGCTGTAATTAATTATCCCCTCTCTGTGAATCAATCAATAAAAGTGGCGGAAGTAATGAGCAGCGATGGACCTGGCAAACTACTGCAATTTGATTTCGACGGGATCAGAGCTGCAACGAACGGTTTCGCGGATGGAAGGAAGCTCGGACAAGGTGGATTTGGAGCTGTGTACAAGGTTTGGTTTTGGGCTTTTAATTTGAGGGCTTCCTCAAAATTTACTTTCACATTGGGTGTTGGTTAAGGTGGTAAATCGGTTGGGTCGGGTGGTCGAGTCATGATGGGGAGGGGAGGGTCTTATTTGAGTCGGGTGATAATGAGTGGCCGAGCAATAACTGATAGCTGGTCAGCCTAGTTATTCTGCTAACTTGAAAATTTGTTAGTTTATACTAATTAATATCCAAAATGTATACACTAATATCGAAGTCTGCTAAGTATCTAGATAGCACGGACTAGTATTCAAAACATCACAAACTAGTATCCAGATAGCAGATGCCAACTAATATCCACAATCAACCAACTAGTATTCAATATGGATACTCTTATGGGTTATCTTGATACTCTTATGTGTTATCTGGATACTAATTATGTGTTATTTGGATACTATTCTGTGTTGTTTAGATATCAGTTTGTGAATTTGGGATAATAATTGATTCATGGTGGATATCAATTAGCAAATTTTGAATAATAGTCTATGCTCTCTAGATACTTTAGTACTTAGATATTAGTTCATGTATTTTGGATATCAGTTAGTATCTGCTAACGAATCTTCAAGTTAGCATATTAACTTTTCCCATAGCTGGTGGCATGAATGATTTAATGACATGTTATCGGAACAGTTGATACCATATCATATATAAATTGTTTATGAAAAATTTAGTAGTTCTAGGACAAATAAAAATTCTAGTTCATACCAATATCATGAACAACTTTTGTTTGGTCAAATATTGGACAAATGATTTCACTATTTCAGGGCACTCTATCATATGGACAACACATAGCAGTCAAGAGACTATGTAGGCATTCAGAGCAGGGAGACTTGGAATTCAAGAACGAAGGAGAACTGGTGGCCAAGCTTCAACACAGAAACTTGGTTAGATTTCTTGGTTTCTGCTTGAAAGGGAACGAAAGGCTTCTCATCTACGAGTTTGTGCCTAACGCTAGCCTTGACCATTTCCTTTTTGGTAAGCACAAGGATTCAAAATCATTCAACTCACTTTAACTTCAAATACCTCTAAATTTCACCATTGACATATAACTGTGTAGACCCAAACAAGAGAGTACATTTGGATTGGGAAAGACGCTATAAGATCATTGGTGGCATAGCTCGAGGGCTCATTTACCTACACGAGGACTCCCGGCTCCGGATCATTCATCGGGATCTCAAAGCTGGCAACATTTTGTTAGATGCGGAGATGAACCCCAAGATTGCCGATTTCGGGTTGGCTAGACTTTTTGACTTCAACGAAACGGAAGGCACTACGAGAAGAGTTGTTGGAACTTAGTAAGTATAACGCGTGTATATTCAATTATTCACATTTTAAGCTTGGATAATAAGGTCAAACTTGGCTTGCATTAAATTGGGTGGGTTTTGCAGCGGCTATATGGCTCCAGAGTATCTCATGCATGGCAATTTCTCGATAAAGTCGGACGTATTTAGTTTTGGTGTGCTTGTTCTGGAGATTGTGAGCGGCAAAAGGAACAGACTTGTTCGTGGTGGATCCTCTGAGGAGGATCTTTTAACTTATGTAAGTATTTCTAGCGTCAAATTGGAGAATCGATTAATACAATAAACCCACATATATATATAGCTATATTAATTTGTTGCATGTATGTAGGCATGGAAGAGTTGGAGGAACGCGATGTATTCGAACCTAATAGACCCATCTCTGGAGAACGGCGACGTTTCAGGTGTGGAGATGACGAGATGCATCCACATTGGATTGTTATGCGTCCAAAAGAATGCAGACGACCGGCCCACCATGGCCACGGTTGCTCAGATGCTGACTAACTACTCGTTGACTCCGCCGCAGCCTTCCAAGCCGGGGTTTTTCATGCAAACCGCCGGCGCCGGAGGAGAATCGGAGGAAGGAGCAGCGGCATCTAATTCTCGATCTGGAATTCATGAGGCCGCCGTCCCTTTGTCTTGGAATGAAGTCTCCCTCACCGAGCTTTGTCCTCGCTAAAATGACAGTCGATGGATCTTATGCCACTTGCGTATGCTGTTCCTTTGGAACGTGCGGCCGAAGTGAGTATTGGGATTGGCGGTGAAGGAAATGAGAAAAAGGAAAATTCATTTATATTATTTTGAAAAAATCAGAAATGAAATTGAGTATATACGGTACTTGTTTTAGTGCATTCAGTGCACTCACTTTGTAACCGTCATTTTAAACATGTGATTTATGTCAAAATAATGTCAATCATCACTTATGTTATAAACACGCTGCTACGGATCGGGAAATTGCCGGAATCGAGAAAGCAAGAATACGAAAGCGAGAATCGAAAACACGACACACGATTTACGTGGTTCACTAACACGATGTGTGTTAGCTAGTCCATGGGCGAGAGAGAGCCAAGTTCACTATATCGAGGAGATTACAGAGGAGCATGAGAAGTATTTATAGTACTTCTCCTAGGTCTAACCCTAATCCAATTTGGTAAAGGAAAAGCGGTTACAACTAGGCCCAGAACCCGAACCCAAATAACATCAAGTCACATCAACAACTTATGAAGTGATGAACAATAACACACATGAGTTTGCTCAAAAACCATTAAGGATTTACTTTAATTTGAAGAGTTTAGAGTTTAGAGATTTAGGGTTAGAGTTTAAATTTTGGGGTTTAGGAATAAAACTCAAAATTGGAGGTCTAGGGCTTAAGGTAATCCGCTAATTAGTTGTTATCATATGTTATATGATCATATTACACTAATTCTACAAATTAAAATTCAAAATCCGACAACATAAGACTAGTTTTTGAGTTGAGTGCATTGAACGCACACATTTTTGTGAGTGCACCGAAGTAGTCAATGTATATATAAAAGGATTACAAGGGCTGGATCCTTGTTGTATAATGCTCTTTTGTTTAGCTTTGGAATACTATTTTTTACCGATTTTGAAGGCGATAAATCACAGATTCTATATAGTTTTTGGGAATACTATTTTTCACCGAATTTGAATGCTATTTATCACATATTTTGACTGATTCTTCTGAATGTTACTGTTGGGGGTGTTACTAAGGGACAGAGCGCACAGACTAAGTAGTAGGGCGCATAGTCGGCGATGCCCAACGCTCGATACCCGCTACAGGTATATAAGGGCTTGAAGCCCTCCAAAGAAAGGGACTTCCCCTCTCTCCTCACTTTCTGCTTTTTGCTATCTCTCTACACCTTATCTCTCTACCTTATTCTCTCAACTCTCTCCACAAACATACACTGACTTGCTCGTCGGAGCTTAATCCGGGGGGCAACCCCGGCTCTTTCACAGGTTCTCTCCCTCCCGACGAGATCGGACGAACGGACGACGAGTCAACCCACACCAACAAATATCATTGTTCGATCCGGAGCTAGATGGGTCAAACAGTTACTATTTACCGATTTTAAAGGGTATCCATCACAGATTTTGACAACTTTGGAATGCAATTATTCACGGATTTGAAGGGACTAATCACATATTTTGGGCGATTTGTTTCGTTGAATTTTGACCATTTTTTGAAATGCTATTATTCAGAGATCTTGAAAGCCCCATCACAGATTTTGACCGATTCTTTGGAATAGTATTATTCAACAATATTAAAGACTATCAATCATAGATTGTGACTGATTTTTGGGAATACTATTTTTCATCGATTTTGAAGGCTATCCATCACAGGTTCTGACAGATTTTTGGGAATGCTATTATCAGTGATTTTGAAGTTTATCCATCACAAATTTTGGTTGATTTTTGGGAATGCTATTTTTCATCGACTTTGAATGTTATTCATCACAGATTTTGACCGATTTTTGGGAATGTTAGTTTTCATTGATTTTGAAGGCTATTTTTTATAAGGGTGAGAAATGCATTAATAAAGAAAGAAAGAAACAGAAGGTTCCAAGTTACAGAGGGAGGAGAGCGGCACCAGAGGTGCAGTATGCAACTCCGACAGCCAAACCAACAAAACAAAAACAAAAACCAGAGATAAAAAAAAAAAACAGAAAATTAAAGGAACAAGAAGTTAAAAGAAAAGAAATGCTCGTCCATGGACTTGGCCGACCCTTGCATTCTGCAAACTTTCCATAGGAAACCAACCAATCTAACATTTAGCTGACCGCCTTCTGAAACACAGCTATGACTCTGAGGCACTTATCTCTGAATAACTATTGGTTTCTATCTAGCCAAGCCTGATCCTCGAGGCATAGTTAGGAGTGCCCGGCCGAATGCGGACGCAACCAACCCATTCCCTGATCCCTACTGATTTTTCCCTGTGCAACCAGGCACTCCACCATAGATCTAATCGCCTTCCAAGAAACCTCTTTGGCACCTTGCTTACGTCTTGGAATAGTCGCTTGTTTCTTTCGAGCCAAAATTGCCAACAAATAGCATGAAGAATGCAGAAACCGATCCAATCAATTAAGTTGTCTGGAATAACGGTCTTCCAGCTTCGAATAGTACCTAGGATGTTTTCCTGAAGAGTAAACGAACCGCCACAGGCTCTCCTCACTTCGTTCCAAACCTCATTCCCGAACTCGTAGCTTGTGAACAGGTGGTCAACCGTCTCTTCTTCCCTACAATAGAGACAGCATCTATTAGCAATGGACCAGCCTCGTTTCTGGATAATATCCTACGTCAAGATTCGCTTGTGAGCAACCATCCACATAAAGGCATTGATCTTCGAGGGGATGCACTTCCTCCAGACAGAATCTCTAGGAAAATTGGCCACCCCTGGGAAACGTCCTTCCATCAAGAACCTGTACATGGCACGAACTAAAAAGCTCGAATCGGGTTCGGGGGAACAATCCAATCTGCTTGGTCCACACACTACCCTGAAGTTGTCAATAGAATCCAAAAAATTGAAAAAACTCTCTCTTTCCCTCTCAGCCCCTCCCCTCAAATTTAAAGACAAGTCAACGGTTGATGATATCAGATATCCCAGCATCGGGCTAGCTGCAGCAGCGACTACTCTTGGAAAATATTGCACAAGAATCGTATTTGGTACCCAACAGTCATTCCAAAAGGAAACACCGGCTCCTCCGCCCGGATCAATCACCGCCGCTTTCCAAAAAGCACTATATTCTTTGGAGATGTTAGCCCATACTGAGCCCCCAAACCCCCTTCTGCATTTCTTACTCTGCCACTGTGAGTTACTTGCCGCATATTTGATCTCGATTAGCTTTCTCCACCAACTCCATCTATCCATAGCGTACTTCAATAGCCATTTAGGCAGCAAGGCTTTGTTAAAACAACTCATATTCCTAACGCCAAGGCCCCCATTCTCTTTCTTTGCTTTACACATTTCCCACTTAATGAGAGGGGTCTTGTACTTGTCCCCAGCGCCACTCCATATAAATATTCTTTGGATTACCTCGATCCTGTTCAGAACATTGATAGGGGCTCGCAGAAGGGAGAAGAAATACACTGGCTGTCGAGAAAGTGTAGTGTGGTTCAACACCATTCGGCCCCCAAATGACAGATATCTACTCTTCCAACCATCTAATCTTTGTTCAAACTTTCTGATAATAGGATCCCAAGTAGAAATGGCATTCACTTTAGCTCTAAGAGGGAAACCGAGGTACTTCGAAGGCTCGCTACTCCAGTTGCACCCGAAAATGGCTGCAAAGTACTCCGAAATCGCGACATCCCCAACTGTAATCATTACTAATTTCTCAAGATTTATTATGAGGCCGGTAATTGCATGAAAACACACCAAAGTTGCAAGAATATTCAGCACTTGATATTTGGTAATACTATTTTTCACCGCTTTTAAGGCTATCCATCACAGATTTTTACAGATTCTTTTGAATGGTATTATTCACCAATATTGGAGGCTATGCATCACAAATTCTGACCGGTTTTTGAGAATACTATTTTTCATCGATTTTGAAGTCTATCCATCATAGATTTTGGTCATTTTTTGGGAATGCTATTTTCACCGATTTTGAAGGCTATCCCTCACACCGTTTTTTGGGAATGCTATTTTTCACCGATTTTGAAGGCTATCCATCACAGATTTTTGCAGATTATTGGGAATGTTATTTTTCGCCGATTTTGAAGGCTATCCATCACAGATTTAGGCCAATTCTTTTGAATGGTCCTATTCACCAATATTGAAGGTTGTGCATCACATATTCGGACTAATTTGAGGGAATAGTATTTTTCATTGCTTTTGAAGCTTATCCATCACAGATTCTGGCCGATTATTTAGAATGCTATTTTTCATTGATTTTTAAAGCTATCTATCACAGATTAAACGGTTTTTGGGAATGCTGTTTTCACCGATTTTGAAGGCTATCCATCATAGAATCTTTTTGTTTTTCGGAATGCTATTTTTCATCAATTTTGAGGCCTATCCATTATAGATTATGTCTGATTTTCAGAATGCTTTTTTCACCTATTTCGAAGGCTTATTTATCACAAATTGTGGTCGATTCATCTTAATAGTTCGTGCTCGCCTCGTTAATATATTTCCAAGCTCTCGTGTTCGCCACGAGCTTTAATATGCAAGCTCGAGCTCGGCTCATTTATAAAAATGAAAGCTCGAGCTCGGCTTGTTAAATAAGGTTAACGAGCCCAAAATCGAGTTAAACTCATAAAATGTTCATAATAACTCAAAATTGACATAAAACTGAGCACAAAATTACATTCAAACCTGTAGAAATGTCTAGCAAAATAAAATACAATATTTATCCCAATTTCAATACATAAAATCCATGAATTCTAATCCTTTCTTATGCCAAAATGTTAAATGAGCTTGTTCGCCAGCTTTCGAGCTGAACATGGTATGGCTCGAGTTCGACTCGTTTAGTTAACGAGCTTGTTCGCGAGCTGGCTTGATTAAGACGAATCGAGTTTCGAACGAGATTTTGTTGAGTCGGACGCCGAGCCGCTAACAGCCCTATTCATCACAGAGTCCAGCTGATTTTTGGGAATACTTTTTGCCACCAATTGTGAAGCCTATCCCTGACAGATTCTTACCGAGTTTTTGGAAATGCTATTTTTCACCGATTTTGAAGGCTACCATCACTGATTATGTCTGATTTTTGAAAATGCTATTTTCGCCGATTTTGAAGGATACACATCACAGATTTTGGTCAATTATTTTGAATGTTAGTATTTATCAATTTTAAAATCTATCCATTACAGATTTTGACCAATTTTTTAGAATGCTATTATTCACGGATTTTAGAGGCTATTCATAAAGGATTTTGGAAAAGAAAATTTTGAATGTTAAGCAATAGCGGCTTCTTCTCAGTCTGGAGCTCATGAAGCCGTTCCTTTGTTCTTGGACTGAAGTTCCCACTTCACATAGCCGAGCTCTGTCCTTGCTAGGATATGCCAGTCGATATCCATGGATCTCTGGCCCAACGAATTGGAATGAACCTTTAATGCTACGCCGTTAAGTCAACTTGGGCCGTTCATGATTCCAGCGAGTCCAGCCAGAATTCACCCAGGCCCATCCCACTGGGCCCGTTCGACTGCGTCGTCCCTTTCCCGCGCCTGCTTAGCGGGAACGATTCAACGTGGGGAATCACTCAACGAATCCGCTCAACAGTAAAAAATTTCTGCATCCTCGTTGAATTTTGTTAGAGCATCTCTATCGGCTCTATTTTCCCAATTTCATTATGACGTGGATGGAGGTTTGCAATGTCAAACTTATTTTCATTGATGTGGGAAGTGGTGTAACTGATGCAAGCTTTCATATTATGAAAGTCCATTTGCAATGCCAACGTGGAGGAATGGTGGGTCAGATATGGTTTTTTATGTCATTTAAATAAATTCAAATATATTTTGAATGGATTATATTTTTATATGCAATTGCAAATGAATTGCATTGATGTAGGTGCAATGAAATAAAAATGAGTTGGATTTCATAAAATTAAAAAAATCATAAAAACATCATATGCAATTGAATTTGCAATTGCATTGATGGAGATGCTCTTACCCTTTCTTTTTCAGCTATACCATCCGTCACCTGTCGCGTTTCTCCGGTCAAAAACTCCAAAAAAAAAAAAAATAAATAAAAAATACATAAACAGACTGAGACGGCACTCGACAGTTGCTGGCCGTTGCCAAATCCCACTCAGGTGGGCGGCGTAAGTAAGCACAAAATTAACTGGTAACTGCATTTTGATTATCGATCGAATTTTCACCGTGCACTTTGGATTAACTAGCACAATAATCGCTATCTTTATCGATGCTTCGTTAGCTCTTATGGGATATGCGAATGTACTTATTGGTACATATTCCATTAAAATGAAACAAAAATGAGCAAACTAACCGTTACTTTAATTACTCTAATCTTCAGCGAATAATGTAGATGAATTACGAAATTTCATGACCATTCATGTAATTAAACCATCATAAGATTAAATTAGTGCCAAACGAATCCATCTCTGCACGGAAGCTAACTAGGCTAATTCCACGCTGCTTGCCGATCCAACGGTCAAAACCATTCCACCAAATCACCCACTTAAATAAACTTTTGTCAAACTCCCAACTTAATTAAAAGAAGAACCGATAGAACGACAAAATGGTTTTTTGTCTTTGATGCTCCTCTGCCCAAGTCCCCCCTGCATCTTTCTCCTCTCTAAGCCGCCATGATTCGAGAAATCCACAGCAGCCAGAGCCCTTTCCTCTCCTCCGCCATCATCTTCCTCACAACAATCCACCTCCTCGTTTCCTCCACCACATCTCAACAGCAGCCGACTTTCAACACCGCCGGCTGTCAAGACAATTCCAATTCCACCACACCACCCGCCTACACATCAAACCTCGCCGCCCTCCTCAACACCCTGCCCCGCAAGGCCTCCACCGCCACCTTCTCCAACGACTCCGCGGCGGACGGCGGGGTATTCTCCCTCTACCTCTGCCGCGGAGACGTCTCCCTGACCACCTGCGCGGCCTGCGTAACGCAGGCCGCGCAGGTGGTCCAGCGACGCTGCCCTGCTCACAGGGCGGCGATCGTCTGGTACGACCAGTGCATGTTGCGGTACTCCAACGTCAGCTTCGCCGGCCGGGCTGAAGTTCAGTACAGATTGCTGATGTGGAACACCCAGAACAACACGTCGCCAGGGGAGACGGACAACGGGGCGCTGTCGCTGATCTACGGGCTCATCGATTACGTCCCGTACACCGGGCTGATGTACGGGACGAATGAATCGGAGAGTCGGGGACAGCCGAGGTACGCGATGGCGCAGTGTACGAGGGATTTGAGCAGCGGTGCCTGCTTGTCGTGCCTGGAGGAGTTGAATGATGCTAGTGATCGGTGCTGTCGGGGAAGGATCGGGTGGCGGATTCTGACTCCTAGTTGTAGTTTGAGGTATGAGCAGAGTTTGTTCTATGAGATACCGCCACCGCCGCCGCAGTCGCCGCCTGGTGGTGAGGACGATGGTGAGTCAAATTTGGTGGCCTCCCCCTGAATCTCTATGTTTCTTTCAAAGCTCAATGTTTTTTTTTTCTTTTCCAATTTGAATTTCGTTGAACATTGACTTGGTAATTCCTTGGTTACTTTGATTTTGTTGAAAATTCAAATTGTGAGGTTATTGGTTAGATTGTCCCTAGTTCTCAATTTTATAATCTTCCAACGACTGAAATTATTGTGATGAATTGATTCTTTAAAGTTTTGACGGCCAACCGATTGTACTCATGATAAGTGAAGTCTAATGAACAAGTTTTGGTTTATAAATGCAAGTATCCGAGAGCGAAGTGAGGTTGGTTATTAAACGTTTTTTTGTAAATCGAGTTAATGAAATGAGTTGATTCTTGACATTAAATTAGTTGTACATAATGCATTCCTTTCAACTAACCTAGTTCAAGTTCTCATAAATTCTCATCGTGAATCTTTAATGATCGAGTTTGAATTCGTACAGAAATAATAGTTCGAGATCAGATAACCTAATGAATCATAAAAATTTCTTCATTATTTAAAACTCTGGCTATCTGCAGGTGCAGGTGGAGGTGGAGGAAACAACACAGGCAAAATTGCTGGAATCGTTGGCGCCATAGTCGTTGTAACAGTAGCAGTGATGGGGATCTGGTACTGTTCATGCTTCCGCAGGAAGAAGGGAAGGTCTGCTGGAGGAGAAACCAGCCAAGAAATACTGCTACCGGATTACGATGGCTCCAATCACAATGCCGCAATTGGAATCGAAGTTCCAGGCCATGAGAACGACAGGGAAGTCCACTGTTACAGTCTGGCTACTGTTCTGGCAGCCACAAACAACTTCTCCAATGGCAATAAGCTTGGACAGGGAGGCTTTGGCCCTGTTTACAAGGTCAGTACTTAATCAAGCCTCTCTCAACGATCACTAGTAATTTGGTATAAAGAATGATGGTACAAACGACCCATTTTCAAAAATCTTTCGATTACTCGAGTTATTGGGGAGAACTAGCTCCTCAACTATTGCGATGAGTTGAGCTAGTTGTGATGCAGGGGAAGCTGCAAGACGGGCAAGAAATAGCGGTGAAGAGGCTTTCCTTGACATCCAAGCAAGGTCTGGAAGAGTTCAGGAACGAGGTGATGGTGATTGTCAAGCTTCAGCACAGGAATCTGGTGAGGCTGTTGGGTTATTGCTTGGAGAGAGGGGAGAAGCTGCTTGTCTATGAGTATTTGGCCAATACCAGCCTTGACGCCTTCCTTTTCGGTTTGCACCCTTCCTTTGATCGTTCTCATCAGCTTCAAATGGCTTACAGTACTTGTCTTAACATCGTTATTTATGTAACAGATCCGAAGAAAAGCAAGGAGCTCGACTGGGAGAAGAGAGCAAACATAGTAGAAGGCACAGCCAGGGGACTCATGTACCTCCACGAGGACTCTCGTCTTAAGATCATCCATAGAGATATGAAAGCGAGCAATGTGCTTCTGGACGACCAGATGAACCCCAAGATCTCGGATTTCGGGACTGCCAGGATATTCGGAGGCAATCAGATCGAGGCCAACACTGAGCGAGTTGTTGGAACATAGTAAGTTGATTGACGAATTCATAGAGTTTGTAATGGCCGCAAACTATTGACTTGAAATGATGAATTGTACTTGTTTTGAACAGTGGGTACATGGCTCCTGAGTACGCTCTAGAGGGAGTGATTTCGACGAAATCGGATGTCTACAGCTTCGGAATCTTGATGCTGGAAATCATAAGTGGAAAGAAGAACAGAGGATCGTTCGACCCGAGTCAGGCCTCTAGCCTTCTTTTGCAGGTAATTACCAATCAAAACTTAATTACCAATGCCCAAATATTGGCCCTAAAATTTTGATTCCTGAACATGTGGTGCCACAACTTCATTTCAGGCATGGGAGCTATGGAGTGAAGGCAGAGGAGAAGAGTTGATAGACTCGAACATAGCTAAGAACTGCCCGGCGAGATGGATCCATATTGCATTGTTGTGCACGCAGGACGATCCGGCCGAACGGCCGACCATGTCCGCGGTGGTCCGAATGCTCGGAAGCAAATCGGATGACGAGCTTCCACGGCAGTTGAAACGTCCGTTCACCGCCGGCGGGTTCACCCACGTTTCCGATCTATCTTCCAGTACCTCCGGTACCGGCACCGGGTTCCTGACGTCGGATCAATCCACCGGTACTAGCTAGCGGCGTTTCTCGGTACAAGTCTCGTTTTTTTAGGTACATAAATTGGTCTTGGTCTGTATAAGAAAAAATGGTTGAGTTAGGATTGTAATTTTGACATCTCCGGCTGAGTTACTTGTTTGTCTAACCTATTTCATTCTCAATTTATTCTATAGAGGTCGTTCATTTAACATTCATGTCGGTTAAATATGAAACTTTTTTATAATAAATTATTAATGAAACAGCTCAGTCTGCATATCTCCGTCGCGAAAATCATCATTAATGTAGCCACAAAGATTATGATTTCAAGAGATAGCCATGTGGAGAAAGTCCAACATGATTGATTGGTTATAAATGATAAAAAAAAAAGGCATGGTTGTGTGATTTCGTCTAGATGAGTGCCACACATGAAAATTAAGCATCGACAATTTGACGATTAAGACAACACAATTGTCCTTGCACGTCTTACATTACCATTTTTATATGTATATATAAGCATTTGTTGATTTCTTTTCAAAATTCAACACCAATTGATAGTATTAAACTACTTGCTCTCTTCGAGAATTCCTTATGAGAATATCGTTATTAATCCACAAATAACTTTTTAAGGCTAAGTTACGGAGAATAAATGACAAAGATTGTCGAAACCCGATTTCTATATTCATAAAATTCACCCAAAATCGTGGAATTCTAAAAATACAGCATTCAATATCCACAAGGCCACACCTATCTGTTGGCCCAAACTACAATCCCCTCACCTAAGTCCTATGTAGAGAAATGTTCCATTTCACCAGAAAATGTCAAATGCAAACCTCTCAATCTGAAAGTACAAAGAGAAAATCGAACGTATGCAAAATGCAGAGCTCATGAAATATGCTTGGAAAATAGTTTCCCAAAAATGATGAAAGCATGACCTTTCACTTCCGGACGGGCTTTACAAAGCCCATTACTGACTTCCTCGGATCTCAAAGCGTAGGGGGCCTAAACTGAAAGCCCAAGTCCAATAAACGGCGTTTAAAAGAAATTTCTTCCATTGCCGGGAATCGAACCCGGGTCTCCTGGGTGAAAGCCAGATATCCTAACCGCTGGACGACAATGGAAGTAGATGACCTTTAACTTCATTAATTATTTATATAACAATGCAACAAAAAGGCCATTACAATCACCACCGTTCTGAACCAATTCGCTGAGTACCTCCTCCCTCCTACATCCAAAAGGACAAATAATGAACCTGTAATTAGACCCAAAAAAAAAAAAAGGCAATACATAATCCATCTTATTAAACACCGGTATAAGAGTGTGACCTTGATTAGTAGTAACGGAATCGAAATAAAACCGGTAATCGTGATACCACAAGCTGCAGCTCGACCCGTAAATCTCCCACCCTCTTCTGTTCCCGATCCTCGCCCTGAACGTCTCCAGCTGGGCCACGAGGCACTCCCTGCAACCCGCGGGATCCACGTCCCTCGTGCATTGCGCCATCCCGAATCGCCTCTCGAGCGGGCCCACGTCGACCGCGTTCGTATCGAACATCGACACGTGTCGCGGTGCGGTCCCCGCCAGCCCGTTCATCAGATCGACCCCTCTGGGGACCACGTTCGGGTCCTCCAACGGCGTCGTTTGGTTCACCTTCGCGATCCCGGCCCTGTCCCACGTGCCGAAGAAGATTGCGTCAGAGTAACGCAACAGGCACCACCGGAGCCACACGATCCCTTCGCGGCGCGCGCCGCACTGGGCGGATGAGGTCCACGTGGCGTTCCGCAGGCAGTGCCGGCAGTCCGCCGCCGACACGTCGCCGCGGCACTGGGCGAGGCCGTACAGCCTCCTGTCCGCCTTTCCGGCGTGGGTTTGTGAGAAACCGTTGTTCTTGGGAGCCTTGTCGGCGAGGGATTTGAGGAGAGTGTCGAGATTGGCTTGGGACTCGGCGTCTAGGGTGGCGTTTTTGGGGCCGGAGCATGACCAGCCGGTGACCTGGTTCACGTCGGCTTGGGTACCGTAGCCGCAGAGCAAGGCGAGAAACGATGTGGTGAGGAAGAGAGCCTTTTTTATCCAAATGAACTCCGCCATTGCTAATACTGCGATTTACGATTTATCGAGTTATTTTGGATCATATGAAGGGAGGAGATGGTGGGTTTTTTAATTATAATGGTCCATAGTCATTATCCCAAAATTTTAATGGTTGATAAGAGTAAAAGTCAGCTCTTCATGATTTCCTTTTTCCCCCAACTTGTCACCATTAGTGGGTAATATGACTTATTTCTTTCAAAAATATAATGAGGGTGTGTGAAAATGTGGAGGGTATTTGACTATTTGTATTAATAATGTGGAATCAAGGATTTAGACCCTATTTTATACTATTGATATTTTTGAGTTGGGATGAAAGTTTGGGAATAGATAGGAGGGCATGTACTCTGATATTCAAGTTAGTCTATACTCTATAATGTGTTAAATGGTTTACGAAAAGTGTGAAGAAATGGTCAAAATTAGTTATTTGAAGGGGGAAATGTGTTTCTTTTTTAAGGGGTTGAGAGCTCTTATATAATAGATCGGGATTGCTCCCTTGTTATGGTGATTGTATGCATATATTTTAGTACTCCGAAAGCGCTTGCCCTAATGAATACTCCACAACTGATTATCAATATGCACTATATGCCTATGTCTATATGGCTAGTGGGAGCACTATACGTCTACGCTTGTAGTGAAGCACACTTAATAGGGATGTACACTCGCACCTAGAGGAATATATGATTGCACATGGTGGGAGTGTTACACTGAAGCATGGACGAAGGAGTATGTCTATTTCTAATGTTAGAGTTTTAGTTCGAACTTCAAAGTTATTGTCATTGAACTGCTCATGTATAGATTTTAAGTTTATCTCGATCTTAACCTGTAACTCAAACATTTAGTGATATCAATCGAAACAAATATTAATGGATAGAGTTGAATTGGTGCAATGTGAGAGTACTGCATTATTCTTTTTGTTGATGTGACTTGAATCGGACTATCAGCCGCTACGACTGGTAATCGGGGGTCTCGCTGCCCGGTCAGCGGTGGGGGCGCGGGGGCAACGCCCCCGGCCCACGGTGTATGGGCTCAATGTTATTTGGGTTCGGCTTCTGGACCTGGTCTGTAACCGTTTCCTTTGTCATATTGGATTAGGTTAAGACCCACATGGAGAAGTACTATAAATACTTCTCATACTCCTCTGTAATCTGTAATCTCCTCGATATAGTGAAACTGGCTCTCTCTCGCCCGTGGACTAGCTAACACACATCGTGTTAGTGAACCACGTAAATCGTGTGTCTGTGTTTCTCGATTCTAGCTCTCATATTCTTGCTTTATCGATTCCTGCGATTTCCCGATCCGTAGCAGCGCGTTTATAACACTTTCCTTTATGCATCATTTTGAAAGATCTCTTTTAGCTTAAAGTTGATGAATAATATCAACTAGCTAATCTTAACCAAAATCTATCTAGTAGTAAACATATAGAAAGAAATCAAACCATTGTTCTTCGCTAGCTCATCTAAAACAAGTTTATTTTAACGTATGTCAAAGGTTGAGACATTGGAAAAAGAAATATATGGAGCTAGCCAACTAAATCTATGCAATTAGGGAGTGATGTGGGATTTGGGAGAAGTCAAACTCAAAAGAACTAGTTGCTCACTTAGTTAATCACTTAATTGCAACGGCTAAGCTTTCAGGATAACATTAGCAGATTGCTAAATGCATGTGGAGACGAAGAAGGAAGGAGTCATGGTCCACCATTGTGAAGTTGACGGTTTTGTTGGATTGGGCTTAGATTATTATTATTATTATTATTATTATTATTATTATTATTATTATTATTATTATTATTATTATTATTATCTTTTTCTGAATTTCGGGGCTTCTATATCTGTGACACCATTGATAGGACAATCAGAGTCTTTATCTGGGGAGCTGAGAATGGTGCTTCCAAGCCTCACCTGGTCAAATGGGAGACAATCTGCAAACCGAAGGAGCTTGGCGGCCTGGGCTTGCGGTCTGCTAGAGCTCTCAATTTATCCTACCTGATGAAGCTGGGGTGGGCCTTTCTGAATAAGTCGGATGAGCTCTGGATCCGCATCCTGCAAGGGAAGTATTTTAAAACCACCGAGACAGGGGCTCTTGTGATGAAAAAAAGCAATTTTTCTCGGTTGTGCAAAGGCATTGTTGATACCTTGCCAATCCTTAAGCAGCGTGTCGTGTGGGACAATCGGGAAGGTCATAATGTCCTATTTTGGACAGATCCCTGGCTTGCTGAGGGAACAATCTTGAGCGAGCATGTAGCTGGCAACGGCGAGGGAATCGACTGGCAGGCCACTGTAGCCGAGATGGTCACGGCTGGAGGTGAGTGGAAGTGGCAGGATTTCTCGCCACATCTGACTCAGAACTTGGTTGCTTTGATTGCAGGTACGGACCCTCCATTGCCGGGATCGGGTGAAAACATTACTGCTTGGGGGATGGAGCCAGACGGGAAGTTCAAGCTGCGCTCAGCCTATTCTGCGGCAGTAGAGTGGCTGAGTGACGAGGAGAGAGAGGGGCGGAGGAGGCTAATGATCACCAGTACTGGAAGCGACTCTGGAAATGGACGTGCCCGAACAGGATAAACATTTTCTGTGGTTGGTTTTTCATGACAGGTTGATGACGAATGTGCAACGCAAGAAAAGAAAACTGACGACGGATGACGCATGCCCGTCTTGCAGAAATGAACCGGAATCAACCGAGCACATACTGCGCCATTGTCCGAGCTCTATTCAGGTATGGCATAGACTAGGTATCAAGGAGACTGCATTAACTTATGGCTTGGGTTTTGCAGCTTGGCTTGATGAGCACCTCAAGAGAGATCAAGAAGGGCTCCTGTTTGGTGTGGCAGCTTGGTATCTTTGGAAAAGAAGGAACGAGAAGGTCTTCCACAACTTGAATCAAGAGGATCATGTCCTGGCGCAACGCATCGGATGCTGGACGGCGACTATCAGGCAAGCTCAGGATGATGACACGACTTCACATAAAGAGGCGCCTAAGAAGAGTGAACAGCGGCTTGCTTGGATACCACCACCACAGGATTGGGTGTGTGTCAACACTGACGGGTCAGTAAGGCAACCAGATTCGATAGCAGCAGGCGGTGGCCTTGTCCGGGACTGGATGGGAAAATGTATGGGATCCTTTGTGGAGAATCTCGGCGTATGCACGATTACCCGTGCTGAGATTATGGCTGCCATTCGAGGATTGCAGATGGCATGGGAGAAAGGTTACAGGAAAGTCCTACTCCAACTCGACTCCACTACTGCCATCAACATTATTACATCCCATGAGCAGACTGAGGACAGGTACCATAATCTGATTCAACAGTTACAGGGGTTGATTCATCGGAACTGGGAAGTCAGAATGTCCCATATCTATAGAGAAGGAAACAAAGTGGTTGATTTCCTAGCTAATAAGGGCCACTCTGTTAGTATAGGTTACCATGTTGTTGAAAGCCCAAACCCGTTTAATCTAAATACCAGACAGGGGCACCCTTTTAGCGTCCCATTTTTTACCACAAAAAAAAATTTATTATATTGTTTATTTTTTAAAATTTACTTAATTACCATTTTTTTATTACTACAATATCTCTAGGAGTAAATTGCATTTATGTTGTTGTCAAGAAAAAAGAATTTATTTATGGTATTCTACTTAATTATCTTAATTACTGGCCTTCTTTTCCTCGTGTCTTTTTTTTTTCTTTCTTGTAATTAATATCTTGCCTTGTTTCAATTAGTGAAGCAGATTTGGAGTTGACCTCTCCTACCCTCCAACTACTATAAATTCTCAAATTAGAAGTTGATTCTTACACACAAGAAGATAAGAAAAACAACAACAAAATGAAGATATCAGAATCCATGAAGCTATCCCTTTTGTTGTTTTCATTTCTCATCGTTACTTCTGGTGAGACACTTCACTTTTCTTCAATATATGTCTCTCTTATATGCATTCCAGCCCCAAATTATGCTATGTCCTACATGTAGAGCTAACTAAAGTCAAATTGACCTACAAGTAACTTATAGTTTTGCATGATATATAAATTTAATTTTTTAAATTAATTATGAGTTAATTCAGTGGGTTTTGTCGTAGATATCAAGAATGGGAAAGGTCCAATGGTGGAAGCTGAGGTTGTGCATCGTTCTCCGCCACCAAGTTCGGGATCAGACATCGTGATACAAGAACCCGACCCTGAAATACCTGTGCGACCTCCACGTCCTAGTCCAACTTCGATAGTTGGAGGCAGACGAGGCATCATGATACAAGAACCTGACCCTGAAATTCCTGTGCGACCTCCACGTCCCAGTCCAGCTTTGGCAACTCAAGGGCGCCGAGGCATCGTGATACAAGAACCTGACCCTGAGATACCTGTGCGACCTCCACGTCTCAGTCCAACTTTGGCAATTCAAGGGAGCCGAGGCATCGTGATACAAGAACCTGATCCTGAAATACCTGTGCGACCTCCACGTCCCAGTCCAGCTTTGGCAGATCAAGGGAGCCAAGGCATCGTGATACAAGAACCCGACCCTGAAATACCTGTACGACCTCCACGTCCCAGTCCAACTTTGGCAACTCAAGGGAGCCGAGGCATCGTGATACAAGAACCCGACCCTGAAATACCTGTACGACCTCCACGTCCCAGTCCAACTTTGGCAACTCAAGGGAGCCGAGGCATCGTGATACAAGAACCCGACCCTGAAATACCTGTGCGACCTCCACGTCCCAGTCCAACTTTGGCAACTCAAGGAAGCCGAGGCATCGTGATACAAGAACCTGATCCCGAAATACCTGTGCGACCTCCTCGTCCCAGTCCAACAACGAGAACTCAAGGGCGTCGAGGCATCGTGATTCAAGAACCTGACCCTGAAATACCTGTGCGACCTCCACGTCCCAGTCCAACTTTGGCGACAGGAGGGAGTCGAGGCAACCTGGTACTTGAACCTGGTCCTGAACTACCTCCACAACCTCCGCATTCTGGTCCAGCTTCGACAGCTGAGGAGAAACAAGGGATCGTGATACAAGAACCTGATCCGGAAATACCCGTACGACCTCCACGTCCCAGTCCAACTTCGGCAACAGAAGGACGACGAGGCATCGTGGTACAAGAACCCGATCCCAAACCTCCACGCCTTGCTCCAATTCTAACAACCGAGAGAGAAGAAGACATCGTGATAATACAAGAACCTGACCCTGAACCTCTGCGTTCCAGTCAAACAATGGAATAAAACGATTTGAGATTTGATTCTCTCTCCTTGTTATTGTTCTGCATTTGGCTGGGAGTTTGGTGTTAGGATGGTCCTCCTGAAACTGAATTGTAACTCTATGTAGTGCTTTGTTCCTTTTCAACTAGCCGAACTAAAAAAGATATTTCGGTTATGTGCTTCTGTTGCGTATTTGAGCTGCGGTGTGATCAATTTCGCATTTAACCTAGTAACCACTGTTATCACAGCCGGACTAGACCAATCGGTCCGCTCGTAGAACCGGTAACCTTTCCGGAGCAATCTCAAAGCAATATAAATAGTACGCAAGTAAAATCTTTAAGTGAAATGGCTAATCCATTCCATTCGGTGTCTTATTATCACTAGTGTGGCCCCGGCCATTTGGCCGGAGGAAGGCGAGGTATGAAATTTGATAATGTAATGAGGTGTATATCTTATTGTTGTATAGTTTTTTTTTTAGAAACACATGATAAAAATAGTGAATTTTAGTAGGAAAGAGATATGAATGATGCAACGAATCAAAAATCAGTCTTATGAATCAAAATCAAGTACCTGTTACCTTGTGAAACAATATTGTTTCTGGTAATATGATGAGGTGGAGTAAGTTTTATAGAAACCGAATTCCAGAAAATCGAATAAAAAATCGCCTATCCCGCTGGTTTTCGGGAAATGAGCATTTCACAATCGTTGCTAGTTTTTACTCGGCCCGTTAGCCGATTAATGTGCATTATAAAACTTTCATCTTGTCATCATTGTGTTTTCTGGTTTTTTTCCAAGCCATGATAAAATCTAAAGAAATCAAGAATGAACAACATAATTTGAGATAGGAACCACCGTTCCTGTATCCCTAGAAAATGGTGGTAAACACGGACTCACCTGCCAATCTGGTTTGGATTGAGATTTTTATCGGGTATCTGAGAACCATGTGATTATAAATTGGACTTGATGAAAACGGGCCAAAACTTGAAATTCAGCATGTTTGACCGACCCCTGCCAAACTCTAATGAAAGAAAAGAGATGACTGCAATTCGCCATTTGTACATCACTGATTCGGGAATAAAACTATAGAAATTCGAAAGGAAACTGAAAATGTTTAGGAACGTTTTAATGTTAAAAATAACCAAATATATCTTTTAGTTTAGTTTTTTTACTAAAATTAGTTTTTTACTAATAAATATCAAACGATTCCCTATAATATACACTATAATTTAATCATTATGATATCAAATAATTACATAATATATATTTGAAATGATAAAAATTGGACTAATTTGGTTGGTTGAGGTTGAACCATTGAATAACTTTAAAATACATTATATTTTAGCCACTAAGATATAAAATAATAGCATAATATAAATTATGCTAGATAAAATAGCTTGTTTTAGAATGACAAACCCATGATGTTGATTTGTTTTACTTGATGGGAAAATCTCGTGTAGGTTAGCCCATTAGAATCCATGCATTAGTTTATTGTTAATTTTTATTATTTTTAGCAATAAAAAGGAGTATTGTTTTTGCCTTTTTATATATATTTTACCAGCACGGAGAAATAAAAGGACTTAAAGGAAAAAAATTGACACTCCTGGACCCGTTTAAATCTGCATGTGTACGGTAAGTTGACCCGTTCCCCAGAGGAAAAAGAAAAAAATTGACACTCTCTATTCTACCCTTCCTACAAACGCTCCTGGAGCAGGAAATTTGAAATGGGGAAGGGTTTTTTCTGCTTTGAAATTATATGTTTTTAATTTAAAAAGATACAACAAATGTACTTGGTGTGATTGGTTATGATCTTTGGTTTTCTTTAAAGTGGTCATGGTTCGAATCCTAGTAATTGTCTTTTTAATGAATAAAAAAAAAAAGAAATTGTGAAGACCAAAATGTCCTTCCTACTTTTACTCTGGATACAGGAAATTTGAAATAGAGCTTCAAGTTTTCTCATTTGGCTTTTATTTATTGTGTAGACTAGACAATACTAAAATTATTACCACTGTGATAAAAAAAAATATTAAGCGTGAAAACTTTTTTTTTCAAATGTGAAGATGCGAAATTTTGTATGTTTCGCATATTTGATTTTTGCAACTTTAGCCTATACATTTATATCTAAGAACAAATTTACTTGGTTTCACTAACAAATACAAGACAATATTTTATATAAAAAATACAAGGCAAGATAAATATTTATGATAGAAACAAGGCAAGTAATTAGATAAATAAATATTATTATGCCAAACAAATCTACTCATGATATTGCTTATTTTTCATATTTACTTGCCATATTTTTATTGCTAGCTTATCTTTACTTAGGATGCAATAACATGAATTTGTTGTCAAGAAAAAAATGTAATTTATGCTCTTCTACTTATCTCATTACCTTTGTCTCCTTTTTTCCCCCTCTCATATTTGTATTTATCTTAATTCTTAATTACTTGCCTTTCTTCTCATCCTACACATATATCTTACCTTGTTCTAGTTGGTGAAGAAAATTTGGATTTGACACCCCCAACTACTATAAATTCTCACATTAGAATTTGATTCATGTATATTCCAATCATAAAAATAAAATGAAGATATCAGCATCCATGAAGCTCTCTCTTTTGTTGGCTTCTTTTCTCATCGTTACTTCTTGTGAGATTCTTCCCTTTCTTCTATATATTTGAATCATACATTGCAATCTATTAAGCTCAAATTATGTTATATGTCCTCATGTAGAACTAATTGTCTAACTACTTGCAAAGTATTATTTTGTATGATGCATATGTTTTATTTTTAATTTTGCTTCTTCTGATTTATAATTTTAATTAATTATGGGTTTGGTGGATAAATGTCACAGGTGTTAAGAAAGGAATGGTGGAAGCTGGTCGGGAACGAGGCATCATTATACAAGAACCCGACCCTGAAATACCTGTGCGACCTCCACGTCCTAGTCCGACTTCGATAACTGGAGGCCAACGAAGCATCATGATACAAGAACCTGACCCTGAAATTCCTGTGCGACCTCCACGTCCCAGTCCAACTTTGGCAATTCAAGGGAGAGGCATCGTGATACAAGAACCTGACCCTGAAATACCTGTGCGACCTCCACGTCCCGGTCCAACTTTGGCAAGTCAAGTGAGCCGAGGTATCGTGATACAAGAACCCGACCCTGAAATACCTGTGCGACCTCCACGTCCCAGTCCAACTTCGGCAACTCAAGGACGCCGAGAGATCGTCATTCAAGAACCTGACCCTGAAATACCTGTACGACCTCCACGTCCTAGTCCAACTTTGGCGACAGGAGGACATCGAGGCAATCTGGTACTTGAACCTGGTCCTGAACTACCTCCACGTTCTGGTCCAACTCCGCCAACTGGGGAGAAACAAGGGATCGTGATACAAGAACCTGACCCTGAAATACCCGTACGACCTCCACGTCCCAGTCCAACGTTGACAACTGAAGGACGACGAGGCGTCGTGATATAAGAACTAGATCTTGAACCTCCACGTCTTGCTCCAACTCTAATAACCAAGAGCTAATAAGACATCGTGGTGATACAAAAACCTGACCCTGAACCTCCGCGTTCCAGTGAAGCGATGGAATAAAATAATTTGAGTTTTTATTCTATCTCTTTATCGATGTTTTGCATTTGGCCGGTAGTTTGGTGTTAGAATGGTCCCCTTTCGCATTTAACCTAGTAACAAATGTTATCAAAGCCGGACAGACCAACCGGTTCGCTCGGTTGAACCGGCAACCTTTTCGGAGCAATCTCAAAGCAAGATAGATAGTACCCAAGTAAATTCTTTGAGTGATATGGCTAATAATCCATTCCACTCGGGGACAAATTTATTGGATATCCACAAACTAAAGATTGAAATTCATGTGTACATGATATATCTAAGAAAAAATTAACTTGGTTTCACTAACAAATGACAAGGCAAGATCTTATAGAAAAACAAGGCAAGAGAAATATTTATGATAGAAACAAGGCAAGTAGTTAGATAAATAAATATTATTATGCCAAAGAAATCTACTCATTATATTGCTTATTTTTCATATTTTCTTGCCATATTTTTTTTAAGGGTACTTGCCATATTTTTATTGCTAACTTATCTTTACTTACGATGCAATAACATGAATTTGTTGTCAAGAAAAAATTATAATTTATGCTCTTCTACTTATCTTAATACCTTTTGTCTTCTTCTTTTTTTCCCTCTCATATTTGTATTTATCTTAATTACTTGCCTTTCTTCCCATCCTACACATATATCTTACTTTGTTCTAGTTGGTGAAGCAAATTTGGATTTGACACCCCCAACTAATATAAATTCTCACATTAGAATTTGATTCATATATATTCCAATCATAATAATAAAATGAAGTTATCAGCATCAATGAAGCATATGTTTTATTTTTATATGATGCATATGTTTTATTTTTAATTTCACTTCTTATGGTTTATAATTTTAATTAATTACAGGTTTGGTGGATAAAGCAACATGATATAGCAACCTGATCTTAATCCTCTAGGCCCTGGTGGAGGCATCGTGGTACAAGAACTCGACCCTAAACCTCCATTTGCTGGCTCCCAAAATTCAGAAACTACCATGGGACAGGGCAACGTGGTACAAGAACCCGACCCTGAACCTCCATTTGCTAGCTCACAAAATTCAGAAACTACCATGGGACAAGACATCGTGGTACAAGAACCCGACTCTAAACCTGCATTTGCTGGCTCCCAGAAGCTAGAAACTACCATGGGACAAGGCATCGTGGTACAAGAGAACCCGACCCTGAACGTCCATTTGCTAGCTCCCAGAAGTTAGAAACTACCATGAAACAAGGCATCGTGGTACAAGAACCCGACCCTGAACTTCCATTTGCTAGCTCCCAAAATTCATAAACAAATATTAGGATTTGATGTTTTTCCTTCCTGTCGACGCTGTGCATTAGACCTACGGCTTAATGTTAGAGCGGTCTCATGAAACACATCTTTCTCTTTCATGTAGTAATTTCTTTCTTCTGAACTACTTGATTAATAAAAGCTTCTGCTGGTTACTTGCATGTGTGCATTTGAGCTGCGGTGCATCTAGGTGCTATGATCAATTTTGCATTTCCACTAATTTTGGTTATAAATACTCGACAAACTCATGATAGAAAGCATACGAATTTAAACATGTGATTCTGTCAGCGGTTATCAACCCAATTCTGTTCTCATAATGCTAATCTGCGAAAATCGAATTCAGGAATTAATCGTGCCAAACCACATACCTTGTTACGCACCGAATCACTTAGGTTGTTCAGAAAGCAGGCTTGTCCACTCTCCTCTCCATCCGCCATCAAACCAAAGTAAAGAACTGAGTGGCATGTGACAAGTAAAAAGATAATCAAAGCTTTACAGAAAATATGAGAGGGAAGGCCATGATCTGTATAACACATACCATGCAAGTTGATAATGGAATGTCTAGCTAGCTAGCCTACCTTAATGTTGTTCATGTTGTCACAAAAAGAGCCAAGCAGAACTGGACAACAGAGTGACAGAGTTACTTTCAATAATGCATAGTAAAACAAATATGCATGTCAATTCTCCCCATTGCACGTAAGAGCTAAGTGATTGGTGAGAACTGAGGTGGAAAGCAGATTAGGGTTTTGTAAATAGTGAGCACTTTGCATCCCTTGCTATGATCTGCAACGAACTGTTCTTCCTACTTATGAATGTGCAATTTTGAATGAATTGGATTACCTTAGTCGATGGATTACTGAGATGAGATGTGAATTGCAGGATCCCGTTGATGAGCCCATAAATCGTTCAGTTCGAGTGTCGTAGCCCAACACCGCTATCATAACGATGAGGAGTAGCCCAGTTCACAGAGGCACTAGGCCTTAAGCCGTGTAGCAAGCTTTTCGTTGTAGGAATTTGCACTTATTGATAATTCTAGTTAGTGGTGTTAATGGGTAAGTAGGGTTGTTAGAGTCCTTGTTTGTTAGAGTCTTTATGAGTGTTTGCATAATAGGGGGAGTGAGTTTAGCATCTTATGGTTAGTTGGTTAGCTTAGGTACACGTGGGATTAGTTCCATTTAGAAAACAAGAAACCCCTAGCCATTCTCGCCAAGAAAGGAGAAACTGGCTCAATCCCCCCAAAAAAAGGGATCCATTCATTCATCCAATCCATCACGTATCACCCGTTTCGAATGGTTCGCTATGAATGGAAATCATACCGCAACAAACAGGATTTTGTAGATAGTGAGTCGTTTGCATCTTGTTGCTGCAACATGCAAAGAACTGTTTTACCTACTCACGAATGATCAGTTTCGAATAAACTGGATCAAATTAGTCGATGGAGTATTGGGACGAGATGTGAATCGCATGAACAATTTCAAATGATTTCTTATGGTTAGAGATCAAATCGCGACAATTTGATAGTTCATTTCGTGCACACTTTCGACGTGGATCCAAATGACTCATTCTTAAATGTAACTAGGAAATCAGACCATCTCATCATGCTACACTTCATAGTGTGAGTTGTCCATTGTCCTCTCTGCTTGTCAACTGTCGATTGGCTGAATGAAAGAACACTTTATGTTCTTTATTAGAGGCAAGAAGAGAAGAGCTCCTAATGCCTTATCTTGAAATTTTGGCCTTTGCTACCTAATGTTTCTTACCTGTAATCATAGGAGGGAGCAGTTTGCAAAAAAAAAAAAAAAAAGTCGTTTCCTTCTAGCCCAACCTAACTTCTCAAACTCCTAGAAGCCCTTTTATTAATGGCTGACAAGAGCTTCTGCAACACCATAAAGATGTAACCTTTAAACAAAGAGAAGAGAGCCCAAATGAAGTCCATCTTCCTCAAATTGCTCTCCATCTCCATCCCAATTCTTCTCATTTCATTTCCCCAATTCTCCAGCTCCACAGACCCGTCCCGACCCGATGACGATGAGGCCCCCGGTATCCCATCAATGGTGGCAGCGGCGATGCTCTGTTTCTTGGCCGCATCGATCTCCAGCGCCGGCGGGATCGGCGGCGGCGGGCTGTTCATTCCAGTGCTGACCATCGTCGCTGGGTTCGACCTCACCACTGCATCCGCCCTCTCCGCTTTCATGGTCGCCGGCGGCTCCGTCGCCAACGTCGCATGTTGCTTCATCAGGAAATTTGCCGCCGCCGGCGGCAGGGGAGCAGGAGGAAGAGGCACGAGAGGAGGAATTGACTTCGACATTGCGCTGATGTCGGAGCCGATGATGTTATTGGGAGTGAGCGTCGGGGTAATTTGGAACGTGGTGTTTCCTGAGTGGCTGATTACAGTGATGTTCGTCGGGTTTCTGGTTTGGTCGACTTTGAAGACTTGCCGGAACGGGATGAAGCTTTGGAACCTGGAAACAGAGCAGAGGAGTTGTGGTGGAGAATTGGGCACTGGCGACGACAAGAGCGGCGGCGGCGGAGGAGAAGAAGGTGGAAGACAGCCGCTCCTGGTGACTGGGGAGAAGAATGGCGGCGGCGGATTTCCGTGGATAAAATTGGGGGTTTTGGTGGTTGTGTGGATTTCATTCTCTTCCCTCTATCTTCTTCGCGGGAACCGCCATGGGGAGGTAACATTACCCTTTCCTTCTTGTTCTTTGAGCTTTTCTGGTCTTTCCTCCTCCATCAATCTCACTATAGCATGCACATCTAATAGATGACAAATATAGGATTAGTAGAAGTACTGTCTCTCGATGACAAAGAGAATTAGCACCTTAGACGTTGATTGTAGTTGACCAATTGAAACTCAAATTAATTATATTGCTAAAAAAGGTGTCATGAAGATGTAGTTAGGTGATTGATTAATAATGTTTGTTAGGTTGGATGGTAGCTAAGTGAACTACTAGGCTACTAGCACTGAAAAAGAAGGTTCATCCTTTCTTAATGCAATATCTGCAGGGTCTGATCGAAGTGAAACCATGCGGATTTGAATACTGGGCACTCTCATCGCTCCAAATCCCGCTAGCAATACTTTTCACGGCATGGATCCTGCTGAGAAGCAAGACCCACGAACATGAACATCATCAGCCAACCAACGACGATGAGAATCTGCAAGTTTCAGCCAGAATAAGCAGAGCCGCCACTAACAGGATCATCTTCCCGATAATGGCGCTGCTCGCAGGGATCCTCGGAGGAGTGTTTGGCATTGGAGGTGGCATGTTGATCAGTCCGCTGCTTCTCCAAGTTGGAATCGCAGCCGAGGTTCGCGCTTCACTTTTCGATATGATTTGACAGAAACTACACATTAATTCAGATTGGACGGCCTAATCAAAGCAGGGTGAAAGGAAAAATAATCCAAACTGAGTTAGGTCAGGTTCAAGCTACCATTCCTAACCAAAACCGATCTTGTTCTGTAGGTAACAGCTGCAACCTGCTCCTTCATGGTGTTCTTCTCCTCGAGCATGTCTGCTTTCCAGTACCTACTGCTGGGGATGGAGCACATCAACACAGCCATCATCCTTTCAGCTACATGCTTTGTGGCATCACTTCTCGGATTGCTGGTCGTGCACAGAGCCATCGAAAAGTATGGAAGAGCTTCACTGATAGTATTCTCAGTTGCCATTGTCATGGCATTGAGTACAGTTTTGATGACCAGCTATGGAGCTCTCCAAGTTTGGAGAGATTACCAGGCTGGGAACTACATGGGATTCAAACCTCCCTGTTGAAAAGAAACAAAATTTTCCGTGCAAACCGGATTCTGATTTCATATTTAAGCCCTTAGCATATGGTAAGTCAAAAACTTTTTGACTTGGTCATCAATGCTCATTGTCAAAGAGGTCTCAGCTTACTAAGCATATGAATCACACTCAAGAATCTCATCATTGCTTGCACGACCTTTTTGTAGCAATGATAAGCCAAAATTTGTGAAGAGAGGGTACCAAACACGGATTAACAAGTCAGTTCCGCATTGATGCAGTTTTAACTCTTACGATTTAAAACGACTCAGATAATCACAAGAACCATACCTATAAAGAATGACTATAAACAAACATCAACCAAGGGTGTTGCCATTGGTGTCCCGTGCCCAATGAAGTCAGTAATAGAGCCTTGCCTGAAAGCTTTAGCTTAAGCAACCGGAGGACGAATGGAATGATCCTGGGACGTATCAACAGCTGCAGGAGGCATGAACTGCCACATTGAGACTTGAGGATACCCAACATATGGCATGAATTTGCCTCCCATTGGACCAGGCGCTGCAGCAGCAAATGCAGCTGCAGCCATAGGATGAGGCAGATATCCCGCTGGTGGTGTACTAATCGCCTTCACTTGACTTTCGAGCTGCTCCTTCTCTGTCTTCAGCCTCTGCTTCTCATCTCTCAGCTCATTCTTCTCTGCCTACAAACATATCCAAAATCATCAAACATCTGAAACTGCACTTGTAAGGGGTTCTAAAATTTGCAGTCCCTACCTTCAATTCAGTGATTTTCTCTTGAAGGCTCTCATTCGACTCCTTGAGCTTAACAGCTTCACCTCTCAGCTGAGTCACCATTCGAGCTGCGTCAACTAAGATGGCTGATTTGTCCACCTTTGGTGGCTTTCCTGGCTCGAGAATCGCGCTCAGTTCCATGAACCTGGCAATCAATCGTACCTAACTTCAGAACAAGCTAACGGCGCCACTCTCCATTAACAAAGATGGGCATGGAAACTTCACCTGTCATTCAGCCTGTCTCTTCTCATTTTCTCTCTACATGCTTTCGACCTAGGAGGAGCTGGAGCATTGCTCGATTCATCTCTCGCCCTGAGGAGATTCAGGAACCCACGAAAATAAATATAGGGTTTCGTTTCGGAGAAAGAACAAATTCACGATTTCAGCTAAGATTGATTATTACCTTTTCCTAGACCCACTTTCCTTAACACAATCGGAATTCAACGGGACATTGAATGGAACGCTGTATCTGTATACAAAAAACAAAATGGAATCAATAAAAATAATCCCTTTTCATGGATTCATCATCTTAAGCAAGATACCCATCAACGAAAACCCCAATGCAAAGCTGAAATGCTAATCCATGAAACCAGGGAAAGCCAAATCAAACTCTCCAATTCCTTTCAATTAACAACCGAAACGGAAAACCCAAAAAATCAAAACGAGATTCCACCATGAACAAGTCCAATATTGAAGGGGCGAGTTCGAAACGAGAATACGGACCTCATGGGAGCGGAATCGGGGTAAGATGGATGGGCCGACCAAATAGGAGCCGTAGGGTCGAGGGAAGGAAGCTCGCCGCCGAGAGGGACGGGGAGGTCATTAATCAAGTCGTTATCGAAGACCCAGTTGGAGCTATCGAAGGGGGACACCATCTTGGCCGTCGGTTCGCCGGAATGTCACGGCTTTGCCGGCGGAGCTCGTAGGTAGAGCAAGAGGCGCCGTCGCGGCGAGAAAGAAGGGGGTTGGGGAGGAGATAATACGCGTCAGGGTGGAATCTGTTGTTTTGTGGATCGTGTAGAATTCTATTTGGTTGGTCGGAACAATACGCGAAAGAGGTAGAGAGAGAATTTGGGGTTGGTTGGGTCTTCCTATCGCCACACGAAAGCCAGAGAATAACAATATTTTTACGCTACCGGGAAAAAATGGCGGTAAAGAGGTAAAGGTCTAAAGGAAGCAAAAATAAAGAACGAAAGAAAGAATTAGAGGGGTTTTTTTTTTTTTTTTTCTAATTGGGCTTGTTGGCCCTTTTCACAATATATTGGGCTCCGTCTTATAAGATCTTGCGCATTATGGAATACCACACTTGCTACCTTCGGCCCAATTAGAGACAGGTTGTTTACTATTTCTGTATTTCATGTTACAAACTTACAATTACTATCAAAATCTTTCATTTAAACGCATTTCAGAATGGATTTTGTATTTGTTTGTACAATTAAAATTTTCCAGAACCGATTATGATTGTAGTTATGCTCGAGTGATATAATCATGTTCTGTATTTTATGCTTTCCCGCAATTTATATTACTAAATCATTTTTTGAGATGTAAATATCAAGTGGTCTAGTCTCGTGATCCGTCTATATTGAACTTTTTGTTTTTTTTATCTTATTTAATGCATCAATCGCCATTATCAAAAAATATCCAAGTGGTCTAACAATTCAATTTCCTCCTAATCGAGTTGACTATTAGTGTATAACTTGTTTTGGCTTGAATGCAAAAAATTAGACCAATTTTTATTTTACTCCAGCCTTCTAAAGAAACTATATGCGCCTATTAAAAAAAATTAACATACTCAAGTCAGGTTTGAATCACATAGGATAATTAGGCTAAAAGATGTCGTTATGGTGAGACATTCAAACTCATTATCATTCAGTTCTGGTTTCAAGATTGGTATCTCATTTTTCTTCTTCCTCGTCAGCAAGTCATATGAAGTCCAATTATAAACTTATTTATGATCTTTTATCATCTCTCAAGTCGGTATGATTTCGATTCAATTCAATATCAAATGAAATGGCAATCACAAATTCAAAGTTTACAAATATTATCATGTCTAGAGATGATATTATTACATCCCTTCGTTATTATATCCACGCCAAATTGTTAGGTGATGGTCATGCCAAGGCAAAGAGGATCATATAACCTAAAACTCTTAGGAACCCCCATTAAACCTTTCTTTAGGCCCATAGAGAAGACAATTCTCAAGTTGCCAAGTTGGCTATAGATATTTATTTATATCCCCATTATGCCAAAGATAAGATAAGTACGAACATCGTTTTATTTAAATAGAGCAAACAAATCACAGCAAAAGATCTTTGGTGCGTGGGCCTAACTTCACCTTGATCCATAAATTGAATAGTGGAAGATTACTTATACAATATTTTTGGAATTAAGTTAAAGAGAATCCCCAGAAGAAGCAACAGCCTCTAGTTTATGTGCGTAGTAGCCTAGTAGGTAGGGTTTGTGGAGAGGATTTTTAAGGAATTTTACATTGAAATTGTATTTAGAATTTCAATTTTACTTTATTCATTTTGTTGTTTGATCTCTTAGACTATGTTATAATCATAAATTGACACAATTTTCTTTTAGTCATAAACTGATCAGGATTACAGTGTCTTGTTGGTTACTTTATTTGAAAGAATATCTCCAACTTACCAAGTTAAAACTTGCAACTTATTGTCAAAAAGTTAGTTATAATTAATAAGAAAATTAATTAGTCGTATCGGCTGATAAAAAATAATAAATTAAAAAATAAAAACTCTTACATAATTTACATTGATTATAATTATGGAAGTGAAATGAAAAGATTACAAACCACACCTAAACCACAAGCTAAGCTAAAAACATATATAGCAAGACATCCTTTTTTAACCGAAATAAATCCCATGCATTACAAACAAAGATAATTGCCATTGGACTTCAAACCGGAGAAGAACAAGATTGGATGAAACCATCGACCCTTTTCCTTATCTCATCCGGATTGGCTCCCACAATCTTGTCAGCTGGATTCCCATCCTTCATCAACACAAAAGTAGGCATTGCCTTCACCTCCAGTTTAGTAGCCACATCCTACAAGAACATATTCAAAAATGAATCTTATAATAATCTTTTGATACGTCCCTCTAATCTCGTCGATAACAAAGACATATCTATCTATACCCCTCACATAAATCGGTGTAAAATATCTTCTGATGTACTTAAAAAGTTTTGAGACACTAAAAAAACATTTCTCCAGCCTCCAAGGTATCACATCAGCATCAAAGAAACCCCAAGTCATGAAGAAGCTGCCCAATAGCTCTATGGGATGGGAACCACATTTGTCTAACTTTTTTTATCATAGGGTTGCTTTCAAATGATTTGAGTGGAACTTGGAAATGACCATGGAGACAAAGGCAATCCGATCAAATCTGAATGTATCAAATAGTGATTTATCAACCTGAAAATTAAGGTTTCGATGGGCTTCCGATTCGTCTATTCATTCTGCTTCATGGTTAAATTAGGAATTAATGTTGGAAACTACTAATAATCGAACACCAAATCTACCGGCAGACTCTAATATTATGTTTCTTTTCTATATATAGATAAGAGGGGAGAAGCCTAACTGAATCAGATATGCAGGGAGGAACAGAAACACAGAGGGTCTTAAGAAAGATGAAGCTTTTGTTACCTTAACTTCATCGACATCCACAACAAGGAAAATGACATCTGGGTAAGTCGAAGCCAGCTCCTCGAAGAAAGGCGTCATCACCACCGACGGCATGCACCACGCAGCTGTAAAATGCGCAATCACCTGCTCTCCCCGCACAACAAATTCGGCTCAGAGCTATGGAAACATATCGGCCGAGCGTGACTTCTCCCAACAAATCGAGTTATAATCGGTGATACAGCGAAAAATGGAAACTTACAGGGTGAGCCTGACTGATATAAGAATCCCATGTCTGTAAAGAATCGACCTTTAACACGTTCAACTTGATTTGATGCTCCTGTCTCTCCATTTTTATCTATCCCCTGTTTCTGGGTTGTGCTTATTTCGCTGCTCTGCTAAGACAGGAGGAAGATAGAAGAATGAAGAGTCAGAGCGGCAGGGAAGATATATATATAGACACTACTATATTCAATACAGCCTTCTTGAACTAAAAAAAAAAGAAGAGATTTGACGTCGAGGAAACGAAACGTGGATATCGAAGAAATTACACAAAAAAACGTTCTTTCTAGAACTTGACGAGAAAGGAAGGAAACAGAGTGAAAACGGGGCCCAGAACCCACAGAATACAAGAAGACGCTATCCGTTTAGCCGACTCGGGAAAACGGTAACGTATCGAGGCACTTTGGAGTTTGGAAGATGTTTGAAAAGACCAAAACCAGATCATTAAACACACAAGATAAGATTGATGATGGAAGAAAGCGCCGATTGGAGAAGGAGAGTGGAGAATTTGGGGTTCAATATTTATCCTCAAATGAGATTTCAAAAGGTTAAACAGATATCCAGTTTAGCATGCTATTGCCAGGGGTGGCCGTGGAATGGGATTAGGTGCTAACCTTTTTAGGGGTTAGCACCGTGATAACTAGCAAAAAAACGCTATTAAAAACAACGAAATCACTACGGATTATTATAAAATCAATACAACATCTAAGTTAAATCACTACTAATTCTTGGTTAGGACGGTGCTAACTCTTGTACAATTAGCACCGTAACTCCTCCCGGTGGCCGTTCAGTTATTTCGGTTATAACCGGTAATCGATCGGCCGGTTATCGGTTAACCGAAATAACCACTCCCCCTACCGAAAACTGCCCGAAATAGGTTACGGTTTCTCGATTATCTTATTTATCGATTAATCGAACCACTTTTAAGACTAAAAACCATTTCATCCAATCTCCGATAACCAACCGAAGTTCGGTTACTTCGGTTACCACTTAGTGAATAACCAGCCGATTATTGGTTTAACCGGCCGGTTAACCGATAACCGGTAACCGAACTGCCACTGTGTTGCCCAAGTAATTGATATACAACTGTACATCTAACTTATAATTGCTTAACTTTACAACTGTTAGCTGTCGGTTATCTGTTAGCTTAACAACGCAGACCATTAACCGAATAATAGGCTCAACCAAGTGGTGAACTTCTTTTCCAATATAGGATCACAAAATTAATACATCACAAGCCATTTTGTTCTCTCTCGAATCCTTCTTTCTGACAAACAAAAACACCCCACAATCAAGGTTAAAGAAATCTACAGACAAACATAGCACACCAAAGCTTATTATTGGCTCCTTTGAAAGATCATGAGTGACAAATAACTAGTCGGGTTAACAGGGAGAGAAAGTAAACAGGCTAGCTAGAAGCTAGCTTGAGGTGTGTTTCTTAGCCGTAGCTCAAACGGGAATCGACGGCAGCAATGGCGGGTCTCAAATTCATCTGGCGCCTGGGAACCCCGATCTCGCAAGCGTTCACCCTGGCGGCGAACTTCAGCGAGCATAATGATTCTCCGACGGAGGAAGGGTCGGGAGACACGTTGACGAACATTAGCGTTTTCGAGTCCCCGCCTAAACAAGGCTGCGTTTGAAAAATACAATTCCGGTTAATGATTTAGTTCATGATCATCCCGTCACTAATCCAAATCAAGATTGTAGTATTGTCAGTACCTGAAGAAGATACGTCAGCTTGGAGTTCCTGAAGGGAACGTGGTCTTCTTTCTTGCCCAGGGCGAAGATTACATCAGCTAAGCATGACAGACTTTTGTTTATGGCCTGTTGATAGAAAGAGAGCTCTTATATGAGAAGCATATATTGCAGGTCATCAATGGCGGACAATGTATGATTGTATGGAAGGGATATAGTACCTGGGTTTCCTTCAACCTATCGCCCGTTGCTCCACTTCTGGAAAGTCGTTCGCTTCCCGCCAAATCGATGAGGTTGAGGACGCCTTGCAACTGCTGCTCAGTGCCCTGGAAAATGGAAATGAGCAAAAACCATGTGAGATAAAGAGACCGAGACAACAACCACAAAATGAAGGCTGGTGAAACACCCCGGCATGCCATCCAAGTTCTGAAATTTACCTCGTTCACCCCATAAATTCGCAGAGTAAAAACGAAGTGGCTTCTTGAAGACTGCTCGTTCATTTGGGTTTTCCCAACAGACCTAGTGAAGCAGGTACACACAATAGTTAAATATGGTCTTAAGATGGGGAAAGCAGCAGATTAGAAGGTAGTTTTTACTTTTGAGCATTGAGTTGTTTATACCTGCTTTGAGCAGCCTGTCGAAGGAGGGAGGAAATCTCGGCTATGCTGCTCACATCAACGACAGTAAGGTCTGTCACATGTGTATTTCCATTGGCATCATGTTTAATGTTGTATTGCTTTCCAGGTGCATTACTGCTTTCGCCGCTGGAGGAACGGTTAGGTGATAGCAAGTCCCTAATTGTTTCATTGTATATCTCCAACATTGAGGCCTGGCAGAAAAGAAATTGTTAGTAGCTGTGAGAATGTGTCAAAAATAGCAGTGAAGTAAAGATTTAATATGCCTACCTGCATTTTGTACTTCCAGCCCTGGGACATAAGTACTTGACTAGCTTGAAATATCTGCTCGAGGGAGCGCGGGATTAGGCCCTTCAGCTCGGGTGCTTCAGGCCTCCCCATCATGGTGTAGGTTTTCCCAGAGCCTGTTTGTCCATAGGCGAATATGCAGACCTTTGCAGATCAACAGGTAGATACAAGTAGTGAATAACAAGGAGAAAAATACAGTGGATATGCAGACTTTTGCAGATCAACAGGTACATTCAATTAGCGAAGAACAAGGAGAAAATACAGCAAAGTTGACGGCTTGATGAAGTAAACTAACCTTATAGCCATCAAGGGCGCTTTGAACCAACTGCGAAATTTCCACAAATACATCCTGTTGTGAAGCATCATGGCTGAACACCTTATCGAACGTGAAAGGATACTTTTGACCTGTTAAGAGAGTAGCATGGATTAAGAAAGATACATCGTAAGGAAAACATATAGCAAATGCGGGAGGGCGAGCTAGTGGTGGAGGATGAGAGGTCAAATATACCATTTTGCATTACATCAATCCCACGACCAAGGGATTCTAAAGAACTAGGATAAGTAACAACTTGTGTGTCAGCCCGAGCATCATCTGGTAACGAAGGACGAACTCTACAGAAAACTCTGATATTCCCCTTAAGTTCCTGTATTCAAGTGATTCGGAAACTAAGTATATGAAGATTCTACGTTATATATACTGCAAGGCATGTAGTAAAATACAAATGTTACCAAAATAGTGTTATGCAACTTTTTCCTCAACTTCTCTCCTTCAAGGAGTTGCTGTTCTGCATCAGCAAGTCGCTCCTGCAATTCACTTACTATTCTTCTTTGTTCCTCAAATCCCGTGCGTGCCTCAGCAGCAGTCATGTCCAAAGTCTAAAAGAAACGAATAGGTACCAATTTGGATCCAATAAGCAATAATAGGCGGCTACAAAAAAGATTGAAATGCCTTGCATTGATTAAAACAACAGTATACAGTACCTTTGACTTTTCATTTGCCGCAGTCAATTTCTGCTCCAATAAACTTATCTGCTTGCGGTGGGAAGAACAAGTTTCCTAAAACACAAAGGATGTTTGTTAGATCAGTTTGCATATCAAACAAACAACATGCACCATAGACGACATGCTACAGTTTGAACCAACCTCTAACAACTGTGCTTTTGAAATGAGCACATCCAGTTCAGCCTGGGATTTGCCTGTGTTTTCTTGATATTTCAATAGTTCAGCATTCAAGTCTTGAACTTGAGCCAACTGCCGATCACGATCATCTCTCACTTGTTGAAGATCCCCACGAAGGCATTTTACTTCAGTGGCTAATGAATGTTTCATATTTACTGCCTCATCTTGGGAAGCCTGACATTAATTGAATACATTAATATCAACTACACTAAACATGTCAAAAGAGCAGATGACAAACTATCATTCGGGTTATCAGATAGCTTACTCTTGAAATAGCCAGCTGTTCCTGCAACGATTGTTTATGACCCCTTACCGTACTTAGGTTCTCAACTACTGCTACCTTCTCTTGCTCTACTCGTTGCAACAAATTTCGTGTTGCGTCAAGGTCACTGTGCAATTTGGCATTGTACTGTTGTAGGCTCTCATTGTACGCCTTCAAGTTGTTATTCGTGTCCGCATCCAAGGAAGCCTGCAAAAAATTTTAACTGAACTTGAAATTTGGGACAAACTTACAACTTCAAACCAACTCTGAATAAAGCTTCTTTCTAATACTTGAGTATAATTATGTCACAAAAGGCTTTGATCATAAATTACCTTCTTATTAGCTTCCTCAAGTTCCTTCGAGAGAGAAGCCTTCTCAGTCTCTAATGCGATTCTTGCCTCGTGTTCCTTCCTATAACTCTCAACGGCAGCCTAATTGTGACAGAACAAAACAGAATAAGAGAAGGATGAAATACTGAAAGATGAATGCCCACCACATAGCTTGGTCAAAATTGAATGCAATGCGTATATCTACCAGCTTCTCTGATTCTTCCTTGGAAAGCTTCTCCTTCAAGGATGCATTCTCTTTAGTCAGCTCTACTATAGTTGTTCTAGACACCTCTTCAACTCGTCGCATTTCGACCTCTAAAACCCAGCAAACACAATGACATCACAAGCAGCTCAGCTAGGTTGATGACTAACTCATTAAACATGCTAACAACAGGCCAATGTAAGGGTTCATCAGTTTCATTCTTACCGGTATCCTCACATCTTTTCTGGTAAGATTCCAAATCATTTCGGAGCTTGCTCTCTTCCTCCACGTGCCCTTCCTCTCTTTTCTGACACCATTTTAGACAAAGCTTGAGCCTGCTGTTCAACTCAGTTGTTGCTTCCAAATTTCCCTGCCAGAGAACCATAGAACCACTGGTGTGTGAACGAACTGAAACACCAACCAATATCCAGGCTAAAAACAAAACAGCAACTCGTCACTGTATAACCTTGAGATCGAATCTCTTCATCTTGGCCTTCTCGTTTACTAATGCCTCAACTTCCTCCTTCGTGAACTCAATGCAACTACTCTCCGAAGCATCCTTGCTGCTTGCATCAGCCGAGCTAGCTGCCGCTTCCAGCTTCTTGTTAACTGAACCAAACGGCTTACGTTCGCTGCCTGCGGTCTTCCCCACGCCAGCTCCGACCCTCCGACGCTTGTCCAACGGAACCCCATCACCATCACCCCGTTTCTACAACAAGTCAACGAATTTAGATTCAATCAATGCCGTCGGTCTCTCTATCTCTCTCCCCTAAACTAAACTAAGTACGCCGAATTCAGAACTACAGGAAAATAGAAGTAGAAATCAGAAACTCACTGAAGAAGGACTCCGAGGAGCCCTGTTCTGGTTCCGAGAAGCCATCATTGGGCCTGTCGTCTGAAAGAGGGGAAAAAAGAACTGAGACGAACGCTGCTTGTGGAAAGAAACTGATCCCTCTTCTCTTAAGCGTTTTATTGGCTCGATTCCATTGGCTCCCGCCGATTGACGTGGAGGATGGCGGGACAATGGTCTGAATTAGCGACTGGAAGTGAAAATCTGAGCTTTCGCCGGCGGAATCTGGCTCATCCGGAGCTGAATCGGTCGACCGTTAGGGTTGCGACGGAGAGAGGGGCCGGGATAGAGATCGATTTGGGCGGAAAATGGAGTTTTGAAACAATTTGAATTATTGGGGGACGAGGAGCGTCTATTTTGACGAGGTGGTGGGATGGAAATTGGAAAGCAGACGTTGAAAGAACTCACTTGGGCTCGGCCCACTTTTACACAGAAAATTTTAAACCAGCTGCGGGCTGGGCCGGGCCCACCCACTTAAAAGCCTCCCGCGCAGTCAGAAATGAGAAAAACTCACTCATCTTTTAGACTCCACGTGTCAGCCAAAGACTAGCTCACAGCTAACAAAATCATACATGTCAAAACGGAGAACACTCACCAACACGTGTCTCCTTCCAATTGGCTGAAATCATATCCTGCCTTATCCAACGAAGAACATGCTCAGATAAGGCAATTTCAGCCAACAAACCAATCTACATCACACACAGAATTGAACAAATAACCACTGCCAGATAAACAGAATCCCAGAAGAAAATAAACCATAATCTCAGTCTCAGCCCACCTGGAAATCAGAAAACTCAACAACAATGGCTCAGGCGATGGCTTCCATGGTTGGCTCGACCCGCTTGAACGTGGCTAGCGCCACCGGCGGCGTGGCAGCTCGTCCGAGCTGCCTAACGATTCGAGCACAGCAGCAGGCTGCCGAGCCGGAGACCAGCCGCCGGTCCATGCTTGGCCTCGTCGCCGTGGGTTTGGCTTCTGGGTCTTTCGTCCAGGCTGTGCTCGCCGAGGCAAATTCGATCAGGGTCGGCCCTCCTCCGGCTCCCTCCGGCGGACTGCGTAAGTGAATTGATTAATTGATATGTAAATCTATTTGGGTTTTTTCTTTTTCTTTAATTCGGCGATTGCATGTTACGAAATTGTGGTGATTCTGGCAGCCGGGACTCTGAACGCTGACGAGGCCAGGGACGTGGACCTGCCGCTGAAGGAGAGGTTCTATCTGCAGCCGCTGACGCCGGAGGAGGCGGCGGCGAGGGCCAAAGTGTCGGCAAGTGAGATAGTGAACGTGAAGTCGTTCATTGACAAGAAGGCTTGGCCATATGTGATGAACGACCTTAGGCTGAGGGCGTCGTACCTTCGCTACGACCTCAAGACCGTGATCTCTTCCAAGCCTAAGCCGGAGAAGCAAGCCCTCACCGATCTCACTGGAAAGCTCTTCCAGAGCATCAACAACGTAAGTTTGTCTCTTATCAATTTTAGCTAAAACTCGCATCTCCGCAATTCTTTGGATTGCCCAAATACTAGTATCAAAGTTTTTTTATTCTGAATGTGCTGATTTGTTCTGTTCTTTGATTGCAGCTGGATTATGCAGCAAAGATCAAGAGCTCTCCACAGGCAGAGAAGTACTATGCTGAGACAGTATCCAACTTGAATGATGTTCTGGCTAAGCTTGGTTAAGAAAAGCTTAGAATTGCTGTGTTTCACTTTGTGGGAAGCTCTGTTAGTTGATTTGGGACTATGAGATCATTGCTTGTTTCGATCATAATGTTATTTTGCAGGGGAGATGTCAACTGTGTAATTACAACTTAATTTTCCATCCTTATGAAGAGGCTCTTGGAATCTCTTATCATTTTTTTTTTTTTGTGCTTAATTAGTAGAGTTAATTACCTTAAGAGAAAGTAAGCTCTAAAGAAATTAACCTAGACTTCATCAAGTGATCGGTTCCTGGCAACTATAGGTGCTAATTGATTTGATTTCGGGTAACCACTAATCCATTCGGCAGTTAGTGGTTAACCACTAAGCAAAATATGCACACCGAAAATCTAGCTGATAAGGATTGTTGGTTAACCTCCTGTTATCAATTTGATTAGCAGTTAGTTTACCACTAATTGATTAAACGGTTAGTGGTTAATCACCGAGCAAAATATGCATACAAAAAACCGAACTGATAAGGCTTATCGGTTAACGGCATGGTATTGATTCGGTTGAAGATTAGTATGGCAGTTAATCAATAACCAATAACAACCTTCGCATGTGATATTTTCCTTTAATATTTTGAATTTACGAAGTATTCTTTCACTAATAAAATATAATCATAGAATGAATTCAAACTGTTTAATTACACTTCCACATTGTTAATATAAAATAGTAATTATAAAAAATAACATCAAAACAATACAACATCTATCGTTAATTCATAATACAAATTCCAATACATAAAATTACAAATAATTTAACATCTTCATTCAATTAGCGAGTTCTACCTACCAAGATATCAAACACAAGCACCACAAACTCATCACCATTCACAAACATCAAAGAAACATAGACTATTGTACAATAATAAAAGAAACAAAGATTATTAGGGTGCGAGTTTCGCTATGTCGACTGCAAACGAGATTCAGAAAGGGATGACTTTTGAGTTCCGAGTTCCGACCCTTTAACATATTTGAGACTTTAGGTGGAAGGTTGCTTATAAGTGCAAATGGAATGTTTAAAATTGCCATTTTGATTGGTTATTAATCTCCAGACTTTTTTCTCTTAGTCAAAATCTAAAATTGTGTGATTTGTACTAATATACGGTTTTTAGTTTCTTATCGATTAACCACTAACTGATTTATCGGTTAATGTTAACAACTAAACAAAATACAATTAACCGAAAAAAGGAGAGAAGCTGAAAAATGGAAATAAAACAACTTGAGCTTGGACCAAACCTAAACTGGGCTGTTCTTGCAGTTGTTCCTTCAGTCCACAAGCCCATACGTTGTAGCCCGCTTGCAAAGTGATAAGCCCAAATCATAAAGACCCTGCATTTTGATATTTTCGTATTTCCCGCCCTCGCTTGAGAACTTTTCCCGAAATGCCAACTCACACGGCCAAAACCCAAAAATCAAATAAACAAACAACGAGGAAAGATAACTCATATCATCCAGCCGTCCACTTCTAATCCGAAGCAACGGCCCTAGATCTCGATCCGCGTCAGTCCCGCTGATTGGCAGAACTAATTCATACCCACTATATAAACGATGACGTGAAAATTTTCAATTCACAAATTCACAAACAACTCTCCAGTCAAATTAGCGCCATCCCCAAGTTCCTCACATCCAAATTTTCGAATTCCCATCTCAACTTCTCCAATGTCCGGAAGAGGAAAATCGATTGGGTCCGTCAAGGACAAGAAGAGCACCACCAGGAGCACCAAGGCCGGGTTGCAGTTCCCCGTCGGCCGCGTCGCTCGCTTCTTGAAGACCGGCAAGTACGCTGAGCGCGTCGGTGCCGGAGCTCCCGTCTACCTCGCCGCCGTCCTCGAGTACCTCGCTGCCGAGGTAATTTTCCTTTTTGACCTTCCCACTCGCTCCTCATCCCAATTAGAATCGCTCAGAAATCTCAGATCTAGAACCTAACCGTCGTCGTTTCGGTGTTTTTTTTTTTTACTTCAGGTTCTTGAACTGGCCGGAAACGCGGCGAGAGACAACAAGAAAACGAGAGTCGTCCCGAGACACGTGCAGTTGGCGGTGAGGAACGACGAGGAGTTGAGCAAGCTGCTCGGATCCGTCACCATCGCTAACGGCGGCGTGATGCCCAATATTCACAACATGCTTTTGCCCAAAAGAGCCGATGCCAAAGGTCGCTCTGCTGCCGCCGCCGACGAGTAGATGCTCTGTTTTCCTTAAGTTTGATATTGTGAATTGAAAATTATCGGAGGAAGTAGAATAGATTAATCAGATGTACTGGACTGGTTACTCCAGTTTTCTTTTGTGGGTTTTGGTTGATCGGATCATTGTAATGAATCAGGCCATTTCATTTCAACATGAATTTGTTAAGATCTCATATGAAATGAATTCATCTGTTCCCAATTGAAATTACAATTACAATTAGAAAATGCTAACAAATGTTTGGTTAATGAACAAAAGGGATTCACAAACGAAAAGAAATACGAGTTGGGTTTTCGAAGTAAGCAACAGCTTGTGATCCCAACTAGAATTGGGGCTACACTCGGCCGGCGGGAAGTTGTTCTTCCTTGGCCGCAGCGGCTGCGGAGACATAGTAGGCGATGGTGAAGAGTCCATGTATGAAGCAAAGAATCCCTCCAATGGATAGCACTCGATTGTGGGAGAGGCCGCAGGATTTCCTGGACTTGGAGTTCGCCATTATTCCTATGATCAGCATTGAGAACCCTACCACCAACGTGATCCTGTTTTCGGCAATCCAATAAACCCCAAATTATTACCACCCGTGACCGTGATGTGAACATGACCAGAAGGCTGATCTGTCCAAGTTCTGTTACAGAAGGAGAAAAGAAAGGGATAGCTTCAGGAATTCAGCGTATTACCAAGCGAAGACGAGGGAGGCGACGGCCAATTGCCGGTTGGCGGAGGCTCTCTGGAACTCTGCTTTGGACGACATGCAAACGCACCCACCGAGCAAGTTGGCAATCACATGCGCAAACGTCAGTAACACTGCCGCCGCAACACCAAGCTTGAAGGCCTTCAGGCTCGGGTCTCGGCACTCAAAGATCCACACCTTCAAATGCTTCACCTGGTCCAGATCAAAAGCCAAAAAAAATTTCAGAGCTCCATCATTCTATCTTAGCAGAAACAATCAGAAACATGAAGGTAACATACCTGGTTCTGGGCGATATCAGCTTCAATCCCAAGTATGCCAGCAGTGACATCCAAGGCCATGATCAGAAGGCAAATCGCCACACCAATGCTCTTATTATTCGACATTCTTTCTCTGTCTAGTCGTCGGAGAGGAAGCCGAAAATGTCTGAGTCGTCTTTGGAAGAAGCTTGGGGAGAGAACAGGAATCATTTCATACTTATATAAGCTGGGTGGAGTGGATTATATTCTCGAAGAAGCAATCTATGTTGAAACGAATGGGAGAGTGCGTGGAAGATGGGAATACGAATAAAGGGTTGATTAGCCATGGGTGGGTAATGGGTTATTAATCTAATCTAAGCCCACACCCCTCCATTGTCGATTGATCCTCCTCTGCTGTTAGTGCGTGATGGGATTAGCTGTTAGTAAGCTGAAGAAAGTGAAAAGCTTCCTTTTGTCCACAAACGAGGTTGCTTTATTCTGTCTTTTTTGCCTTGTTTGGGGTTTCTGAGTTTCTGTTATGTTATAGTTCCTTCCTTTTTCTTCCTTTTGGGTCTCCAAGTTGTGGGGTAACTAGTTCTGATTCCTTCCATGGGGGACAAGAAAAGCAGAGTATCTCATAACGAGCATTCATCTCCTGCAACTTCTTTTGGCGTGATGAAGATTGAAGACAACTCACATCTAGGCAAGCTTTGGTTTGTGACTCATGTATTCATGTTTCCTATCGCTCTTGATCTAAAAAAAAGTTTCACCAACTTATCGAACCTCGAGTAGCTGAAACTTGAGTCGAGAGTTGAACTAGTGATAATGAGACTACCAAGTACCAACATCTAAAATATCATCAGTTTGACTGCAAAGAAAATTTTTAATATAGTTCATGGTTACATACACATATGGATAGACGAATAAAAGTACCAAAATCTTCTACTAGTTTCAAGCATTGAAATCAGAGATGTTAGTAAAATTTAATGACTAGTTATTGGTCGTGCGTAATTGCACGAAAAATGTAAGTGATTGATCACGAAATGGACTTTACTCTCATGTTAAAAATCAAATTTCTGAACATCATATTGTTGAGAGACGAGACAATCAACCACCACATCTAGTTTTTTTAGGGGTCGTTTGAAAGTTGTGATTGTTAAATAGATGTATTGTTGAGAATGCATGTATTGTCGAATTTGATGCATTGTAGAATACAACGTTTGGTATGTGTGATTGTGTATGTTACATTAACTAAAAGCTGAGACAAAACAATCTTTACTCAACTATCGCAACAATCACAACTAAAAGTTGAGATATAACAATCACTTAAAATGAGTGATAGTTTCTGTCACATCACAGAAACAATCGATGTATTGTTTTTGCTAAAAAAATAAAAAAACGATGCATTGTAAACAGTACATGCTTAATGACAATCTCAACAAAACAATCGTAACTTCCAAACGACCCCTTAGTGTCAGTTCCATAAGCCCAGGCCGAGATCCTATCACAGTAATGGGCTTTTATCAGCAAACCCTTCAAATCCAAGCCCAATAGGTAAAGGCCATACACTGAAGATCCGACTGGTTGATAACACGTGTCAACTATGTAGGTCCAGTTCTAGAAGGAACGCAATGGTTCTTCTCTGTCACCGCTGGTCGTTCCAGAAACAAGCGGAAATTTGCCCGGGAGACGATTAACCGATCAATAAAAGCAAAACAACCAAGAAAAAAACCTGCTTCGCTTCCTCCATAGCAGAACCGAAGAGGAATTCGGAAAGGAGGAACTATGTCGTCGGCGGCGGCGTTTTGGAAGTACTTCGAGGACGACGACGAGGATCGGCCGGAGAAGCCTCGACGCTACGGTGTCACTGAAATGCGAGGCCCGCAGTATAACTTTCTCAGCCAGAACCTTCTGCAAGTACGTCGCCTAAGCATTCATTCCCTCTCTTATCTTCTTCTCGTTCGTTGTGATAGTCGGTTTCCCCTCCGGTTTATGCTGGTACCAATTTGTGCATTGTTATCGGAATGAGGGTAACAACTCCGTAGGACAGGTGTTTGATGTAATGCTCCTGTGGTGCAGAATATTACGATTTGAATGATTGCTTGTATTTGCGTGCGGCAGGACATCTTCGAATCCACGGGGCAATTTGTCGATGGACTGAAGTTCTCCGGAGGCTCTCACAGCTTAATGCCCAAGTCTTTTATCAAGGAAGTGATCAATGTGGCTCATCGGCACGATGTGTATGTTAGTACAGGGGATTGGGCTGAACATCTGCTTCGTCAAGGTCCATCTGCTTTCAAAGATTATGTAGAGGTGAGGCGTCTATGAAACGAAGAACAACATCTCATTGCATTAGTGAGTAGCTTTTCTTGACGCGGTGCTTTGCTATTAGGAATGTAAGAACATGGGGTTTGATACGATTGAGCTGAATGTGGAGTCACTTGGAGTTCCTGAAGACACGCTCCTGCGATATGTGCGTCTGATCAAGAGCGGTGGGCTGAAAGCTAAACCCCAATTCGCCATCATGTTTAACAAGTCTGATGTCCCATCTGGTAGGAATAGAGCATTTGGAGCTTATGTGCCACCAGCACCTCGTTCATCTGGTGAGGATATGGTAGAAAAGTAAATGAGCATTGATGATTAACTGAGGCATTTACGCTAAACTCAGCCGGAACTACCATTTTTGGTTTGCAGAAATGGTTGAGGATGTCAATCTTCTAATTAGAAGGGCTGAGAGATGCTTGCAAGCTGGAGCAGATATGATAATGATTGACGCTGATGATCTCTCCAAGGATGCTGATTCTCTAAGGGCAGATGTAATTGCTAAGATCATTGGCCGTTTGGGCATTGAGAAGACCATGTTCGAAGCATCGAATCCCATAACTTCAGAGTGGTTTGTCAAGCGTTATGGTCCCAAGGTATGATGCTTAATATATAGACTCATCATAAACGACACAGGACAACTGATCTCTCATACTATTGCTATCAATGATCGATGAGTTTTCTGCAGGTGAACCTTTTTGTAGATCATTCTCAAGTAACGGGACTCGAGTGCCTCCGTTCTCGCTTGAACAAACACCAAGGTTCTGCTTTTGGTTCCCCCTATCTTCTTCTGTGAGAGATCGACTGTACCCATATGTTTGCCAGTTTCTGAAAAGTCCAACTTGTCTGTGTTCTATCGTACCATTGTATTAAATAACATGATAAGTCTAGTTGTATTCGTACTTTTCGATGATGTCCTGAGTTCAAACACAAGGTCTGTTGTTTGTATATCTTCCAAGTGTTTACCTTTACATGTGAAGCTTGTTACCAGAATAACCAGATCTGAAGCTCTCTTTAATCTCTTAACTTCTTTAGTGAATATCAGTAACTCTTTCTTGTAGTAGAGTAATGTATAAGATTACTGCTTGATACACATGGTAGCTAAACTGGCTAACCAGTAGTGGGATGTCCTATTCAGCAAATTAAAGCCGACTTATTAGGACGAACTAGAGTATATTCCTGAATCTTGCTCTCTTTAATCTTTACCTTCTTTAGTAGATAACAGTATCTCCTCTTAGAGTAGAGTAATGTATAAGATATTGCTTGTTAGACATGGTAGCTGAACTGGCTACCCATTAGTGGGATGTCTTTTTCAACAAATTAAGGCCGATTTATTAGGACGAACATCTCGATCGTAGCTGACTTTGAGCTTAGCAGATGGGAACGAGTCATATTGGCAGAAATTGTACTCTGAAGTGATAATTAGACATTAGAGGAAATTGCTGAGCTATAGTCGTTCGTTATCTTCTAGTATAAATGCAATGTGATATAGGAGGAATTTTCCAGAACGCGTAATAGATCGACCTTAGTTTGTCAGATACCGTAGTTTTCTAGTGGTGTAGAAAGCTTGGCAGCGAATTGGGTATTTTGCTTGTCAGACGAGTCTTCGGCTTTCACGGGGAGAGTATTTCCCGGAGCTGATAATGTACAGTAAAATGTCTATTGTCTGTACTCTAGGGTATCCTCACATGGAAGGCAGGTTTTTTCTGCTGAGTGGCTGAGTGGAAGTTCAGCTTTTCTAGTTTTCAGTTTTCACCGATCAAAAACAAAAAAAAAAAATTCAAGTCTTTCTGATTATTAGAGCGGTAAAGGGGGATATGATTTTTACCCCGGGCGAGTTCTTCGAACCTGGTGGCCTGGCTTGTTACGGTAAGAAATCATCTTTTTAATCTCGCTATTTTTCCCTTTCAATTCATTTGCTTTTTTGGAATCTAGTATCTCCTGACGCTCCAGATCTTGGAATTTTCTTACATGAATGGTTTTTTTAGCGTGTTACCTCAACAGGTAGCAATTTATGATCCTTACGTTCGTGGCCTGGTCCAAGAAAGACATTTCATTAACTCCACCGTGGTGGATAGCTAGCTTCTATATGTACACAAACGACAGCAGAAGATAATCATGAGGTACAGAAAACATGAGCGGTGAAGAAAAGGAAACGCAGACTCTCTGGCTTTCGCTGAAGAAGTCTTTTCAGAACTGCAAGTCGGAGCCTGCGGCTGTGGCCAGTGGTCCAACTCCGAAGAGGAATCTATGCAGTTCTACCTGTTCGAGATCTTTGTCTAATCTTAGAGATGTCATTCATGGAAGCAAACGGCATTCTGATGATGATAACAATCGTAAGGTTCTTGCTTGCAGCCCGAGGTCTCTTGGCAGCGGAGATTTCCTCAACCCTGTGACTCATGAAGTAGTGCTGAGTGATACCACGGCTGAGCTCAAGATAACAATGTTGTCTCATGACTCTCATCCAAGTCCTGTGGCGCTGACCTCTCCCGAGATTCTTCGAAGAAAGGTACCGGCGGTTTCACTGGGTTATGGCGGTGGCGAAGAGAAGCCTTCTCGGTTCAGGAGTGATGGACATTGTGATGATGGAGTATCGACTCTGACTTGCAGGAAGTGCGGTAAGCAGTTTAAGAAGGCGGAGGAGGTTGAAGAGCATCAAGTCTCCGACCATGCTGGTGAGTAAGTGAATTGCATTTTTTCTCTGTTTTCCTGTTTGTTGGAGGCATATTTTCCACTTTCTGGATGTCAATTTGGTAGAATTACGGTTTGGTCTGGTCAGGAATATGATGGACTTCATTGTTATGGGATTGAATCAGACATCCATACTATGTTATAGTCTCAATTTGGTCTGTTAGATAAATCCCCATTTTATATGAGCTCTTCCCAGCCTTTGTAGTTAAAAGATCCATTGGAAATGGAACAAGGTAAAGAAAAGTCTCGGATTTTGGAATCAAAATTGAACTTTACTTGGATGGGAATATAAATGTCAACTTCAATTTGATCTGGATGTAGGATCATTGGGTTTCTGAGTTCTGCTCTGATCATGCGAGTGTTCTTTTCCTTTTCTCACAGTTAGTGAGCTAATAGATGGCGACTCATCAAGGAGAATAGTGGAAATCATCTTCCGAACAAGCTGGCCGAAATCCGAGAGCAACCCCATCCGCATAGAACGAGTATTCAAGGTAAACAACACCCGGACCACTCTCTCCCACTTCGAGCATCACCGAGAGAAGGTCAAGCTCAGGGCCACCAAGCTTTCGACGAAGCACCCTCGCTGCCTCGCGGATGGCAACGAGCTGTTGAGGTTCCATGGCACGACAGTCGCATGTTCTCTCGGCACAATAACGACCAATGGCTCGTCTTCGTCAATCCTCTGCAGGGCGGACGATTGTGGGGTGTGTGGAATTCTGAGACGTGGATTCTCTTTGGATAAGAGGAATGGTTTTGGTGTTTTCACTGCTTCAACTAGCAAGAGAGCGTTGGAGGAGGCGCGTGGAGACTGTGGGAGGAGGAAGGCGTTGGTTCTGTGCAGAGTGATAGCCGGGAGGGTTCATAAACCGGTGGAGAATGTTGAAGAGATGATGATGGGGAGTCGGTCCGCTGGGTTCGATTCGGTTGCTGGGAAAATCGGTCAGCATTCAAGCGTTGAGGAGCTCTATTTGCTTGACCCTAAAGCTCTCCTCCCTTGCTTTGTGGTGATTTGTAGACCTTGAAAGTTGGATGTTTTTCCCCTAATTGCCATTTCTCAATGAAAAGTTTCTGTCACAAACTGTGACAAGAACCAGATGGACAGAACTTCATTTTAACGATTGAAGTACGGGAGATTACTCTTCACTTGATTAACATTTGACTCTGCATAGACTGTGCTGTAAGGATTAATGGGGAGATAGCATGATTCATTGGGGAGATTACATTGAAAAGAAAAACGCTTATTGGTTGCTTTGTGGAATTGAAGGAAAAAGTATGTTCTGTGCTTGAAAATTACATGCTGAGAATCAGTTGTGACGATGATTTTTGTTGTGCTTATGTAAGTAGCCGTTCATTCCAAAAGAGAATTTCAGTCGACCATTTGGGCTCGTTTCTATCGGGCTTTTGTAACGAGCTCGATTGTATTCTAACTAAATTTTCTTCGCGTTATTGATCGTTCTGTCCCACAGGTTCAATTACCAGCTCATTTTCTTGGAAGACCATGTGAAAATTTTGTATTCAATCATTATCTCAATCCAATCCACCCACATAAATATTTAATTCATTTAATTCATTTAAATTTAATTTATTTGATTCAAATCCAAATAGATCCATGAATTGGCAAATTACAGCTTAGTCTATATTTTACAATTTGGTACTTAAAATTAACATTTTAAAGAAAAATATCATTGAAAATAACATTTCGATACCGAGAATGTTTTATGTCATTTTAGTATCTAAAATTTTCAAAATTTATATATTGATTCAATGTGTAGATGTCACTTGTATCCTTGAGTCAATCGACCAATCCAATACATGAATCCAATCCATTTGATACCTCTAAAGTTCACGCAATGATCAGTTCATCAATTTATGTTCAACGTGGGATTTTTTTGAAATATAGAGAATTTATAGAGGAAATTGCACTATCATTGACAACAAAAAAAGCCAATGATACACCGAAATTATACCATTTTTTTTAGCTAAAAATTTGTGTCTAGTCACTCCGTTCTACGTGATATTTGAAAATCAATTTAATAAAAATGTACCAAAGATCCACCAACTTATTAACTTTGGTTCGATTTTCAAATGCAACATTTAAATCTTCCCGCCAAAAAATGAAATATCCAGAAAACACGTTGGAATCATAAAGAACGATTGATGGGTGATCTTGACGCATTTCTGTTAAGTTACCCTGCTTTACGGAAGACAATGAGCTAAAAGAAGCTCCAATCTACCACTAACTAACGTCAGTAACAAAGAGAGCTCACTCCAAATAAAACCAGCACTTCTACAATATTGGTATTTGGCAGGCGAGACAAACCTACATCCTTTTGATACAAGATTAGGCGGGATCGAAAGCATAATGGTTATTAGAGGTTAATTTTGATGAGCATTAAATTGCTCTCATTCTCACCGAGTGTGATAACTCACCAAACCCACCACGAAAGGAACTATACCACAAATTAACTCCATAAACAGAAAGCATATGAATCCCTTTCCTTATATATATCAGCCATCAGCCATGAAAACCAGGGGAGCAAAAAATTGAGTTGGTGGCGCCTGATTCCTCGTGCTTACCTTCTCCCAAAATTTTTATTTGGTGCGACTATTAGGTGTAACGGCCCATTTGAAAACCGTCACCCCTACTTTATTATGTCGTTATTAAAACGGTGGAAACGTTTGTCCATTTGGCCGTGAAATCAAGCAGAGATCTCTGGCTACTGTGTTTTTTCTTCTCCCGGCGGTGAAAGGAATAGGCCGATGGCGGCGACGACTACTACCACTGCCGATCCGGAGACCAAGAAGGTAGCTTGTGTGATTGGCGGGACGGGGTTCGTGGCGTCTAGGCTCGTCAAGTTGTTGCTCGAGAAGGGTTATGTTGTCCGAACAACTGTTAGAGATCCCGGTTCGTAGCTCGTCTTAGTAAATTTTTGTTGTTTTAGTTTAAGAAGTTGTTGATTTCATGTTTGTTTTTTTTATGGTCTTGTGGCACGTCTCACCAAATCGTTTCTTTATGAATGTTCTTCCTTTTTAATGAATGGTGCATTTTTTTTTTTATTTTTGTGTGTGTACAGATAACAAGAAGAGAATATCACACCTTCTGCCGTTAAAAGAATTGGGTGACCTGAAAATTTTTGCCGCAGATTTAACCGACGAGGAAAATTTTGATGTTCCGATTGCGGGTTCCCACTTCGTTTTCCTGGTTGCGACTCCGGTTAATTTTGCTTCTCAGGACCCAGAGGCAAGTTGGAAAAAAAAAAAAAAGAACAACATATGTGGTTACGATTAACATTAAACGTTACAATACATTACATTTTTCGTACATGTTCAAAATTATCATAATCGTACTTACCTTATACATACCAACATTACATAAAAGATAAAAAAAATGGGTACAATGCTTGTAAATCTGTAATTGCACTATGCAAACAGAATGACATGATCAAGCCGGCGGTCCAAGGAGTGGAAAACGTCCTGAAAGCATGCGTCAAAGCCAAAACGGTGAAAAGGGTCGTCCTAACTTCGTCGGCCGCCGCCGTCACGATCAACAAGCTGAAGGAGACGGATTTAGTCTTGAACGAGGAAAACTGGACCGACGTCGAGTTTCTAACTGCAGAAAAGCCTCCAACTTGGGTAAATTTTATTACATAAATACTCTTAAGAACAACCGTAAATTATCTTTTTTTTTTTTTACCGTTTCATCATAATGTTGGATCTCACAGGAGGGTAATATTTGTATTAGGGGTACCCTGTTTCGAAGACACTTGCCGAGAGGGCAGCCTGGAAATTTGCTGAAGAAAACAACATTGATCTGGTCACCGTCATTCCTTCTCTCGTCGCCGGCCGTCCTCTGACGGTTGATACTCCTAGCAGCACTAATCTTGCCGTCTCCTTACTCACAGGTGGGTTTTCATCATTTGCGCTACTCGCATTTGGTCATTATTGAGATGTCAAATATTGGTGTAACTAAATATAGTCAAAATAATTGCCTTATCCTTTTTTTTCTTTCTTTCTCTATCACGATATATCTCGACCGGGTAGCACGCGTCAGAGTGGTAGCCTACAAGTGCAAAAAACAACTATCACAACTAAAAAACAATGATTACAATTATTGTTGCGTCTAAATTTTAAAAATAATGACTACACATCTGGTTAGAATGGTGCTGACCCCCTTATGGCCAGCAAGCTAACTCGTTCCCTATTTATCACATTAGGACTAAACTCGACTTGAAAACTACATTTAACCTAATCTCGTTTGGCCCTTTGTTTTCATGTGATCACATTAAATAAGAGTAAAACTATGTATGGAATTCAAATCAATTCTAGTTTTACATTGATTTGAATTGATGAATTGTATAATAGCCAAATATCGTTTTTGTATAATAGTCTTATGTATACAATCTTTGTTCTATTTGAAGGATTATCGTACCTTACCTAAAGTTAGAACGGTTCAGTTCACATTGCACAAAATTCAAAAAATGGAGATTGTATTATGAGATGGAGAATACTTTGGTCTTGGAAAAGGCTGTAAATATGACATGTACAAATCTGCAGGGAACGAGTTCCTCATCAATGGGCTTCAGGGCATGCAAATGTTGTCGGGTTCCATCTCGATCACCCACGTCGAGGATGTCTGTCGCGCTCATGTCTTCGTCACCGAGAAGGAATCCGCCGCCGGCCGGTTCATATGCTGTGCTGCCAACACCAGCGTTGTCGAGCTGGCCCATTTCCTCAAGGCCCGATATCCACAGTACAGTGTCCATACGGAGTAAGCCCACGGCCCAACATTCAAAAGCCTTACAAATATCTACGAGTTGACCAGTTTAGTAAATGGCTTTGCGGGGTTTGACGTTGCCGCTTTACGACCGTCGCCGATGATGTTCTTATGGTCTTATCTAGTTCTGGTGTTTATGTGAGGATTAATGATATATTGTCTTGTAGGTTTGGTGATTTTCCGGCGAAGGCGAAGTTAAAAATCTCGTCGGAGAAGCTGGTCGGAGAGGGATTCAAATTCCAACATGGATTGGAAGAGATCTACGATGAAACCGTCGAGTACTTCAAAGGCATAGGTGTTCTGAAGTGAGTGAAGAGAGAATTGGTGATTGTGCTGTTGAGGATGATCAAGCGACATCGGTTTGGGTTGAATGCGAGACAAGAAAAATAATTATTGTGTTATTATGGTGTTTTTCTCTTTTCTTTTTTGGTTGAGGAGATTTTAATTTCTTTTTGTTGAGAATTTGTGTTTGATTAAATAAAATGGTTATATGTGCTTATGAAGTTTGATTATCTTTATATTACAACCCCACGAGGAGTTTCATGGGGAGAGCAAGAGCCATCGCATTAGTGTTTCGAGACGACAGGAAGATATTATATAATGGAAGGAAGGCAAGAAGCCAATCGTTTCTCAGCCACAGTCTCGAAGAGCAGCTATCCCACCAAGCCCCATTATCACTTCATTACAAAAGCGACCTGGCAGAACGTGTAGTATGGCCCATGCACGCTCCAACGATTATAAAGCTGTACGTACTCGACGTTAAACCATAAATTAAAGTTAGCAGTATGACATTTCGTATAGAAACCGTGATTCCAACGTTTCACACCGCTACGGTGGTTCGAAAGTCGAAAGTGATCAGAGGGCCGATCAAGGCCCACGGCCACGAGCCAAAAGAAGAACGTTGACAAGACTCTGGTTGGTTGGGCTGAGGTCAACTTCATCAGCGTGGTCCAGTCCGCACTTCAGATGGATTATTTGAGGCAGCTAGGTTCCCAACGTTACCGTAACTCGACTGATATTTAATGAATGAAAGTTGTTCTGTTCTGACAAAATATCTAAAGATAACTCGCACTGTTTGGCCCTCAAAAGTTCCATCCAAAAGTGAGATTTTTCCGTGTGGCTAGTTTGGATAAAATGCATCCTCCGGCACGATAATTTAAAGAGGCGCGGCTGATATTTTGAGAATATTTTTTCTAAAAGTGTTGGAAATTTATTTAAAGTGCCGCGGCTGATATTTTGATATCTCAACCACATAACGTTGGCCCTCTTATAGCGAACTACTGACCAGACCACTCAAAACCCAATCAGAGTACTCATCCACCGTTTCACGATTTCGTGTTCAAATCGTACGTGCACATTACTACTTGAGATATTTTTCAAATTTTTATTGTTGTTGAGAATTTTAAAGATGCTATGGGACACCCCTAATTTGAGGTGGGTGTGGCAATGTCTGGACTAGGTTTAAAGGCGTCGCTGTCCTCATTGGAATCTGAAGTTGCAGGACCAAGAAAAAAGCACCATAACATGGTGGTCTCAAGTTGAGACTCTCAACTCATAATTCCCAGGTACCTGGGGTCCCTATATATAAAGTAAGTAATAGTATATGATTCACAAGCATCTCTATAAGAAGAAAGTAAAAGAAAGAATTTGGTTTGATTGGGAGAGAGACTACCAAATCACCAATATGACGAAACAGGATTTGAGGAGGTCGGCCAATTACAAGCCCAACATTTGGGAATATGGTTTCCTACAATCTCTTTCTGCCAAAGACCAAGTATGTTTACATTGATCCAGCATTTCAATTTCGCTAGAACCTTTTTGAGAACGTTGTGTGTATTTTTTTTTTTTGTCGGTGAAATAATGATTCAACTATTTTTCTTTCATAAGGTGGAAAGTGTGTTGAGGAAAACTGCGATACAGAATGACAGATTACAGAGGTAGTTGATAGGATGCTCGGAAACAATTACCCGAATTTGAGCTCGAATCGAGACGAGCTTCGAAAGGCTCGCTCAAACATGATTCGTCTGTGCGATCCTCTTTTCGCGATGCGGAGTCTTAATATTTGTATTTTGCTGATGGTCTTTGTTATCATGAAAAAACAGGAAATTAGACAATATGAGGTACGAGCTGAGAAGTTAAAAGAGGAGGCGAAGCTCATCTTTGCAGAAGTAGCAGGTGACGATTTGGTGGCTAAGCTGGAGCTAATTGACAGTGTGAGGAAGCTAGGGTTAGCTAGCTTCTTTGAGGATGAAATAAAAGAGGCTCTTGATCAGGTTGTGTCATTTTTCATTGGAAAACCGATTTCCCACATGAAATGCGGTCTCCATTTCTATGCACTATCCTTCAGGCTCCTCCGGCAACATGGTTATCATGTTTCTCAAGGTACCCTAACCAAATTCATGTTAGACTCTGGGTTTTAGCTAATGATGTCAAGAACCAGTTGATCCCAATAACTCGAGTTGTTGGGAGAGATTCAATCGTGGATCATATACTACTCATTAACACACCCCTCAAAGGAAAGTCAGTCAACTTATAAGGGCTTTCGTTTGCACATGTCCTAAACACGAGAATACATGTGCTTAACAAATGGGGTCACCGAAATTCGAGCACAAGACCTCTCTCGGACACAACAGGCTCTGATGATACCATGTCAAGAACCAGTTAATCCCAATAACTCGAATTGTTGGGAGAGGTTCAATCGTGGATCATATACTAAACAAACACCTTTGTTGTGGTGATCGAAAACTTGTTTTCTTTGTTCTTTGTTCAGACATGTTCATTGATGAGTTTATGGACAAACCCACAAGGAGTTTCATGGAAAGCAAGTGCTGCGGGGACACATTAGGGCTAGTTGAGCTATTTGAGGATTCACATTTGGGACTGGAGCATGAAGATATCATGGAAGAAGCCAATTGTTTCTCAGCCAGAATCTTGAAGAGCAGTTATCCGAGCTTATTACTTCATCATGACAAGGACCTGGAGGAGCGTGTGGCCCACGCTCTGGAGCTACCAATCCACTGGCGCGTACAGTGGTTCGACGTGAAATGGCAGATCAAGGTCCACGAGAGAGGGAGGGCGAAGAAGGTAGACAAGGCTTTGATTGACTTGGCTAAGGTCAACTTCAACGTGGTCCAATCCGCACTGCAGAAGGATTTGAGGCAGATTTCCAGGTACAATAGTGCACCGTTGAAATGTGACTAGCTACATGCCTACATTAATATGGCAAGGATATGAATTCAGATAATTAAGAATGTTGTTGGTGGTGGAAGGATCTTGGTCTCATTGAAAGGCTGGACTTCACGAGGGATCGAATTGTGGAGAGCTTCCTATGTTCGGTGGGGCTAGCAATCGAGCCGGAGTTTAGCGGTTTCAGAATACGTCTCACAAAAGTTATAATCATGATACTGATTTTGGACGACGTTTATGATGTTTATGGCTCCTTAGAAGAGCTCAAACAGTTTACAGCCGCCATCGACAAGTAAGCAACACAGTGGTTAATTTGGAATGAGAATACATACATATTTTTAAGGTATATTCGTTTTCGTTTAATAAATGCACAGTTTGTGAAGTTGTGTCACATGCACCACATCAGATACACACACCATTTGGTAAATTCTCGAATGATTTTACATTGACGGACCAAGGTTAGGAATTGTGGGTTCGTGAACCCACTTGGAAACTGAACACACATTAAAAATTATGAATTTTTTTTAGGTGACGTGTGTACATTTGAACCATGGATCCCATGAGCAGAGAAAATTACGTACTACCTTTATCATTGGGTCACATATTGCATTGGATCATTTTTGGATGCCACTAAAATATAATACTGCTAGGATTTTGCACCACCTTTTTTTCTTCTCAAATGCATTTTTTTGTGCATAACACTATTATCTTAACAATTTGATCATTAATTAATAAACAGATGGAATGCAAGGAAAGTTGACAAACTGCCTGAACCCATGAAGTTGTGCTTCCAAACCCTAACTGACATCACAGAAGACATCTCAATTGAGATCCAAAATGAGAGAGGCTGGGACCATGAAGTGCAGCCTCACCTGGAAAGGGTGGTAATTAACTAAATAAATCAACGATTCTCTTTAAAACGTGTTTAATTAATCATTCCTCAAAATTTTGGGTTTTTAGTGGGGAGATTTTTGCAAAGCAATGCTAGTGGAAGCCAAATGGTGCCGCGACGGACGGACCCCGTCGCTAAAAGAGTATCTGACCAACGGCAGCGTCTCGACGTCGTCCGGCACAGTCATCGCCGTTCACTCGTTTTGCTCGGTGTTGGATAATAACACGACGAGGGGAATGAAAGGCTTATCGGAGAAAAATCATCACCATCTCATTCACAACGTCTGCCTCGTCATTCGCCTATGCAACGACATTGGAACTTCCAAGGTAACTACTTTCATTTGGGTTTTGGGCAGTTAGGCTAGGCTAATTCGGTTTCGAATTCTGATGATTTTTTTCGGTTTCGATTTACCAAACCGAATCAAACCATACTTGGGTCGAATCGATTCGTCTTATATATGAATCGCGTTTTGTTGATTTGTAGGTAGAGCAAGAGAGAGGGGAAGCGGCATCCTCGTCAATAGCTTGTTACATGCGCGAAGCCAATACAACGGAGGAGAAAGCCAAGGATCACATCAAAGGATTGATAACCAAAGTGTGGAAGAAAATCAACGAGCAATGCTTTGGCCGGCGGCAGCCGCCGATGATCACTCCCGGGCTATTCGTGGACATAACCACCAACATGGCTCGTGTGGCCCATAACTTGTACCAACATGGCGATGGGTTTGGAGGGCAAGACCACAAACATCATCATAAGAAGCAGATTCTGTCTCTCCTTGTTCACCCTCTCAAGCTCGAGTCCTCTTGATCAGTCACGGTTTTAGTGAATGTTGTACGGTGATCAAAGAGGATTGACAGTGTGATGAGTTTGTAAATTTTTTTTGGTGATTTCATGTTTGTCTCTCTTGTTCATCTCAGTTGTATTGTTATTGGATTTTCGAGTACATATACGAGCTAAACAATCTATTAGTTCTTGATCTCGACTTTCAATTGATCTAGTCAGTGTTCTCTTGACAGATAAAAACAAAAACATAATGGTGGTGGAGATCTCTCACCTATTTTGTTCATATAAAAGATTCCATTCATGATAAAAGATTCCAATTCAAACTTTTTGGTGTGGTAGTATGCGTATGGGTATGGAACGGGGAAAAAATCCCAAAGTACACTAGTTCTTAAATTTTTTTTTCCAAAATACATAAGTTATAATTTTTTTTCCAAAAGTACACATGTTTGAGCATCACCGTTTTTGACAAACGCAGTGAAAGGTATCACCGCGTTTGAGAAAAACGGTGAACATTTCACCGTTTTAAAAAACAACGGTGAAGTATTCACCGTTTTAGTCTAAAACGGTGAAGGTATCACCGTTTTAAACAGAGACGGTGAACAAATCACCGTTTTGGACAAAAACGGTGAGGCCTTCACCGTTTTAGTGGTCCACGGTGAAGGCGTTGACGTGGACTAACGCGGGGTATTCACCGCGTTAGACAAACACGGTGAATACCCCGTGTTTGTTTGCGTCAGCGATCCGCGTCGCTGGCGCGTTCACCGTGGCCGTTGGATGCGGTGAGGCGCGGATCGTGGTTTTCTTTCCAGATCCGACGCCTCACGCTGAGCCACGTCGCTCGATCCGCGCCTCATCACCGTCCTCGAGAAACGCGGTGACTTCACCATTTTTGTTGGACGAGGTGAAGACTGGGAGAATTTAATTCTCGGCAGATCCCTTCCCCCCTTCCCCCAACTATAAATAACCCTTCCCCTTTCACTTTCAACTCACACCACAAACATTTCACTTCTTTCTCCCTCAATTTATCCGCTCTAGTCTCGTTCTAAGCCCGAATAGTAAGATGAAACTTCTTGAATTTAGCCATATCTACAATTTACAATAAGTATCTATTAGCTTAAAGACAGTAAAATTAACCAAAATCATATTGTACAACTAATATTAAATCATACCATAACTAACGAAAATAAATTCAACTAACTAACAACAACATAATACGAAAATTAAATCATACTATAACTAACGAACATAAGTTCAACTAACTAACAACAACATATTAGACTATAATACGAAAAGTACCAACATACCGAAAAATTTCTGTTCTGTGTATTATGCTCGATTTTGGCTGCTGAAATTTGAAGAAAGGGGAGTGGTTATGTTTTTGCAACTGCTGGTGGTGTGCTATTTATAGGAAAATCTGCCTACTATTCACCGTTTTTGTCGAAAACGGTGAACACTATCACCGCATTTGTCTCAAACGGTGAATAGTTGGTAGCTGCACCTAATTTTGACCTACCAGGGGTAGGAAACGTGGGAAATGATCACCGCTTTAAACTACAACGGTGAATGAGTTCTACCGTTTTTAACCAAAACGGTGATGTATTCACCGTTGTTAACAAACGCGGTGAACCCTTCACCGTTTTAGTTTGAAACGGTGAATACTTCACCATTTTAGTTTAATACGGTGAAGTATTCACCGTCTTCGTCAAATGCGGTGATGACCTTCACCGCTTTTGTCTAAAACGGTGATGCTCAAACATGTGTACTTTGGGAATTTTTTTTAAGAACGTGTGTACAATGAGATTTTTTCCTATGGAACGGAGAGTCTAAAGCAATACCTGCTCCATTTTCTTTAATTTTTTTGTGAGTTTTATCATAGCCACCAGATTTCCAGTCAATGTTTGATTTTCTAGTGTTGATTTGGGCCGCGAACAATCGGATGCTCGCGATTGTGAGTTTGATTGTCATCCTATCTGCAACTTGGCATTTTACCGCTAAGCTTGTGCCTAAATCGTAGTTACATACTTGGGCTTCCATTATGGGCCACCAAACTACTTTCTAATCTGTAGTGGGCCTAGGCCTAACGTTTACTCAACTGTGGTCCATCATCCAATAAAAAATGACGAGCTTTTTGACCACATTAGACTTTACGCGGTAGAAGAATCCAGTTAGAATTCCACTGAAACTGAAAGAAAGAAGTTTCAAGGCCGAAGCTTTCGTTTCCATTAGCACTTAAAAATCGACGCCATAAGTAGCGGCAAAAAGGCAAAGCCAGCCACCACAGTCGCAGAAATCAACCAAATAGGCAAATACCCCTTTCCACAGTTTGACATTCCAAACCAAACCCACATTTCTGTTTCGTCTCTTTCAACTCAAAAGAGAATGGAAGCTCGCCGTGAAGAGCTTCAAGTAGACGTTAACGGCGACGAGGTTTTCATCCTTGACAAGGTGACTAGTTGTACAACAGTAAATCCTTCGTACTACTCTGTTTCCCCTGTTTCTTTACTCATTATCTCTCTGTCTTACTCGCAGTCAATCATGGAATCCTTCTCTCGAATCTCTCCCAAACTGAGCCGGTTATTCAGCAACACTAATCGTCAAAAATCAAACCAGCTGAAGGTAATATTCGACGAATTCCCAGGAGGAGCAGAAGGATTCGAGCTGGTGACAAGATTCTGCTACAGAAATGGAAAATTCCCAATCACTCCCTCTAATTTCGTCCTCTTGCACTGCGCCACTCAGTTTCTCGAGATTGACATCGACGGGTCGGAAAAGTATGTGGAAGAGATCAGTTACTGGACCTGGTCGGAACTTGTTTCGGGTCTGAAACAGTGCCAGTTAGATTCTGTTTCCAACTCGAGATTCTCCTCGTTCATACTGAGAAAAGTCATGGAATCCATCGTTTCAAGGATCTCGCTGCCTGTCGTGACGAGTTCCTCAACAAGTTCCTCGTCCGATGGTTCAACCAGCTCTAGTAGTACTGCAACTAGTTTCAGAAGCTACTATTCGTCGAGGAATTGGTGGTTTGAAGATCTGATGTTTCTGAAACCGGATATGCTGGTCAAATTAGTGAGGCTAATGGTGGCTGAGAAACTAGACCATTGGGTCATTTTCAGGTTTGTGGTCTTTCACCTCAAGTCTAATGTCGGATCAACTTCGAGTTCAAGTGTAGCTGTCAATATTATCGAGGCTGCAATCGATACGTTCTCGATGCTCGAAAGGAGTGCTCTGTCTTGCAAAGGTCTGTTCGACATTCTACGAGTAGTTTCGAATTCGAGAGCCAAGATCAAGTCGTGCCAGAGGGTGAAGTTGGAGACTTTGATTGGATTGCGGCTAGATGGAGCGACGTTGGACCAATTGATGCTTGTTCCACACCAAGGAAGGAAGAGAAACAAACATCACGTGTACGATGTGAATTTGACTACGAGGCTAGTCAAGGCGTTTCTGATCGAAGGCTGGGTATCGCCGACTCGATTGAAGAAAGTTGTCAACTTGTTTGACAACTATATTAGAGAAGTAGCTCCTGACATTCGATTGAAGACTAACAAGTTCTTTGCCTTGTTGACGATTCTGCCGGATTCGGGAAGAGAATCAAGTGACGTACTTTATCAAGCTATTGACATGTACCTTGAGGTAAACCTTTTTGAATTAACCCCCTTGGCAACTTAGCTAGGCTCTACTCTAACTTTTACCTTTTTAAATCCTATGTAAAGTGTGTGTGTTTTTTTTTTTGTTTTGCTCTCATAGGGACATGTGGAGGTATGTGGGAAGGATGAAAGGATGAGAATTTGCAGTGCACTGAACAGGGGGAAGCTCTCTGGAGAGGCTTTAAGACAATTAGCTCATAATCCGAGGTTTCCATCAATGGCGGCGGTCAATGCGTTCATGGCTCAACAATCCAAGTTGTCTTGTAGCAATGGAATGTCAAGAAGCTGTCATTACAGCAGGAGTAAATCGACAACATTTGAAGCTATGACGACCAAGAAGGCAGAGGATAAGTCCATTTAAAAAATGGTGTGTTCACAAAACCAAGAATTTGTACAATCATAGAACTTGAACATGAGTCCATGAGAGCAACATTTCCCCAACTTTTTGGCATGTGCCCTAATGGTAAAAGTATTAGCCTTGTACGTGAATTTGTTTTGTTCAAATCCCCGTATTTATTGAGAATATAACATATAAAAAATATCCTTAAATAAAATAATCATATGTTTTAACTCGTTTTTCAGTACATATACGAGTCATGTAAATATGTAATCGATCTTTACAATGATCATAATTTACCTTACGAAAATACTTAGCTAAGTCGATCATCATCGTTGTACATAACTCCATTTAGTTATAGAGCTTGATAGAAGTAGGGACAAAGGGACAGGGACAGGGACATTTGTACAACTCTGGAATGGGATCGAGGCATTCAAATCCACTCTAATAGGTCAACATGGGAAAATCGTATATACCTGTTATGCTTTGGTTCTTCCTTTGCTCTTTTTAGTAGAGGCTGCCTGTAATTAATGCGGCCCTAGTTCCTGTGTTGTAATCTTGTTTTGAGGGCTTCAATTTGCACTTGCTTCCAATTCGAACAGACATCCTTGAAATCCTAATTTTTGCTTCATTGCTCCAAATTTCATTGGGTAGTGGAAGGAGCATTTATTAGCTTTGGGTTGCGGCTTAGTAAGCTATGACAGAGTCTTGTTAAGGTTAATACTTTTTGCTATAGGAAGAACTTTTTTTCCCATGGACACCACATACAGTGATGTTGCCTTCAAATAAATTTCGAATCAACAACTTTACCGGTTCCACTGTCCCTCTTTCGCAAGGTTAATATAGCTAATGTTTGTAAGAGTACAACCGAAATACCTACAAACCAACATCACCACAACCTCATTTCTTATTCCACTATGGCGAGCTCGAAGGTGGCCGTTTCTGGGTAAGAACTCAACTTCTGGACAAGAGAGTGCAAGTATAAGGAATTTTTCGACGATACCGACAGCTCTAAGGACTGCTTTCCACTTGATTTTACGTAAATCATTTCATATGATTTAGGTGTACAATTTATATGAACGACATTATTCATACAATGCTATTACATCCATCCAATAAATGAGATTGTGCAGGGAGCTTAATAGCTAGACCTGGCAATCGGGTCGGGTTAGGTAATTTCGGGTCGAGACTTTCGGTTATGGGTCGGGTCGTGTTTGCTAGGCTAATTTTGGGTCAAATATTGACCCAACCCATTCGGTTTCGGGTCGGGTTACAGGTCGTTTCGGGCTATTAGCGTTCTCAGAAACAATATCAAACATGCTTCATATTTTCTTCAAGAACACAAATTTTTACAAATGCATGACAACAGTTTACCTAACACATGTCCATTAACATATTCTCAAATCTTCCCATGCTAATTAAATGAAAGGGTAATGTCTATTTTTTATCCAAATCTTTTTCAAATTCTTTTATATTATCAAAACCTATCGAAATACTAAGAATTAGCCAAATATTAACTTCCAGTTAGTAATTTTGTTAGTAATATTGACTTGGCAACATGATAATGACTTGGAAGAGACACATGATGGTCAAGATTACAAAAAATTTAATATTTTAATTAAGAAAAGAGTTACAAAATTATTAACGATAATATAAAAATGGTTAATATTTGGATGAATTATGAAAGATTTGGATAATTAACAGAATTTTAATAGGTTTGGATAATATAAAAGAATCTAAAAAAGATTTGGATAAAAAATAGACATTATCCTAAATGAAATACAAATTACACAAATCGTCAAAAAACAATCACAAGAGTAATGTTATTACAAGAAACACATGATATTTGATTATCCTTAAGCTCCAAACATATGTCATTCAAATCCATGTGAATTTTTTTAAATATATCATCAATTTATGAGTGTTTTTATCATTTTGGGAGATATATAAAATGGAGCGGGTCTAATGGGTCGACCCGCTAACCCGCCCAACCCGACCCAAAAAATTGCGGGTTATCGGATTCGGGTCATTCGGGTTATTAAAACTTCTACTTTTCGAGCGGATTCGGGTCGAGTCAACGGGTCGGGTTGTAATTTGCCAGTTCTATTAATAGCCAAACTATTCTTGGGCCTAAAACAATATAAATGCATATTTGGGCCATTCAATTTTCGGTTTGGACCCGTTATTAAAGTGAAACAACTGTGGGCCACCGTATATCCATGTAGGCCTAGCCAGAAGCCCATTGTATCTGTTAACAAAAATTAACTGTGGGCTCCCGCGGAATAAAACGTGACGAATATACACGTCGCCGCACCACGAAAGCAAACGGAAGTCTTCTTCTCTCACTCTGAAATCTGTTGTCGAGAAAGTCCGGCGAAAAGAAGAAGAAGATTCAGCTGAGCAAAATCGCCGGCTATCGAATTCGCGCCTTTCGTATTCCAATCTCCCTCGCTTCGCTTCCGATTCCCGATCAATTTAGTCGGAGAGTAAGGTAACTCAAGAGATAGAGGGAGGAAGATGTTGGAGAAGATCGGATTGCCGCCGAAGCCCTCGCAGAGAGGAAACAATTGGGTCGTCGATGCTACGCATTGCCAAGGCTGCGCTTCTCAGTTCACCTTCATCAATCGCAAGGTTCCTTCTCCTTCTTCTTCTTCTTCTTGGTCCCTCGTTCTGTCTCTAACTTCCAGATCGCGATTTCGTCTACTTTCAATCGATGACTTCTTTTTTTCCGCCTTTCGATTTTCAGCATCACTGCCGCAGATGCGGGGGCTTGTTCTGCGGGACTTGTACGCAGCAGAGGATGGTTCTGAGAGGCCAAGGCGATTCCCCAGTGCGAATTTGCGATCCTTGCAAGCAGCTGGAGGAAGCCGCGCGCTTCGAGCTCCGCCATGGTCACAAGAACAGGGCGGGCAAAGGTAATAAAAACCTTTCTCTGGATTTCTTGTTGTGCTTGTTTACTTTATGTACAGTTGAATGAGCTAGCTCTCGTTTTTGGTTTAGGAGCGAGTTCGAAATCCTCATCGAGAGATGAGGATGAAGTTTTGAATCAGATTCTAGGGAGTAGTAGTAGTGCTTCGAGCCTGACTACAAGAGGGCCTAGCACTATGGATCATGGTGGAGAAATTAGTCGAAGTTACTCGGTTGATGGTGATAATCATGTAAACCAGGAGACAACTCCTGAGGAATTAAGAAAACGGGCTGTGGAGGAAAAGGGAAAGTATAAGATTCTGAAAGGAGAGGGTAAATCGGATGAAGCTTTGAAGGCATTTAAGCGGGGGAAGGAACTAGAGAGGCAAGCTGATGCTTTGGAGTTAACCATTAGGAAAAACCGTAGGAAGGGTATGAGTTCTGTAAGCTCGGTTGGGGATTCTGGAAAGAAAGGTAGACTCCATGACCAAGGGACGAAAGAGAAGGATGATTTTCTTTCTGAACTCAGAGACCTAGGATTGCCTGATATGGATCTCCAGGAAAAGGATAAAAAGACTGCCAATTTGACTCTGGAAGGAGAGTTGTATTCTCTTCTTGGAAATGTATCTGAAAAGAATACTAAAGAAAGAGGAGCTGGTGGGATTGACAAATCTCAGGTTGTTGCTCTTAAGAAAAAGGCTCTCATGCTGAAGCGTGAAGGGAAGCTTGACGAAGCCAAACAAGAACTCAAGAAAGCTAAAATTTTAGAGAAGGAACTTGAAGAGCAGGAACTGCTTGGTGGTGCAGCTGAAGATTCTGATGATGAGATCGCTGCACTAATCCGTGGCATGGATGGTGGGAAAGATGATGATGATCTGCTCTCTAGTTACGATCAGCCAGACCTTGGGTTCAATTTCAATAGTCTCTCAGATGATACTGGTTTTGATATTAATGTTGAAGTTACTGATGATGATCTGGTTGACCCGGAGATGACTGCAGCTCTTCGGTCATTAGGGTGGACCGATGAATGTGATGCAGTGGAAGTCAGCATTGACAGGGAAGCAATGAGTAAAGAAATCCTGTCTCTGAAGAAAGAGGCACTCAATCTTAAACGAGCAGGTAATGTGGCTGAGGCAATGGCACAATTAAAGAAGGCCAAGTTGCTTGAAAAGAACCTTGAGAGCTTAGATGGTGGCGAGCCCACCGTTCTTCCAAAAACTTCAACTTCCCAACTTAGGAACCTGAGCAAAGATGTAGTTCCTCCTAAGAGTAGAATGACGATCCAGAAAGAGCTTCTGTCGTCCAAAAAGAAGGCTCTTTCGTTGAGAAGGGAGGGGAAATTGGATGAGGCAGAGGAAGAACTGAGGAAAGGGAAAATTCTTGAGAAACAGCTCGAGGAGATGGATAATGCTACTAAAGTTAGCAGCACTACTGTTGAAGTGAACTTTAACCTGGGGTATGAAGATTCAGATCTTTTGAGAAATTCACATGATGGTGATGTAGATGTAACAGAAGAAGACTTGAGCAACCCGACTTACCTTTCCCTCCTAAGTGATCTAGGATGGAAAGAGGAAAGTAGTGTTTCTCCAGTCACTCAGTCAAGACCCAATGTGCCACCAACAAGGACATCAACGAAAACAAGAGGTGAACTACAGAGGGAACTTCTGGGACTTAAACGAAAGGCGTTAACTCTGAGACGTGAAGGAAAACCCGATGAGGCTGACGAAGTGCTCAGATCAGCTAAAGAATTGGAGATCCAGATAGCGGATATGGATCAACCCAAGAAAGAAACCCAGGTTGAATCTGATTTCAAGGAAGATAGTGAAGCAGTTACTGAAAAAGATATGCATGACCCAGCTCTTCTATCAGTACTGAACAGCTTAGGGTGGAAAGGTGAAACTGTGCCAGCTGTTGCAGAAGTCAAGCCATCTGTACAAGTTTCTGCTAGTTCTGTTCACTTTGATAGCTTAACCGAAGCTGTTTCCACTTCAAGAATTTCACATAATGCACGAAGAAGTAAAGGGGAAATCCAACGAGAGCTTTTGGGTCTCAAAAGAAAAGCCTTAGCTCATAGGCGTAAAGGGGAAACTGAAGAAGCAGATGAATTGTTGAAAATGGCCAATGTACTGCAGACCGAGTTGGAAGAACAGGAAGATTCGAGACCCATAGAATCCGAGACTCCAGAGTCATTGATTGACCGACATGAGAATGTGAAGATCCCTGCGAATACAACTGAGACAACACGCTTGATGGCAGCTGGTTCAAAAGACTCGGTTGTTGTGTCACTACCGGGAGAAGTAGGAAATGCAAGCAGTGTTAAAGTCATGGATCAAGTGGGTTCCTCAAGAAATGAACAGGCAACTGATAGAAGCAAGGATCACAGTCATGTGCCGAGTTCTGTCCCAAGTTCGAGTTCTCAAGAGGAGGAAAGCTCAGTGCAGCAACAAGTTTTGGCCCGAAAGAGGAAAGCATTAGCGCTGAAAAGAGAAGGCAAACTGGCAGAAGCTCGAGAGGAGCTTCGCCAGGCCAAGTTGTTAGAGAGAGAGATTCTTCCCAGCCCCGAAACTCATGCCCAGGAAGAGTCACCCCCTGCTAAAAAAAAAGAACCTACTGAATCATCCAGTGTGGTGGCCCCACCAAAGCAGCAGCTATCGGGGCGTGATCGTTTCAAGTTGCAGCAGGAATCCCTGAGCCACAAAAGGCAGGCGTTGAAGCTCCGAAGAGAAGGCCGGACACAAGAGGCAGAAGCCGAGTTTGAGCTGGCCAAGGCACTCGAAGCCCAGCTGGAGGCATCTCAAGATTCCAACAAACCCGAAATGAGTGATGATGTTGGTGTCGACGAAGTTCTTGATCCTCAGCTTCTAGCTGCCCTTAGAGCAATTGGAATCGATGATCCCACTCCGAAATCACAACAAGCACAGCCGGTGAGAGTTAGTCCGAGCAAGGCAGCAGAGAGCGTTGTTGTTGCAGTTGGGGACGAAAGGAGCGAGTTGGAGGAGCGGATCAAGGCGGAGAAAGTGAAAGCTGTAAACTTAAAACGCGCAGGGAAGCAAGCGGAGGCTGTGGATGCTCTCCGCCGGGCGAAGATGTATGAGAAGAGACTAGGTTCCTTGGCATCAAATTGACCAAGGATGGTTGTTCTGTGTTTGTAGTGAGCTTGTCATTTTTTATATTCTCAACTTTTAAACCTTCTTCTCATAGGTAACTAGGATTTGAGAGTCCAGGTGTTCAATTGGGTTGGCAGGAAGGAGAGAGTTGATTTTAAACTCCTAACTTAAGAGGTCTTCCTCCCCTTGGCAGACAGTTATGTTGGTTTGTGTAAATCTTTGTATGTATTATTCAAACCGAATGGTAGTAACCGTGTGTTCATCTAAGTAAATGGGTAGAGATAAAAAGAGAGGATATTTTGGAATAAGAGAGAGAGAATACCAAGATCGAACAGGTGACCTTTGGTTAGGGTATATTAACCCAAACCAAACAGGCATCCTGGAGCTGGTGCTACAAGTGCCCATAAACAATTATTTAGTATCTGTTTCATTTTGTCTCTCATTGGTTAAAGCACAAACGATTCATCGGCCCATTGGCTCCTCAAGCTGACTTAAGGCCCGTGTTTAAGAGGCCTGTCATTCTGCCCAGCGAACTTCTGTCAATGTGAAATGAAAGATTGCTTTAAATCCTCAATCCTAATTACTTAATTAAAAAACTAAACAAAACTAAACTAAGCAATCACATTGAGAGGGAGTCTAATGGGATCCCTGCTTTGATGCGCCAGTTTACCCAGCAGTATGAGGAGTGGGTGCGCCTTCCGATGGATAAAGTTTCTCAGCCCGCTCAAACGCACCAACCGGGGCAGGTGGTCCAGGCGGGGGTTATTTGCACGTGGGATGGGGCTACTAGAAGCGGTTCTCACTCGGCAGGGGGATTGGTTTTGCTGACCCCTTCTCGAGATGTCTTAATGGCGAAAGGGGTCCAATTTTCGATAATTGATGACCCCATGATGGTGGAACTGCTTGTCCTCCGCGAGGGTATTATTTGGTGTCTGGAGCGTGGTTTCACGGATGTCCAGTTTGAAGGGGATGCCAAGGTTGTCATCGATAAGATCCTGCAAGCTGATACTAGGGACAACCGGGTGGGTGCGATTCTGGAAGAGGTGGTGCTGGGGTTGTCCAGTAATCCGGGGTTTAGTGTTCGATTTGTAGGTCGGAGTAGTAATAGGATAACCCATCTGGTGGCTAGAAAGGCCCTTTCTTTGTACCCGACGACGAGTCGTTTGTTCGATTTTCAGTCCTGGCTGATCTCCAGGATGTAATTGCCTATTTTTTAAATCAATATATGATTATCTTTTGTAAAAAAAAAAGAGAGTCTAATAGAAAAAAAATCAGATGCTATTATTCAATCAATGTGCCCTAAGCAACAATCTAACTATTTTTCATGGTGCACCTTGAAGGAATAATTATATTGCACAAGCTAAGGCAGATTATAAGTATAAAAATGTATTATCAAATCGTGCAAAATGAATATTTTGTGACCGTTTTGTATAAAGTGATAAGTTGTGTGACCATTTATGCTAATTACTCGGTAGATTATACTGCTGAGAGATAGCTAGGGAGTGATTCCCGCCGGTAGGGATGACAATTTTGACCTGACCCGATTAACCCGTCCTGTTTGATCTATTTTGGGGCGTGTCCGAACTGCCTCGTAAACGGGCGGGAATGGGTACCTCTCATCGACCCGACCTACCGACACGCCCCATTCACGACCCGTTCTTGCCTGAATTACATGTAATCTTAGTCAAATTACTTAGGACTTTCCTCTTATTACATCATATTTTAGGTATAATAAAGTTGTAAATGAGTGAAAACTCAATTTCTCCAATAATTTAACTACATTTTATCAAATTATGGTTTCTTTCTTTGTCTTTTAATTAAAATAACGAATAATTCTAATGTTTTTCCGCATAAATTACCCGACCCGGACCCGACCTGCCACGGGACGGGTATGCAGTGGCGGATCCAGGGGGTGGCCACCTCGGGCCACGGCCCAACCCTCCTCTAGATCCGAAGCTAATATAACCCTTATGCGTTTATCGATTAGCCATTTGGTCCAGTGCTATTTTATAATAAAATTATGTATAATTAAGAAAATGAGTAAGATGAACATATTCAAATCATAACTCTAAATTTAGTCTAAAAATTCTACCTCTAATGATTCTCGTCTAAAAAAACAAGCAATGAAACCTAAAATTCTAAAAGCCTAAAACGTAAAAAGCTAAAAGAAATATGAGGTTTGTTCACTTGAAAATGACTAGAGCAGCTGGTGAAAATAGGGATGGATACACAATACAAATTGATTGGCCGATTGATTAATCTTTTGTTGACATTGTCCGCTTCAACAGCTACTATGGAGATAACCTTTTCAAAAATGGAACATGTGAAAAATTATTTGCGCAACAAAATGAGCAATGAATTTATCGCCGATTGGTTAACTATTTTATTTGAAAGAGAGTAGTATGCTATTTGTATGGATGTAGACTCCATTATTGATGAATTCACTACATTAAAAGATCGACATGTACAATCGATATCGTAAAAACTATGATTTTTTACGGTATCTAGTTTTATAATGAAATGCGGCTCAGTGCTCTACTATGTTCTGAATTCGCCGCTGCGAGTATGGATATCGAGATACTCGCTCCGAACCTGCCTCATTGCCATTCCTACCCGCCGGAGACAATTCAGAATTGAGTGAAACATAACGTACGCGTGGCACGAAAACAGTAGCAAACTAGCAACTCATCACGTGGAGGAAATAGAGTCAAAAGAGAGTCCGTCCGAAATAGCCAGCTCCAGCTGTTTTGGGGGAGAATTAAAGCACCGTAATTGAAGTCAACCGTCAATCGGCAGTCAAATTACTAGTGCAGTCTTGTTATATAATAATGTAATAATAATTATATATGGGAGTGGGAGAATTGAGAGGTGAGTGTGCTGATGCAAGGAAACTAGATAATAGAGTTTCTAATTTTTCTCTCAAAAATAATTCGAATTATTGAAATAAATTCATTTTTCAAAGTACTATTAGAATACTTGAGCGGTGACGGTAATTTGAATACTTCTGCCGATCAATATGCTAGTAATTTGAATGTTGTATAATTAAATACACTTCATTAACTTTTTTAGTACGATCTCACACGATACATGATTCAAATTTCGAACCCGTGTCTAGCAAAATATTTTTTTTAAAGTAATGAGAGCATTCACCGTCCATCTAATTTCATTCGAAGCTTCATCATTTCAACACGTCATGCAGTCAACCCACCCACCACATACGGTTTAAACACCGATTAGTATAATGAGTATACGCTCACCCTTCAAATTAAACTAACAAAACTGGCTTCCGCGTTTCTACAGAATTAGTTAATTAATTAATTATAACATGATCTTAGTGTGGGATTATAGCAGATGCATTATATATCTAGTAACGTGGGCCAGCGCATCATTCAAGGCCAATATATATAATAATATTCCATATGGTTCTCGAGCTTGTTATTATCGTATAATCCTACATATCAAAACTATAAATACAAAGCACATTCATTAACGACAAGTACAGCAGCAAGATAACATAGTTCCATTTACGACTTGCATCTATTTATGGCCTTCTCCATGATCCTCCATCCTTCGTCGTCGTCTTCCTGCTCCTCATTCGGTGGCAAAAGCTCCATAAGCCGCCATGGCGATCAGAAACCAGTGCTTCAATGCTGCCTGGAGGAAAAACATGCCCAGAAGCTGAAGGAGGCAAAGCATTTGTTCACGAAGAGGAAGCAATCTCGTCCTGTAGAGAGCTTAGTAATGGTCGATGCCGTCCAGCGACTTGGCATCGACCACCATTTCCAGGAAGACATCGAAGCTGTTCTTGACGATGAGTTCATCAGCAGCCGAGAAGATGGTCTTTCCGAGGTTTCCTTGAGCTTTCGATTGTTAAGGCAACAAGGTCATGCCATCACCTCTGGTAAGGGTTTTTTAGCTTAAAAAAAATTACAATGGAAAAAGGTTTGATGGCATCTAAAGAGTCACAACACCTAGTTCACGTAATTTTATGTTTATTCACGTAAATTTCTACTCATTCACGTCATATTGGAGTTTATCTAAGTAATAGCGTTGGTTAATGGTTATTCACACAAACAAAAATGACTATTCACGAAATCTGGTGTCTATTCATGCATATTTTTATTTATTCAAATCGTTGTAAAATCATTTTTTTAAAAAATTTTGGGATGTAACAAAATAGATTTCATTGTGTATATTAATGAATAATGATCAGTGCAGCTCATTTTTTACAGAAAAATTTGAAATCCAATTTAATTCCATAAAATACGAGCAGAAGAAAAAAAAACTCAATTTCACTTACGTAAATAATCATAGGTCTTACGTGAATATATAAACACCAAACTAGATGAATAATCCCCAAATAATCATAAAAATACGAGAATATAATTAGGTATATATTCTGATTATTTAGATCCCACCAAACCCTTTCCCTTCCATAAATAATCATATAACCTAACTTCGTTACTCCCAGGACTACAAATGATCAGAACGTGCTTTATTATTCTATTAACAGATGTGTTCAACAAGTTCAAGAATCGGGAAGGGAAGTTCGTGTCGAGGTTAGGACATCAGAACGTGGAGGCACTAATGCAACTCTACGAGGCTTCCCAATGGGTCACCCCCGGGGAAGAAATACTGCACGAAGCTGGGGAATTTAGCGCCCGCCGGCTGCGTTCATGGTTAGGTGGCGACCGGTGGTCGCAATATGATCCCATGGGACATTTAGCGACGAGGGAGTTGGTCGCTAATACGCTGAAGCATCCTTACCACAGGAGCATACCGAGGCTGGCGATTAAAGACTACCTGAGTAGTTTCAGGGGAACATTAATCACAAACAAGGAGCAGGGTTACTTTGTGGAGACTCTCAAGGATCTGGCGATGTTGGATTGCAAAATGAACCAGGTGGTTCATCAGAAAGAACTTGGCCAGCTTTCCAGGTAGATATGCATGTAATTAGTGAGCTACCTACTTACCTACCAATAACATTACTTCTAAATTACTCCACCTTGTCAAATAACAAAATCATCCACTTCCAATACATACTGAAAAAATATATATTTTTTGACATTATCAATTTTATACACGCTTCGCTCAAACTAGAGTCATCAACTCATGAATTTGAACTATACACATATATATATCCACCGTATATTGTATTTAAATTAACGATTTATATTGAAGATTAAGAATTAGATTCGAACAGATAATCATTTTTGACCACATCAGGCTCTAATACCATTTCATTAACCGTTTGATATCAATAACTCGAGTCGACTTATCGAAAAGAAACTTCAATTAAATTGTCTTTCTTTGACCTTTTAACCCAAAACCCTTTTGATATCATTACTACCCGCAATTAACTATGCATTCTAGTCAACTTTTTCCGTTTTTGTTCTATGAGCTAGTCAACGTTAATGGGCTGTTGATTGATCAAAACCAGGTGGTGGGACGAGGTTGGTTTGGCAGCGAATGTTGGGAGAGATCAGCTGTTGGTTAAAGCCAGCGCGTGGCCAATGGCAACCCTAGCAGGATCTGAATTCTCTGAGCACAGGGTAGATCTTGCCAAAATCATCGCCTTAGTTTACCTCATTGACGACATCTTCGACACCTATGGATCGCTGGAAGAGCTCACCCTCTTCACAGAAGCTGTTACTAGGTAAATTTTCGAATCAATATACCTATTTACGAGAAAGTAACATCTTTTAACAAGTGGATAATCTCACAACAATGTCTTTCGCGTGTGCAGATGGGACACTGAAACGGTAGATAAATTACCAGAGTGCATGAGGACGTGCTTCATGGCCGTCTATCATACGACTAATCAGATCGGATACCAAGTGTACAGAAAACATGGATGGAATCCGATGCATTCGCTTAAACAGGCGGTAAGTACACGGATAAGAATCATCCATGAACCTCTTCATTATCGTTAGACCAATGTTTTTTGAGAGCTATGTTTGTTTGTTATTTATTTGGTTTTGTAGTGGGCAAAATTGTTCGAAGCATTTCTAGTGGAAGCGAAGTGGCTGAGAACGGAAGAGTGTCCAAAGTCAGACGACTACCTCGAGACTGGAATCGTGACTTCTGGAGTGCCATTGCTGCTGGTTCACTTCTTCTTCATGTTGGGCTTGGGCCTAACGGAACAAAACGTGGGCCTCGTGGACAGCGACGAACCGCCGTTGATATCATCCGTTGCCAAAATTCTGCGCCTGTCCGACGACCTTTCCTCCATGGTAAACCAAATCTAGACCAATTTACCAACCGCAGCCAAATATATACCGATCGTGTTTTTTTTTTTCTTTTTCCTTCTCAAGTATAATTTTTTGGTGACGATGAAATTGATTGCAGTACGAGGAACACGTTGGATACGACGGCTCTTACGTGGATTGCTACTTGAAGGAGAATCCTGGTTTGTCGGTCCATGAAGCCACGAAGCATGTGATGGAAATGATTGAACACACGTGGCAGCAACTCAACCATGAGTATCTGTCTCCGGCGATACCTTTCCCGACGGCTTTTGCTAGGGCCGTCGTTGTTTCTGCCAAAATGGTGCCTTTGATGTATGAAAATGGACTTGATGATGATAAGGAGGAGTACTCTAATATTGATAGCCTTCCAAGCCAGCTGCGAGAGTATCATATCCAGCCTGCTTCTGTTTGAAAGCAACTCTCGAGTTATATATATATATATAGTATCTTATAACAATTCGAATTATTGGTACCAATTGTTTCTTGACATAATATTAGAGTTGGTTTAATCATGATCATGCATGTGATCAAATTCCCGCGTCCACAAATCTTAGTAATTGATTTGAATCACATGGCATGGCGTGGATTTGTGCAAATTTCATCCCTATCAGTTGACTTTCGTTTGAAAAAGCGTTTAAGGAAGTGATTAAGATCCATACATATGAGCCTCTTTCTACACCTTGGGTTATTAAATCATTTCATTTATGACACTACTTACTCACTACATCATTGAAGCTGAAATATTCTTAACGCAAGCAGCGAGCAGGGTCTGGGAAAAGAGAAAAATGACTGAATAATATGTTGTTAGATATTGAGTTGTGGCCACAATCAGGGCTAACTATTTCCAGTTTTGGTCATTGTTATACTACTCTTGTCTAGAGCAAAGAGCACACACATTGCACACACATCAATTACAAATCATACATATCACTCTATATGTAATTGCAAAGGTAGCCTGTAGCAAAGTAGTGTGCACTTCCGAAGATGCAAGTTTGTGTTAAATGAAATCGAAGACGCAAGTCACATAGAAAAATATAATAAATGATTTATTTTTCTCTCTTGATTTATTATTTTTAATTTGATAAAGTTACTTAAACCTTCATATATGCCATTTCAAGTAAATTACATTGATGTAGGTGCAATGAAATAAAGTTGAGTTGCATTGCATAAACTTTGAAATGAAAATAAGAACATCACACGCAATTAGTCTTGTGATTGCATTAATATGAACGCTCTAACAAGATTTATAACGGTGAAATAAAGAAATCATTCTTATTTGTGTAAGTAAAATCATGGAATAAGTTGAGAGAGATATCATCAAGAGATTGTCAAATTAAAGAGGCATGATAAAAAAAAGACATCCGGAGATTGTGACCTTTAAAATAGTTAGATGTAACAAAACCCCAACCTTTTCTATAAACACTCACTAATTGAAGGTCGTTCAAAAGTCGGATACTCTAAATGAAGCACTAATTTGTTGACCAAAAATATTAGTTTAAATATTGATTTATTTAAGTTACTCCTTCCCACACTATTGTTTCGATGGAGTAATTACATACTACATAGTGCCTTTTTTTTTTTGGAGTACTACTTTATGCATTTTAATTATAAAATATTAATTTTTTTCTTCTTTTTCGTTGAATAAAATATTAAATATTAAATTGTATCACGCTCTCAACCTGTTTGTATGTCGCCGGTCCAAACGACTCTTTGACAGATAAATTAGTGTTTTCTGGTGGATTAAAAATAACTCATTATGATTATTAAGTAAGAAATAATACGGCAAAAAAAAAAAAAAAATACTACATAATTACAAATTATGCACCCGATAGCAACTTGGGCCAGCTAGTACTGTTGCCATGAAAGCATCAATTCAAACAAGGACAAATACTATAGCAGACCTGGCCTGTGCTACTTTTTTAATGGAAACCCATATCGAATATTTGAACACGAGAAAATACAGACAAATATAATATGGCAAACCCCTTGGTCACCAAATACCAGCCAAAGAAAGAAAGGGTCAAACAAATTCATCAATCCGGTATTATTTTTACAGAGCAAATATGGAAGGATCAAAATCTTTTAAAAAAAGGCCAGTCGTTGTTGACCATAGGAGAAAATTCAAGCAAGAGATAAACAAAAAAAAAATGGTAATGATTAATCATGAATCATGATACTTGAGAAATTCGAATATTATTATAATATTACACACGAGTACTGCATGTGATTCGTCGGCTTGCCAATTATCTCATACATATATATATATATATGACTGGCACGTACGTACATTCATCCATGTTCTAAAGTCTTACGTACGACTAGCTTCTCTTCTCTTCTCTCGTTTTCCGTCCTCTTTACCACTAAACAAAAATCCCGACTATGGCCTTCTCTACGAACCTCCGTCCTTGTTTCTCCTCATTCGGTCGCAAAAACATTACCAGCGGATCCAATGGTGAGAAGCCATTGATGGTGCAGTGCTGCTGCCTGGGGGAAAAACATGCGCAGAAGCTGAAAGAGGCAAAGCAACTGTTCACGAGGAGGCAGTACTCAGTGGCGAGAGATGATCAAGTGTTGATGTCGTCATGTCCCGTCGAGACCTTGGCACTGATCGATGCTGTGCAGCGGCTGGGGATCGACCACCACTTCCAGGAAACCATCGAAGCTGTTCTTCACGATGAGTTCTCCGCAACTAGGATGGCGGCCGCCGCCGACCGGCTGCGAGAAGATGGGCTTCTCGAGGTTTCCTTGAGCTTCCGCTTGTTAAGGCAGCAGGGTCATTCCATCCCTTCGGGTAACGATCTCAACATCCCAACGTGTTGTTAACGAACAAAAATCACTTGGTTTCAATAACTCGATTTGTTGAGAATTGGTTTGTTTGAACTTTTCATCGTCCGCTCAAATAGAAAGGGTAATTTTGAGCTTTTCAGTATGACGCATGTTGAATGTATATATAATCCTTGTGTAGTAAATCATTACACTTTCGTTTTGCATGTTGAACATATATATTGTCGTTTGTACTAAACCATTGTTTATATATTGGCAGTCGCAGACTATGATATCATATAAGCGAACAAACGGTTTAGTCCCAATAAATAATTATAACGTGAGTTGTTGAAAAAGGATTTGTATGAGCTTTTCTACTAATCTCTTGCAAGCTTATATCCATTTCTTAACCTTAGCTAACATATATATTCATACTATCATACACGCCTAGTGAATTTCGTAACACGACTATAGCGATCAATTTTGCTACTTAGTTTTTGTCACAAAGAGTATTAATTAATAACTGAAGAATTTGATGATGCGGAATTGAAAATAACACGAGACAAGGGATTTACGTGGTATCCTCGATCTTGATTGATCGAGACTAATCCACGGTGAGCTCGGAACGAGCTCACGACTGATGTTTTATTATACGACTACATCTTGACGGCTTGCTTACGACAATCTCGTAGCTAAGCTTTTATAGATATAGACTTAGGGTTAAAACCCTAACGACAACCAAGTTTCCTTCTTTTACATGAACAAGGAAACAAGGGACTTAAAGGACAAGGAATTAATTACTTGTTGACTAAGTAATTAATATCCTCAACACTCCCCCTCAAGCAAAGACATGAGTGACAAGAATGTCGAGCTTGACAAAGGAAATGTGACGAACAAGCATGACAAGCTTGAACAACAAACTCGAGATGAATAATCTCTTGGACGAGGTTGATTTGGAGACGACTGACTCACTCCCTTGAACAACCTGATGAAGATGGTTGACTGCATCTTCTTGAACGTCGCGACGGAGACGGTTGATTGCGACTCTTGAACGACCTGATGAAGACGGTTGACTGCGTCTCTTGAATGACTTGACGGAGACGATTGACTTCTATCCGTATGATATGGTGGAGATGGTTGACTGCATCTCCTGAACGGGCTGACTCCCTATTCTCCCCCTCAAGCTGGAGCATGAACGATGTGAATGTCCAGCTTGAAAGCTAGAATGGTGAAGACTGAAAATTGATTGATTCTGAACGCAGAGGGGACGATCGCTTCTTTGATCGTGACTGCCTCGCTCGATGACTTGACAATGACTGGCTATTGAAGAGACGACCATTAGTGTCTTCACTGCCATGACTTTGATTGATATTCTGAATAATGACGACAGCTGCAACAAGGCACAAAAGTTCCACCACAAACACAAGGCAAATCAATTCCTTTTTTTTACCATGTAATTGCTTTGACCTGACGTACTCCTACTTCTCCCAAATGTTGTGGTAAATGGGAAGGGTGAAGACGAAATCCACCGTAGGCCAGCAGATTCAAAACTAGGTCCAGCCTGCAGCAGAAACTTGGATTGAACCTGGATTTGATTTCTGGACTCTGATTGCGGGAACTTGGGCAGCTGCCTCCAGGAACTGATTGTAGATATCGACAGGGACAGAGACACGCTCTTGAATTTGTGGACCGGCCGAGAGTTTTGGATCAGCCAATCAAAAAACAAAAGTCCCGCCGCGGACGATGATGGTGAGATTGACTTGACGACAACGACGGTGACCCATCTACAGGAGGCAAAGCTGGAGATGACTATGATACGCGGCCGTTTGATTGCGACGGCGGCGGGATTGACGACGATGTTGAGAGCGAGATCGGAGGTCTGCGCCGTTGTGGTTGACGACGACAGCGATAGCGGCAGTGCAGACGACTTTGATTCTGCTCGAGACGAAGATGACGAATGGGAAGTTGACTGACTGGCGATGGCGGTGTCATGAAAAGGGCGACGCTGGCGGGAGCTCGGATCCGAGCAGCCTCTACTTGACGACTGCGACGATGATGAGTCAACGACGTCGGGACGCGGGCGACGATGTTGACAAGAGGAATGGCGGCGAGTTGAGGCCACTAACGACGGCCTTTACTCGGCGTCGGCGACTGGTGTTGATGAGAAGATCGAGGCGGACGAAACTGATTCCGATGGAAATCAGCGACTGTGACGGGATGCGACGACGACCTTTAGAGAGAGACCACGAACGACCACGACTGGGCAACAACGGCGACCTGATGTTGGAGTCGGAGGTGGAGCCAACAACTTCTTTCACTGTGGCTGCTGATTGACGAAGACGACGAGACAAAAGACAAAAACTTGCGGAAGCTCAAAACCCTAACAATGGCTCGAGTTTTGCTCTGATACCATGAAGAATTTGATGATGCGAAATTGAAAATAACACGAGACAAGGGATTTACGTGGTATCCTCGATCTTGATTGATCGAGACTAATCCACGGTGAGCTCGGAACGAGCTCACGACTGATGTTTTATTATACGACTACATCTTGACGGCTTGCTTACGACAATCTCGTAGCTAAGCTTTTATAGATATAGACTTAGGGTTAAAACCCTAACGACAACCAAGTTTCCTTCTTTTACATGAACAAGGAAACAAGGGACTTAAAGGACAAGGAATTAATTACTTGTTGACTAAGTAATTAATATCCTCAACAATAACCAATTTTATGTTTTTAGGAATTATTTACTTTGGTTGCGAAAAGCCCTTTTTTTATAGTGACTTAAACGCGGCAATATATGTTTTTCAGATGTGTTTCACAGATTCAAGAATGACGAAGGGAAGTTCCAACCCAAGTTATTAGGTCATCAAAACGTGCAAGCATTAATTCAACTGTACGAAGCCTCCCAGTGGATGACAGCTGGCGAAGACATACTGCGTGAAGCCGGCGAATTCAGCGCCCGTCGGCTACGTTCGTGGATAGCCCCCAAGCCGTCGCAATATTATTCCGTCGTTAATGATGTCATTGGACTACTGGCGACGGGAGAAGCCGTCGCCAATGTGCTGAAACATCCCTACCACAAGAGCATACCAAGGTTGGTGATTAAAGACTACTTGAGCAGCTTTGGGGCAACGATTACAAGCAAGCGGCAGAGTCGCTACGTTGAGACTCTCAAAGATCTGGCGAAGTTGGATCTCAAAATGAATCAGGCGGTACATCAGAACGAACTTGACCAACTCTCCAGGTACACAAAAAAGTTAGGGTAAGGTTTCGTCACAAAAGCTCTCTTTATTTTGGCCCTTCTGAACCAAAACTTTTATTTTAGGTGGTGGGATATTGAGGTTTGTTTGGCGGCGAATGTTGGGAGAGATCAGCTGCTGGTCAAAGCTAGCTCGTGGGCAATGGCAACCCTCGCAGGATCTCAATTCTCTGGCTACAGGGTCGAGCTTGCCAAAATCATTGCCTTAGTGAAGCTCATTGGCAACATCTTCGACTCCTATGGATCGCTGGAAGTACTCACACTCTTCTCACAGACTGTTACAAGGTAATTCATGGACGATCAGGTATATTGTTTATTACATTATGTAATTGTTATAACTGCGCTGCTACGGATCGAGAAATCATCAGAATCGAGAAAGCACGATTTACGTGGTTCCACAAACACGATGTGTGTTAGCTATAGTCCACGGGCGAGAGAGAACCAGTTTCACTATATCGAGAAAATGAGAAGTATTTATACTTCTCCATATGGGTCTAAACCTATTCCAGTCGTAGCGACCGACAGTCTGATTCAAGTCAAATCAGCAATAATAATATCTTCTAGCAAGTGGATAACCTCACGAGAATGTCGCGTCTTTCGCGCGCGTGCAGATGGGACACCGAAACGACAGATAAATTACCAGAGTTCATGAGAGTGTGCTTCATGACTCTCTATCATATGACTAATCAGATCGGATACAAAGTGTACATAAAACATGGACGAAATCCGATGCGCTCACTTCAACAATCGGTAAGTACACGAGATTGATGGAAATTATATCGAATCTCTTCGTTGTCGCTAGACCAATGTTTTGAAACCTATTAATTATATATTGTTATTTCGTACGTAGTGGGCAAAATTGTTCGAAGCATTCCTAGTCAAGGCCAGATCGTTGAGAACGGAAGAGTGTCGAAAATCAGACGACTGCTTGAGGACTGGAATCGTGACTTCTGGAGTGCCATTGTTGCTGGTTCACTTCTTCTTCATGTTGGGCTTGGGCCTAACGGAACAAAACGTGGGCCTCGTGGACGGCGACGAACCGCCGTTGATAACCTCCGTCGCCAAAATTCTGCGCCTGTCCGACGAGCTTTCCTCCACGGTAAGCCGAATATATATCGATTGAGTTGGTTTCTGAAATATTTTTTTTTCTTCTTTTTGGGTAATGATAATTGATGAAATTGATTGCAGTACGAGGAAGGCGTTGGATACGACGTCGGGTCGCACGTGGATTGCTACTTGAAGGAGAATCCTGGTCTGACGGTCTCTGAAGCCAGGAAGCATGTGGTCGAAATGATCGAAGACACGTGGAAGCAACTCAACCATGAGTATCTGTCTCCGGCGGTACCTTTCCCGACGGTTTTTGGGAAGGCCGTCGTTGATTCTGCCAAAATGGCTCCTTTGATGTATGAAATTGGACTTGATGATGATGATGATCAGGAGTCGTCTGACATTGATTGCATTCCAAGTCTGCAACAGTACCATAACCAGCCTGCTTCTGTTTGATTGAAAGAGAGACCTCGGAGTTAATGAATCTGTGTAATAATATTCAATAGTGTGATCTTCAGCTTTCTGTAATTGATATATATCATATGCACCGTGTGCTTTCTTAATTGTCTTTTTAACCTTTTTTTGCTTGTTGCTTACTTGATGCAGCAAGCTAAGTACGTACCATGGACATGTGGAATATTTCAGTTCGACCGATTTTTATTTGAAGGAGTGTATAAATCATTGATATAAGTTATAGTTTTGAATCTCTTCAAATAATTGAAGTGGCCGGACTAGTTATTGACATGTATCAGAGTTAGGGGTGTCTATACGGTCCGGTCCGGTTAAATCGGACCAAATTGATCCGGTCACAGTTCGGTCTTTTCGAGAATATAAGGACCAAAGATTGGATTGGATACAGTCCGATCTTGATTCGGTCCGGTCTTGACCCGGTCTGGTCCCAATTTGATCTTGATTTTAGGTGTTGGGGGTCTCTTATCCGGTCTTTATCCGGGTTTTTTTTACCTCAAATCTAAGCCCGAATATGAGACACATAATTTATTAGCCACATGTATATGCTTCCTTAAAAGCAACATTATATGACTTGTCCACTTTCGAGACTAGTACAACTTCCTAGCTAGTATTGAAAGGAACCGAGGCAATAGTACTTTGGGAGACAAGCGATGAGCCCTCTCGCTGGTGGAAGTATTTTTGTAAGTAAATGATAAAAACTTCTCTCCCGTATAATTTTAGTGTTTCCGCTAAATTGGTTTTGAAGATGATTATACCAAATTGGTTATGACGCTTTATTCGTCCCTCTTTCCCGCATTTGCTTGTTTTATTGATCCAAGTGTTTGACCTAAACACAGTATATGATATATCAGTTCGACTATGGTGTTCAAAGATTAACTGCGAGAAAGATTTTTACAGGTACCTGATATCGTTGGATCGGGCACAAACAACCCACTCTGACTGGATGAAAAAAATAATATTTATTTTACAAAATCGCCACAACATTTAATTAAGAACCACAAATTGCTCCCACCGGATCTTACGACACCAAATACTTGTAAAATAACCCTTCAGACAATTGGCATGTGAGGAGGTCAGGATGATAACAAAATTATTTCGATTCCATGTGATTCCCATTGCTTGTTATTATATATTATCTGAAGGATTCCATCTCCGACTAGCTATATTATAACTACGTAAAACTAGCACCACTTGTGTTATATAAATAGAATGCACACGCATCAACGAGAAAGCACAACAAGACAACATGGTATTTCAGGCTAGCTATCGGAGAACCGTCCAAAAACTCTAACCAGCAACTTGCTGCCTTCAACCCCTTCCCTTCTTGTGCTGAACTAGCTTCTCTCCATTCTTTACCAGTAAACAAAAATTTCTCCGATCATCCATATACATGGCCTTCTCTACGATCCTCCATCCTTCCTTCTCCTTATTCGGTCGCAAAAACACTACCAGCAGGCGCCATGGTGCGCAGTGCTGCTGCCTGGGGGAAAAACATGCGCAGAAGCTGAAAGAGGCAAAACAACTGTTCACGAGGAGGCAGTACTCAGTGGCGAGAGATGATCAAGTGTTGATGTCATGTCCCGTCGAGACCTTGGTACTGATCGATGCTGTACAGCGGCTGGGGATCGATTACCACTTCCAGGAAACCATCGGAGCTGTTCTTTACGATGAGTTCTGTGCTACGGTGGCCGACCGGCGGCGAGAAGATGGGCTTTTCGAGGTTTCCTTGAGCTTTCGGTTGTTAAGGCAGCAAGGTCATCCCATCCCTTCAGGTAACATATATATTGAGGGTAACATAGAACTAGTGAATCTTCCGTTTTTTTACACCTGATGAGGTCATGAGGATGACATATTATAGACCATTTATGATGGATTCTCAAATCCACAATATTATTTCTTTTTTTTTCTATATCTATATAATAGAATAGAATATCTCACCCTCTTGCATAAACAACTCAAATATCATTAGATCCGTTCTACTCGGCCTGTTTGATATGTTTTGAGCGGATAATTTAAATGAGATGGGGTGATCATGGATCTGATCCATTCTGACCCATCTCTTTTTTTCCCTAGTTTATACTTTATATGAAATTTTACTCAAATTGCTTAACATTTTACTCTATCTTCAATTTCTTGATTAATTTATCTACATTTATCATGATATAATATATATATATATATATATATATATGTATGGTGACTACTTCGGCGCACTCACAAAAATGAGTGCGTTCAATGCACCCAACTCAAAAACTAGTCTTAAGGAGTCGGATTTTGAAGTTTAATTTGTAGAATTAGTATAATATGATAATATAACATATGATAACAACTAATTAGCGGATTACCCTAAGCCCTAGACATCCAATTTTGAGTTCTATCCCTAAACCCCAAACTGTAAACCCTAACCCTAACCCTAGATCTTTAAACTCTAAATCCTTCAAATTAAAGCAAATCTTTCATGGTTTTTGTGCAAATTCATGTGCGTTATTGTTCATCACATCATAAGTGATGATTGACATCATTTTGACATAAATCTCATGTTTAAAATGACGATTATGAAGCGAGTGCACTGAATGCACCCAAAAAAGTGAGTGCACTGAAGACTCCACCATATATATATATATATGTTTCAATAAAACAATTAGTGTTTCAAATGTCTTCCCTTTAAAATATATACCCGTATGTATCGACCAGTACCAACCCATGTCCCAAGAGCAAAATATCTTATCTGGACCCGACTTGTCATTGGATGGTATGAGTATTGAATGGTGGGATAATTGATCATTAACTAATCGTAATCTCGTTAGTCGTTACTTAACACCGCAAGTTGCAACGTGGTTACGTGTTTCAGATGTGTTTAACAAATTCAAGAATCAAGAGGGGAAGTTCCAGCCCAGGCTATTAGGTCATCAAAACGTGCAAGCACTAATTCAACTGTACGAAGCTTCCCAGTGGATGACACCTGGCGAAGACATACTGCATGAAGCCGGCGAATTCAGCGCCCGTCGGCTACGTTCGTGGATAGCCCCCAATCCGTCGCAATATTATTCCGTCGTTAATGATGTCATTGGACTATTGGCGACGGAAGAAGCCGTCGCCAATGCGCTGAAACATCCTTACCACAGGAGCATACCAAGGCTGGTGATTAAAGACTACTTGAGCAGCTTTGGGGCAACGATTACAAGCAAGCGTCAGAGTCGCTACGTGGAGACTCTCAAAGATCTGGCGAAGTTGGATCTCAAAATGAACCAGGCGGTGCATCAGAAAGAACTTGACCAGCTTTCCAGGTAATTAATTTATTATCACTGAGCTACGTACATAATCAATGAGAAATAAAGTAAATGAATTAAAAGAACAAATAAATCATGAAAGATGGCTAGTTATGATAATGTTATTAATTCAAATTAGACAATAAGCAGAGGGCTAGCTAGCCAGTAGCCCACAGCTCACAAGTAGTACTGTGACAGGCTTTATTTATTTTCATTATCTTTTTATTCATTTCGACAACATATATAAAATTTAGTTAAGTTGATTCGTTGTGTTTGTTTGTGATATAATTAATTAGCAATAGTTTTATAATATTTCACCATTATGTGCAATGTTTCCGTGACTTGAAATCTGGTTATTTATCGTCAATTCGAAGTCATATAGTTTTGTTCTTGATGAGTGAGTCTTGTCAACGTTAAATTGGTTTTCGCAAAGAGATCGCTCATGTTTCATCATACCTCATGAACTCGAATTAAGCAGGTGGTGGGATGAGGTTGGTTTGGGGACGAGTGTTGGGCGAGATCAACTGTTGGCTAAAGCTAGCGCATGGCCTAAGGCAACCCTCGCAGGCCCCGAACTCTCGGAGTACAGGGTAGAGCTTGCCAAAATCATTTCCATTGTCTACCTAATCAACGACATCTTCGACATGTACGGTTCGCTTGACGACCTCGCACTCTTCACAGAAGCGATGACCAGGTAATATGTTCATATGTAAAAAAAAAAAAAGATATTGTACAACGTGAACCCACTGTTGTCGATTTATTTGGAGGTTGAAGAGATGTCTTTCGTGTATTATTGCATGTGTAGATGGGATACAGATACAATAGACAAATTACCAGAGTGCATGAGATCGTGCTTCATGGTTCTCTATCGTACGACTAATCAAATCGGATGCCAAGTTCACAGAAAACATGGATGGAGTCCCATAAACTCGCTTAAACGAGCGGTAAGTACACGAGACGGATGGAAATTATCTCTCTTCATTATCGCTAGATCAAATATTATTTATTCGATTTTGTACGTAGTGGGGAAAATTGTTCGAAGCATTTCTAGTCGAAGCCAGATGGTTGAGAACAGGAGAGTGCCCAAAATCAGATGAATACTTGAGGACTGGAATGGTGACTTCTGGAGCACCGTTGATGCTGGTTCACTTCTTCTATATGTTGGGCACGGGCCTAACAGAAGAAAACGTGCGCCTAGTGGATAGCGACGAACCGCCATTGATATCACCCGTCGCCAAAATTCTGCGCCTCTCCGACGACCTTTCATCCATGGTAATAATTAAGCAAAATAGATCGATCGATTTTTTTTTTTATCTCAAACATATGTTTTCCTTTTGGGTACGTACGATTATGAAATTGATTATTGCAGTACGAGGAAGACGTTGGATACGACGAGTCGTACGTGGACTGCTACTTGAAGGAGAATCCTGGTTTGTCGGTCCATGAAGCTAGGAAGCACGTGGTGGACATGATTGAGGACACGTGGAAGCAACTGAACTATGAGTATCTGTCTCCTGCGGTACCTTTCCCCACGGGTTTCATGAAGGTCGTCGTAGATTCTGCCAAAATGGTTCCTTTGATGTATGAAATTGGATTCAAAGGTGATGATCAGGAATCTAATGTGGATAGTCTTCCAAGTCTCCAGGAGTAGAATATCCAGCCTGCTTCTGTTTGATCAAAGCATTCCCATTAGCATTTTCTGCTTTGAAAATGCCAATTTTTTTTTATATGAGTTATATAGGTTTGCATGCAGCTTCAAAACCAGTGATAATTATCACTGGACTAATTGAGTTAGGTGTTATGTAATCAACTTTGCATTGTAGATGTTGGGTTATTAGTATTTGAATAAGAGACTGCTAAATATGTATATATATAAGTAATGTGGTTCAGTAGTAGTACCTTTTAGTTTCTAAACAAAATTTCCAAAATACACACTTTTACTTCACTACATATAAATAATCTTACTGAAGACCTGGAACGCCGTTGTTGTGCCTGGTGGTTCCGTCATGGGAATGACGGATCATTCTATACACAAAGGGAACCATTCTGGCAGAATCGACGACGGCCTTCGTGTGAAATCCGTCGGGAAAGTCGTCGCCGTTAAAGTTTCATGGTTGAGTTGCGGACCCAGCATGGGCCTCCTGATATGGATATGGAGATGGCCGATGGGGCCAACAGTCAACTTATTCAGGCCCATTAACAACTCGTTGATAAGGACCGGCCATGCGCAATATCTAACTATTCGTTCCACGAGGTTGTTAAAATGGCTCGTTTGTGAAGAGTAAGGATTGTTGAGGTTATATCAGAAAATTTGGTGCCAAAAGTATTTTGTATTGCGTTTGTTAAGAGTAAGGATTGTTGAAATCATATCAGAGAGGTTATATAAAAAAATTTGGTGTCAAAATATTTTGTATTAAAATAGTAATTTTAATCGTAGTTTAACGGTTTCCTACCGCCAAGGTTGTCAACCCACGGGTTGACCCGAACCCGGTCGAGCTAGTGGGTCAAGGGTTAATGGGTCAACCGTTTTAGCCCGGTTTGGCCCGGAAATATAGAAAGAGTCATTATATTGTACTTATCCTCATAAATTATATCAAATCTTATCTAACATATGAGTTATAACATATAATATTACACCAAAATAACATATCGTACTTAGATCCAACATATAGTGAAAATTCACACACACTTATATAACATAAATATTCAAATGTTCAACTTAGTATTCCAAAGATTGAGTTAGGCGAAAAGAAAAATTGGAAAATAGGCGCATTTCGCAAACTAAAGAAAAAAATGACACAATTTGACCTCCAACCCGGTACCTTATAGCGGTCGACCCGGCGGGTGCATGCGACCCGTTTTTCTCACCGGGTCAGGGTCAAATTGGGTCGACCCGTGGGTCAACCCGCGGGTTGACAACCTTGCCTACCGCTAAAACCGGCTACCATTTTGGGTACTCCAGCAGGGGCGTAGCTACACTCAAGCTAGGGTGCCCCCGGGATTGGTCCCAGCCCCTATGATCGTAAGGATATTTAGTATAAATTTTACAATTAGAACTTGTTCCGTAAATTTTGTTGTGAAATAGTTATGTGGTCTAATGGTAGTCAAGCTTGACTTGTGTTTTAAAGTACATGTGTTCGATTCGCCTTGGCTACATACACTTTGTTTAATTATTTTCGGCCCCCCTGGGTCCGGCGGTCCGCCCCTGTACACCGGTATCAACAAGTGGTACGGTTTTGGTTCTCGTACTATAATGTAGTCAAAATCGCGCTTTAAAACTTAAAAACTTACGATTTTACATTTCTAGGTCACTAAAACGTTTCTACACAAAATCTCAGTTTTTATAACTTATGTAGTTAAAAACTCCGCTTTAGAATTTAAAAACTTACAATCTTACGCTTCTAAATCACCAAAACATTTATACGCAGAAACTCACTTTTGACTACATCACGATAGTGATTTATCAACCTCGGCCGGCAAAACATACCATCTTTTTATCAGACCACATGCGTGTATGACCCACATCGTAGTAGTGAAGGGTGTTGGCCGAGGTACGATAGGTGCTTGTCGTTTGAAAGAAAGATGCCCTACTTCTTCCATTCCATTTTCCATGCTCGTGAATGAATGAAAGATTCTCCACTAGGCCAACCACCAAACGCCACAAAAATGGGAGGAAACCTCGTCACTTCGTCAAGAGTAGTCGTACAAACCAATGTGTAAAACAAGGATATATTTTACTCTTCAAAACAACTTAGAAACAACATGCATATGCCTAAGACTAAGCCTAAGCCTAACTCCATCTGGCACAGATGTTTTCCCAACCAACTATATCCTATATAAAGGGAGGAATCCCCATGTCCTTTGATGAGCCATACTAATACCCTAGCTTTCTCAAATCGTTCTTTGTAATTAGTTTCCTTAATTTTGGCCCCGAAAATGACTCATTACGGCTCAGATAGCAGCTTATCAGTAGTGCTATAATCCTCTGGGGCCACAGCTGCTAATCACTGATCTCAAGGTGCAACAAATCTCATCATTATCGACGCCGCCAGCTAGTCAGAACCATACCGTTGTAGAAGATCCAGTGACGATCATTCCGGCTAACAGTTGTCAAGAACCGGTTGATCTTATTAACTCAAATTGTTGGGAGATGTCCAGTGCTGCATTTACGGTAAGAATCAATCCGTCCTTCATTTTAGCTTCGTTAATTTCTCGCCGATCAAGGTAATAATGCTTGTATCTTCATATGTGTCCGTTGGTATTTGGTTTCGTTGGATATTTAAGTGGATGGATTGGATTTATAGATTGTTGAAAAATTATAGTTTAGTACCTATATTTTGTATGGTTTATAATTTTGTTCCTAAAACTTTTTATTATGACATTTTAGTATCTAAACTTTTCAAAATTTACATATTGTTTCAATATTTAGATGTCGCTTGAATTCATGATCCCATGCATTTGATTTGATTTATGGATCAAATCCATTTGCCACCTCTATTGACAACATAGAGTTGTTCATTGTATTGGGGAAAAGTATTGATACATGTTTAGGTTTTGAATTATATATATGCAGGATGACGTTAGCAACATTGACAAGCATGCTCAGAAACTAGCAGAAGTGAAGTTTATGTTCAATCAAATGGAGGAAGAGGCAGAAGATCAAGAAGAAGGGAACTCTATGAAATTTTTGAGAATGATCGATGCTCTACAACGGTTAGGCCTCGACCACCACTTCGAGGAAGAGATCGAGGCAATATTGAAACGCCAGTACAATGATACTGGTCCAAGCCATGACCTTTTCGAGACCTCCTTGCGCTTTCGATTGCTTAGACAACAAGGTTATCGCACTTCTATAGGTATGAAAACTATGCATTATTTTTCTTATCGTAGTTTAAAATTTAGTTTGGATAAACTAAATTTTTACGCGGTAACATGTTTCTTATGGTTAGTACAGACCAAATCATTGCACACCCCTATAGTGTGACCACAACATTGTGTCTATTGCGACAGTTTCCGTTAGGTGCTAAACATATTTTTTTTTTCTGTAGTGAATTAGTTGCTAAATATTAAATACTAGTCCTAAATTATATTTGATGCATAATTTATTGTGATGTGATAAGTGATTTTTGCTACAAAATACATGTATGTTACCCATCAAAACAAAATAAAAGAATTTTTTTTTTAAAGAGGTATAGATTAGTTCTTATAATTGGGTGCTACTTAAGAAATTCAATGTGTGACATGTCAGTTAGAGATCAAAGGTAATATCATTCGACCAAACCCTGTATACAAACCTCTAACCTTGACAGACTAAACTAACTTTTTATTCTGTTCCATCTCTTGGTAAAGATGTGTTCCAAAAGTTCATAAACAAGGAAGGCAAGTGGGAGAGCAAATTGGGACAAGACATCGTGGGACTGATAGAACTATACGAAGCATCATATTGGGCCACAGAAGGGGAAAGTACCATATTGGACGAAGCAGGGAAATTCTGTGCCCACAAGTTGGATCCACCACCCACTGATCCCCTTGCAGACTACACTTTGAGGCATCCTCTCCACAGAAGCTTACCCAAATTCCACATCAAGAACTACATCACCATTTTCCATGGCTCGACCAAGCACTACGAAGACACACTCATGGATCTAGCAAGATTGGATTTCAATGTGAATCAGTCCATCTGCCAGCAAGAGGTCGTGCAGGTGTTTGAGTAAGTAGCTAGATTTGCCATTCATGGTGTTCTTATTCATGATGAATCTCCTGTTGGTTGAGGTTCTGGCTTTGCATGGACAGATGGTGGGAGGAGCTAGGGTTGGCGGAAGGGTTGGAATATGCAAGGAATGAGCCAATGAAGTGGTACATGTGGCCTTTGGCAATTCTGACGGATCCGAAACTGTCGGAAGAAAGGGTGGACCTTGCCAAACCGATTTCGTTCGTGTACCTCGTTGACGACATCTTTGATGTTTATGGGTCGCTAGATCAACTAACTCTCTTCACAGAAATCATTGATAGGTACGTACGTAACTAGGTCATTTACCGATGATCTGAACTACGCTGCACGTACGGATTAACTAGAATATAATTATAACGATGTGGACATGAACAGACTTATGTATCACATTTGAATGCTGAACCCTAAACTTAGTATTGGGATAAATAAAGCACATTAAGAATCGCTTTTAAGGATTCACCAATCTTATTATTGATGATCTCATAAGACATTGTCCATGATGGAATTTGTGTGCTTGTACAGGTGGGACATTGCATCGGTAGACCAATTGCCCAATTATATGATGAAATGCTTCACATCTCTCCATAAAGTCACCAATGAAATTGGGTACAAAGTGTACAGTAGACATGGATGGAACCCAGTGCACTCCCTACGACAAGCAGTACGTAAACAACGACTCATTTTCGACTTCTAAATTTGTTTCTTAATTTTTTCATATCGTCTCGTTTTACGATGCATCACTGCATCAGTCATTCATGATATGATGGATTCAGTATTATGTATAATGAAGTCAGATTAAGAGACAAAAATAAGATTTTCAGCATAGTTTGTACATGAACATATTTTTTCATCTTTCAATTCACCATTTTTATTTTGTAGTGGGCGAAACTTTTCAAGGCATTTCTAGTGGAAGCCATGTGGTTGAAGGGAGGAGAGTGGCCAAGTGCGGAAGAGTACTTGAAGAATGGAATAGTGAGCTCTGGGGTCCAAGTTGTTCTGGTTCACTTCTTCTTCCTTTTGGGCAAAGGCCTAACACAAATAAACGTGGACCTTGTTAATGGCGACGATCCTCCGGTGATCTCTTCCGTCGCCAAAATTCTCCGGCTGTGGGATGACCTCTCTGCCACGGTAACACATAGTTTGTAGAATAAAGTTTGAATATACAGTACCCTAAAAATCTGATTTGTCTCATTGATCTTTCCAGCTTATATAGCTGTTGCAGTAGTACAAGTGGGTTGGCTTAAGTGTAGAAGAAGACAAGGTTCCTTCAACTACAAGTACAGTCCGAAAAGGGAAAAGTGAAGAAAAACAGAAGTACAGGGATCAAAAGTGAGAATGTCTATCCGCCCTTGTTTCTCCCTGAAACGATGTCGCTCCAGGTCCTGCTTGGTTTGGCTTGAGTTAGTGGAACGTCGTCGTTGTGGTGGTGGGTTCTATCCGTTGTCGAAGCGGCGTCGTTGTGGTGGCACAGTGGAACGCCGTCGTCTGGAAGGCGGGTTTGAGAAGAATTTGAATTCTTCTCTGATAGCCCCCCGCAAGCTGGTGGGCAGAGCTCATGGACACCAAGCTTGGAGAGGAGATTGTGAAAAATGGCTGGTGAGAGAGCTTTGGTGAAGATATCGGCCAGCTGGTGGACAGTGGAGACATGGAGAACCTTGATGGTGCCGTCATGGAGCTTCTCGCGAACGAAGTGGCAGTCTAATTCGATGTGCTTCGTCCGTTCGTGGAAGGTTGGGTTCTCGGCGATGTAGATGGCAGACTGGTTGTCGCAGTAGATGGAAGCGGGTTGAGGATGAGAAATCTTGAAGTCGTGAAGCAGATACAGGAGCCATTGCACTTCACAGGTGGTGTAGGCGAGGGCACGGTACTCGGCTTCACAAGAAGAGCGGGAGATGGTAGTCTGCTTCTTGCATTTCCAGGACACCAAGGAATCACCCAAGTAGACACAGTAACCGGTCACAGAGCGTCGTGTGTCAACACAGGCGGCCCAATCGGAGTCACTGAAGGCCTTCAAGTGCAGTGTGGACGAAGAAGGGAAGAAGAGACCATTGGATGGTGCTGATTTGAGGTACCTCAGGATTCTGTTCACAGCTTTGAAATGTGTATGGCTAGGATTAGACATGAAATGACTTACTTGTTGGGTGGCGAAGCTAATGTCAGGCCTAGTCGTAGTGAGATAGATCAGCTTCCCAACAAGTCTTCTGTACTGTTCTGGGTCCGGATAGGGGTCATCATGTTGGGCAGATAGGTGTGTCTTGTAATCAATAGGGGTAGTGACAGGTTTGGTGTTGATCATGGCAGCATCATCCAGAATTTCCAATGTATATTTTCGTTGAGAAATGTGAATGCCAGAAGGTGATCTTGATACTTCAATTCCCAGAAAGAATTTCAAATCACCTAAGTCTTTGATGCTGAATTCTTGATGCAAGTAGGCCTTGATGTTGATGATGTCAGACAAATCATTTCCTCCAATTACAAGGTCATCAACGTAGACTAGGATACAGGTATAGGAAGTTGATGTGGCCTTGTAAAACATGGAGTGATCCACTTTGCTGGATGTGAAACCTTGTGATTGTAGTTTCTCAGCCAGCTTGGAGAACCATTGTCTTGATGCTTGCTTTAGGCCATAGAGAGATTTCTTGAGTTTGCAAACAGGGTTTTTGATTCCTGCTGGTTGTTTGTAACCATCTGGGAGCTTCATGTAGACACATTCCTCCAAGTCACCATGGAGGAATGCATTGTTGATGTCTAGCTGGTGTATGTGCCAGTTGTGGATAGAGGCCAGAGCAAGGAACAACCTGATAGTGGTCATTTTCACAACAGGAGCAAAGGTGTCTTGGTAGTCAATGCCCTCCTGTTGTGTGTAGCCTTTAGCAACCAGTCTTGCTTTCCTTCTTTCTAGGCTACCATCAGAGAGAAACTTAAACTTGTATATCCATTTGTTACCAATGAGTTTGACATTGGGAGGTGCCTCCACAATGTCCCAAGTCTGGTTTCTGTCAAGTGCTTGAAACTCATCTTGCATAGCAGCATCCCAGAATGGGGAGAGTATGGCCTCCTTGTAAGATTCTGGTTCTTTGTAAGAGGAGATACTTAATGCAAAATGTCTGTCAGTTGGAGACAAGTTATCATAGTGAATAACTTTGTTGAGTGAGTGAGTGATACCTGGATTGTGCTGCTGAGTAGGATGACTGGTAGAAGAAAACTGCTGAAGCAGGTTGCAATGGTAAAGTTGGAGATGTGAGGGTGGTTTGGGAGTTCTGGTGGACTTCCTAGTGGGAACAGGAGGTGGTGGTGGTGGTGGTGGTGGGGGTGATGGAGTGGGAGGTGAGTGCTGGGTAGGAGTAGGAGAGGTGGTGTAGTTGTCTGTGTCACTGTCAGAGTCAAAGTGGAGTGTGTTCAGGTCATTGAGGGTATGAGAGGGGTTGGTGGTGGGCTGATAACTAGGACTAGGATCATCAAAGGGTGCAGGGGTGAGTGAGGAATTGTATAGGTCAGAGGGAAGGTTGGAGGTGACCTCATGGTGAAATGGGAAATGATTTTCATGGAACTGAACATCCCTTGAAGTGAAAACTTCATGGGAGGTGAGGTCATATATCTTGTACCCCTTTATCCCTGATGTAAAGCCAATAAAGATGCCCTTCCTAGCTCTGGAATCAAATTTTGTTCTGTGGTTGTGGAGAGTGCTGGCAAAACAAAGGCAGCCAAAGACTCTGAGATAGGAAAGGTCAGGTGGTTTTTTGTGAAGTTTTTCAAAGGGGGTGAGATTGTTTAGAACAGGAGTTGGGACCCTGTTGATTAGGTGAACAGCGTGTTTCACACAATCTGCCCAGAAACCAGATGGTAGGTTGGCTTGGAATTTGAGAGCTCTGGCAACAGCAAGTATGTGCTGGTGCTTCCTCTCTACTTTGCTGTTTTGTTCAGGAGTTTCAACACATGATTGTTCATGGAAAATCCCTGTGTTTTGAAAGAAATCACTCATCCTGAACTCTTTGCCTTGATCACTTCTAATTTTCTTAACTGAAGTGTCAAATTGTCTTTCAATGTAATTGCAAAACTCTTTTAGTTTAGGTCTGGCTTCTGCCTTGGTTTGTAAAAGGATGATCCATGTCATCCTGGAGAAGTCATCAACTATAGTTAAGAAATATCGATGTCCATCATAACTAGGAACAGGATGTGGCCCCCAAATGTCAGTATGTATTAACTGAAAAGGATTCTCAGTTACAGATGAACTGGAAGGAAAAGGCAGTCTCTTTTGCCTAGCAAAATGGCATACATCACAGGGTATAGAACTGTATGTTTCTATGGATGTACACAAGTTTCTCAAAAGGGGGATTTTGGAATGGGAGACATGTCCTAGTCTATGGTGCCAAAGATCAAAAGGTGCACTACTGGTTGCAGTAGTGTGTTTAGGTATGATAGAGTTGTCTATGTTGTCTAATAGGTAGAGGCCATGGGACAGCTTAGCAGAACCAGTCATCCTCCTCAGCTGCATGTCCTGGATCAAACACACATCAGAAAAGAAAGTTAAGCAAAGTGATTTGTTCTTGCTCAACTTACTGACAGACACTAAGTTGAAGTTAAACTGAGGAACATATAAGGCCTCCTCAAGCACCAAGTCTGGAAGGCATCTCACTGTTCCTGAGTGACTAGCTTCAACTCTTTGGCCAGTGGGGAGGGTAATGAATACCCCACTGATTTGTTTGTGGTTTTGAAGTAGGGAAAGGGAGCAGACAATGTGGTCTGATGCTCCAGTGTCCAGGATCCATAGTTGGTTATATGGATCCTTGTTTTGAGCATTGAAAACATATTTACCTGATGTTTCTGCCTTGCTGGTAGTGAAAACTGCAGCTGAGAAGCTCGGTCCAGGAGATGCTTGTGTGCTCTGGCTCATCATTTGGATGAACTTCTCATACTCAGCCTTGGTGAGCTTCACCTCCTGCTGGCCTTTGTCTCCAATCACTGTGGTTGCAGCATTGACCTGAGGTCTTCCTCTTCCTCTTCCAGTGCCAGGAGGGTAGCCATTCTTCTGGTAGCACTTGTCTTCTGTGTGCCCAAGCTTCTTGCAGTAGTTGCACTCAACTGGCTTACCAGCAGCAGTCACACCTCTGGGGGTCATGCCAGGTGGCCATCCATGTTTGTGAAAACAAACATCTTCAGTGTGTCCCAGTGCCTTACAGTAAGTACAATATGGCTTGGTCCTTTTGTTTGCTGGTATGTTGCTGTGGGAAGCAAAAGCAGTGCTTTCTGCAACAAGAGCTTTGGCCTGGTGGCTTCCATACTGTTGCCTCTCATGCTGCAACATTCTCTGGAACACCCTATCGATGGAGGGCAGGGTGTCCTGAAACAAGACCTGTGACCTAACAGTGCTGTAGTTCTCATTGAGTCCCCTTAGGAACTGTATGACATAGCCAGTGTCTCTGTAACCCAAGACTTGTTTCATGGCTCTACAAGTAGAGTGACTAGTGGGGGTACAGTCACAGGGATCTAAAGGTTGGTAGTTATCCAGTTCATCCCTCACAACAATCATCTCACCATAGTACTCAGTTAGGGTTTGGTTACCTTGTTTCATGGTTGCAAGTGCCTCTATCAGTTCTGCTATCCTCACCATGTCACCTTGTCCATATCGAGCTCTTAAGCTCCTCCATGCTTCTGCTGCTGACTTGAAAGACATGATTGTCTTTCTGATCCCAGGCTCCACTGCTTGCTGGATCCAAGACAGGACCATGATGTTGTTCCTGTTCCAAGACCAGGCTTGAGGGCTGTCTGGTGCAGGTTCAACCAGAGTGCCATTGATGAAGCCAGTCTTGTTCTTGGCTCCCAGTGCATTGTACATTGCCTTGTTCCAATCATTGTAATTGGTTGTGGTGAGTTTCTCCGCGACCAGTAGTTGCCCTGGTTGTTCAGAGCCATGTAAGTAGTATGGATCTGCCATTGGATCCTGCAGTGCAGCATTTGTGTTGGCTGCAGCATTAGCTCCTTCGTTGCTCACGTTTGCATCAGCCATGGTTGTTGTGGCGGCGCCTAGGGTTCAAGGGAACCAGGCTCTGATACCATAACAACGTTTTGTGATGGAAACCCTAAAAATCTGATTTGTCTCATTGATCTTTCCAGCTTATATAGCTGTTGCAGTAGTACAAGTGGGTTGGCTTAAGTGTAGAAGAAGACAAGGTTCCTTCAACTACAAGTACAGTCCGAAAAGGAAAAAGTGAAGAAAAACAGAAGTACAGGGATCAAAAGTGAGAATGTCTATCCGCCCTTGTTTCTCCCTGAAACGATGTCGCTCCAGGTCCTGCTTGGTTTGGCTTGAGTTAGTGGAACGTCGTCGTTGTGGTGGTGGGTTCTATCCGTTGTCGAAGCGGCGTCGTTGTGGTGGCACAGTGGAACGCCGTCGTCTGGAAGGCGGGTTTGAGAAGAATTTGAATTCTTCTCTGATACTTACTTTCATATTTACCAAATCTAATGCATATTAAAACTAATTGTGTGTAGAACGAGGAATATGATGGGGAAGACGGATCCTACGTGTATTTCTACATGCTGGAGAATCCTCAATCTTCGATTCATGAAGCTCGGGAGCATGTGACGAGAATGATTGAAGAGACATGGAAGCAACTCAACCATGAACTTCAATCCCCAACACCATTTCCATTAGTTTTCAACAGGGCAGCTCATAATTCTGCAAAAATGGTGCCTTTGATGTATGGATGTGACGATGATGATGCTGGTCAAGATCAGAAACTTCCAAAGCTCAAGGACCATATCAATGCGATGCTTTTTGAAAGCATCCCCATTTGATACATATTTACTTTGTTACATTGGCATGTTGTAAAATAAAATTTCCATTTCTCAAATAATGGGGGAAAGTACCACCATAGTTCAAAACAATATTCAAATATCAGAGCCTGGTTTCGATCCAGGGACCTGTGGGTTATGGGCCCACCATGCTTCCGCTGCGCCACTCTGATCTTTATGTTAAAACTCATTGTTTTTTCTATACTCCCAAGTGACAAGTGAGTGGTTATGGCATTGGAGTAAGAGATGTACCATATATGTTGCAAATTGGAGCTAAAAAGCTGTACACTGCAGAAAGATAATGCAGGGGCCAATAGTTTTCGAGAAGAAATGTTGTTTGAAGCACAAAACGTATGTGAGTTTGTAGTTTGTACCATCTCCAAACTCATTAGGGTGTCATTTCAGAATAGGTATAAAAAACAATATAAATTATAATCTTGAACAAGTTCATGTCAACTCAATTTACTGAGAAGAAATGTTAATGAGAGAAAATATCTCATAAATGAAAAGTTAAATCGAACATAACAAACAATCACCTTTGTTATATCTCATATTCTCATTCTTGGAAATAAGTGATGATGATTCCACTCGTGGCTGGACCCAATAACGTCCAGCAGGCAGCAACATGGTTATGAATGATGCATCGTTTTCCTCTTCTTTTTTTACTTTTCCTTCTTTCTTTTGAGTTGCTGCTTGTAAATATTCCTCTGTTGGCGATGAGATACGAAGCGGTCAGCACCTTAGAGCCATTACCAATTGATTTGTGACTTTTTCGTTATGCCTTTTTCATGTTGTTGGAAGTTTTTCCTTTTCCAGCTATCTTTTGTGTTGTTTTGTTGTTTTTAATGTGTTTTATTTGACAAATCGGACAACTTTGTAGTTAGTTTGCCCATTCACTTAGAAAGAAATGGGTTTCTCATGTATCAATATCATCTACCGTATAATCGTGGTTCAAACTAGGCGGGCTATTTGGTTCGGACTGTTTGGTTTTACCCGAAACCGGATCGTATAACCTGGACCGGGACCGGACTGGGACCGGATAGCAAACAATCCAATCTCATATTCGGGCTTAGATTTGAGGTAAAAAACCCGGATAAGAGACCCCCAACACCTGAAATCAAGATTAAATTGGGACCGGACCGGGTCAAGACCGGATTGTATCCAATCCAAACTTTGGTCCTTATATTCCCGAAAAGACCGGACTGAGACCGGATCAATTTGGTCCAATTTAACCGGACCAGACCGTATAGCCACCCTAGTTCAAACAATAGCATTTTGTATAAGATAATTTGTCAAAATAAAAAAATAAAAAACCTACTACAAGTCGAATACTAACCAAAATTAACCAATATATTGTAGGTTTCTGATTCGACCATCTTTAATTTGTCTTAAATATATATGTGTCTATCATAGCGTAACAAATTTCTCCATTCCCACCAAATCATCTTAACTATTACGTTGTTTATATCGACTTGGATCACTTTAGTCAACAAGTATCTCGTTAATTGTGTAATTAAATGAGGAATTCTATTTTCTAAACTATACACGTAACATCTAGAAACTCAGCCACGTGGCCCCTCCATGAGACACAATTATATTTTTTTAATTTTTTTATAACCCAGGGAATCTCAGTCCCACATGCCGCTTAAGCAACAGCGGGACCTACTAAACCACTGGAGAACCTGCATACTAACCGGGGCTTTCTGCTACCAACATCGGGGAGGCTTCGCCTCCGATACCAAGGGTGCCGCCGGGAACGTTCAAGTGGCGCCACTGGGAATCTAACTCAGAACCTCCCACATCCAGAGCTTAATTGGTCCAGTGGTTTCACCGCTAGGTTATGTTACCTTTGGCAGACACGATTATATTTGACGCATTAGTAATTTTATTACCTTTAGAAAGACTCCGTGAATGTCATCAATTTATAGGATTTCCACAAAAGAAGTTATTGTAGTTTGCTTTTGAAAAATGAAGATTTTGATAAAATTTTAGTTTTGAAAACTCTGAATATACGAGGGTTTTGAGTTCATTATGAACTTGAAAAACACTCTTTTTGTTTTGTAGATGTTATATATATGTGCAGTGAAATTGATCATACTTCCCTAATTGGTATGATAAGAGAAAAAAAATTAAGAGGGATATGTTGGTCACATATGATGGACTTCAAGTCCATAACCAATTCCCACTTTGATGGGTGGGATTTTCAAGTTCGCGAGCCCAACAGATTTGGACCCTTAAAATGTGTAAATTCCACAGATTTGTTGCCCATGAAGAAAACAACCTATTAGATAAAACATCCCTAATAGTCCTTCAAATGTAGAGTTCTCCTCCTATTATCATGTTTTATATCCATCCTAACCTTTATCATCAAGATCTTGATGGCCTTCTCAATCCTTTCTTTATTGCCTTCCTATTTACCGGCCAAACCTCATAAAACCCATTGAAAGGACAGTAGAACTTAGCCACCAAAAAGATGAGTGGTGAAGGCTTGGCACACGTAGATAGACAGGTGGCCGAACAGTTTCTGTCCTTGCAAAAGAGATCCCAGCTGGTCACATTGGCACATAAGTTGTCACGGCTGATGCATCGTTTTCCTCCATTTTTTCCCTCTTCTTCTTTCGACTCTGGTAGATATTCCACTGTTGGCGATGAGATACAAGGAATTGGAATGAATAATAGAGCAGTCAGCAGCTAAGATCCATGATCACTCGACTTTATGCTTTTTTCTTGTTGGTGGAGGCTTTGCCTTTTTTCTTGCTTTTAACTTTTAAGGTGTTCTACTTGACAAATCGAGAAACTTTGAAGATATATACTTTTATCCCTTCATTTAGAAATTACAAAGAAATAATGTGTTTGGCTTGGCAATGTAACTTGTCTGAAATCTGAAGGTTACAAATTTAAATATTTTAAATATTATCTAACTAAAAAAAAAAATTTGTCCCCTTATATATAAAAAAGTACTTCTTTATGATAACAGTTTAGCGGAATAGATGTAGACATGTAGCGGTATAAAATTTAACTCAATCAATATAAAATTATTGTTGTTAAAGTTAAAAAAAACACCTATTCAACTGTATTATACAAATAGAATACCTCGATCAATACATTGGAGGTCACCAATTCAACCAAACTATACTGTCCGATATATTTTTGTTTTGTCTTGGATGCATATGTAACCATGGTTGTCATATTGGTGGCATTTTGGTAGATTGAACCAGGTTCTATCGATGTCGGTCGAACAAGATTCAATCAATGTCGGTCATGAAACCAGCGTGAACAACACCGATATGACCGACATGATCGACTTATGAATATTAAGCAAAATGATGTCGTTTTAGTAAATGCAATTAATAAAAAATAATAATTTATCATTTATTTCATGATTTAAAAATCAAAATTTGATGTTATTGGTTGGATTGTAAGTAAATAGTCCATACATATATTTTATATATGATTAAATTCATTGGATGTTAATGATCTTCATATTTTTATATATTTTGTTACACCAGCATGAACCGACATAAATCGATTATACCACCCGCGTATCATTCTACTTGTTAAAATGGCACAACGATATAAACAGATTTTACAATATTGTATGTAACTGAAAGAGAAAGAGTATCTCTATTTTCATCGCTAACCGTCTTAAATAGTTTATATGCAAGTAAATCACGACAACTAGCAACTTATTCTACGCTAATTATAAGAAACCCCCCATTTTCGAAACTGAACACGTAACAGTCCAAAACCTCATCCACGTGGCCCCTTCACAAAACACGACTTCACGCAGTATTTTTGATTACCTTAAAGAAAGAGAAGAGAAAGAGTGCCTCCTCCCCAATAGTCCTATAAATGTAGAGTAGTCTCCTCTCCCATAATTATGATCCATCCATCCAACCCATTCCTTTTATCATCAAGATGGCCTTCTCAAACCGTTTCTTACTGCCTTCCTCTTGCCCTAAGATTATTACTGATCATCACTCATCTAAACACAGCAATATTAGTGCTAATCCGCCGGCGGTGCAGCTAATTATTGCTAATCCCAGAGGCTGCATGTCATTGCCAAAAGCTCATCAGCACCATGCTAATATTCTTCAAACCTCAAGAATCCTGGACATGGCTAGTGGCGGCCAAACTACAGTTAAGCATCCTTCACCTTGGAGGGGGGTTTTTTTTTCCTTCTATTTTTATACAAGTGTTCATTTCAAGCAAGAAAGATAATTTTTTCTTCAATTTCTTCAGGTTTGGCAGGATGGCATCGACATGATGATGGAGAGGCATACTAAGACACTAGCAGAAGCAAGAGCTAGGTTCAAGCAAATTGAAGAGTTAGCAGAAGTAGACGGGAATTCAACGAAAACCCTAGTGATGATCGATGCGCTCCAACGGTTGGGCCTCGACCACCACTTTGATGAAGTGATCGACGAGGTTCTGAAGCGCGAGGAGGGGAAGGAGGCGATGAAATTTTCTGTTCTCGATAATGATAGTAGTACTCGATGTCATGATCTTTTAGAGACTTCACTGCGCTTTCGACTGCTAAGACACCAGGGTTATCGCATTCCTTCAGGTACAAAACAAGAATCCATTCATTTTCTATATCAGGGTTAAGACATGGATACCTAATCATGTTCAACACACCTTAGATTCGATACGAAAGTAAAATATAATGCACGATAAGTTTGTGTGAAATTTCGAATGACACTTTCTGAACTACTATATAGTACTAATAAGGATGAAACCCATTAATTCAACAACACAGATTCAAATTCATGACCAAACATGCATAGGGGCTAATGGTACCAATCAAAGCTTGTAACCCTAACAGATTTAGACTAATTTTCCCCTTACTTTGTGTTTGGTGAAGATGTGTTCGAAAAGTTCAGAAACAAGGAAGGCAAGTTCGAGAGCAACATGGGATGCTCGAGCAATATCATGGGAATGATGGAACTATACGAAGCATCATACTGGGCCACAAAAGGAGAAAGCATTCTTGACGAAGCAAGAGAGTTTAGTGCCCACATGTTGGAACTATATTCAACTCATCAACATGCTCAACTGGGTCCAGCTGATGAAGCCACTACTCTTGGCCTAGCAAGTTACACACTGAGACATCCTATCCACAGAAGCTTGCCCAAATTCAACGTAAAGAGCTACCTCGGAATCTCCCATGGCGGCTCAACCAAGCACAATGATGAAGACATCCTCGTGGATTTAGCAAGATTGGATTTCAACGTGAATCAGTCCATGCACCAACAAGAAGTCGTCCAGATTTCTACGTAAGCACGACCGACAATACTTATAAGTTCTTATATAAGGGTTCAGGTTGAAAGGAGATCGATTAGTACATTTTCTTTTGTCTATTGATAGATGGTGGAAGGAGCTAGGGTTGGCGGAAGAGTTGACACATGCAAGGAACGAACCAGTGAAGTGGTACATGTGGCCGTTGGCCATCTCGACGGATCCAAAATTATCGGAAGAAAGAGTGGAGCTTGCCAAACCCATTTCACTTGTCTATCTCATCGACGACATCTTCGATGTTTATGGATCGTTAGATGAACTTACTCACTTCACTGTTGCGGTCGACAGGTAACTAGAAATTAATAAGTTTTATTTTAACCACGTGATAATATGAAGGACGACACACATATATGCCTAATAAGTACAATGATCTCGTCAGGATAAAGTTATCATTTGTTGGGTGCATGCAGATGGGACGTTACATCGGCGAATCAATTGCCCGATTACATGAGGAAATGCTTTATGGCTCTTCATGAGGTCACCAATCAAATTGGATACAAAGTGTACAAAAGACATGGATGGAACCCTATACCTTCCCTACGACAAGCTGTACGTATGATATAAGTCGTTAATTAATTATTCGTAGTGGAAGTAGAATAAATGTACAAATTTAAGAGAAAGTGAGAAATCAAGGACATAGTTTGGTTTAACGTGACTATGTAAAAGGGTAATATAAGACAGCAAAATATAATTAAAAAAAAAAAAGAGTTCAAACATCCATCTTCATACTCTCTTCCCCCTGATTTAATTGGCTGTTTTTTTTTTAATCTTGCAGTGGGCAAGACTTTTCAAGGCATTTCTAGTAGAAGCCAGGTGGTTCAAGACAGGAGAGTTGCCAAGTGCGGAAGAGTACTTGAAAAACGGAATAGTGAGCTCAGGGGTCCCGCTTGTGCTGGTTCACCTCCTCTTCATTTTGGGCCGAGGGCTGACACAACGAAACGTCGAACTCATCGGCGGCGAGAACCCACCAGTAATCTCCTCCGTCGCCAAGATTCTCCGGTTGTGGGACGACCTCTCTGCCACGGTACCTACGTATATAAATAGACTTTGGTATACGAATATGTAAATACCGGACCTCATACTTTCGCCGATACTTGTTGTGACTAATAAGGACACCAATCAACTCAAATCTCATTAGATACATAGGTTTTAGTAGTGTTACAAAAAATTTAAGTATCCCAGTCCGTTTAAAGTCTGACTACGCCGCCCTCACTGATCTGAAGAGCCATCATTTATGATTTTCAGGACGAGGAACACAGTACTGGAAACGACGGATCGTACTTGGATTGTTACGTGAAGGAGAATCCCGAGTCGTCGATCCATGGCGCCAGGGAGCACGTGATGGAAATGATTGAAGAGACATGGAAGCAACTCAACAATGAATCTCTGTCTCCGACGACGCCGTTTCCGTTGGCTTTCAATAGGGCTGCCCATAATCTTGCCAAAATGGTGGCTTTGATGTATGGTTGCAACGAAGTCGTTGATCAAAACCAAAGTGCTCCTAGGCTCAAGGACCATATAAGGTCCATACTATTTGAAAGCTTTCCCTGATCTGATCATTATTATCTTGCTTCACAATGTAATAACCCACGAATGCGGACTTTGATGCGCGTTAATGTTCGAACGCTTTCGAGTAGAGGATCTCCTTAGTGGCGAGAACAACTCCAAATTATGTTACAACTATTCCTAACTATGAAACTCCTAAATCGATTTTGGGTCTCAATCTTCTCATATTGTTAAACGAAAGACAAAGTACATGTTTATAGGCATTGAACATCTCCTTTCTCCTATCTAAAACATGACTGCTTCTCCCACAAAGAAAGTACTATAACCAAAATTCTAAACAATTACTAGTAAACAATTTAAATCCTACTAATACAATTAAACGATAATAATTAAAATCTCAAATAACATGAAATACGAACTAATTAATTAAACTACTAAAAATAAACGGCCCCAATAATTCCAAAATTATTACGAATGGCCTGTATCGTAAAAGCTTCTCCGGAGAGCGACCACCATCTCCATTCTTTCTTCCCCTCCCATCCGCCGGTCCAATAAAGATGGTGATGATGTCGAGCCTGCTTCCTCTCCCTGTTCGCCTCAAATCACTAACTCAAAGATTCCGGAACAAATCTTTGTGGTCTTGCAGCCTGGAATTGTGGAAATGATCATATTTGGTGGAGAAATTTTGGGATTTAATTTAACTAGTATGGCTCCTTCATTTTACTCGGTATCTTATTATCACTACTAGTAAGGTTCTTGCCACTATGATAAAAATTCGTATTAGATGTGATTAAATTCGCTTCAAAGGTGTAAGATACGAGATTTGGTGCATGTGCATTTTACATATTCAAGTTTTGCACCGGAATTCAGAACAAATTTACCGGATATCCACGATGAGAAAATTTAAGACAATGTATATATATGATATATTTAAGAAAAGTAGATTTTGTTTCACTAACAATATAATAAAGCAAGATAAATATTTATGATATAGAAATTAAACAAGGAAAGTAATTAGATAAATAAAATATGCATGGGGAAATAGTGAAATACAAGTTAACTACTCATATTATTATGCCAAAGAAATCTACTCATCATTAATTATATTGTTTTTTTTTTCATATTTACTTGCCATAGTCTTATTGCTACATTATTTTAAATATGATGCAATAACATTTAGTTCTTGATAAGACAAAAAAAATTATGCTCTTCTAATTATCTTATTACCTTCTTTTTTCCCCTCGTATTTTATTAATATTAATTACTTGCCTTTCTCCCATCCCACACATATATCTTGCCTTGTTTTACTTAGTGAAGCAAATTTGGATTTGACCACTACAACTACTATAAATTATCACATTAATTAGAATTTGTAACATGTATTTTTCAATCGTAATAATAAAATGAAGATATCAGCATCCATGAAGCTTTCTCTTTTGTTGGCTTCTTTTCTCATCGTTACTTCTTGTGAGACTCTTCTCTTTCTCCTATACATTTATATCACATATTGCAATGCATCAAGCCCAAATTATGCTATATGTCCTCATGTAGAACTAATTGTCTCCCAAGTGAACTACATGCAAATTATTATTTTATATAATGCATATATTTTATCTTTAATTTCAATTCTTTATAATTTTAATTAATTTTGGGTTTGGTGGATAAATGTCACAGCTGTTAAGAAAGGAATGGTGGGAGCTAGCCAGGGACGAGGCATCGTGATACAGGAACCCGATCCTGAACCTCCATTCGTTGGGGACCTTCCTCCAGCAACTGGTAGGGTACAAGGCATCGTGATACAAGAACCCGATCCTGAACCTCCATTCGTTGGGGACCTTCCTCCAGCAACTGGTAGGGTACAAGGCATCGTGATACAAGAACCCGATCCTGAACCTCCATTCGTTGGGGACCTTCCTCCAGTAACTGGTAGGGTACAAGGCATCGTGATACAGGAACCCGATCCTGAACCTCCATTCGTTGGAGACCTTCCTCCCGCAACTGGTAGGGTACAAGGCATCGTGATACAGGAACCCGATCCTGAACCTCCATTCGTTGGAGACCTTCCTCCCGCAACTGGTAGAGTACAAGGCATCGTGATACAGGAACCTGATCCTGAACCTCCATTCGTTGGGGACCTTCCTCCAGCAACTGGTAGAGTATAAGGCATCATGATATAAGAACCTAAACCTCTGTTTTATGGCAACCCTCCACCTCCTGGTTCAACTCCAGAAACAAAGATTAGGATTTGAATTTTAATCTCCTGTCGACGTTGTGCATTGGAATGGCGAATAATAAAAGCTTCTTACAGTTATGTGCATATTTGTGCTGCGTTACATCTATTTGCTATGCTAAATTTGGCATTCTCAACTAATTTTGGTTATAAATATTCAGCAAACTCATGCAGAGAGCAAATAAATTTAAGCATGCAATCAATCCTGTCAATTGTCATCACTCATCAACATAATTTTGTTTCCATAATGCTAACCTCCAAAAATCAAATTCAAGAACAAACCGTGTCAAACCAATTGTAATTACCGAGAATATATATAACCCGATAAAAATTTCTTTTTTTCTACCCAATTAATGTGACTTAATGAAATACTTCCCCAATTATTCCAAAAAAAAAAAACCTCCCCCAAAGAACCACTTAACGTCACAAAACATTAATAAACAATAAATAAGTCCAAATGATAAAAACTATCACATCCCCTCTTCTTTTTTTTTTTTTATGGAATCACATCCCCTCTTCTTGAGAACAACCTTGCACTCAATGTTGAATCTCTGCATACTGGTTCAGCTTCCTTGTCTCCTATGCCTCATCCTCAGGCTCATCCTCCCAGCGCCCAACAAGAGTCATCAAGTCCGGTTTCACGCACTGGTGCCGAATGTAAATTCCTTATTGGAGTTGAAGCATTTCCTTTTCCACCTCTTCTGCTCAATTTTCGCCGATGACATCCTGACAAGCCCCTTCGAAGGAACTCGATGTCCCGATCAAACTACATCAAGTGTTGTCGCGACAATTGGAGTTGACCTCGCGTCCCCCCCAACTACGTCCCCTCCTCCACCACTAGCACTCTGGCAGTAGTGTTGCTACTCCCTCCTCCACTAGGCTTCTGGTAGCGGCCTATGGTACTCCTCCAGCTCGCTATCTCTTCCTCCTTGCCCGCATACCTTCTTGGCCCTGTCCACTCCTCTTGTCTCGCATCCTAGAACCGTCTAGACTATCTCCTGTCAACCTCAGGAGTTATCAGGGGGTGGATAAAAGGCATCTGAGTCGCCTTGGAGACCCCTCAAATTCGCGGCTCCCTTGATGTCCCAATTCCGCTCGGATTGGTTCGTGTTGGCCCGTGTCCAGCAGATCTCGATCGGCCATCTACCACGCCCTAACCCCGCCTACGGTCGACCCCACTCAGGCCATGCCCCCAACTGGTCCACCAAGCTTTGTTGTTTTCTTCTTGGGCTCGATCCATGCCTAATCAAACCTAGCCCATTGCAGTCTCTCGCACATCCTAGCCCTTCTCACGCCATCGGATGACTCTCGAGAATAGGAAAATAGCTAGATCAATTAGGAATTTATCCAAATTAGGGATTAGAGAAGAGTGGAGGAATTGGGATTTCAGAAAATTGAAGAGGGAGGAAGAAAAGTTGCGGTAGCAACTAGAGAAAGAGGGGAGGATTCGGCTTGGGTAGAGAAAGAGAGTAGGTTTAGGAATTTCAATTATGTAATTTGCTTAATGAGTAATCACGCTAATTACATTATATATATATAACTTGATAAATTCTTTTTTCCTACCCAACTAGACAACTAATGTGACATAACGAAATACTTTCCCAACTATTCCCAAAAACTCCCAAAGAATCCCTTAACGTCACAAAACATTAATAAACCACATATCAGTTCAAATCCACATATCAGTTCACATGATATAACCTGCATGCATATATTCGTGTTTTCAATAAAAGAGACAACGAGAGAAGGAAGACGAAGTGGAAGGACTTGCTTCATGGATCGTCTTCTTTATTCCATCGTATTCATTAGTCAAGTGAAAGGAGCAGCTTTCAGATTATAGGACGAGCTTGTACTTCTTCTTACCAAGCTGCACAATCTCCCCTGCCTCTTGAACTTTCGACCCTTTCATCAACTCATCAACAACAAACTGCATCAACTTCACATCAACAGCGCACTTTGCACGAATCGTTTCGCGACAAAGCTCGAAAGCAAGCTGCAGCTCACCCATCTCACAGAGAAACGGTGCCAAAGTCTCAAAGTTGGCCTTAAAGGGTGCAAGCCCGTTCTTCTCAATCTCGCCATACCAACGCTTAACAGCTTCCAAGTTGTCGTCTTTGACATACCCCTGAATCAAAGCACTGAAACTGTGGACATCAGGTTCAATTCCCTTGGTACCCATTTCATCAATCAGCTTCTCCGCTTCCTCCGTTCGCTTCACCAATGCCAATCCAAGCATCCTCGAATTATAGCTTACGATATCAGGAGCAACATCCATTTCCGCCATTCTATTCCAGGTGGACTCGCCGTCGTCAAACCTCCCATTTCTGTAGAACGCACTCATCAGCGTATTGAAACTAACCACATCTGGGCTCACGCCTTCCTTCACCATCTCATCCATGGTGGAAGCAGCAGAGTCCAAAGCACCCATCTTGCAGAACCCTTTCATGTTCGTGTTATACGTCACCACATCCAAAAGCAATCCCCAGCTTCGCGGGCAGATCCTTGACGATGGCGTCGATTTGGTCAAACTTCTCCGAATCGATGCAGGGCGAGAGCAGCGCGTTTAAGGAGTAAACGGTTCGCGGGCAATTTAGGCCGGGCAATTCGTCGAACAGCTTGCGTGCTTGTTTGAACATGCCCACCCTGCCGTAGATGACGATGAGCGGGGGAATACTAATAGAAGGCGCCGCAGAGGCGGCGGTAGACGGACTGCGGCTGCACTTTGCTTATAATGGTAATGGTCTCCGGGGGAAAAGGGTTTCAACTTTCAAGGCTTAATAGGATTTTATGAGACAGAGAAGCAGAACCAAAGGAGTTTATGAGCTTTTACCACTTCCTTGCTGCTTACTCCAAAAATAAACCTAATGAGCCATTTCTTCAACTTTACCAAACTAATGCGGACCACCAGATCTTCAATTTTACCATTTTTCGAACCGATGTTGGAGATGAAACAATGAGACTGATCATGACTGCTCGATAAGTCACCATATCACTGAAGGTTTGAAATCAAATGCGGATAAATTTGTAGGTTCAACAAGTGAAGCTCAAGCTAAGATGCATACTACCAAGAAACTGCAATAAAAAATGGAGAGGAAGTCGCAGCTCTTCATTAAGCTACTCCAGTTGAAGGCAGACACAGTTTACTGTACTGATAGTACCCGTTGTTCATCCCAAGCGCCACCACCTCCTCAGCTTCCTTCACCTTCCCTGCCTTCGCCAGTGCATCCACCACCCTCTGCAACAGCCCTTGATCGACCAGCTGTTTCGTCCCGAAAATATCCATCGCCAGTTTAAACCCAAACCCTGCGTCGTCGCCCTCCCCACAGACAAACGGTATCAATGCCGCAAAAGTCATCCTGTGAGGTTTACACTCTCGGCTCCTCATTTCGCCATACCATTGCTTCGCAGCCTCCACGTTTGCCTCGTTCACGAACCCCTTAATCAAATTGTGCCAGCAGATCGCATCAGGTTCGAGACCTTTCTCTTTCATTTCGACCACCAATTCGACTGCCTCTTGTGCTCTCTTCTGCTTAGCCAGCCCCATGAACTTGGCGCTGTAGCTCTTCACATCAGGGGAGACATTCTCATGCTTCATCAATCGAGCCCAAATGGCATCTCCTTCATCAAAACGCGAATTTGAGTAGAACCCATCTAGCAGGGTGTTGAACGTGACGACATTAGGTTGGCAGATTTGCTTCTCCTCCATCTCATCGATCAGTGAAGCAGCTGCATCAAGAGAACCCGCCTCGCATAATCCCTTGACGACAATGTTGTAAGAGAAGACGTCGGGTTTGATCTCCATCTTCGCCGGTAATTCCTCGAACAGCTCCTTGGCCACGTCGTACTTCTTGGAGTGAACTGCAGCGGCGAGGAGGGCGTTGAAGGACAAGACGGTTATTTTGCTTGATCTCCCAGGCATTTCGTCGAACACCTTGCGGGCGTGCTCGAACATGCCTGCATCGCCGTAGAGCCTGATCAAGCGGACGTTGAAACCTTCCCTGGAGACGTCAGGGTACTTCTTCTGCTCCTCCAGGATCTCCTCGATCCAGTCGTGGCGGTTGGCTCGCATCAACCGGCGGACGGTTTCTTCGTAGATGCCCCACCTGGCGCGGAATCGCCTCTCTTTGGAGGACTCCTTGAACATTGCGACTAGGCGCTCCAGGCTACGCGCCTTGTAGAGCTCCTTGACTCTCCCGGATTTCGTAGCGACAACGGCGGGAGTTGTCACGGGGGACGATCCCCCGGCCACAGTAGCGGCCGGCGCCGCCACGGGCGTCTTGGTGAAGAGGCCGTGGAGGCGGCTGGCGGTGGACCTTGTCGTTGTGCTCATTTTGGCTTCAAGTCTCTCGTTTTCCCGGACGACGCAAACAAAAGGGAGTATGAAGCTTAGGAATCTGCATTTTGGGCTCTTCGCAGCGGTTTGGGCTTAAGATCACAAGAAGAGGCCCGTAGCAAATGCTTTCTATGAAACAAAAAAAAAATGAAAAACATACCCAGAAATTCTAAAATTGAAATAAGATGCCAAGATCAAGAATATAAATTCTTCAATTAAAAAAGAAAGAATTAAGTGTGTACTGTAGTAGTTTTAGCAAAATTTATAATTTGAGTTCAACTAATGTCCTAAATGTTTCAAAGATATTATTCAATTCATAGTTGTTGAGCTATATAGTTATTATTTTCGATTCCATGGTAAGACTATTAATGGATTGGCTAGTTCTCAATTATCCTCAAGGAAATTGTGCCTGAATCGATAGTTCTCGTTGCGGTCTCGATGCCTAACCATAATTTTGATCAGAATGTGCTATACTCTGTTACAGAAGTGAATCATCCTATTTCCTCTCACCCCCTGCAGCTACTTTGGCTTAATGAATTGCTCATTTTATGGTCTCTTGCAGTAGGGGTAAGGTTTGATTCATTGCCCAACAAGGCAATGTTAGGCTTCTGCGTTATAATACAAGGAAATCGTTGTTAAAAAATGAAATAAAAAAGAACTTGATCAACCCTGGTTGGCATAAACAACAGTAATCCACCTCGAATAAGGAATGCTAATCCTGTTGTAACTCCAGTGGGAATGAATCACAGTTAGAGCTCTCGTTGCTGAGCCGAAGAAATGGCGACAAGGAGCTTTGTTTCGACAGTAGATGAACATTGGGAAAATGGGGAGTAGAAGCATTGACAATAACAGCATAACGCTTTGCAGAAACAAACTATTTTCATGGGCTCCTTCAGTTGCAGCTCCAAATGAAACATACCCGTCTAAACCAAACCTCCAGTTGGCTTACTCCTCTGTTGGCACCTTCAGTTTATAATGAAAGTAACCACAGTTGTTTCCAAGCTGCACAACCTCCTCTGCTTCCTCGCGCTTCGACTTCTTGGCTAAACAGTCCACCACTCGCTGCAACAGCTTCTCTTCAACTAGCCTCTTCGCCTTGAAAATGTCTTTAGCAACTTCCGAAGCAAAACCCACATCACCCTTCTCATAAGCAAAAGAAACCAGCCTTGCGAAACCAAACCTGTCGGGTTTGAACCCAGCTTCCTGCATTTCTGCGTACATTCGCTTCACTTCCTCCAAATTTCCCTCCTTTATAAACCCTTTGATCAGGAGACCAAAACTAACGGCATCAGGTTTGAATTCCTTGGTCTTCATCTCTTCAAGTAACTCGACTGCTTCTTTCGTTCTCTTCATTGAAGACAACCCAAGCAACTTGGCATTGTAGGTTCTAACATCAGGAGAAACTTCTTTCCCCACCATTTTCTCCCAGACTCTATCCCCATCCTCGAGTCTCCCATCTGTATAAAGCCCACTTAAAAGTGTATTGTAAGTAATCAGATTAGGCACCAAACCTTTGGCTTCCATTTCATCAAGCAGCTTCACTCCCGAGTCGATGGAACCCATCACCTGGCAATAGGCCTTCATCAGGGTATTGTAGGAGACAACATCGGGCTGAATCTCAAGCTTCTTCGGCAACTCCTTGAACAACTCGTCGACCTTCTCCAGCTTCTTGGAATTCAAACACGCCGCGAGAAGGGCGTTGAAGGACAGCCCAGTCTGCTTGCAGTTTCTGCTGGGCATTTCGTCGAACACCTGCTGTGCCTGCTGGAGCATCCCGGCCTTACCGTAGAGAGAGATCAGGCGGGCGTTGAAACCTTCCTTGGAGATATCCTTGAACCGCTTCTGGTCCTCGAGAACCTCCTCGATCCAGTTGAAGCATTTCGCGGAGGCCAGGCGGTGGATGACGTCTTCGTAAATGCCGATCTTGGTGCGGAAGCGCGGGTCTACCGAGCTCTTCTTGAACTTTTGTACAAGGCGCTTGAGGCTGCGCTCTTTGTAGAGGCTCTCGGAGAGTGCTTTGAGGCTGGGCTCGACGGCAGCGGCTGTTGTGGTCGTGGTGGCGGCGGTCGTTGTGGCTGTGCAGTAGGCGCGGCGGAGGACGCGGGCGAGAGACGACATTTTTAAGTTTTGGAGCAAAGGAGTGATGGGTCATGGGAGTTCAGTCCCTCGGGTTGGCCAACGAGCGAAATAACTGTAGGAAAGCTATTGGACTTGCGCGGTTTCTTTTAGGCCTTTGGGCCGTCAAAATGAGCCTCCTCACGGAGCATTAGGGCTTTTTTTTTATTACCATTATTAGGGCTTTAGGGTTTAAGGAATTGAGATAAATGTTACACAAAATTATAGTTTTAAGCACTCAAAACCTAAATCACAGGAAAAAATTGGAAACACAATGACATGCTCTTCATTGGATAATTTTAACTAATTTTCATTATTTAATTGAGTGGTTTTTTTTACAACGAGGCCTACTAAACCTGGGATCACGTGCAATCAATTCGATCATTTATATGAGTATGGATGAGCTCAAAAGCACTTTTAATAGTTTTTCGTTCTAGGTTAGGTTTGATTTAGTCCAATTTGGAGGAGAGCCAAATTTGTCTATGTTTGTCCAGATGATTGTGAACACCAAACGATAATGTGGACTATCTTGCTAATTCTTTTCAACCCAATTATTTTTCCCACATTTCTAGTTGTTTTAGGAGAAAGAGAAGGCAAAAAAATGCATTATAATTGGATATTCATTTTCTTTTCATAACCCAATATCATGGGTCTAATTTAACCCAAACTAAAAATTGGAATATGAGTCTAAATAAAAAATTATATAACCTAAACTTGATTTGGCCCCTACTAAATTGAGTTTGGATATTACCTAGATTTTGAATCTTTTTTTCGCAATCCTAAATACGCTTCACAATTTCAGTTAGAGAAATAAAAGTTGCAATGAATAACGAGAATAAAACACAATAGATAATTCATCTTGCTTCATGGCAATCAATTTGTAACATACGAAACAGACAAACAAATAGGCGATCTACCAAGACCTACTGAGCATGCCATTGGCAATAAGATATGTGTCATTGTATGAGTAGTCTCCTCTTCATAAAAATCTATTTTACGGGCTCAGTTCTCTTAGCTTTAGTCTACAATGTATCACACAATTGCCCGCATTTCATCTTAAAATGTGCATTCTCATCTTCTAATAAAATTAAGTAATTTTTGTGGTCGGACTATCCACTTATCACTTGTTTAGAAAATTTGAGATTACTGAACAAGTTCACTAGTATTTTTTAGCTCTTTTAATGAAACTCCTCCAAGTTTGATCTATGTTAAGTATTAACAATGGGAGCTCTCTGCCTTCCATAATCCAACTTCTATGGGAGGCAAAACTAAAGTAAAAAAACAGCCTCACTACTGTGAATCAAAACAGTTGGCTTATTATGAGTTAGTTGCTTCAGATGTGTGATATAAACACAACCAATTTGGCATGGAAGAATATGGCACGCCTCAGAGGAACTGTTACTTGTTGACTGCAACTGATTCGAGCTTGAGTTCACTTCCTCACCTCACTTCACAGAGCATATGGCGATCACCCATATCTCACTCACGCACTTCTTGTACTTTCATGTTTGGGGACCAGAAGAAATAATAAGATGCCATAAACCCAATTATATCTCTTGTAAACAGAGAAAGAAAACAAAATGAAATATCTTTGTAACAATGCTAATTATAATAGCTAAAAATAAATTTGCGATTGTATATACCGAATAGGGCGCAGATGTTGAGAGTTTTTTTCCGAAGACAAATGCAGTAAAAAATAAATACTAAGGTTAACAGAAAATAAGATTATGAGAAATAAAAATCCAATCAGAATATACTATGAGTCCGCAAAATCATGTATAAATACCATGATCCAATTTGACATGTAGATCGTTGTTACATTTTATAGTTCAACAATTCACTTACATACCCACGAATCATGTTTACTCTTTTAGTTCAATAACTCATCTTATTTCGAGCTTAATTAAACATGGTAGCTATTTTAGTATTTTTACCCATTTTTACCATAGGAAATGGAAAGAAAGAGAAGGAAAAACAGAGGTCAGTTTCTGCAGTGACTGACTGCAACACAACTGACCATTATTCCCTTCCACAATCATTTCCCAATCTCCCTGTGACTAACTGTAATATATAACCAACCAAACCCCAGCTCTCAATAAAGGACCCAACTTTATAACTGCAAAATCGAAAACAGAGCAAAAAGAGGAAAAACAGAGGAGGTAGCACTAGCAGCCATGGAATTTGTGGCCACAACCATGAACGAGCTATGCACCGAGCAGCAAGTCTGCAGCCGGAAAAGAGCTCCGGAACTCCGCTACTCCGACGACGAAACCAAAGGCTACAAATCCAAGAACCTCATCGCCGAGAGGAAGCGCCGTCAGAAGCTCACCGACCGCCTCCTCATGCTCCGAGCTTCCGTCCCAATTATCACCAATGCCAGTCTCCAATCTCTCTGTCTCCCAAAAGATTCCCAGTTCCAAATTTCTTCGCCAATTAACTTTTCTGGGTTCGGCTGGTTTTTGCAGATGAACAAGGCGACGATCATAGACGATGCCATTACTTACATACAGGAGCTGATGAGGAATGTGGAGGTTTTGAGCGACCAGCTGGACGCTTTGTCGGCGGAGGAAGCAGCCGAAGGTTCCGAATCTCCGGCGACTGTCTCCGCTGAGATCAAGAATGAGGATGCTGCTGCTGGTGTCGATCCAGAGGAGATGAAGACTTGTGGGATTCAGGTCTGTGACTGTGGCAGAGTATTACTATTACTATACGATCAATGTGACCGATTGAAACGAAAGTTGTGTGTGTCTCAACAGGAGGAAGTGGAGGTGATGCAGATTGAAGGGAAGAAGCTGTGGGTGAAGATTGTGATGGGGAAGAAGAGAGGGAGGTTCACCAAGCTGATTGAAGGAATGACCAAGTTAGGTCTCCAATTGACTCATACCAGTTTGACCACTTCCAAAGGAGCATTCCTTGTTTCATCCTGTGTTGAGGTTATCACATATGTTCTTAATTAGGATTCATTAGGATATTATAATGGATTCATTAGGATATAAGTGGTTCTGAAACTTTCCTATGTTGTTCTTTCTTGTGTGTTTTTCAGGTGGTTTGTGAAGAGATGGCAATGGTTCATCAAATCAAGGAGTTGCTGATACAGATTATGAAAGGAATATGAAGAAATTGAAAATGAATTAACAAGTTTTGAAAGGAGATGGATTAACTTAATTAATTGCGGAGGATGGTTTGTTGAGCTTTGTAATTGTCACCATTGTTGGTCTACCGAACGACATAGAGCTTCACCTAATGCTTAAGGGATAACAAAAAAAAAGTTTAGAAACTAGATTGGAGACATAATTTGATTGGGAAATGTTAGTTCATAATCTACTTTATAGATCCGATGTTCCATCCATCAGTCCGTTGATAATCATCCAAAACAAACAGAAATGATCTTTGTCCTTGAATTTCCAAACTAAAATGACAAAATCCTCAAACTCAAGTTTTTGGAGAGTAATTTGCGTAAGAATCTGATACATTGTGCTCGTAGAATTTCTCAAATCTTTACATCCTCAAAAACTACGTATATGTCTTGATAATTCTGATTTCTAAATGAGTTAATAATATCATAGGCTATTCAATTTTAGGCCTCTAATACTTCTGACATGAAAATTTTCGATATTATGACGTAAAAAAAAATCAATTAACCTTGACAATTCGAATTTTCGGATTACCTGGAGAGAGTGCGACTAATCGGCTTTGCCATCCACCATGAAATTCCAAACCAGAAAGAAAAGGACACACAGGCTAAAGTGATGAATCCGTGTGAGCCCAGGACTATGCAGTGACAAAAAGATTGACTAGTCTATGGCCTAGTCCACTGTACACTGAAAGAAACAGACTTGTCAATCTTCAAAAGCTCAAACTAATAATGAAATCCGTGTCCGACCAGGATTCTTGAACACAGACAAAAAGAGACGACTGGACTACATTTTGATTTCTTCCTGCATTCGAAACATTACATTCTCCCCTAAGTAAGCCCTGCTCCAAGCAGCAACGTACCACATTTCTCCCTTCAAAAATTAGACCCCTCCTGGGCTTTTGCTCATAAATCGAGGTCTTGATGCTCATTTCACATTTGCTTTCTCACCTAACTCCCTTTGTTTAAACTTTGCAACCCTGTTACACGGCTGGAAAGTGGAAACACACCAGTCACACACACACATATATATACCACATTGCTACTTTCATTACTCTGAAAGAGCATAAACTAGACCTATACTGAAGTGGGTTCTTTCCACTTCCATACAGCTTGCTTAGTATCAGCTCATCTCTTTGTGATAGGATTGGCTCACCCATCATCCCCTGCTTCAAGTCCATCGCCATCATTGTTACCACGAGTTCCGGTCATCAGGAGGGTAGCCGGGCACCATCGAGATCGATCGTTCGTGGGAGGAGACGTGATTCTAGGTGGGTTCTTGATGGCCATCGTTGCAGTCATCTTCTGCTACATAAGGGCAACGAGGAAGAAGAACCAAATGCTCGTGACTCAGCCATGAAACAGGACAACATGTTCTACATTTTTAAGACCTTCACGGCTTCACCATCTGCTGTTGTTGAAGATGGGGAAGTGAAGAAATGGTTATAGTTTACTTGTATAGTTCAAAACCAAACTTGATTGGTACACGTGACCAATAGGATCTTGGAGATCTGAAGGATAGAGATTGAGAAGGGTTGGTATAGATAGGTACTTATGGAGATGGTAATCGCTTAATAGTTTCAACATGAAATGGTAATGTAGTAGTGTCTTTAGGTTTTACTCGAGTTTCTTAGTAATGATTCCTTTCTCATGTATCGAATTATGTTTCTTGAAGCCTCTTATACTTGATTGATTTGTTGTTGAAAGTAGGTAAGTGACAGTGGTCTTTATTTTTTGGGAAAATTTTGACAATGGTTATTGGTATGAGTATAGGTAACCAAACTTGGAAAGTGCACATGATGATTGATGACTGAGATCAAAAGAGCATAGGTTTTTCACCAAGCTTTCTTGCTAATGTTTCCACTCTCAGTGTATTGGACTATGAATTATTCATTTATTTGCTTAAAACCTCCAAAACCTTGATAAAGTTTGAATCAAGGTTTGAGAACATGAGAAGAAAGATTTTGCTACATCCCTTACTTGTAGAGAAGGTAATAAGTTATTGCTAAGCCAGAAAAGTCATCTCTATTCTTCAAGTTTTGCCAAGTTTCTAAATATATGTATGATTGGCTTGAAGTCTTTGAAACTTGAATCGATTTCGAACGAATGGTAAGACACGGTTAATCGCACTAGCATTATATCCTAAAAAAACGAAAGATATCGACCCCCCTGAGCGAATCTGGTAACTTAGAAGTTTGTTCTGGAGTAGAGTAGAGAGCCAAAAAGGGAAGAGATTCAGAGTTCAGAAGACAGTCGACAACTTGCTGGAAATCATCCATGGAATCCGGCTTTTTTTTCAAGTGAAAGAACTCCAATCATGGCTCTGCCTCATAAACTCTAAAAGGAGTAGAATCTGTGGCATTGTGGTGGTAGGCTAGTGTAGCAATATCAGGCTTTTTCCTATAAAAAGATGGGCTCTCCACTAGCTACTTACCCTAAACAATTTTAGCAGCTAACAACCTTACTACTTACCAGAAGTGGCTTTAACTTGGCATTCACAGAACTGGTCTGAAATTTGGTCACTTCAATTAAGACCATAATTTACTCATTTTTAGCTTCTAATCACTCCATCTTCCCCCCACTAATTGCTCCCCTAATTGCAAGTATAGATGAAATTTAAGGAAGACAATCATCATCCATCCAAACACAGAAGATCTTTTGGAACTCTATAAACTAAAAATTCAAAATGTTTATCAACAAGAGAATTCAAGAATCCTTAAGCCCTCCGTCCATTTTCCCCCAACCCACCAGAAGTCCACTACCAACATTTGTACAATTTCTATCACTACCCTCTCCTACTCCTTTTTCCCCCACTCAAAACTTTGATTCAAACAAAAGCAAGAGAAACAAAAAGGAAAGAAAAGGAAAAGGTAAAAAGAAGATGAAGAACATAAAGAAAACCCAGAAAGACTGGAAGAAGAAGAAGAAGAAGAAGAAGAAGAAGAAGAAGAAAAATCAAAACCGGTGGAGGGAAGGAAACTTGAAAATTCTCTCTGTCTTTCTCTATATGAAAGTTGAAACCTTTTTTCTCATCTCTCAGCTGCCAATCCCACCATTGCTGTGGATTCCTTCAACAACTCACCTGCAAAATGTCAACCCAACTGAGTAAATCCAATTCAATGCAACCTGGCAAATGGGATTTCACCGAAACGCCTAAAGTCGAGAGCTTTTTGAAGAATTGTACCTTGCTGAGCCTTGCAAGAAGGCGGATCTTCGAACAGAGAAACAGAGAGCTGCTTGCGAGCGAGACCAATATCGAGCAAGATAACCCCCGAGGCCGGATCGCTGACGAAGATCCCTTTCACGGGGAACCAGAGGAAGAGCTCCTCCTGAGTCAAGCCTTCCATTCCGATGAGCCCGCCGAAGCTGAGATTGGCCCGCAGCACGCTCTCGAAGAACACTCTGTTTTCGAACTTGGCCAAACAGGGGCCGTCGAGCTCGACCTCGAGCCGGCCGGTGGAATCGAGATCGAAGGATTTGACATTGTCGGGGAACAGTCCTCCGGGGAGCCCCTGGCTGTGGAGGAGCTTCTGGAGCGACGCCGACATGCCGCTGCCGGCGGCGGCGGGTGAGAGTGAGAGGATGAGGAGGAGGGAGACGGAGAAGATGATTATGGAAGCCATTGTGGATGGCAGGGGAGTCGACATTTTTTAGGGAGAGGGAGGGGGAGAAAAGGGAAACGGAAAAGGGGGGAGAGAGCAGAGGAAGAGAGAGAGAGAGAGATGATTTGGGAGTTTTTTTTTGGGAGAAAGGAAAAAGTTTTATTGCTTACAGCTTACAGGCAGATAGAGAGAGAGAGAGAGGCAGCTGCTTGGAATTGGATCTTTCGTTGGATGGATTGGAAGGAGAAAGTTTGTGGGAAACAACGCGTTGTAGGGACAGAGGAAGGATTGGAAATTTACGGTTTTGGTCATGTTGGAAGGGTTGCGGTGTGGGCGACGGTTCGGTCCAAAACAAATTGGATTAGATCAAATGGTACATGATTCAAAACTTTGTAGCGAGAATGATTAAGTATGACAACATTATAATGATTTAACACATATCGAACCGTTGTAGAACTTATTAGATTGAAACACTGCAGAAGCACAATTCGATTTGCATTGTATGCTATTTGATCTGGTCAGGCTTCAATTTGATTGTCCCCTCCCCCTTGTTTTATAGAGAATTTGTTGAATCAAACCAAATTGAGTTGATCATTTTTAACACAGTCCAATAGGATTCAGTAGTAGTTACAATCAGTTAAATCTTATGCACATAGCATTTTTACCTAAGTCGATGAATGACACAAAGCACATGCAAATCGATCGATTTGGTTCAGTATTTACTATGGTTCACTCTCGCTCATGCCATGCGCCAACTTGAAATGAATCCATATCAGGCATGGTCGTTACTCGTTACTATTTCAGTTGGTCCCTAAGAACAAAAAAAAACACGATTAAAAGTATAATAAAAAAGACTAACAAATTTCCATCATTTCTGACAACGAGAGTTATACTCTAATTTGGTTCGATCATATATCGAACCAAATCATTACCAAACCATGTATTGGAGATGGGGTGTTTTACTCTTTTGGTTAGGTGTGAGAGGAGAGGACAGGTTTGGAAATCGCGTGCATGTTGAAGTAAATCCCGGGGGTTGTTTTTACTGATTTGGGAGGCGTAGATTCGCGGTGATTTCTCTCTCTCTCTCTCTCTCTCTTTCCGTTATGAAGGATAAGGACGAGGAAAGAGGAAATGAAAGGGAGTTTTTACTACGGCGAGGTCAAAGTAGTTGAAGCAGTAAAAAGGAAAATCCAAACATAACGGCAAAAACGATGCTGCAATGGCAGTGCTTTGCTTTGCATGGATGACTTATTAGGTCTGAGTTTCTGATGCGTTTCTGTTGGGAATCAGAGAGCGACTGCTCAAACCCTAGATAGAATCAACAACAAGAAGTACTACTACTAGACGGGTGAAAAGCACGAGGTTCTCTCCACCAACTTAATTAGTAGTTTTTGTGCTTCCTCTTTTTTTTAATCTTTTACGAGAAAATAGTTTCTGTTGTGAATAAATAGGAAAATAGAGATAAAAACAGAAGGAAATAGGGAATACAATTTATTATGATATGTTTGTAGTATAATTTAGTACCCTAGAAACTTCCCATCCTATGATAACGTCTCCTATTTTGGGTGTTTTTTGGTTGTTCATGTTTCGTATCCTGATAACGTCTCTTATTCTTATCTATAAAGTATAAACATCATATGAGTATGCATGTATCTATACGTATAGATAAAAGAAGTTAGCATTGACGACTACAAAATTTTGATATTATCCATGGTGATGATCATGAGGTGTTTTGTGGTGGTAGACCAAGGATGCTTAGAAAGGTTTAGAATTACTTCATATTATCATTTGGTGGGTAGCAATGGAGTCCGGAAAAACGACGGAGTCATAAATTTAAGAGAGGGTTCGTAGAAAAGAAACCTGATCAGATGGATCCAATTGGTTAAAAACTAAAAGAAAAAAAATTAAATCTCTTCTTATCAATTGTTTTATTTTTCGAATTCGTTACAAATTTTTACATGTATTTTTGTTTTTATCTGTATACAGTTTCGAAGTTCATGAGATCAGCTATCTCCACTTTTGCAACAACAATCTGACTTGGGGTTGGAGCTCACGAGTCACGACTAGGTTTCCCCTATATAAGGTTGCAGTTGCGCTAAGTTGTACCTCTCGTCCCCTCAATGTCTTGCAAGTTCATATGATGATAATAAGTAATAGCATACTAAAAGAGTGTTTCTTTCGTTTAGTTTGCTTGATCATTCGTATTAAGAAACCTTATGCAATAATACGAAATTGAGTAAATACGAAACCGACTCATGTTTTCATCATATGAGAAACTTATAGACAGCTGAAGTATCAAGTGTAGTATACAATTTGTGGGCTATTCTTCCACTAGGGTTTAAAAAAGGGATTTGTATCGAACTCTTGAAATCGTAAAAAAGGATCTTTGAGTATGTGTATTATATAAGGTGGTAATGGAGAGGAGCGGATATATAGAGCTAGCTGGTTTGAAAGATAAAGAATGGCATAAAATTGGGTAATGGACAGAAAGGACCACTTCAGCTTAGCTGCCACCGATATCTTGTTTTGTTCTTTTCTTTGTTATAACCAAATAAAAAATTAAAACAATATTCGTAAAAAAAAAAATTATAATATTCAACGAAAATAAATAAATAAAAACAAACGTCACAGCTAATATTAGCATTATTGCAAAATTCAAACTGTTGGTGAAATAAACAATAAGAATACGAATAATGCGTTTGCATTTCCCCACCTCGTCCGCCGTCTCCATCTCCAAACCAACAGCTCCTCCGCCAATTGGTTTCCCCAAAATATCAATTTCTTTAAAACAAACCACTCCCTCTCCCTTCGATCTTGAATCGAATCAAAATTAATACGAAATTGAACCGAAAGTAAAAAATATATAGGGATTATAGTTGGATTAAAAATACTTTTTTGTGAGTATGTGACATCTGATATTTTTTCGTTCCAGTCAGTTCGTTTGTCCATCCTTAAAAGGTAAATGGAATGAAACAGAAAAAGGAAAAGAAGATTAAAAGAGCAAATGACAATCAATACCGGCAAAAAAAAAATGATTGATTTGTTACTCTTTGTTAGATGGGGTATTTGATATGTGGGTATGAGTCTTTTCAAGATGAGAGGATCGGAGTTTGAGTATAACCTATGAAATTTCGGTATCTGAAATAAAATAAAAGGTATTTATGTAACACTTACGATCCACAAATGTGATGTATACACATGCCTTTAAGATAACTAAACTAAGGGTTAAATTTTCGTACCAAAGTAACTCTTTAATGAAGTTATATATATATAATAATTAGTTAAACTCGAAGCAAGCAGTGTTTAATTAGACACTTGCAATGGAGCGGGGATATATATAGAATAAGATCTACAAGGGAATGCGTTAGCCTGATTACTAACTTTTAAGTAATCACTGTGGCTACTTGGCTATTGATCATTAAGATTTAGATAATACAATCCGAGGGTCCATATTGATGAAGGTTATTTTCGGGTGGGAGCCAGACGATCCATTCTCTCACTCACGCCATTATTGTGGGGCTAAATTAGTGGCCTTTCCGTATTCTCTTTTCTCCTTTCCTTTTCGTTTTTTCCATCAGCGCCGCTCTCAAGAACCTCTCACCGGTGGGGAGAAGCTTCTTCCGTGCACCCATATTGCGTGTCGTCGTCTCCAGTCTTTAATCGGCGGACCGACGATGGTGTCGTTCTCGCCCACCGCTGCCCTCTCTCTCTCTCTCTCTCTCTCTCCCCCTCTCTCTCTCTCTCTCCCTCTCTCTCTCTCTCTCTGGGATACGGCTGTGGCTGGAAAAGGTAAGATGAATAAAAACCCTAGATCTGATTTTTTCGCATTGGTAGTGATTTTTCCGCAGTGGTAGTGTTTTTTTCTCGCATTGGTAGTGATTTTTTCGTAGTGGTAGTGTTTTTTTCCGCATTGGTATTGTTTTTTCCCCATTGGTAGTAATTTTTTCGTAATGGTAGTGTTGTTTCGCATTGGTATTCTTTTTTCCGCATTGGTATTGATTATCATGTAAGTGTATTGCTTTTTATTGGTATTTGTTGACTCTTGTAATGGTATAAAGTGTTTGTATTGGTAGTTTTAGTTTATTGGTATTGATTTATTTATGCAATGGTATTGTTTTGATTTCACAGTAGTAGTGATATTGGTTGTTTTAGTATTTATTTGACTTTTGTAATGGTATGGATTGTTTATATTGGTAGTTTTCGGATAATGGTATAGATTCTTTTTCTGCAATGGTATTGATGTTTTTTAAAATGGTAGTGATTGTCTAATGGATTGGTAGTGATTTCGTGTTTTTTCTTTTGCAGAAAGATTGAGAAAAATATGGAAAGGAGATCTGGCTGGAGATTACGGAAGTGAGAGAAAGAGATTGAATTGTAATTAATAGATTTTTGTAACTACCTAAAATGTAATTTATTAAAATTAATTAATTAATATAATTTATTTTTTCATACCCAATTTACCCTTAGTAACCACGTTGATTACTATTTTGAGAGGGGAGTTCAATTATATTAATTAATGGAAAGTTCTAATAATTATTTCCTGAAATCACGGGGGATAATCTTGAACAGTTCAAACCCAAGTTAGAGGAAAAGACAGCTGGTTCAAGAAGGACTTTGCTTAATGACAACACTTAGTTTTTAATCACGTACGATATATTCTTCGTTAATTAAAGTAATTAATCAATGCTCATATATATAGCTCGTCCGGCCACAAATAGTAGTATATATGTATTGGTTCTGTCGGTTGCTAAAAATTGGCCGAATGATGACGATGTTGGCGTACATTAATCATCATGTTGTATAATAATGCTCAATCAGTCTGTTGGCGTACAAGGATTGTTCGGATGTGATTTTGAAATTCATAGTAATTTCCTTTACATTTCTTATTATTTTTAGTCCTATGGATTTGACACAAAAAAACATGTAATTCTGGGTTATAATGTATCATTGTCGTACATTACAAGGTATAGTGGCGGTATAATACCACTCATTTTATTGTCGTGACAAAATACAGCTGATTTTATCACAAAAATACATGATTTGAGCAAGGATCATCACAATCAGACTGTATTGTGTATTTTGTATGGGCTAACAGAAATTGATAAAACTACAACTTTTAGGTTTATTCGTAAATTTCAACAATATATTATATTATGTAAGGTACAATATTACAATTAGGGTGACATCTATGGTACACCTACAAAGTTTAGTACATATCGTGTACCTTAGACAATATGTAGCCTTTACTAACTCAACGTATAACTCTAAATGCTAACCATTAGTCCCAATAATATGATATAAATTAGAACTACAACTAATCTGTATATTATCTTAAAGTCCTGAACTTAAAATTTCATACCTTACATTCTAAACCATAAACAATTATCCTAATCCCCTAAACACTTAAAACTCTTAAAATACTAGTAAGTTCTAACTGATTTTCGTGCACATTCTTCCACTTTCTTGTTTACATATTAAATTAAGAAATGACGCTTGAGATCTTTTTAACATGAATCATATATAGTTAAAATGATATGATGAGGCAAGTGTATAACATGTAACAATAACCTTGTACTTTTACAATGCACACATTCTTACAATTCTAGCTAGGTAGAAGAAGTAACGATTTCATTAAATACATAGTATGTCACGAACTAAATGGCTAAGAAATGACGCCAAAATTAAGGGGTCGGTGATCGTTAGGTAGATATAATTATAATGTTTGTATTGTTGATCAATTTTGAATTGTCTGTACAAAATACAAACAATACAAGCATTGTTTGATTTGTGTGACAGGAATTGTCATTCATAATGAGTAATAGTTACATCTCATGTTTTATGTGAGATTGTTGAAATAGTTGGTTAAGATTGTTAAGTTTTTTTTTTATTCCAACTATATCCCAACCTTTTAGGGCTGGCTATTTGGTCCGGATATTTTGATTTTACTCGAAACCGGACCGTATAACCCGGACCGAGACAGGACCAGGACCGGATAGTAAACAATCCAATCCAATCTTTGGGCTTAGATTTGAGGTAAAAAAAATACGTTCGAGACCGGATCGAAAACTGGATAAAGACCGGATAAGAGGGCTCAACACCCAAAACTTAAGGGTAATTTGCATATACGGTCACAAACCTTTGCACTTAGTACAAAACTTAACCAACTCCTCATACTTTCAGGCCTTAGGCCACTCAAATCCCCACAAGCTCAATATAAAATCAAGACCGAATTGGGACCTGACAGGGTCAAGACCGGACTGTATCCAATCCAATATTCGGTCCTTATATTTTCTAAAAAACCGGACTAGGACTGGATCAATTTGGGCCAATTTAACCGGACCGGACCGTATAACTACCCTTATAACCTTTTATATGAATTGTTATGTTACATTACAAATATAGGATAAAAATGATATTTCTCTCCGAAAGTAATACAACTTATTTCAATACTGCTATCATAAAAATCAAGCATTATAAACTACATTACATCAATTTCTTTAATTACAAGTATAGTATTATACATGTATTATTCATCCCAATTTAACTATCATCAAAAGCAAACCACCCGTAAATACACTATTTAACTTTCAATGCTACATATACCAATTTTCTTAATTACATGTTTAGTGTTACACAAATAGTATTTACATGTTTAACTATAAATAGTATTGATAATGGTAAGCAAACCACCCCTGAATACTATATTAATCAGAGCAACTGGCTTAGTTTTGCTTTTCTATATGGCTCTTTTTGCCTTGTCTGTCACCAATGATTGAATTTATTTATTTTTCGTACATGCATGTGATTGGAATGTCGGAGGCCCTGACCCAACCCGATCCGACCCGACCCTGTTCATGTATGATTATTCATCAGTTGATACTGCCCTCAGCCAAAAGTTCATTACCATATTAGACATAATCAACATGTATAATTGCTTTTTGCATTGCACTAACATTGATTTATAGTTACGGCAATGCTGCATGTCTTCGATTAGGTCTTCACTCTTCAACAAGCATGTTTCTAACAACATGATGGTTTATTTTGATTTGATTTGCTTTGTTCTTGATTTTTGTGGTACATTTTTGGAGAGTCTGATGATAAATAGGTTAAGTATTAGTAATTCAATAAGTTTGACTAATAAAAAAATGCAGGAAATGTTTGACTAATAATTAGTGTTTACCAAAAAAAAAATACACGAGGGGGACATAGGTTGACTTTTAGAGTTTTAGGTACTACTTAAGGGATTCGAATCTGGAACCTTCAGGTTCACGGTTAGTGGTATTACCACTAGATCAATCTCTTTACCCAATAAATTATGTAGTCATTTGATTTGATAGATTGTGTCGGACATTGTGGCGTGATATTCTACACTCAGTATAAGTACGACCTTGGAACAATCATGAGCGCAATCACTGTTGTATAGGGGTGATCTTTTAAATTTCATTGAGAATAATAAAAAAAAAACGATGCCATTGCAAGTGTTAAAAAAGTACTTTCATTAATCTATCAACTTCTGAGTTAAGTGTTGTTGTTAACGACGCCATTGCAAGTGTTAAAAAATCACGCTTCTCGTCAAATATGTGTGAATGGTTCATGATGGGATACATCGAGAGTGGCATCTATCGAGAGTGGCATCTATTATATTTTAGAACTTTTCAAAATGTGGAGATTTTATCGTGAATGGCTTCAAAATTTTTTTTTTTTTTTTGCAAGCAAATGACTTGTTTTACCTCTATCAGTTAGTGAGTCATTTTATATCAAATTACTAGCGTGGCCCCGGCCATTTGGCCGGACGAAGATGAGGTATGAAATTTGATAATGTAATGGGGTGTATAGATTATTGTTGTATAATTTTTTTTTTGGGAAACACGTGATAAAAATAGTGAATTTTAGTAGAAAAGAGACATGAATGATGCAACGAATCAAAAATCAGCCTTATGAACCAAAATCAAGTACATGTTACCTTGTGAAACAATATTGTTTCTGGTAATATGATGAGGTGGAGTAAGTTATATAGAAACTGAATTCCAGAAAATCGAATAAAAAATCGCATATCCCGCCGATTTTCGGGAAATGAGCATCTCATAATCGTTGCTAGCTTTTACTCGGCCCGTTGGCCGATTAATTTGCTTTATAAAACTTTCATCTTCTCATCATTGTGCTTTCTGGTTTTTTGCCAAGCCATGATAAAATCTAAAGAAATCAAGAATGAACAACACGATTTGGGATAGGAACCACTGTTCCTGTATCCTTAGAAAATGGTGGTAAACACGGACTCACCTGCCACACTGGTTTGGATTGAGATTTTTATAGGGTATCAGAGAACCATGTGATTATAAATTAGACTTGATCAAAATGGGCCAAAACTTGAAATCCAGCTTGTTTGACCGACCCATGCCAAACTCTAATTATTCTTTACTTTTAAACTTTATATTTGAAAATAAAAAATATTGAAAGAAAAGAGATGACTGCAATTCACCATTTGCACATCACTGATTCGGGAATAAAACTATAGAATTTCGAAAGGAAACTGAAAATGTTTAGGATCGTGTTAATGTTAAAAATAACCAAATAGATCTTTCTGTTTAGTTTTTTACTAACAAATACCAAACGATTCCCTATAATATACACTATAATTTAATCATTATGATATCAAATAATTACATAATATATATTTGAAATGATAAAAATTGGACTAATTGAGTTGGTCGAAGTTGAACCATTGAATAACTTTAAAATACATTATATTTTAGCCACTAAGATATAAAATAATAACATAGTATATATTGTGCTAGAGAAAATATCTTGTTTTAGAATGGCAAACCCATGATGTTCATTTGTTTTACTTGATGGGCAAATCCCATGTAGGTCAGACCCGTTCAACTCTTTTATTTTATGATTAGCGGTTAGCCCATTAGAATCCATGCATTAGTTTATTGTTAATTTTTTTCTTTTAACAATAAAAAGGAGTACTGTTTTTGCCTTTTCATATATATATTTTACCACCATGGAGAAATAAAAGGACTTAAAGAAAAAAATTGACACTCCTGGACCCGTTTAAATCCGCATGTGTACGGTAAGTTGGCCCGTTCCACAGAGGAAAAAGAAAAAAATTGACACTCCCTATTCTACTCTTCCTACAAACGCTCCTGGAGCATGGAATTTTAAATGGGGAAGAGTTTTTTCCTCTCTGCAATTATATGTTTTTAATTTAAAAAGATACAACAAATGTACTTAGTGTGATTGGTTATGATCTATGTTTTTCTTTAAAATGGTCATGGTTCGAATCCTAGTAAGTGTCTTTTTAATGAATAAAAAAAAGTAATTGTGAAGACCAAAATGTCCTTCCTACTTTCACTCTAGATGCAGGAAATTTGAAATGGGGCTTCAAATTTTCTCATTTGGCTTTTATTTATTGTGTAGACGTAGATTCATTCAAAATCCTCAAGAAAAAAAGAAAAAAAAAACGCGTGAATCATTGCAGCTCCAATCAAGATCAAAGCTAATCATGGCCTAGCATGGAGTTTTCCGGTTCATTGGGTCACAAGAACATTTACCGTTTTCAATCTTTCATATGATTATGCTTGGAGAAATTTAGGGGATTTTTTTTTACTGATAGTGAGAGTCACTTTAATATGATGAACAGTAAAAAATCTCCCCTCCCTGATGACTCAGTTTCAGATTTTTGCAAGCAATTGCATCCGATCCTATCATATTCTCACATGTCCCTACGCCATTACTGAGCACCTCCTTTTTTGGTTTCAATTAGAGTGGAAATCGCAATCACACATTCTGGGGATAATAAGTGGCCCATACATGCTTAGGTTAGGCCCAATAAATAATGATCTCTAACAAAGAAGAAAGAAACAAAATATCCTAATACGGATATGAACCACATGGGAGATAAGACCATGGAGTAGAGATGACAATGTCCCTCTAACCCGTTTTATCTCACATGTTTGACTTGTTGTGAGGCGGAGCGGGCATGAGTATTCTCATTGATCCAACCTGCCATGATTCGTCTTATTCTTGACCCGTTTATGCCTAAGTTACATGTAATCTTAGTCACATTACTCAGAATTGTTCTTTTATTACATCATATTTTAACTACAATAAAATTGTAAATTCGTGAAAATCTTGATTTTTCTCCAATAATTTATCTACGTTTATCATATTATGGTTTGTTTCTAGGTCTTGTAATGAAAACAACAAATATTTCTAATACTTTTCATATAATTACATACCCATTGGGTCGACCTGTCCCGACCCGCACCCTATGATAAATTACCCAACCGGGACCCGACCTGCCACGGAGCGGGTATGGATATCGGGATACCCGCCCCTGACCTGACCCATTGCCATTCCTACCATGGAGAGCATATCGCAGCAGCCCTTCCATCCCGAGCATGAGTTCCTACACGAGACGACACGTAATGCCTAATTGTAACAACGTGCATAGTCACACATAACAAATACGCGGTCGCTTGAATGTAGCCTTTCAGATTTTCGAGTTTGTTGCCACATCCTGGACCCGACTTGCCACGAGACGGGTATGGATATCGAGATACCCGCCCCAGACCTGCCCCATTGTCATTCATTCCTACCATAGAGAGCATACCGCAGCAACCCCTCCATCCCAATCATGAGTTCCTACACGAGACGACACATAATGCTTAATCGTAACAACATGCATAGCCACACGTAATAAATATGCAATCGCTTGGATGTAGACTTTTAGATTTTCGAGTTTGCTACCACATCGAATCGTGCAACATATTTTGTGGTAACGCCCAATGAACCATCATTCGTCCAAATAAGATCAATGGTCTAAATCACATCATGTAAGATCATGCCAAATCCTTTCCTCCTTTCTTCTTCCCCAACATAAATAGTTAATCAAGATAACTCAAATGTCACAGACAAGTGATCGAGAAAAACTCTTTTCTTTCTCTATTTTATCTCAATTCTCAAGGTTCAAAATTGATAGTGTGAATGAATGTGGATTTGACTTTGGGTTTTTTCCCCAACGGTGACTTGCGTAATTACCTCACCTCAATTTTCTCAATTAGCCTAATCGATTTAGGGGTCGTTTGGAAGTTGCGATTGTTAGTGTTGTATTTGTTAAATAAATGCATTGTCCACAATATAACGTTTGGAAGTGTCAAGTTGCAAGACAATGCATGTATTGTTTTGTGTGGGTCCCACCAACAATCAACAAAAATGAGAGATTGTACAATCTCAACTAAAAGTTGAGATTGTTGTGATTGTTGGTTTAATAATTGAGCACCTTTACTTTTTTCAATTATGTCCATAGGTTTTTTTTGTTTTATATTAAAAGTGGAGGACAAATATGACATTTCCTTATAAAGTAACTTTATAACAATCAATTCATAAATTATAATCTCAACAACCAAACAATGTAATTTCAAAATGCATCTATTGTATCAATGCATGCATTTATATCATAGTGATTCATAACAATACAACGATTTAACATACGCAACTTCCAAACGACCCCTTAATGAAATGATTCTTTATATTGACAAACAAAGTGATACACAATGTACGCATTCTAATTCAAAGAATGAAGCAATACAAAGAAAAGAGAAAAATAATTAGCCATTGGAAACCTCAAAAAGTCAAAATCAACCCTACCCCATTGTGCAAATAGGAAAATAAAGAGTCCCAACATTTGAGATCTCAATAACAATTAACAAGCCTTATTCAAACCCTCAAATCACTCTTTTGTACACTTCCCATAAGAATTAGTACCATTACTTGATACGACAATTAAGCTCTAGGTTCGAGTCTCAAACGGAGAGAGGAAACTAACTATTACCACGAATCTTCCACATACTTATCCGCCGGCGGGTACAGAGTTAGCGCCTGTTCATCATTCTCCGCCCGCCATTGATACCCCCATGGATCCTTCCTCCTTTCCCCATCATACGGATCATACGAACTCCCAAACAGATAATCAGCCGCCATCTCATTCCACTCTCCTCCATCACTAAACCCACAATCCCCACCTCCCATCTTCCCATAATCATTTTCTCTCCTAAATTTCTCCAGGCACGGCCAATTTCCGAACAGACTCTCGCACAGATCCACCGTCTCCAACCCGTAACCCGCCGGAACAACCCGACCCGCTTCCCCGCCATCAAAACCGTACCCTCCCCCAATTCCTCCATCCTCTGCTTCTGGGATCGTGTGCTTCTCCTCCTCCACCGCCGGAACTTTCGGACTAGTGGGTTGTTTCTCGTTTCCGATTTGGGGCTGTTTTGCAATTGCGGGGGCGGCGGCGGGAATTGGGCCCGCGGTGGAACGAGGGTAGCAGGTGTCGTCGGAGTAGGGGAGCGGCTTGCCGTAGGTTTGTACGAGATCGTAGCCGCCGCCGTAAGGAGTGGGATCGTACTCCTCGTAATCGGTCTCGTTGAAATCCGAAACAGAGTACGAAACAATCGGTCGAGTTTGTTGGAATTCGGAGTAGTGAGTGAAGCTCTCGTCTGGTTCATAGGCGAGGAACAGAGGCTGGCTGGCAGTGGTCGCATAGGCGTGACAGTATGCAGCTGAATTGGAGCTCGAAAATGGAGGATGTTCTTCGACATTGTTGTCGTAGTAAAAGGCTGGATCTTGAACGACTGGAACGTAATCATACTGATAATGATGAGGATAATTGTGGTAATGGGTCGAAGGGTACTCACCGTCGAAGAAGTAGCCACCGTTGCTGTCGTGGTAGGCCATTTTTTTTCCGCCGGAGATCAATTGCTTTGTTCGTCTTCTTCCTTTCGGATGTAAAAGGGTAAACATTATAGAGATACTGTTCGCTACCTACTTTCAGAAGTGTTGTGAACAAGGTGTTGAATCCAGACCATACAAACCTTATCTGAAACAGGGGAAAGGAAGCACAATCGACGGCGGATTACACAAAACCCCTTCCTTTTTTTACCGAACGGAGGTTCAATGATTGTTGAAATTGACTGTGGTGGATGGGAAGGAAGCATCAAGCTGATTCAAGCATGTGCAGTTTTTTGCATTTCTCACGTTTGTGTGTTGTCCCTTTAGAAGGACATGTGTAGCAAGGTCCTACAATAAGATGACGCCATAAGGTTACCTGACTCACGACTCTTGGCTCTAGAGTGTAACCGGGAGGCAACATGGTTGAGAGAGAAACCATGTTATGCAAAGCAAAGACGATCAATGTTGAACCTGGTCCAATCTGGTCCGAAATCAGATTGAATCGAATCAACATAGAGCTAATATCATTATCAACAGAAATGGGAAAATAAAGACCATAGAAGGGTCTTGAACTTGAGAAGCAAATTGAATTATATTCAGTATGTCCGAAGGCGATCCAAATGAAGATTTGATTTGCTCAACTTCTTTGGCCACCGGCCGTAAATCTCTGGACATGGAAACAGATCAAACAATAGACTCAGAACTTACCTATCTGATCCTACAATGCATACAAGATCTGCTCTGGAGGGAAGTCCCAGCTCAAAATCACAATTTGCTCCACGAGATCTGCTCTGGAGGAATGAACCCAAAATCACAATTTGCTCCACGACAAGGAACATCAATCACAGAAGAGAACACCATTGAAAAGCTCAAGGATGACCTGCAACAAAGAGCCATGTCGATATATATTAACTCCACTCTTTCGATTCAAGCTACTAACCATCTACGCAAGGAAGCAGAGGAAATTGACAAACCAATAGAAAATTTGGCATGAAAAATGATGAACAGCCCAAGTGCAGTAACTAACAATGATGAACAGCACAAGGGTAATAAGGTACGTACAGTCTATGCTAGAATTATGCAGAGGGGGATGACTCAGGCGAGCTTGCAGCCTGTGGTTGTGATGGTCTTTTTTGATTAGCAGGCGGACCGTCTCTTCGTCTCTCGTACCTTTTACTCTCGTATTTGGAACTCTTTCGCTGCTTCGGTTGATAAGTAGGGTAAGTGCACGGTATGATCTCCCCATTCACATACTTGTCCCCTACATAACGTTGCAACGATAATACCAAAAAGAAAATAGAGCCATCAATGAATGGATGACATAAATAAATCAGCATCATAGACGGATCAAGCAGAGTAAAGCAAGTGAGCACCTCCATAGTCTTTGTTCTTAACATCTATATAGGAGTCAGGCAGCACCCACAGCACTCCTGGCAAGCCTGCAACAGCTTAAAACTCCCAAGATAGGTATCTAACTAAACAAACAAGGCAGAAAAGGCAAGTAGAGTTCAAAATTGGTGCTACTCTTACTCACCCTTGAATTTCTCGGAGGTAGCTTCATCCACCGTGCACTGAAACCCGGTGTAGGTCGTCGTACTGAAAGCATACATATTCTTCTTTGCCTCTTCCATGCTGAGTTCCAATGCAGAAACCAAATGCAATCAGTGACAGTGCAGACTTCACCAACAATGCCAGTACTTCTAATAGCTCAGAGCTGTGCTTGAACTAAGCATGATACTGGGACTACATCGGATTCAAAGACAGAACCTTTGAGGCTATAGAAGGATCTAACACCATATTAAGTTTCAAGAACATATTGGTAAGTCAAAGACACGACATTTCAACCCATTAAGTGCTCCAATACCATACTGAGGTCCGAGAATCCGTTCATTTCAATGACTCGAGTTAATATTAGGTTGTCTTGTCGAGGTTCAAAGACGCGACCTTTCAGACCATCAAAGACTATAATTTGTATAGCACATATTTGGGAACCAATTTGTCATAATAACTCGAGTTACTCGGGTTGCTCACTGATTCCCAAGTATGCATATCCAACCATTCTTCACGTACTCACATGGATAAAACAGTTCACTACTACTAAGCCAACGGTTCAATCCAATTTCTACCTAATCAAGCTACAAAATCCCTAAATTTTCACCAGCTCAAACGACGGGGAACATTTCAGATTAAGATTGAAACGAAAAAACTATACGAGGAAACCCCGACCTGCCAAGGACGGTAGCGAGAGTATTGAGATAAGTATCGATCATCTGCTCTCTAGTCTCTACTCGGCGCCGGATCTTTGGGGAACTCCATCACAATCAGCCAGTGGTTGTAGTCACAACCGGGCAACATTATCGTCTCCCTCTGCTCGCTGCCGCCGCTGCTCCTCCGCGACGAATAATCGGAGTCCAGGGCGGCGCGAGCAAATGAATGCCGCGGCTGCGAGCGGACGGAGCTCCAATTCCGGCAGCTCCATGATTGAGGTACGGAAAGGGAGGAGGAAGGCGGCAATGACGGTTTGGGGTGAGACAGGGAAGGGGTTAGGGTTTTGGGAGTGAGCGAAGACGAGAGAGTAAAAGCCGCCATTGGAAGCGCGAAGGAATGGTATGAAAATGGCGAGACTGTGAAGAAGAAGAAGATAAAAGGTATTACTATTTAGTTTTCAGGAGATGAGATTTCTTTTTTACTATTTTGCTAGTGGACGGAAGTTCGCCGTCTGCGGAAAACCAGAGAGAGCTGCTCCGCCGTGTCATTTGGGGCGGCGGAAGTGTCCGTAGCCGTATGGGTCGCTTTTTGGGTTGATGAGCAGCTGGACTGTAAAGTTAAGAGAGCCCAAATGTTTAGTGGCTTTTTAAGCCCATTATGTTAAGATATCTGCTTATCTCAATCTGTCCAAGCCCACATGTATAAAAAAAATATTTACTATATGAGTTGATAATGAATAAGTCTATAGCCTCTAGACTTTAATTTTTTATAGATAAAAGTGATATAGGTTTATTATTTAATAGATTGAATCTGTGATTTTCATGTTTAAAACTAGTGATATTATCACTAGAGCAAGTCTTTGTTCGTCTCTAGACTTTTCATTTCAAATCCGGTTTCGAACATTATATCTTCCTATATAAAACAAGTTATTATAAGTTAAGTTTCGAACATATAATAACATTTTTTATAGGAACATATAATAAATTTTAGTTGGCATTTGAAAGGGAGTTAATTATCTAGATAATTTGTGAATTTATGCTAAAATTATTCACTATGAACTTGTATTTAGGTATTTTTTAGAACTCTTTCGGTACACCTTTCAAGAATTTTGTATGAAAATTTAGACTTGATCCATTTTATCTTACTCATTTGATTTGGTTTGCGACGAGTAATACCCACATCGTAGACAGAACGAAACATATTTGAGTGTTCTTCTCAACCTCACTCATTTCATTCTCAAATTAATTTTTTTTAAACTATATTAAATTTTAATCACTTTATTTTAATTTTTAATTTTATTATCTCGTATTTTAGCTAAAATAAAGTTTTAGAATCATAATTTCTCAATTATTTAAGTATATTTATGATTTTAGATATCAAGATACTCGTCCGGACTTTACTTGTCAACCTGGTTTAGCCCGTTAGCCCGGTTGAGGGTTAATGATCCAATCGCTTTAACCCGGTTTGGCGCAAATTGGCCCGGATATATATAGAAAAAAATTCATTCTATTATTCATTCATGTAAAACATTTAGTAATTTTTTATAGGAGATAACTAATAACTACACCAAAATAGTTCCTACTTGATGGCAAAATATAGTGAAAATTCAAACACTTAAATCCATCATATCTCATCAATATATATATTATATATACATGGTCAACTTAGAATAATTAATTAGTTTATATATACCATCAAAATAAAATAATTTATTAAATAAACATATTTTTTTTCAAAAGATATCATATATTAATCCAATCAAAAAGATAGTTACATCCCGGATAGCAGTCAGGCCCTGAAATCAAAGAAACGATTTACAGTCGGGTACAAAGAGATGGCTTTTCTAGCTACCGAATGAGCTACCCTATTATTCTCCCGACCTACAAACCGCACACTAAACCCCGGATGGGCACGAAAATACTGACAAATCTCGTCCAGGACTGCCCCCAAGTGACTGTCGCTCGTGTTGGCTTGATTAATCTTGTCAATATTGACCTTTGCATCACCCCCGAACCTAACTTCAGACAAGCCACACTCTAAACACCAGATGATAGCCTCCCGAAGCGCAAGCAACTCCACTACCAGTGGCTCCTCAATTTGCGCAAATTGCACACCTTTAGCTCGAAGGAGCGTCCACCCCGGATCAAAAAGAACCATCCCACCAGCCGAATGTGACCCCCGCCTAGTGGCCCAATCCCACATACAAACCAGACGAGAATCAACCACTTGGGTCTCTGGTTGGACCACCGGGCAGGATATTCTCAGGGCCTAGTCAACTGGCAGACCCTCCCATTCCTCGTCCTGCTGGTGAAATTGACGCATTAAAGCCGGGATCCCAAACTGTTTGCCTTCAAAGACAACCCAGTTCCGCGATCGTCAGATCCGCCAAAGGATGGCAACCACAGCCATAAACAGCGACTGGTGATGGACAAGGGCGAGCATCCGCTTAAGAAACAACGGAAACGTGTGCCGAGGCAAACCCTCCCCTAAATATTCCAATCCCGAGTAGTCCCAGAGAGCCCGCGCGACCGGACAGTATAGAAACATGTGCTCCATAGTCTAGGGACCATCCCAACAAACCGGACACCGGGGTACCACATGAACCTTCTTTTCAATGAGAGCCTCGGTGGTTGGCAGAGCACGATGAAGAATTTGTCAGACAAAGACTTTCAGCTTAGGAGGAATCTTAGCCTCCCACAACCGGATCCAGCTTGGCCTATCCATCCAACTAACTGAGGCCCGCCACCCACCCCTCCTCCTGTCTAGCTCAACTGCCAAATGATAGGCCGTCTTAACCGAGAACACCACATCAGGTGTGTTATGCCAAATCAGTTTATCATCCACATTCTGCCGCGTAAGTGGGATAGCCTTAATGGCTCAACAGGTAGATGGGTCAAACCATTAACTAAGCTTATCCTCCGCCCAACGCCCTTCCCCTTGCCAAATTACCTCCGCCACCAAGGGATCCCCCCATCTGGCAGGACCCGGGGACTATAGCAAGGGGGATCCAGCTGAAGCCCAGGGATCCAATTAGAGTGGATAAGGGAGGCCGAAAGGCCATTGCCGATCTGCCATATTAAACCTGCCTCCAATAACTGGCGCCCAAATATGATACTCTGCCATCCCCAAGAAGGGCGTGAACGAGCTGTAGTAGCCAGAAAAGTTCCTTGAGGAAAGTACTTCCCTTTATACACCTTAGCCAGGAGGGATTGAGGTTCGTTGAGAATACGCCAGCCAATCTTAGCTAAGAGAGCTTGGTTAAAATGCTCAAACCGGCGAAATCCCAAACCCCCATCATGCTTACTCCTGCAAAGGTGACGCCAGGACACACACCGAATCTTGGGTTGGCCCTCCTCAGCTCCCCACTAGAACCGGGCCACATGTCTATCCAAAAGACGACAAAGAGAGAGGGGCAACCGGAAACACGACATAACATGCAGAGGCAAGGCCAAAGCTATTGACTTAATTAAAGTCTCCTTTGCCGGCCAGGACAATGTCCTTTGCTTCCACCCCAGGAGACCTGCCAGCAATCTACACATACTATAATACACCGAAGTGAAAAACGGGAGCCCCATTTCAAATTTCCTGCAACGAGAGTGAAAATAGGAAGGACATTTTGGTCTTCACAATTACTTTTTTTATTCATTAAAAAGATACATACTAGGATTCGAACCATGACCATTTTAAAGAAAGACAAGGATCACAACCAATCACACTAAGTATCTTTGTTATAACTTTTTAAATTAAAAACATATAATAGCAGGGTGGAAAAAACTCTTGCCCCATTTCAAATTCCCTGCTCCAGGAGCGTTTGTAGGAAGGGTAGAATAGGGAGTACCAATTTTTTCTCTTTCCTCTGTGGAACGGGCCAACTTACCGTACACATGCGGATTTAAACGGGTCTAGGAGTGTCAAGTTTTTTCTTTATACCCTTTTATTTCTCCGTGGTGATAAAATATATATGAAAAGGCAAAAATAATACTCCTTTTTATTGTTAAAAATAAAAAATTTAACAATAAACTAATGCATGGAGTCTAATGGGCTAACCGCTAACCATAAAATAAAAGAGTTGAATCTTGAATGGGCCTGACCCACATGGGGTTTGGCCATCAAGTAAAACAAATGAACATCATTGGTTTGCCATTCTAAAACAAGCTATTTTCTCTGGCATAATATATATTATGCTATTATTTTATATCATAGTGGCTAAAATATAATGTATTTTAAAGTTATTCAATGGTTCAACCTCGACCAATCCAATTATTCCAATTTTTATCATTTCAAATATATATTTTATAATTATTTGACATCATATTGATCAAATTATAGTGTGTTTTATAGGGAATCGTTTGGTATTTGTTAGTAAAAAACTAAACATAAAGATCTATTTGGTTATTCTAAACATTAAAACGATCCTAAACATTTTCAGTTCCTTTTGAATTTCTATGGTTTTATTCTCGAATAAGTGATATGCAAATGGCGAATTGTAGTCGTCTCTTTTCTTTCACTATTTTTTTTTCAAATAGAAAGTTTAAAAGTAAAGAATAATTAGAATTTGGCATGGGTCGGTCAAACAGGTTGAATTTCACGTTTTGGCCCGTTTGTTTTATGCATTGCAAATTTATTGGCATGTTGATGGAAATGGCTTGGAAAAAAGACATATAAGTTGTACCTTTGCATAAATGTCCTCAAATGTTTGAATGCTTTGTGAATCAGGTTCCGTGACTTTTGTGATGGTGTATGTGTTTGACAATTGCTCGATGTTGTAACTACTTAATTTGAGAGTAAATCTTTTGATTTTCCCTATGAGTTGTGATACCAGTTCTGGTGGTTGCAGCATGTTGTCGTTGTTGGCCTGTAAAAGTTGTTCCTCCGTGATGCTAATTACCTTTCTTTCTTTTTTAACAAATTGTGTAGTAGTGCTATGAAACAGACCACCCATGAACGCTACGCTTATTATGGTACGTTCTTACTTCCGGTGGTGAGAAATTGTGAATTGAGAATCATATTCGCCTACCGCACTATGTCTGGCTGGTGGCTGCTTACTGTGCTCTCTAGAGTTATGAAACAGACTACCCATGAATGTTACCCTTAAGAGTCCATAACTTTGCGAAAAACCAAATTTAGGCAATCAAAGGTGGTGGATGTGTGATGATTTTTTATGGCTTAATTGTTTGTGAATTGGATATCTGATCTTTGTATGATTAGAGTGGATGTTTGCTTAATAGAATCATCCATTTTAATTCATGTTTATTTTTAACATGAACTTTAGTAACTCAAAACCTTCGAGACACATATCACCTACTGCATTGTATCATTTTGCCTGGGTGCTTGCTGTGTTGTCAAACTTCTTTGCTGCTGCTGCAGCATTTACACTAACAGGGGAGTTAAGAACCCATGAATGTTTCCGTTTGACACAAACAAGAGGACTTACTTCTAAATCGTGCATTAAAGATGATTGGAGGAAACATCTTTGTTGCAGTTGATATACTGGAGACCATAACAAAAGCAACGTATAACATCAAAACCAACCATCTGAACTATTAGCATTGTTGCTTTACTCTTTTTTGGTGGTTGAGTCTCCTTCAAAAAAGTTAGTTTGATTTTAGAAAATTTTGCTTCTGCAGTCCTGTCTTGCCACCAACGCGTTCAGTAGATGGAGATGGCATAGGCGAAGGCTATTTTTGTGTTGTTGTTGCTGTTTTAGGGATCGGTTTGTGAAGAAGAGGGGAAGGAGAGGGGGAAAGGGAAATGCAGGAGAGGGGGATAACTCTTTTCTCTGACAAAAATGGAGTGAAGAAATGAATTATGATCAGTAAGGATATGGTTATCTTACATAACGGTCTCTATTCTGTTTGAATTGAGCTTGGGAGGCAGTGATAAGGACGAGCTGCAACCAATTCATAGTGATAAGAGTGCTATGAACTGTGATCATGTCTTATTTCAAGTTAGAAGGTAGTTTCAGTATAAGGATTATTTAATTTGACAAGTTGTTTCGTCCATGATTCTTGGTAGTTTCAGTGCCATTCTAGCCATTGTTTAGTCTGTAATTTTTGAGAATTGATGTGCGAGTAATGACTTTCACTTAGCTTCAACTATTATGTGTGTATTTATTGGCATGTGATAGAATTCTCTTTTCCTTTTCTTTGAATTAAGTTTCATACTCTAATTGTATCATTTGTACATAGGCAAATCATACTCGAGATGACAACTCGCTGATATGGCTGGTGCAAGGAATGAAGCCATCATTAGAATTCAGACCGACAACGGGGAGGGATGCCCAGGACTAATTCAATGATGATTGATGATGGTATAATAAAAACTGCAGTCTGCATCAGCACCAATTTCTAGGCCTAAGTAAAGTTATTCAACCCAGAACTCTGCTTAACGCTAAAAATTGCCCTCACCCAACCTTGATCCTGTTTGACCAACTTCTGAAGAGTCAAGATATATGAATAATCCTCTCCGTTCGTATTTTCTTATTAACTCTTTTTGACCCTTTAGGTTAGGGCGGGTCGGGAAGAATCGGATTAGTGGGCCGGTCCTAATCAAGTGAAATCCCAATCCCTTCACTCTCACTTGCTTTCTCTCCTATTCCACAAGTGGATAACATACAGTAATCCGGCCAACGGGCCGGGTAATAAGCTAGTTTCTCTTCTAAATACCGAAATTTCGCCATTTTGGAGAGCGGGCAATCAAAGTGGGTACCCCAGATACTTGGAAAATGGAAAGCCACTCCCTCGTGAACCAAAATTTGTTAATTACAGGCAATAATAAATTGATAAGAGTTAACTCTCCCACTAATCGAAGCACCATCTCCCAATAATAAATTTCGTCTATCCCACCAATAACAGAATATTCCCACCCGGGTTAGGCGGGTTAGGCGCCGGTTAAAGTGGGTTTGATTCACTAAGTGTAAGTGGGTTTAACTACCTGTCCGTTGCCATTAGGGGTGGGCATTGGGTGGGTCGGGTGGATTTTGACCATAAAATGCACCCACCCGCGCTTAAACGGATTGATAATTTTTAACCCACCACCCACCCACATTTAGTCTCGGGTTGGGTCGGGCGGATGGTGGATGATGCGGGTGGGTTTGTGGGTTCACCCACATCACAATATATATAATATAAAAGAGTCAACTTGACATGATAATAGGTGAAGAGAATCATCGAGGGAAACAAGAAGTGGAAATAGGGCGAAAAATGTCGAATTAGTTCTTAAATTGGATAGAAATTCTATTATGAAAGAGTTTTCTATAGATTGAGACGATTATTAGGTGCAAGGAACTAAGGAAAATAATTCCACAACGGAAAGAGCGATGATCTAGGCACAAGAATTAGAGGAAAAAGTAAAGGGGAGAAGAGGGGATCTCTATTTGGAAGGTTGGCTTTGAGGTTCAAACTCCAGGAGCAGCCCGAGTTTATATCTAACGTCTCCACTCTCCTCTCTCTAGCGCCAACGACTTTGATCTTTTTGTTGTTGGGTTGAGCGGGTCACCCGCACACTCACCCACAACCCACCCACCACCCGGTGGATGGCTCCCAGCGCAACCCGTCACCCACCCACAGACCCACCCACTTAACGAAATTCGGGTCAAATGCGGGTGGGTCGGCCCAAACCCGCGGATGATCCGCCCACATGCCCAGCCCTAGTTGCCATTCATTACCAAGAATTTACATTATGGTAATTACACGCGAACAAAATATAGAATTAATTTATTATTCTATAACATACAATAGTAAAAAAAAAAAAAATTAGTTCTAGACGATAACAATATGAAAAAAGGTTAATTACAATCTAATATTGGGAAAGAAAAATAAGTGTTAATCGGTTTACTTTCCCCCATTTTCTTCTCTCTTATCACTAGGTGGATAGACGAAATCATCTCACACTGAAGATTTTATCGAGAATAATTATGATTTAACGAACGAAAATTTCTGGAAATTATGATATAGTTAGAGAACTACAAAATAAATCTAGAGAATATAAGATGGTGGAGTTTTGCAGGATTTTCACCATTTGAAATTTCCCTGCTTCTCCTTAATTGTAGGTAGGGTATAAAAGTAATTATACTTTAATTTTAAAATACAAAAATAGTATTATTTCATTCTTTTTAGTAGTACACGAAAAAAATGGGGAGAGAGATGCTATTTTTTCTCTTTTTTTGGTGGGAGAGGAAAGATGAGATTAAAGGGAATAAAATAATATAAAAATTTTCATTTTTTTAATTATATACATTTTTTACCACACGTTTCTTGATTTATATCTTTGGAATATCATGTAATTTCATATCAATCTGTAACCCTTTACTAATATGTACTTAATAATATACTCTAAATGATGGTAATTTGGTATTGTATTGGATTGTTATGAGTTTTTTTTTTAAATTTATGTAGACTACTTCGCATTGGATAATTATTTTTTATGGTTATAGAAATATAGGTAGAAATTTACAATTGAGTATTAATTCACCCAAAAAGATATAGCTCTAAATTAATTTTTTAATAAAAAATGAAGTTTTGTTTGATGTTCGTATTTAATTAACAAGATGCTATGGTAGAAACTCCAAAATATTATCGCGTACAAAGTCCAGTTATGGATAATATAGATGGTTTACAAACGATAAATATTACTAATAAAGAATTAAAAGAGACGAGGGTGGTGTTGATAATCACTTTTTTTTTAATATCTTAGCTTTTCTTTATTTCATTTTTATTTTAGCTTTACTCTTAGTTAAGACCACATTCTCTTGGAGTGGTTCCTATTCGGTTAAAATATAGTGTTTATAATTTTCATTGATTTTCAATAATTCTAAATGAGTTCAAAAAAATAATTAATTCAGAATTGTATCTATTTCGCCATTAATAAAATCAATATATTGGGTACAATTCATCCTTTTGATAAATAATTTAGTAATCGACTATTTTTGTATGAGTAAAACAATAGCAAGTTGATTTAATGATTAATGGTGATTCTGAAAGTTAGAAAAATGAAAGCACATAAAGTCAAAAAATGAAAGGCGGGTGCTTTTCTGTTCACAAAAGTGATAAGAATATCATGACATTAATCACATACAGAAAGAGTTTCAATGATGATATGAATATCGTGATAAACCTGCTCATATTGTGACCAAACTTTGGATAATTTTATGAATAAAATATTCAATTAAGATATTATTAAAAATTCTAAGTTGTGATAGTTTATTAGATTATAAACACAAATATTCCGGCCAACCGGCCGGGCACATGCTAGTTAAATATAGAAAGGCGTATCTCGCCCGATAGGGCAAAAGAAGGAATTAATATCTGACGAAACCCGAAACCACCGCACCTCCTTGTCCTCTCTCCCTTTCTGCAATTCTCTCCTACCCCGTAAAAAATATTACGCCGCCGCCGCCGGAGAAGAAAATCACTAATCCCGTGACGATGGCGGCGCAAAACAAACCCATAAAGGCGGAGGATCAAACCACCGCCGCCGCAACCACGACTCCGCGGCCAAACAAACCCATCAAGACGGAGCCCAAAACCATCACCGGCGAAGTGATCGGAATCGACCTCGGGACCACCTACTCCTGCGTCGCCGTCGTGCGAAACGGCGCCGCCGAGATCATCCCGAACGACCAAGGCAACCGGACCACCCCTTCCTGCGTCGCCTTCACCGCCGCCGCCGGACGGCTCATCGGCGACGCCGCCAAGAACCAGGCCGGCCTCAACCCCCGGCGCACCATCTTCGACGCCAAGCGCCTCATCGGGAAAAAATTCCACGACGCGGACGTCCAGACCGATCTCAAGTACCTCCCCTACCCCGTCGTCGAAAACGGCGAGAAACCCCACGTGGCGATCGAAGGAGTCAAACCGTTGACCCCCGAGGAAGTCAGCGCGATGATCCTGCGCAAAATGAAGGAGACCGCGGAGACCTACCTCGGGACGGAGGTAAACGACGCCGTCGTGACGGTCCCGGCCTACTTCAACGACGCGCAGAGGCAGGCCACGAAGGACGCGGGCCGGATCGCGGGCCTGAACGTGGTCCGGATCGTCAACGAGCCCACGGCGGCCGCCATAGCGTACGGTTTCAACGATCGGAAGCGGAAGAGGCGGGGCGAGGAGTGGAGGAAGAGGAAGGTGCTGGTGTACGACCTCGGCGGCGGGACGTTCGACGTCAGCGTGCTGGAGATCGAGGGCCGCGAGTTCCGCGTGCTGGCGACCGGCGGCGACACGCACCTCGGCGGCGGCGACTTCGACCAGAAGGTGGTGGAGTTCTTCATCAAGCTTGTCAAGAGAAAGTACCACAAGGTAGGTGGGTCCCACGGATGATACGCGACTTTGTTTTCATGTTCTGAAACGTTTCAAAATGCATTTTTGTCATACCAAACAGTGAGATTATTTGTGTGTTCAATATTTTCACTGCTCATGTGATATTGAAAGTGTGTTACGTTATTCACCAATATTTGACTTTGCACCAACAAAAAACCGAAATGAATTTGTGTAAGTAACTATAGTTGATAAAAAAAAACATCACGTTGCGTGACCTAATAGTATTTGTTGCGTGAATAATCAACACTTTTATGTGAATAACGCAAATATTGGGTAAATAAATGAAAAAAATGAGTGAATTAGGTGTTTTGTCACCTAACATGACAAAAGATTTGATTCTTTTGAATTATACTACTCACGAAACCCTGATGTTGTTTTTTTTTTTTTTTATCATCGATCGCCAGGTGGAACCAGTAGCAGGAGGCAGCTCTGTCGCTGACGTGGATGATATCGGTGACGACAGCAGAGCTCTAGGGAGGCTGCGCGTGGAATGCGAGAGAGCGAAGAGGCTCCTAAGCAGTCAGACCCAGGCGAGGGTCGAGGTCGATTCCCTGTTAAGGGGAATCGACTTCTCGGAGGTGCTGACCAGAGCCAAGTTCGAGGAGCTGAACTTGGCCCTGTTCAGGAGGACGGTCGAGATCGTGAAGAAGACGCTGAAAGACGCACGACTCGAGAAGAGCGAGGTCGACGAGATCGTACTGGTGGGAGGGAGCACGAGGATCCCGAAGGTGAGGGAGATGCTGAAGGAGATGTTCGACGGGAAGGATCCGAGCCAGGGCGTGAACCCTGACGAGGCCGTGGCTTGTGGCGCCGCCGTTTTGGCGGCCAACATGAGGTGCCGAAACGACGCCGCCACGGAGATGACTTTGTTCGACGTGACGCCGTTGAGCTTGGGGTACACCGCCGTCGGTGATGTGATGAGTGTAATGGTTCCGAGAAACACTCCTATCCCTACAAAGGTGTCGAGGATTGTTGCCACCGTCGTTGACTGGCAGACCAATTTCTCCATCCAGGTTTCTTCTGAGATAAAAAAGATTTTTCACCCTCTAAATTGCCGTTGGATTACGTTACATATGATCGTTAATCATCATCGTGTAATCTGAAGAAGATAACAACCATTGTAGGTACTTCAAGGTGAAAGAGTAAGTAAGCAGGATTGCCTTGTGCTTGGAAGCTTTATTCTACCGGACATTCCAAAGGCTAAACGGTAACTTTATAACATTAACATTACTTTTGCATTCGCGTTGTTAATTTAGAGACTGGCAATCAAACTCGCAATGAGGGAAAATCTACATATTGATTGATGATGGGTTAAACTCGTAATATTTTTTGATGGAAATGGAGTGGGTTTGATTTTAATCTTTTCCGTTCCATACACATATCCAATACACACCGACCTGTTAAGATTATTTCTTCATGTATAAAAAGATATAGACATTATATTGTAATCTCTCAATGACAGGAACAATAATTCGAAAAAGAAAAATTGACATGTAAATTAGTAGGCATCCTAACCCAAAGACTAATTTATTTTTCTCAATTAGCGCTTCACTCTTTAGTAGATGTGTCGGAGTAGATGTGTCGGAGTCAGACACGAACATTTTCCGATAGTATGTACGTAATCTTACGGATTAATGGATATTGTTATGATTGGATGTTTTAAATTGGTATTGAGAATGTTATATCCTTAATTGATTTCAAAGATTTAATATTTTCGTTTAGTGTTATGATTTAAGAGCTACATGTTGAATTTTATGTACAACAATATTGTATATATGGAACGGGTATTTCCTACAAATATCCGAAAACTGCAGGTATGACTATGACGAATGAGATTGCAAACTGTCTCACATGGTAATATGACGGATGTGAGTTGGATATTTGAAAATGGGAATCGGGATGGTTTAGCCAAATCCACTCTCAACCCGCCATGCACATATTGTTACTATGATCTTCGCACGCGACATTGTGATTTTTGAGTTTGATGCTAGCGGTGTGAAATGAGTAAACGGTGTTCCAATTTTGCAGCGGTGTTTCCACGGCGGAGCTAACATATGACGTCGACGTGGACGGAATACTCACCGTCACCGCGAAAAACAACGCTGCGTCGAAGAACTCCGAAACCCTAGTTTTGGAAAACTACAAAGGCAACCTGACGGCGGAAGAGGTCGAGAAGATGGTGGTGGAGGCGGAGCAGATGGCCAAGGACGACCGGAAGGTGAAGGAGCGCGTGGACGCGCGGAACCGGCTGGAGAGGTACATCTACAACGTGGAAGGGGCGGCGCGTGACAAGACGAAGATCTATTGGGATGAAGGCGACAAGAGGAAGGTGGAAGATGCACTGGAAGAAGCCGGGAAGTGGTTGGACAACGACACGTTGAGCGGCGCGTCGTCGGCGAAGGAAGAGTATGAGACGAGGATGGGGAAGCTGGCGGAGCTATGGGACTCTGTTAAGAGCAAGGTTTATGTTCTTGTCGATGACGATTAGCTGGTGTTTAGTGGGTGGATCATTATGATGGTAATATAATCTACTGTTATTATCCTTGTTTGGTTTGATTCATATACAGGGTTTGCTCTAGGTGTTTATGGTTAGATGACCAACAATAATTGTCTTCCAGTGTTTTTAGTTGTTTGATAATTCCATGTGGATGCTTGTTAATTTGTTATGGTTGCATCATTAGAGATATATGGAATATATTCTGTTAATCCGAGCTAGGAGCAAAGAAAGATTCGAGGTAGATATGTGGATACGCTATCTAGTAAGATATCATCTCACTCTGTAGAAATTATAATGGTTCCAAGTAATAAAAGTTGAAATTGGATCGAACAATGAGTTCAATTTGAATTAGATCCGAGTTAATTGTTAATCTCAATTAGTATAATAAATGATGCATGAAGGTGGATAATCTAAACAAAATATTTACGAGGATTTGAAAGATTAACCATTATATATGCTAACGTCTCTAAGAAAAAAAATAACATTATATGCTAACGTTGTTCAAAACTTTTATTAGGATGTTCCGAAGAGCTTGATTGTCAAATCTTTTGGGAGGAAAACAACGCTCGATTTGTTTGGACTGTAGAGTTTAGTGATCGGCCATTTAGTATGCCATTGGCTTTAGCCACATGTATAGCTTTTGGTGAATTTTAGGCCCACTAGTGCAGGCTTTTTATCAGGTTGGAAAGCAGCAAAGAAAAGAGAAAACTGTCCATCTCTTTCTACCCAAGCCCATATATTAATGGACTAAACATATACGAGATGTGGAAGGTGTAACAAAATAAGATGGATGGGATAAAGGATGATTTCGTTTGGTCATCTTGTTGGATGGTGTAGGTTTGAATCACGGTTTAAAGATGAAAGATATGTTAAAATTAAGAATTGGATCAATAATGTATTCGATCCAATTTGGTTTTTTTAGTTTGGTTCAAATGTCAATTTGCTCTATTTTTCTTCAATATTAATAAAATTCATGAGATCAAAGACCAGATCACATAATATGCGATCGATATGTCCAGTTCAAACATCAATTTGTTCTAATATGTCCAATTCAAACATCGATTTGTTCCGGTGCGATCATATACTGACCAACCCGTTGCACACCCTAGATGATTAATCACAGCTGTTGGACTGACATGCTAATAGTTTGGGGGGGGTGGGGGTGGGGGTGGGTTGAAAAGGAACCATGAAGGTGTAGAAAGGGGCAGGTTCTCAACTCTTATAATTGTGTTGTTAGGGGTAATTGTGTTGTTAGGGGATTTGATTTATATTCATGAGAATGATTTATCTTATGATCAGGGGTTTATCACTTCACATGTAAAAAAATCTCCATCTGCTTATTTCTTTTAATGCAGTTTTTTTCCCTGACTTTTGGAATCGGTTGAATGACCACTTGATGAATGATGGTTTAAGTGTGTACATTCGAAATGATTTAATTCGTGAAAAGCGACTAATTTATTTTACAAACCTTTCAGAATATGAAAATTCGTTGTGATTCACTGTAAAATATAATAAAATTGTTAATTTTATGAATTAAAATTTTATATCTATTAACTATTTTTTTTTTCGTCTGGTAAACCAACGAAAGAATCATGGGTCTGCCACGACTTACATAGTTACATGTCATACTCATACTTGAAAGGGGTCAACCCTACCCTAATAGCCTTATTATTTCACTGACCCCAATTTAACCTAAAGTCAATAATATTATCATTCTTAATTTCTCGGATTAGAGAATTAAACCGGTAGCAATTAATTAAGTCCGATCGAGACACACACCCCATGACTTAAACGCCATATTTACGCGTTGTGAAATTTTGACTTATGGGGTTGAGTCTACTCACTACTGCTTTCATCACCATCAGTAGTTTACAAAAATATTAGGTGAAGATTACATCATTACTTAATTAATCAATTAATTAAATCTTAAACAACCCAACTTAAATAAAGTAAAAACGTGACACTTAAGTCCAAATTCTAACTGGATAGGTCATATCTCTGTGATAATCTAGGGCTCAGTTACAAGAAGAGTCACTAAACTTTGAGGTCATCGATAAATCAGCCACTAAGTTTTGGATGGTTCATATTATATAACTTCATCCCTGAATTTCTTGGTGATTTTTCACTGAAGTTTAGAATAACTATTTATTTTTTTTAGAATAACTAATGAGTAGCACTCATCAATATATTCATCATCATCGATGTTTTTTGCCTAATTTTTTCAGATTAATAGACAAAAACTAACAAATAAAAATGTTGCATAGATCATCTAATGAGTTGTCAAGTAAGGAGAGAAAGAAATTATGATATTTGTAAGGAATAGAGGTTATTAAAGTCGGATCGAGCAAAAAGATATAAAATTGGCCCTCTATCTGAATAATCTAGGAAAAAAGTTTTGCAAATATTGATAAGAGTAATTATTGTGTTAATTATTCGGACCTTAGAATGTCGAATTTATGAAAAATCAAAGTTTAGCTACTGATTAGTAAATGAGTTTAAAGTTTAGTGGCCATTTTATATATGTAATTGGCCCCATGCATGAATAGTTTAGTCTTAAAATAGCCGTTAATTAATTGATTAACAGCCAGCCAGAAGGAAGGCAGGAGAATTTCTTGATGGTATTATTAAAATCATAATTATTTGACTTACAAGTGTTAGAGATTTAGGCCCCCATCAGCAGTTCAACGAAACTTCATCAATAAGTCAATAATATTTTAAAAAGATATGCCCTAGCTAGATCAAGATACAGAAGGGACGAATTAAGAGTACCAAACCTTGTACTTATGTGGATTAATAACGTCTGATTTTTGTTTATATTCGTTTATTTAATTCCCATAATTGAAGGTAAATCGAATTAGCTAGGAAGTATCTATTTTGGATAAGGAAATATATGCTTCAAAACAATGTTTTGTTGGTTTTAGAAACCCTTGTTAACTGTAGCCAAATTTTGGATTTCAGAATGATTCATGCTGATTTCATTCCTATTAGAATTTTAAATAATTACTAATCGAAAGGAGCAAATAAATAGCGAATATATACGAACTTAATACGGGACTTATTCATTACTAATGTTTATTTGTGTTTTTTACTTAATTATCAATTTTATACACATATAATACATGTATTATTTACTTGTGGTGCCATAAACTACCAAATTCAAAATGAATGAATTGTACGGTCTCAATTTTTAATTGAGATTGTTAGATTGTTTGTTGAAAAATTTGTGTATTTTTTTCCCAATTTTAATCTTCAAAATTATATTTTCCATTAAAAGGAAGAGGTATAAGTGACATGCATTGTCATTAGAAAGTAATTTTCCTTTTTAATTATTGAAAACACAATCACACATACAAATTTATAATACATCAAATTCAACAATACATGCATTAATCAAAATATATATCAATTTATCAATTCAGAGAAACCAAATGACACAAATTAATTAATAAATAGATTGACAAAAGCAACAAAACAATTATGAAAAACAAATTTTACGATTTCTTTTTTTTTTTTTTTGTTGCTTTGGTCACCTTTCTTTTAGTCGCAAAAAACAATTGTACGTATTTTACTTAATTATTTGACCAAACCATCAATTACTCTCATGTTTAATCTCTCAAATCTTTCTTCTCCATAATTAGGGGTTTGATCAAAGCGAAAGATAATATCAATTTTGACTTGGTTTTCCCTCTTATATTATTATATTATGTACTTCCACTATCCATCCCCCCTGTATATACCATTGACTTTTGTAATTCATCTCATATATTTTATGTTTTTTACATATATAAAGTCACCATGAGTCTACATGAGGAGCAGCTTAACCGCACACTTCCATTATTGGAGTTTAGTCCTTGTACAGACAAAGCTCCATTTCTTTCTTTATAATCTTTACTTGCTACGTATGCATGGGAGAAGGAGAACCAAAAATACATATTGAAAATTAGTATGTGAAAACTTGAATGGGTTTAGTAGTATGAGAATGGAGATTTTGAACAAAAATTAGAAACTCAAAAAGGGACCCTAGAATCGGGATTTTGAACCCGACGTGAATCGAACACGCAACCTTCTGATCTGGAGTCAGACGCGCTACCATTGCGCCACGGATCCTACAGGTGTTACTATCTCAAACTAAACGGTATTTATAAGATTAGCGCGTTAAGCCCTTAATTATTAAATGTCGAAGCAGACAAACAGTACTGACAGAGGTTTCTTTAATCTTTTCTTGTTCCAAATGATTTAAAAATTAAAATAGATGGAAATGTTTTTTTTTTAATGTTAAACCCAAAATTAGACGATATGTTAACCCACTAAGATATTAATACATAATATCTTTATCCATTAACTATTTGATATCCTAGTCCTACACTAGACTGTGATAGAGCTATGTGTAATTCAAAAGAGGCTACAATCCTCTTCAATTTTTTGGTTTAAAGTTATAATATGTGTATTTATATAATCATATGGTGAGAAAACATTAGAAAATAATGGGATCTCTACTCAAAAATTTAGTTTTGCTTGTTATTTTCAACCTCTCCTCATTGTAAATTTGGAGTTTGGCACTGTGGCTAGGTATATGTCTTCCAATGTACAAACCCTAAAAATTGAACTACTGACAAATTGTAGGGACCCAAAAAGGTTTAGGTTCAACTCACCCATTAAACGACTCTTAACGAAAAACCTAAAACAATATAACGGCTCTTTTGTTTTGTAATTAACCCCTCACTAACAGCTTTCTGTTTAATCCTTTTGATTATGGTTTGGATTTGACTCTCACTTCCTCTCTTTGGCCTTTTCCTGGTGTCCAATGATGATGTTTGCTCCAAAGACCTATCACCCGATCCCAAGTTTTCCCTCCCAGCCCTAGCTTACCTAGCTAGACTTTTGCTAATTAATTAATTAAGCAATAATTAATATTGATATTCCTGTAATTGTTAATTTATATATTAGGCGTGTGGGTATATGTCAATCATTCAAGACTTTGAAATGATTTATTAGTACTAGTCCTTTCGTGGGCCTTTCTCACTTGGGAATGTTTCGAATTTGAAGGTCAAAATTATAACCCACGTACAATAAATGCCCAAAATATTCTTTCAATGTACTTAATTGATTTTCAATTTGGTGACATTTCACTAATACTAGTACTACTCCCACCCACCACCACATCCAATCATTCTTGTCATCTTTATCTAAGACCCTAAAGAGATTTTTTTTCCTCATTAACTACTACTCAACAAATTGTTTTCTCTTTAGAGTGAATGCCACAAATGACATTTTAAAAAAATGAGACAAAAATCAGAGCTTATCGAAAAGGATGATCCGTGGAGGTTAATCGAGACACAAACCTGTATTTTTTGGAGAAACATTGAAAAGCTGTTAACAAAGAAAAGATATATATATATATCGCTGTTGAAACACCTTGGTTTGCAAGGAGTTGAAAACAAAAGAAACGAAGAACTGATGGTGGTGCTAGCTGAGTGTCACATAAGACGTGAATGGCAACACACGCTTATTCTTTGATAACGAGAGCGTAAGCTCCTGACAGGAGATCAACCATCAGTCAAGTCTCTAGCTTTGACACACAAATTGGGCTATGGGCAGACATGTGCTTAAATGTCAAACCGGTTCTTTACAATTGGTTAGAGGGCACAATATAATCAATTAGTTTTGTGCGGCTGCATACGACAGTTAAACGGATACAATACATCTTAGTGTTCACTCAAGATGAGACGAGTTTGAAAAGTTCCTGACAACCATACAATATTCATAGATAGAATACATGTGAAATCGAAACCATCAGAAAGGCACCGAAATGCCCACGACTAACAATATTAATCAACCCACATATTACCCTCATAATAGATACTGAAAGTTAGAAACCTATCAATTGTAACAAAGTAACTAGAAACTCTGGATGATTGTTGCGTGTTAGTGGTCCATCGTCCCTGCCATTCACGAGCAACTTGACTGCACATTGTGAATTCAAGAGAAGTTTAAACCTTAAACTTGCAAACTTTTGTCAAATTCAATGTTCGATTGTCTGATTTTCAAACCCATTACTTTCAGGAAATATGGGAGGGTGTAGATTTGTTTATGAGAACACAAAGTCAAACCCTACACGGCGAAGAGAGGAGCTGGCCTTTGCCATGGTGATTAATCTCCGTGCAAGCAAAGGGAACATGATTAATTAACAAGATAGACTTGGCCCAATATTTTTGAAAGGAGAGATTAGATCAGATTAGGTGAGGGCCATGCGAATTTGAACAGCTAATTCCCTTCCCCCTAATATTACGTAGGACTGCTGCCCTTAATTAAATCAAAATATCAATAACATATAATTACTCACAAATCATAGAATTAGCATGTCTTGACGCCTGGATGGCAAACTTAATAAGTAATTAAAACAGCTTCACAAAAAACCCTTAAATCTTAATCATTTCCTCTTTGAGCATGCCCTATCCCAACCGCACATATGCAATAACCATGTCTCTTTCTCTTGTTTTCTTTCGAAGAAAAAAAAAGGTAATTAATAAATAAATAAATTGTTGATTTGTTTCCACCAACCAATTGGGGGGCTGCCCATTGTCTTCTACCCATCTTTATGTAAATTATAAACAATTTGATGGTTTTTTTTAAAAAAATTGCAATTTCGCTTTCTCCTTCTTTATCAAACTTATCTTATACCTCGTTTTTCATTTCATTTTTCTTTTGGCCACCAGCACTAATGAACCTTTAGCTTTGCAGGTGGGATAATATAAGTTATTTCTGTTGTTGTTGTTACAGAGAATGACACTTTTCGGAGTTAAGGTGTGGCTATGGTTTTACTTGGCAGGCGCCCAGGAGAGGAAGTAGGCAAAAAGTGAGCGAGCTGGGGAAATAAGGCAGCAGAGGAAACCGTTGGCACATACAAATTAGAAGAGATATCAACCGGCAAACTTACCTAGAAATAACGATTAGCAGATCTTG